GCAACCACTCGCAACCCCTTGCCTGCCTGCCTGCCTGCAGTACCATGCGCGGCCGCTGCCTGGCGCCCCCGTGCTGTACGAGGGCTACTGGCACAAGGGCTCCACGCGGAACGGCATCAAGACCTGTGCCAACTGCCTGTTCCTGGTGGTGCAGGACCACATCGACGTGAGCATACGGGAGGTGGTACACGCGTTCGAGGCGCTCTTTGATCTGCGGGGCAGCAGCCGCCGCCGCGGCGTCTGATGGTGTCCTAGCTTGCAACGCGCCAGCCTAGAGTGATGGTGAATAAGGAGAGCAGCAGTGGTGCTGCCGGCATTGGTGAGAACAGCCTGTCAAGTTGCCGATCTCCTGATCAATGGTGCTGCTCCCAGTTGTGACTGTCCGCACGCCTATACACGCTCGCTCTTCTGCAATCAGCTGTTTGTACCGTACAACACACTTCGTGACTAAGACACATGCTTATGGCCGTGATCTCCCCTGCTTGTGATCCCTATTGCGCACATGCTGCTGTACCCTCCTTGCCGCACCTTCCCGTGCAACGCCGTGATCCACCGCTGAGCATGAGTAGGTTGCATGATGTAATGCGGCCCTTGCCTAGATGACAATGTGCAAGGTAGCGTGACAGTTGATGTTGTTGGTTGTGTGAGATACACGTACGGGGTAGGAGGTCATCCTGGCGTGGCTGGATGTTGACCTGGGGAAGCCAGGTATTATATACCGTACAGCCCACGAGCGTAGGACTCGTTGGTGCTTCTGCTGTACACTGTTGGGATGTCAGTCAAGGGTGCGTAAAGGGTGTTCTAGACGAAGTCTCTGCGGTGGCAGGTGTTTTCCAGCTTCTAGCAGCTACTGCAGCATGTTTAACTGAGATAAATGTGTCACAATCTTGAACGCCGGACGCTGGGTTGCCCTGGCGATGTATCGCAGCTGCACACCTTTATTGCAGTAGGGCATGCTTGGCAACATGGCGGCCATACACAAGCAGTCCGCAATGTCGCATGTTGCTCATATATCCGACAGGTACTACAGGCGCAATTTATACTAATTGTGAGGACTCTGTTCAGGAGAATCATGGGTGGGGTAGTGGACATGGCAGCGCACAACTGTTGACGGCGCCTGCGGGATGCGTGCTGCCAAGTGGCCATTTGTTGGCTTAAAGAGGTCTACCGGTGCGAGCAGCTGTAAGTGAGCATGTACGTGTGGAAGCATTATATATTGTTGCGTACTAAAATAATCAGGACCAGATAGGGACATGACCCGCGAGGCAAAGGCCTCGCCTCGAGCATGATGTTAGACTGAAATTAAATGTGTATGTTTATAGATGGTATACAGGTCGAGAAGTGCGGCTTACAGACCAGAGCTGTCAGCAACTTCCGAGCGAGGGCCGTTGAACGGCAACCAACGGCAAATTCTGCTGCAAGGACGCCATGATTCAACTAGCCTCTGGCCAAACACAGAATCAGGTTTGGTTGTTGTTGAACTTAGTATTCGCATCGGTCATAACCCGGGGCTGGTCCTCAGCCGATAGCAATGCTGCTGGGACATCAGTAACTGGAGCATCGATTGGGCGGCATCTGAACGCGGGTTACGCAGACAAGTTTAAAAGCAATATAAATGCGCAGAAAAACCAGCGGTCGTCTGTCAAACAGTTGGAGCACGACCAGGATGTCATCATCACCTTTGACCAGCTGGCGAACACCAGCACACCAGGATCGTTTCCGCAGCTGACCGTGGTTTTGGTCACCACCTTTGACCACCTGCCTCGCGCAACCGCCGCCCTGGCTGCGGCCTACAAGAACCTGGCTCCGGAGCTGGTGCGCGAGTACATCGTGGTGTGCCCGCAGGCGGAGGCAGCGGTGCTGCGACGCATACTGAAAGCCCCGGACAGTACCAATGGGGCCGCCCGCTCGCCGCCTCTCCGCACCTTGTCCGACCAGCAAGCCCTGGGGCTGACGGTCGAAGAGACCAAGTCGGTGCCCTTCTGCGGCTACAGGTGGGGTCGAGCGGTTTGTTGGGGTCATGGTGACCTACCTTTAGACAGCGGACTTGGTTTTACATGGCACATGGCGCACGGCCTGCGTCTTGCTACGTGTCCAGTGACTAAGCCTTATCAAGTTACAGGCCTACGGCCATGACCCCTTCATCCATGCTGGCGTCCAGCCCCCGCACACAAGCAGCCGTTGCCCTGCATGTGGTGACACCGTACGGTGTGTCCTGGGCTCGCTGCCCCCCCCCACCCCCCTGCAGGACGCAGATGGCGGTTAAGCTGGCGGTGTCGCAGCACGTGAGCACCCGGCACTACCTGCTGCTGGTGGGTGAACCCAACAACCCTGCCGTGGAAGCCAGCTGCGAGGGGCCGCACGGCACAAATCCGGAATCATTTTGCCGCATGTGTTGCCGGCCACCATCCCAGCCATACCCCATACAGATCAGCTCCCGGGTGGACGAACGGACGGAAGGATTGCGTCAATAACACGCTGACAGCAGCCCTTTCCATATACCGTCTCATGCGGTGCACATGCTGCCTGCATCACCCAAGACATCCGCATCCTCTCTCTCCCACTCCTTCCCCCTCCTGCAGGACAGCGACGTGCTGCTGGTGCGCCCCGTCAACGCCTCCGTGGCCTCATGGCTCTACCCGCAGCCGGGCAAGGCGGTGTTCAAGCCCGACATCCGCAGCCGACACCGCAGGTGGTGGAGCTCCTCGGAATCTACGTTGAAGCTGAAGGGCTGCCTGTCGGATGATCCCGGCACGGAGGTGTCGGGCGTAACGCCTGCAATCCTGAACACGGCAGTTGCCCGAGCGGTGGTTAACCGTTGGGCGGAGCTGTACGGCGGCCGAGTGAAGGGTCTGCAGAAGGTCCTCAGCAGGAAAGGTCCCAGGTGCGCCTGCTGCAAGGGTTACTACCCTAGATGGGTCACACGGATGCGCACGCTGCAAACGTTGCTGCCATGTCGAATTCGTGCATGCACGTATGAGCACTTGTACCAATTCGCTGCCCGTCTTGTGGCCGAGGGTCATCCGCAGGTGGACCGAGTACACGTCGTATCACGTGATGGCTTGTCACATGGGAGGCTTCGATAAGGTGGGGCGGGATTACATGCAGCTGACCAACTTGCGTGTGTTTATGGGGGTCCGACCCACGGGTCACAACGGGTCACGGAGCTTCACATGCCGCTACACATGTTGGGGGAATGTCCAACGCTACGGGAGTTGCCCAAATTCATAAGATACGTCGCTGGTATCCAGTATCTGCACCATACGTGAGCCCTCGCTCTAGCGGTGACACCCTCTGCCCAACCTCGCAACCCCTTGCCTGCCTGCCTGCCTGCCTGCCTGCCTGCAGTACCATGCGCGGCCGCTGCCTGGCTCCCCCGTGCTGTACGAGGGCTACTGGCACAAGGGCTCCACGCGGAACGGCATCAAGACCTGCGCCAACTGCCTGTTCCTGGTGGTGCAGGACCACATCGACGTGAGCATACGGGACGTGGTACACGCGTTCGGGGCGATCTTTGACCTGCGGGGCAGCAGCCGCCGCCGCGGCGTCTGATGGTGTCCTAGCTTGCAACGCGCCAGCTTAGAATGAGTTCAACTAAGGCGAGTAGCTCACCAGCACTTGGTGACATCGGCCTGCCGAGTTGCGACCTGCTTATTCGAAGTGTAGATTACATCTATAACTGTTCGTATGTGTACAGGTCCCAGGGCCTTAGGCCTGGTGGTTAACTTACTTCTGCATTACGGTAACTGCTGTTGCTAGTGGTTATGATGTGGGCTGATGTGCACGCCCACCATATTTCAACCTGCTGCACGTGCTGTAAAGCACGCTTCATGGCTGGGCGACATACCTAGGGCCGTAATCCTTCTTGCTCGTGAACCGCTTATATTTCCACTAGCCTTTTGAGTCGCCAACACATAATTTGATTCCAGTGGGATCTTATGCATGCTGCTTTCTTCTCCTTTCTGCACCTTCCCATGCATCGAAATGGCCCATCTCCTCACAGCATTGTGTGGCGGGGGAGTGATGGCCATTACCATTTGTACGTCATGCAAGCGTGGCATGGGCAATTTCGGCGATGCAAGACGAGAGATAGCGTACGGGGTAGAAGGTCGTACACTCGTAATGGCGTTGCAGGATGTTGACCCGGTGAAACCAGGCATCCTACCAAGGTCTTGTGGCTGCATGCACCGTCGACAGAAGTCAATTTGGGTGGCTCTATCTTTGGCAGACGGGGAAGTAAGGGCCGGTTGTTGCACCGATTGTCGTTACCGGTTGCCTACTATTACTGAGCTTGCCGAAAGTTCTGCGTACCCGTTTGCCGTGGTTATCATCGGTCGGCTAGTTGAAACGGGGCGAGCAAAGCGCAGGCACCATGTGTTCTGCACTGATATCGGTAGTGGAAGCGTACAGGGCAGCAGGAAAGGGTGGGAACGAGAATGCACAGGCGAATCATGGTCGTGGGGATTTCAGTAAACAACTTATGATAGGCCTGGAGTATCTGCTGTTGGTCCCTGGTATCGTGCAAGGCTGCAGCCGCTGCCTTTGTCCCATGGTTCCATGGGGCACGAAGATGTCTATAACTGGGAATCAGCACATGTGGCTGCTGTTGTCATACATTATGCAGTCCGCTGACCTAGATGACCGCGCGACAATCCTTTGGATGCGTCATGGTAGCAGGGAAGGGCAGCTTGAAACATGGCAAACATTTAGCAACGCTATAGCCCCTACTTCTCAGAGGCATAACAGGCATGCGTATCAGTAGCTGCAGTGCCGCGCAGCCAGCTATCCAGCAAGAGGAATGGTCGGGGCTAGGAAAACAGCTACTTGCAAGGAGACCGACTTACGTACATCAGGTACTAGTGATTGAAGGGCATTAAAATCCGGTTATATAGTGTTCTGTCCAAGCGCACGACAGACGACATTAACGGTTTGGTTCATGGATGTACGGTTCCGTGCCTGTCGTGCTGCTTCCTTTGTAATACTGTTATTTTTCACATAGTGGGCTTTCGCTACCATTAGACGCTTACGTAAATCATTAACCACATTCGGCAGCTCGCAGTCACAATGCCCAAGGATAAGCAGCCAGACGTAGAAATGGACGACGCAGGCCCATCTGGGCGAGGAGAAGACGACTCAGCATCGGCTCGTGTGGTTTACATTGGGTGAGGCTAGGGCCGGCGCACGTCCATGTTGGCGGCGGCAATTAGCAAAGAATGGCAGCTTACAAGCTCGCGTTGTGATGCAGGCACATACCTCATGGCTTCTTCGAGAAGCAGATGCTCGGTAGGCAACCAACATGCTGCTTTTGAAGGTCGTAGTCCCCCGGGCCGAAGTACATTAACGGTCGGCATCCTCTATGCAGGGTACTTCTCCCAATTCGGCAAGGTCACGCGGATACGCCTATCACGCAGCAGGAAGACCGGGAATGCCCGGGGTTATGCTTTCCTGGAGTTCCAGTACCCGGAGGTGGCACGGGTGGCAGCGGAGGCCATGAACGGATACTTCCTCTTCAAGCAGCGGCTAACTTGCAAGCTGGTGCCGCCGAGCCGGGTGCACCCTGAGCTCTTTCGCGGAGCCAACCGCAAGTTCAAAATCATCCCCTGGCGGAAGGTGGAGCGGACACGGCATGAGAGGGAGCGGACGCCGGCTGAGCACGCGCAGCGTGTGGGGAAGCTGATTCGGAGAGATAAGCAACGGCAACAGAAAATTAAGGAGGCGGGCATTGAGTACGAGTATGAGAGCTTGAGCGTGCCAATCAAGCCAAAGAAGGTGGTCTTTGAGTGATGCTAAGCAGCGGAAGGTGGTCTTTGGTGATGCTAAGCAGCGGAAGCGCGGGTGTGGGTGACGGGATATAGTTGGTTGCATAGGGTTTGCTGGTGGGGGTTAGAAGCATGAGAGGGCATGGCGGGGATGTCACGAGTGACGATGGCGGAATCGGGGTTAGGTAGGGTACCGGTACGTACTGCAGAGCATGGCTAAGGAGCAAGGCTATAACGGATCCATGTTTGGATATTGGCGTGTGCATAAGGGACACCAGTAGCTTAGCCTGCAGGGTTATAGGGACTGTGCTTATCGCGAGCTGGACTCCCATGCATGTGTCACAGCAATGATGTACGACGGATATGTACGAATCCTTCCGTTTTGCTGGAACATGGAAGCTTTTGCTTGTCCATAGGCATCGACAAGAACGTGTGTAAAAGCTGGAAGATATGTTACTGCAGACCCGTCGCTAGCCTAGCGGGATTTCGTAGGATTAGCTCAGCACTTCGCTGTTTTTTCAGTAATTATAGGAGGAAGCAGCATGGCACATCAGCGCTGGAGCTTAGCACTCCTTCTAGTGCACGCTGTCCTCTTGACGGTGCGTTGATAAGTAGATCGTTGTGCCGATCGTCAAAGTCTTGCGCCAAACAGCCTTCCGCCTTTGCAGGCGTCAGCTCAAGACGCAAGTGATGGCCACCTGTACGTACATGGGGGGCAACGAGAGGCTTTACGGTAGCAGACTTCCGTTCGTTGCTCACATGGCAACTTTGTTGGTTACAGGGTTGCAGAGCTTGGAATTTCTGATGTGAAAGTTGTAATCAAAAAGGCTGATGGCTCTGCCATCAGCTCGCTGGCTGCGACATATCCGAAGGCTGTGCTCGCCAATCCGCAAGTGCCAGCGTCTGCATCGCTCGAAGTAAGGGATGCCTTGGACTCTGTAAGATTCATAGACAATTGCGATCGACTCATGCGCAATGTGCCCCCCAGGTATCGCTTGCAGTGAAAAAGAGTGGGGAGGCCTTCAAGCCGCAGCAGGTCATGCTAATGCTGAGGAGCAAGTCTCTTGGGTTGGCGGCTTACGCTGTTGGGAAGCTGAAGGGCGGTGCTTACCAGCTCAGCATCAATGCAGCAGCAGTGGAGAAGCAAATTGGCAAGCTGGTAAGTACCTCCCCAGTCCCCACCCCACAAACATCCTAGGCCCCATGTGCACTACTAACGCCCAGCATCTTCCTTGCCAAATGAAACGTCCCCCCTCCTTGATACGCAATAACCCCATTATGATAAAACCTCTGACGCGGTGCTCCCACCTACCTAACCTTTCATCCTCATTCCCATCCTCTCGGGCTTTGTCGTACTTTTAGCCGGGCGAGTACGACGTTGTGCTGCTGGTAGGCGATCCTTCCGTGCCGAAGGGCATTGAGTACGGTCTGGGCACCGCTGAGCTCATGTTCAGCGCCGCCAGTACGGCATCTGAGCCCGCTGCTGTCGTGCGCACGGCCGATTTCCAGTCTGTGAACAACATCAAGCCGGAGATCCACCACATCTTCGTAAGTGCCTATCACGACCTTTGCACTGTGACACAGGGAAGCCTTTGCGCGGCTTGTCTAGCCCGATCAACCGCCCATTAACTCACCATGCCCTTATGTCCACCCGTCCCTTCCCATCTCCTCCACCTCTCTTCGCAGCGTGCGCCGGAGAAGCGGCCCCCCGTGGTGGTGTCGTACGTGTTCGCCGGCCTGGCCCTGCTGCCGCTGGTGGTGGTGCTGCTGTACGTGCCGGCAGCCACCGGCGTCAACTTCAAGGTGGGTGGGGTTTAGCACTTCACTGTCGTGGCAAGGATGGAGGTTGCGATTTTTACAGGATGGAGCCTCGAGCAGGACGCACCTGCTTGCTGCCGTCCACCCTGCTAACGTACCACCCTACGTCTAGCGAACCATTTCACTATTGCACACACCCCTACTCACCCCATAGCCCCGCTGCCGCTGCTGCTGCCACTGCTCCTGCCATCCTGCTCATCACCACCACCACCTCATCCTCCTCCCGGCGCAGGCCTTCTCCGCTGCGCCCCTCGCCTCGCTGCTGTTCCACGGCGGCCTGGCTGCCATGCTGGTGCTGTACCTGGTGTTCTGGCTGCGGCTCAACCTGGTGCAGACGCTGCCGCTGGCGGGGGCGCTGGGGCTGTTCGTGGCGGTCAGCGGCTACCTGCTGCTGTCGGCGCTGTCGGCGCAGCGGTTGAAGAAGGATTAGAGGAAGGGGAGGAGGATTAGAGAAGAAAGAAGGAGGAGGGCTGTCTGGTGTTTGTTCGGTGCTGCTGTGACTTGGGGTTAAGGGTGAGGGAGGGAGATAGGGATTGGTTTGGAAGGGTGTGGAGATGGGCAGGACAGTGTGGAAGGGGGTGGGGGGTGGAAGATATCGGTGCAGAGGTGGTGAAGTTCGGCTCTTGATTTCGTCTCGGTGTGTATGCGAGGGCAAGCCTATGCCTCTTGAAGCTTAAGCCAACTGCTTTGTTGTAACGTTGTGCACCATTTGCCGTACGCACGGCATGTCCCGACGGCGATGAGATATTAAAATCGATACGAATTTGCCAGCTTGGGGAAGGGGCTGGGTGACTTAAAGCGGCAGCGAGGAGAGGGGGGTGGGTGACATATTGAAGCGACAAAAGACCTGCACAGCCCAGTTGATGCCTAGTCGTGACGATGCGCGTCCCTTGAAATATACTTTGCAAGCGCGCAAAACGTGTACCGGTATGGCGTGTGTGAAGGGCCAAATTCGTACCGAATCTTCTGATTACCGTTCGCGCGATCCAACAGTTGGTGCATTACTGAGACTCTTTGCTCGTTTGCTGTCTTTAGGAGTCTACGGTAGATGTTTGACAGTCGCTCGATTTAACAGCCTACTGTCGTTTACATAACCAGCAACACCAGACTGCTTTTCTTGCGACTACCGGTACCAAATCCTGACCCTTATACTAGCACCTGACAGCCTCCGGGTTTTTGGCCCAGACTATTAGGTACTATCTATAATACTACTGAAGGAAAGCCTTAAATTTGTGAAACTCGCGAGTCAACTTATGTAGGTTCCAAGTCGACAGCTTTTCCTGCCTTTTCCAGCGTGGGCATGGCTCCCGCTCAGAGGTCATTACGTTACAGTGACGACGGAAATAGTGGATATGAATATGATTTCGAGGACGATGGCGACGAGGTAGACGTCGATGCGGGGCAGGTGAGATGGGTCATATCCTCGCAAGCGCAAGCCCAGGCAGAAGTTATGCAGCAGCTACCCTGTGTACAGGGCGACTATGACTATACCGACGGGGCGGACAACGAAGTTACCGAAGGTGGGGGCATGCTAACATGATTCCGCTGACAGCTCGCCGCTATAGCGCTTGCTCCCTAAGCGACGTGTCAACGCGGCCATACGCCCTTGGTGTCTCCCCGCAAAACTGTTACAGGGACTGCCACCCGGAGCTTCAACGACGTTGATGTACCGCTACATGCACAGCAAGCAACAAGCCCGGAGCCGCCAGCAATACAGCTGGCTGACCAACCCCACACGTCGAGCCCGGAGGCGCGCAGCAAAACACCTACTGGTGACGCTGTAACGGTCAGTCAGTCGCCCTCGTCGCCACTCGCCACCCACCGATCAGACTCAGCACCCCCAGCAGATGCGCCAGCTGAGGGTTGCCCGAGCCCCAAATCCCCGCAGCCGGCTCTGCCGCCGCTGAGTCACACACTCTCTCCCTTCCTCCTCCGCTCCGCCCCCGCTGCCCACCCTGCTGTGGCCGCAGCAGCTGCACCCGTTCCGCCTCTGCCACCTCGACTGCCAGCCGCCTCCAGCTCAGCACCGCCCCACGTGCCCACCATACCCCCCTCCACACTCCTTCCCTCCACCGCTGTCGCCACCGCTGCCGCCATTGCGGCACCTAGCGCCGCTCTTGCTCCCATATCTGCCCCCAGCCCCTACCAGCACCCGCCCGCGTTCGCCCATGCAGCCGCACCAGCGTCGCCATCCCAGCCATCCCCGCCGCCCAGCCATTCCCAACAACAACAACAACAACCCCACAACGCCGCCGCCTCCTTCGCCGCTAGCCCCTCACCCCTCCAACAACACCCTCCAGCACACCACCATCTCCACCAACAGCACCCCCACCCCCACCACTACCACCACCAGAACCAAAACAGCAATCCCTACCACCAGCATTCCCAGCACCAGCAGCAGCTAGCAGCTGCCATTCGTGACAGTGTGGACACCCTGCGTGCCTCGGAGCAGGTACGGCAGCTGCAGGCGGCGGTGGAGACGCTGACGGGGCAGCTGGTGGTTTCGGAGCGCGCTCGCGCGGGCGCCGAGGGGGCGCTTGTGGAGCTGAGCGGGCGCATGCAGGAGCAAGAGCGGCGGGCGCAGGAGGCGGAGGCGAGGATGACGGAGGCATGGGAGGTGGGAAGAGGAGGGGGGAGGAGGGAGGAGGGTCGGTAGGGACACGGGATGACGAGGAGGCAGGGTGTCTGATGGCGTGAGGAGGAGGTAAAGCAGGGTCGGGGTCCGTGTGTGACACCCTGGCTCCCACTCCTTTGTGAACCACACAGGAGTGTGGCGCGGGCCCACTTGTCCCCAAAACCCGCACCACCCTCCCCACATGCCCTCCCTCCTTCTTAGGCCAAGCTGCTCGATAAGCAGCGGGAGGTGCAGCAGCTGCGCACGCGGGTGCAGCAGCTGGAGACGCAGGGAATTAAGGTAGGCATGCGGGCGGCGGTTTGGAGGATGCGATGGGGGGAAGAGGGCGGATGGGGGGCGGTCATCGCTGGGGTGGGTATACCCGGCATATGGGTGCCCTTTAGCCTCCACTGCTCCCCTTAACCTTCTTCCCCCGCTGTTCCCTCCTTTCCTCGTCTCTCCTCTCCCCGCAGGGCCGCCTGGCTGCCGCCAGCGCCTCCACGCCCCGGGGCAGCCACCAGGGCACCTCCTCCTCTTCCGCAGCAGCAGCGGGCAAGGAGGGGGCAGCGGGCGGCGGCGCTGCTGCCTGCATCAGCCCCGAGGAGGCCGCCACCCTGCGCAAGGAGCTGGAGCAGACGGAGCTGCTCATCCGGGGGTACCAGCTGGAGAACGAGGCGGCCACCAGGAGAATCAAGGTGGGGGAGGGAGGGAGTAGGGGGGAGGGAGTACGCTTGGAGCCCGGTAACGTTGCATGGGGTGGCCCATCTGCTTCTCCTCCGGATCAACCCCCACCCCACCTCCCCTTTCCCTCCTTACCCCAGGAGCTGGAAGAGTCCCTGGCGGCCGCCGAGTCGCGCACCGCCGCGGAGGTGATCCGAACGGAGCGCGCGGCGCTGCTGGCTCGCGACGAGAGCGGGCGGCGCAACGCCGACGTGGCGACCAAGCTGGCCCGCGTGCTGGCGCTGGAGAAGGAGCTGGAGGGCGTGAAGGAGGAGGCGCAGGTGGGATAGGAAGGGGGGAGATGGGGTGTGGGGATGGGAAGGGAGGGAGGGGAAAGGGAGGAGCAGGAGGAGACGAAGGCGAAGGTTGGCCGCGTGCTGTATATGCAGGTGATAGAATCGTCAGGGAGAGGGTACGGGGTTTCGCCGTGTGAAGGCATTTCGGTTTTTGAAGCCCATGTTCACGGCCGCTGTGCACGTGTGAGCTCTCCCCGACCCACCAGCACTAGCTGACCTGTTCGCCTCCCCCACCTCTCCCGCCCCCCACCTGCCTCAACACATTGGGTCTTCCTCTTTGCCCACCCACCCCCCAACCTTCTTCCCCTCCTCAGACGCGCGAATCGGAGCTGCGCGCGCAGCTGGAGAAGCTGCGGGCGGAGAAGAAGGCGTTGGAAGCCAAGGCGGGGGGCGTGGACCTCAAGGTGAGGAACTGTGGGTGCGGGTGGATCAGGGAGCCGCGGGGTGGCAACCTTGCACGCTTGTGCGGGACTCCGAATGGGCAACAAGTCCGATAAGATGCCAACGCAAAATGGTGCATCGCCAGGGTACCGCCTTCGTCGCGCGAGGAGAAAAATAACTCCAATCAGCACCGCAAGCAGGAGCCCCAATTGCTGACTCCCCTGTATGACGTCTAGGTCCTCGTTACCGGTGCTACATTACGCCTAACGACACTGTCCCCGCGAGCCCTCCCACCTCCCCTCAGGCCATGGCCGAGGGCGATGTGCTTGTGAAGCAGCTGCGGGAGGAGATGGAGGCGGGCCGCCAGGCCACCCAGGCACTCATACAGGAGATGCAGGTGCGGGTGATGGGGTTGATGAGTGAGCATGCAACCAGGATCCCGTGCTGTTAAGGGCATCCGTGGTATCCCACCATCCCTTGGTATCCCCCCCCCCGTTCCCTCCCCAACTCATTCCCCCCTTCCCACTCCTTCCACTCCTCCCCCCCCCCGCAGGCCAAGCTGTCTTGGTACGCCGAGAATCAGGAGATGCTCAACAAGAACGACGCGCTGGTGGCGGAGCAGCGGGACATCATACAGCAGCTGCAGGGCAGGCTGGCGCAGTATGAGGGTGGGTGGGGGGGTGGGAGGGGGCGGTGCGAAAAAGGGGTAAGGGTGCTGTTGGGTGAAGCGTCCTGTCGCCTCCGGCCTTCCGCGGTTCCCCGTTCTGCAACCCCTTCCCCCCGCCCCCCTCTCCCCGCCGCACCCCGCCCTCCCCGCGCAGGCCAGGCGCCCAAGGGCCCGGCTGCCAGCCGAGTGGCCGCCGCCAACGCCCGAGTGCGTGAACTGGAGGCGCAGGTAGCCCGAGTAGGGGGAGGTTGGGCTGAGGGGTGGGTGGGTGGGCAGCAGCTGGGGAGGAGGACTGGGGAGCAGCTACGGGTACCACCACCCTATCTTTGTGGCGATCATATCATGGCTCCTGGGTCCAGACGCCCCTTACTTCCCGTCCCCATGGCATTAATCGCCCTTGCCTACTTCCCCCTCACCCTCGCTGCTTCACTTTTACCAATGGTATAGTTTTCCCCTCGTCCTGACCTGCCATCTGCTCCCCCCTCCCCCCTTCCCCCCTGCATTGCCTTGTCAAGTTGTCATGCAGCTCGTCAGTTGCTTTGTCAGTGTCTCATTATATGTTTTTTACCCTGCATGCCCAGGTGGACCAGCTGCAGAAGGCGCTCCGCAGCCGCGCCCCCGCCAACAGCCTGGCCGCCGTGGTGGCGGCGGCGCGCCCCTCGCCCGAGGAGGGGGCGCTGGTGGCGGAGCTGCGGGAGCAGGTGGAGGCGCTGCAGGCAGAGATACGCGGCAAGGTGCGGCGGGAGGGGGGGCCCTGAGCGCCTGCGCTGTTAGCGGGGTTATCTGCGACTGAGTATGCACACCAAAACCCGCGAAGTCCTCCCCCTCCTTGGGGCTGACTGCTGCTGCGGTGGTTGTTGCTGGTGAGTTAAGGAAACCGGACGCTGGCTTGCTGTGTGTTCTTGCACTGGTCAGGATGACGAGTTCGAGCTGCAGCTGCGCACCTACCAGCAGCAGTTCGAGAAGCTCAAGGCGCAGTACTCGGAGCGGGCCGGCAGGCTGGAGGCGGCAACCAAGGTAGGCTGGTGCGGCGAGAAGCTCAGGTTGAGGCTGGGCGTTACCTCATGCGGTGTGTCGCCCGGACCGCTCTCTCTCATTCTCTCGTTCGGGGTTTCCAGAGACCGCGGGGGCTCCATGTGTGTGTGGCTAACTGGCTATCTTCTCTTCCCCCTCTTTGCGGCACGCGGCGCAGGTCCGCGGGCGCGTGAAGGACCTGGAGCGGCAGCTGGAGGAGCAGAAGGGCATCTACATGCGGAGGGTGCGGGAGCTGGAAGCCAAGCTGAAGGCAAGGAGCGGTACTGGGGTCGGCGTGCCATGCCATGCGCTTCCCCAAGTGAACACTTTGGTGCATCCCAGCCGTCCACAGCTGCACAGTTCTGCCATCTTAACTCTCCTTGCACACGCTCGGCTTTGCAATCCCCAACCCGACTCAACCCCTTGCACACGCTACAGGCGGCTCAGGAGCACGGGGCGGTCATTCCGGCCACTCCGGCACCGCCCGCCTACCAGGCAGCAGCCGGGCCGCCGTCAGTCGCGCAGACGCCCACCAAGGCTGGGGTCGGGGCCGGCGCCGGACCCATGGGTCAGCCCGGCGCCGGTGCGCAATCGGTGCAGGGACGTCGTGACGACCTGGTACCGGCGTCGCAGCTCAGGTGTGGAAGCGGCAGCGACTAGGATCCATGGCATGACGTGGCATATGCTTCCGCACACACACCCGCCTTCTCCCTCACGCTTTTCATGCTATCAGTATTCGTGCCATGTCCATGGACCCACGGTAGCTTGCTTCTCGCCCTCCCCATGCCCCTCCCGGATATATGGGATTGGGATTTGTTGTTTCACTTTTATATAATTTTTTCCCCATGCCCCTCCCGGACCGCTGCCGCCAGGGCTCGCGAGCTGGAGGTGAAGAAGCTGCAGACGGAGCTGGAGCGGCGAGCCAAGCAGGTGATGGGCGCACTGGTGACCAGCACTGCTGTCAACGCCTGATTCCTCCCTGCATGGGCTGCATTGCAGGTCCTCTGACCAGAGCCTCCCATGCTCTTTGCATGCTTCCAAACTCTCCCCACGTGCCTATGCAGGGCACTGCCCTAACGACCCTGCTCGGTCTTGCCCCCCCAGCCCCCCCAGCTACCCGTTCAGCTGCCCTGCCCCCCTCTGCCCCCGCTCCTCCTCCTCCTCGCAGGTCTCCGAGCTGCACCTCAAGCTGGGCGAGGCGGAGTCACGCATCCTGCGCCTCAATGCGGACCTGCGGCGCTCACAGCATGCGGGCGCAGCCGGTCAGTCGCCACTTCCCTCCAGGTGACCTCCCGGCTATACCGTAGCTGCTACACATGTGTGTGCTCACATGTGTGTGCCCCTCGTCAGTCCCGTGACGCCTTGCCGGCAGCTGTGAAGGTGTCAGAGGTTAATTGGTCCCATTCCCGCGCTCGCTGGCCTCATATAGGGTACGCCACGACGGTTTAGCTCACGACGACCGACCCGTGGGTCCTTCCCGAGGCCCCGGAGGCTCCACAGACGCATCCACAGCAGCAGCGGAGGACGGTCGGCGCGTCTCTGCGGACCTTGTGGAGCGGTTGGAGGAGCGCTGCGGCAACCTGACGGTTGAAAACGGGTCGCTGCGGGGCCAGGTGGCGGCGCTGGGACGGCAGGTGGCGGAGCTGCAGCGGGAGCTGGGGGAGGCGCGGGCGGCAGCAGGTGGGCATGGGTACGGCACAGTTGGAGAGGGGTGTGTGGTAGCGGCGGGTCCTGCATGCTGACCAGTTTTGCGCGTTTCCTTCACGACACCAGAACACATGCAACTCCCTTGTTCCTAAACAACGACGTCTCTTACCCCCCCTCCAAACAGCTTACGCCGGCTCGGACGGCCCCACTGCCGCCGAGGTTTCGGAGCTGCGTCGGCAGCTGGACGCCGCTCAGCTGGCGCTGACGACCGTGCAGCGCTCCGCCACTGAGGCGGTGGAGCGCGGGGCGATGGCGGCGTCCGAGCACCAGCGGGCCATGCTGCGGCTGCATGACGAGGTGGCGTACAAGGAGGGGCTCAAGTGGAAAGAGCGGCTGGCGACACTGGAGCAGGTGGGCTGGGCGGTGGGGTAAGGAGGGGAGAAAGTATAGCGAAGGCATTCTTACCGGCTGCACGCCATAAGGGAGGGGATTTGATATATTGAGCTGAACACCCACACGCAACAGGCTTGTTTGCTTGCTAAGTGCTCGAGCTTCGTCGTTTGCCGTTGCTTTCCTCCTCCCCCTTCGAGTAGGAGCTCCGTGCCGCCCAGCAGCGCTGCGAACAGGCGGAGGGGGAGCTAGCGGTGGCGAGGTCGCGTGGGGCGGGCGCCTGGTCGCCTGAGGCCGCCGCCTTCGCTGCCATGGAGCGCCGGCTGGACGAGATGGCGCGGGAGATGGTGGGGGGGTGCCGCGGGCAATGAGTCTCTTACAGTGATGCTTGGCTACGGATTAAGTTACCTACTAGGCTTTGATCTAAGGAATCTCGTCCTGGTATCTGTAGCTTTGCCTAACGGCCGTGCGCTGTGCGGCGTTCTATGCTCTTCGCAGGCGGCGCGTGAGGCCAAGTGGCGGGCCGTGTTGCAGGACACGCAGAGCCTTCACGGCGTGCAGTCCGATGTGGAGCGGCGCAAATGGTGGGTCAGGAAAAGGGGATGTGCGGTGGTCCTAGTCCGCCCCCAAACCTGCCAGCCTCTACATAGTCGCCTAAGTCCCGGTACCGGCCCCACTCCTGAACATATGTCGCGCAGGGAGTCTGCTCTGGCCGCCAAGGAGGCGGAGGTGCAGGCTACCCGGGCCGAGCTGCAGTCGCTGCTGCAGGAGGTTGCCCAGGTGCAGGAGCTGCAGGCCAGGGCCGCGGCGGCGCAGCAGCAGCGGCTGGCGGCCAGGGCCCAGCAGCAGCGCTAGATGTGGTTGGAACGCATTGCGAAAGCCACGATGTTGTGATGTTACATGCATGTACGCTACCACGGGGCCCAACTGCCATGCGGGTGGTGTACACTCCGCCAAACATCAGTTGGAGAGCACGGAACATTGCAAGAGGTTCCGGGCGTCGTTAATGAATCCGGCATGCATGTCATGCGACATCTTGGAAAGGATTGGGCTTGGCAGTCATGCGCGATGTACATATACAAGGGCCCATCAGGCGCGGAGGGTTGCATGCACATAAGCTGTACATAGGCCATGCAGTTATCCACTGCTTGGTAGCTGCTTTATAATGCAGCCACACAATCCGGCACGTCGTATACGTGTAATGTGGTCATTGCTAGTAGCTTTTGCCACGAGGTCATGAGGATCTGGCTATTGGAGAATCACTGTAACCGTGTTACGGCTTGACAATGCTATGGCAGACAGCCCCGAGGCGCACGCCAATAAAAGATGGGGTGGAATGCCGTCCAGGACGCCGCATGCAGCTGGCCAGTACACATGCTTCCCTCCATTGCAAAGAGCAGCCCCAATAAACGACTGGGCCAGAGGGGTAGGTAGGTGGCAAGCACCCCACCATCCAGGCACCATCGTCCTACACGAACACCGCCCTAGGACTTCTCCTCCTTCTGGACGTTCTCATACACCCAATCCAGCAGCTCCCGTAGGCTGCAACCCTGCAGCTGCCGCCGCCGGAGCTCCGCCTGCACCCCACCGTTGCCACCACTGCGGTCGGCGGGCTGCAAGGCCTCCTCCAGCTCCCGCTGCAGGCGCGCTAGCAGCGGCGCCAGGTCCTGCGAGGCGCGCGGCCCCTGCATCTGCACCAGCCTGAGCCGCGTGCCGGGTTCCTCGGGCCACCAGAGGGGCACCTCCACCTCCACCTCGACCTTGTTGGGCAGCGCGCAACGCAGCAGCTCGGGCGACACGCTGGTGGGCTGCATCGGATACACCTCATGCGCGTCTAGGGGGATTGGGTGATGAGGGAAAATGCGTCCGGATTAGAGGGGCAGAGGTAAGACACGAACTGCCAAGTGCAGTCGCCAAGCGCACCCATGCCAGCATTGCATTACAGTGGACCAGCGTACCTTCAAGTTGCAGCTGCCGCCTGCACTGGCTCCGGATCCGCCCCTTAACGTCCAGCAACAACATGCTGAGCGCGTAGGAAGCATCCTTGCCGCCGGCATCCTGGACCGCCCGCGCCGCCCGCACGTCGCCTTCAACGTCTATCCCAGGTGGGTTAAGCGATGCGGTTCGCAGCAATGTTGATCCCGGGGCCTCAAATTCCAGGGTAAGGACGTGTTCAGCCATAACCACATCCGCCGCGCTGACCCGTGGGTCTTGTGATGACGACCCTGCTTCGCCGCCAGCGCTGCCCCGCAAAGACGTGAGACTGTGTTGTTCGCGGCCCGGCATGTTGCGCGGAATCGCTTGCGTGATGGTGAGGTGCACGCTGGTCGGGCCGGTGCCCTCCAGCTCTACGCCTGTTATCCGCGACAATACGGTGCCGAGCGCTTCTTGCCTGTGTCAACGGTTGTTGGCGAAATGCGCGAGGGCACAAAGAACCCATCAGGACAACTGCACCACACCAGACACCCAAAGCCGCCAACGCATGGAAAGGCGTAGAACACCATGGTGAGGGTTCACATACAGCATGAAAGGTAACAAGCCCTGCACAAAATGACATTGCGCTGCGCTTGCTGTTGGTAAACGGCCAGGCGCCACGGCATTCAGCCACAGACAACCAACCCTGACCCAACTCTACTCACGGTACCTGTTCAGTAGCTCCGCATACTTGGCGCCCTGCTTCTTCGCGGCCGCGTCGCACTCCTCCTCCATCGAGGCTACGACCTCCCGCATCTGCTGGAGACTTGCTTCCACCGCCGCGTACTCCGCTTGCTCCTCGGCCCAATTGGCGGCGTCCCGCGCCGCCTCCTGTTCCAGCCGCGCCGCCGTCTCCTCCTCCGCTGCCAGCAGCTTCAGCAGCTCGTCCTTTAGGCAGGCAAGCCAGGGAGCAGGTAGGGAGATGGGAGGGATGAAGAAAGATGGTAAAGAAAAAAAGCTACATGATGAGCCTGATGTGAGGAGTGGTTACATGACGAAGGAAGCGTCCGCAAGGAAGGTGCACTGGTGGCGGACCCAACCGCGGAAGGGTTAGAAAGGTCGCCATCAAGCAGCAGAGTCGCGCATAAACACACCGGCTCGCTTGAGGCGAGGCCTAGACCATCCGCTGCCGTCATACTCGCCTACCTCGCTCATGCCGGCTGCTGTGGGCTCCGGGTGCTCCAGCTGCGTCGCCTGGTACTCCTCCAGCTCCACCTTGATGCGCGGCAGCTGCTGCCCCAGCTGCCGTGCCAGGTTGTTGCCAGAGTCGTAATACGCGGTGATCTGCTGGATGAACCCCGCCATCTGCTGCTCAATCTGCGGAACGTGACGGGGTCACAAGTAGGCAACCGCACATGGCAGGGACGCCCAGCATTAAGGTGCTGACGGCGTGTGTCGTATCTCGTATGCTATTCTTACATCACAGAGTAGTGGCGAGAAAAGAAGCGCATCACTCACCACCGTGTTGTGCACTACACCGTACACTACACGCATGTGAACCTTTAACTCGTATGCCTCCTCTTTCCTTACGCCCAAGGGTTACCTACCTTGCCAATGGAGGCGTTGCGTTCCCTGATCTGCTCCTTAAGGGCCTGCACCGCCGTATTAGCGATGGGCACGTCCGAGGAGAAGTCATGCTGCAATAGGTCCTGGGGACTCCGGTGTTCCTTAATGCCTGAGGACGCAATACGTGTTCAGGCGGGAATTGGGCTCAGGAGCTGGAGACATTACCATGGGAATGAACTGCAATGAATCCGACCATTTCCACTTGGGGTAGTAGTCGTGGCACAAGGACTGTTTACTTACGCTCCAGGAACGCCTCCTTTTGGCCAACGATTTTCAAGTTTGCCTTTTGAGATTTCAGCTGGTTTTCAAGCGCCCGTTTGCCGCCTGTGGCGGCGATTTGGTCAAGGGCAGCTTTCCGATGGACGTCGAAGCGCTCCTGCAGAGCTCCATGCGCTTCCTGTACGTTGCTGCAAACAAAGGCCCATACATCTACTCGCATGTTCTCGGTTTGCTTCGCAGTGACCTCTCACGAACCGGCACAGACCCTGACCTTGCCAATGACGCCAGCTGCTCATTCAGTTCCCGCATGCTCAGGGGCATGTCCTTTCCTGACTGATCTCCTTGGCCCCTGGTTATGCCCATGCCGGGGCCTGAAGCGCGAGCAAGTACTTCTGACAAATCCTCAAAGACAAGATGCCTCGGGCGTATGTCCCCCATTGCGTAAATACAACGCAAGGAAGGTGCGAAAGTCGGCAAGTACAACCCCGGTTAAGAGTTACTCTGGGAGTGTTAATCAAGGCAGCTTCAGCTTCAGCTGTCAATCCGTGTTAAAATTGCAAGCCAAGCCTCAGGTGTCAGGTGATAGGAGAGCGTCCTAACCGATTGCCAGCTAGGAAGGAGCGTAGAAGTGCATCATAGGTTAGGCGCGGCCTGACGATATGGTTACCTACGGAACTGTTGTACAAACGTCACGAGGCTAAGGTTTTCAAGGAGGGCATGCAAGCGCTTTTAATACGCACGGTGTTCCGCCTTCTCCTCTGACATCTTTGATACGCACATTAACCGTCATCCTTCCTATGGGAGGCGTGGTTCGCCTTTCCCTTCCTCTAATAGTGTGGCCAACAACAAACAGTCTGAAAATAGAAGAGTCGTTATCGCTTCAATCTTCAAATTGGTAGGATGAATCCTGCAAGCTTTGCGCCTCCTATTCGTTCGCCACGGCCAGCACTATCGGGCGTGGGCAGCCCCAGCAGCACATGCGCTTCTTCCCGTCGCCTAATTGCACTGCGGTACCGGAACGCGTTCCAGCCGCCCAGAAGCCCTGCTCTGCCAACCCTGCCTTCACGACTGCACGTTGCGCCAAGCCCACACCACGAGCCATGGAACCAAGGGCGCAATATCCATACAACTGCGGCCTTTCATACATCTAGACAACCAGCATCACCTGAGGCACATGAGAGGCAGCACGAAGAAGAACATTCCTCGACTCAGGTCGGTTAGGTCATGTGCTTTCCACAAGGCCGTGACACTAACACAGTTCCATTTCATGCAAGGAAACGAACACTGTTTTGTTTTGGGGCTCGCCTTGTTACGTGTTGTTCATTTGGACATAGTGCGCTTCGGCACGTTAAACAGGCTCATTGCCGCCTTCCACACCATAATTAGTGCCCACAGATATAGCTAACTTATATATATGCAACTTGTGCGGTATCCTGTCCCTGCAGCTCATCCTCTTGTTGACACTCTCGGTGGTGCTGCTCACACTTCCTTGGGTTGTGGACCATCCGGCAACGCTCATGGTACGTGTTATGCTCATGACCTCAGCGGCTGCTTGCTAAGGGATGGCGGGCACTTTGTCGTGCTGTTGACAGCAAACCCTAATGATGTTATATCTGCTTTACAAACAGGTACCGGTGGCGCTCCTCATCCTACCCGTCACCTCTGGTGCTGTTCGCTCTCTTGTATCCGAGGGTTTCGCCTTGCTTTCCGGTGGAGTGCAGTGGTTCTGGCGTCACCGTAGACAGCCCAGCCATGGCGCGCCGCCTTCGCAGCCGGGGGTTTCACCAGCTCCCCCACGCAGGCCGCAGCCACCGCCCCATCATCAACCGCCAGCCCACGATGTGTATCACCCGGGCGCTGCTGCCTCCTCTTGGCAGTCACCCACTGGCCAAAGCTGCCCTGGCGTGCCGCAGCCTGAACCGCTGTACGTGCACGCCCGCCAGCAGCACCATCCGCCACCCCACGGTTCCGGCTACCATGCCCACTTGCCGACCGCACAAACCGCAAGCCCTCACCCAGCCGGTCTGGGCACACAGATGCAGGCGCGGGAGCGGCAATCCGCTGTTCGTCGCTCGCAGGCGGCGCTGCGTTCCATGCAACCCACACAGGCTGCCGCTCCCCAGGTGATTCGCCCGCTGTCCAACGTACCGGCGCCAGCACCAGAGCTCACCACTCCGGATCTTGATTTTGACTCCGAGTCTGACAACGAGGTGTCATCTTCTCAGGGCCACGGACACGTAGAGCCAGCGTTCCTCCGGCAGGACGTGGTGTTGGGCCTGCAGCAGCACACGTCATTTCCGCCGCAGCAGCAGCAGGGAATGTGCTACATGAGAGTGTCTGTTACGAACCCGCAACCTTCAGTGCAGCGACAACAGGACCAGGCCGCATGCACGGTGTATAACTGGGACGAAGCGGAAGAATGCACGCATCGGCGAGGCCATAGGCCATTGTCTGAGCTGTTGAGCAACGGCCAGTGATTACTACTGGGCATGAGCGTTGTACTGCATCAGGCACGGAGGGAGGATGACGTAAGTCGGCAACCGTTGTGTACAGCTCGCCACAGACGGGCTGGTTTGTTGCATGCCGGTACCAGGCCACACGTAGGTATGCTCCTTGACTCGACTGTAGATTCCGCGGTAACGTTTACTGATGACTGGCCACGTGCCGCCCTTCCCAGGTTTACGCATAGCAAGAATAATGCATGATGCATCGTGTTTAGTTGATTATTATTGCGAAGGGTTGAGTACGTTGAACGCGGCTATTAAGGGTGCGGCTATTGTGACATGAGCTACATGACAGTCGAGCGATGCGCGAGGAGTCTTACACTCTTGCTGGATTGGTTTAGGATGCGCTTGTTGCGGGGCAGATGCACGAAGTGGCAGGCGTTAGGACCTCGCCGGAACAGAAATTTTACATTCTGTTGTAGACTTGCGGGTAGTTTAGTTTACATATATCCACCGGGGACGTCCGGTGACGATTTTATGACGAGCCGGCCATCCAGCGTAGTGCAGGAGGAATATCCCTGCATGTAGTTTACTGCCCATTGCGGCGCTTGTGTTCCTCATGAGGGTATCTGCGGTGATGTCCCTTTGTATTCGCTTGCTGGACAAGCATGTGTGGGGGCCGGGGGTGCACGTCGATCCAGCCATCTGGGTAGTTCCACCAGCCGTGCGGGTCGCGGTATCCCGGAGGTGCCGCCGGCGGTGCTGGCGGCACCGCTGGGGACTTGGACTGCTCGAGGGGTTGGAGTTCCTCGAGGGGTGCGCAGTCCGACCATGGGGCGTCTTGCGGTTCACGTGACGCGGAGTCATGGCGGTGCGGTCGGGGCAAGCCCCCGCCAGGGGGGGTGCTGGGATGGGTGCCTGCGGACCTCCAAGGCTGCTTCTGGCCTAGGCTGGGGCTGACGCTGCGAGGCCTGTTGCGTGGGTCGAGGGGCGGGTGGACACGCCATGTTTCAGCTAACGTAACATGTAATATAGGAACTGCTAAGACCGGCCCATTGGCGCAACGCGAAAGAAGCGACTACCCACCAGCCCAAAGCAGCAGAAATCCCTCAGCCCCACCTGCTGCTGCTGTCAGCCTTCGAGCGCAGCGTAGCGGGCCAGTGCGCAGCCGACTCCATGGGGCCCTGTCCCGCCGCATCACCGCCCCTGCGCTCTGCACTGCGGGAGCGACCGTGACCTGCTTGATCCCTCAGCCGCCCGAGGTCCGTGGCCGCATCCGTACCGCCTGGAGGCATGCCGTACGCACAGAGCGCCGCCACCGTTGCGTCTCGTGCTGACAGGGACTTAAGGCACCGGCACAAGCTCTCCACATCGCACGCGGTAGGGTCGACCTTGACCGGGGACTTGCCCTTCTCAAGGACGGGTTGATCTGCCGGCCGGAGCGCTACGCCTCCCGACTCGTCTGCAACATGCTTGTGCGGGGACTTGGAGTGCGATTTCCGCGGGCTGTTGTACACGCCTCCCTGCGCCGCCGCCGCACTGCCGTTGCCGCCGGCTTTGCAAGCCACGATGCCACGAGCCCGCTGTGAGTCCATGGCGGATGCGGCCGCCGTGCAGACATGCGCTGTCGCACGCAGCACGTCTGCCGCGGCCTCCGGCTGCTGCGCAGGAGCCACAGGAGCCCAGGCGCACAGCGGCTGGTCCCGGCACTGCAGCGCGGCTGCGAGGCTGGCCAGCAGGCGCGGCGAGCTGAGCGGGGAGGCGCTGGAGGACTTGTGCGGCTCTTTGGTTCGTCGGCTCTTGTGCCGTGGCGACAACGCAGGTGGGTCGGCCTTGTTGCTTGATGGTACCGCAGCGTTGTTCGCAGCCCCCGGAACCAAAGGTCGGAAGTCCCGAGGCGGCGGTGCGGCTGCCGGTGGCGGTGAGGCCGAGCACGAGCGCAGGGCGTCACTGTCGGCACCGCTGATGGGCCCGATGCCGGCGCCTCCACCACCTTGAGTCGAGACCAAAGCCTGAGTTGTTGCATATTGCAGGGCCGGACAGTGCGGAATATGTTCTGTGTAGTGCGCGCGCAAAGGTACTAATAACTGGAAATCTGGAAAGTACCAATGGATGTCTCGCGGCCCCCCCATCTGGGACACCTCACCTGCAGTGCAGCTCGCGCCCGTTTCCAAGCAGTGGCGTAGCGCCATGCGGTGTACTGCCACGCCTACAGATCCACAGGGAACACGGCAAGGAATCAGCGCAAAAGAGAGGGGCACGGGTCTGCATGTCATACACTGCATCGGTAGCGGAGGTAAAGAAAAAGGAGTTCAAGGTGCTAAGCGCCATGTGCATTACCCCTCACCGCGGCCTCCGCCATACGCCCATTGCTGACAGCCACCACGCACCTGCACCTGTTCCTTGTACTTGGCCTTCTTCACCCGCCACCGCTGGTGATGCATGTGAAGTGCGGCACGCAGCGCGTCCGCGGCCGCAGCGTCCTGCCCAGCGTCGCCCACAGCAGCCACGGCCGAACCATGACCACCGCCGCCCTCCACAGCCATGGCATCAGCAACCGCAACCCCAGCCACCGGCGCAGCTGCCCCCGCGGCGCTCCTCGACCTCCTCCTCGCCTCGCGTTCATCCTCTGCCGCTATTATGGGGCTGGTGGCAGCCTCACGCAACCGTGGAGAAGCCACAACCGAGGGGCCAGCAGCCTGACCGCCGCCGCTTGCCAGAGGGCGTTGCGGCGAGGAGGGTGCTGCTGCCGGGGCGCTGATAGCCCGCTCCCGGGGCCGGTACGCTCCAGAATCTTGCAGCTGAGGCTGCCTGTCCGTTTGAGCGCCCGACGGGACCCCAGGCTGTAGCTGCGAGCCCGCTGCAGGCAGCGGCAGCGACAGGTGCTGCTGCTGCTCGCGCGCCTGCAGCGTGGAGAGCTGCTCCAGCGCCGCATCTAGGGCGCGCTGCATCTGCACCTGCAGCCGAGTGCTCTCCAGCAGCTGCTGCACCAGCGCATCGTTCAGGCTGCGAACCGCCTCGGGAGCGGAGCTGGAGCCAGGCAGCTGCGTGGATGCGACCAGAGATGCGTTACTCCGCGCGTCGCTTGCGTTGCCTCCGCCGGTAGTGAACCTGTCTGCAGCAACAGCAGCAGCAGCACCTGCGCCCGAGGCGGGTGGAGCAGTTCCCACGGTCGTACGGCGCCGCTCTCGAGCCGCCGCCTCCTCCGCGGCCGCCGCAGGGGGGTTGTCATGCGGCCCAGCAGCCGCAGCCCGTGTGGCTGCCTTGCGTTGCTTGCTTCCCGCAGCACCTACAGCAACACCTCCCTCTGTCTGCACGCGACGTAGCAGGCCCAGCAACGCGGAGGCTGCCGCCGCCGCTGCGCCTCGCGCGCCGCCAGTCTGCGGCGAAGCACCGGCTGCAGCACCCCACGCCCCAGCGGCCGCTTTCTCCTCCGCCTCCAACTGCGCATGGCGTAGCAGTTGAGCAGCCAAGTACTCGGCGTCCAAGCCGTTTGGAAGTGGTTCGAAACTGGCGTCTGCACCCTCGTTACTCCGCACGCCCCCTCCTGATGCCGTTGAACGCCGCTGCTCCGCAGCAAAGCCCGGGAAGCCGGACGACGGCCCCGCTGCTGCTGCTGCACCTCCGCCGGAGGACCGGCCGGCTTGGCGTTGTCGCGGATCCGCACTCGGCTCCGCCGCGCCTCCCTCGGTAGGTCCGGGGTAGTACCACCGCCCATTGGACGCACCGGCTGCTGCTGCGGTCCGGGAAGCCACTGGGTGGCCAGCGGGCTCACCGCTGCCACCCTCTGTGGGGCCTGGATAGTACCACCGGCCATGGGGCGCCAGCCCTGCCGCTGCCGCCGGGTTGCCGGCGGCAGCGACAGCAGCAGGCCTCGCCTGGCGCTCGTTTGCTGCTTCACCAGCTCCGCCCTCTGTGGCACCCGGATAGTACCAACCTCCTCCTTGCCATCCAGAGGCGGCGGCGTTCCCATCCGCTGCTACCTCATCCTCACCCGGGGCTGCCAGCTCGGCTGCACGCCGCTCGTCTGACTCACCGCTACCTCCACCGCTGCTGCCGCCTCTGACATGGCCATCTTCGTCACGTCCCCTCTTGCTCACATCGCGTCCTCCACCACCACCCACGCCGCCACTCTGCGTGCTCCGGAGGGCGCCCAGGTGCGACAGGGAAAGGCTGCTGGCATCGCTGCCGTAGGACATTGGGGACGTGCCAAACGCAGGGGACCCTTGGCTCATGCGCTGCTGCAGTTGCTGTGACTGCGGCTGCCATTGGGACGGGCCCAGTGGTGGGCGCGCAGCAGCAGCGGCGGCGGTGTTGCCGTTGGTTGACGATGGCGGCAGCGGCAAGGATGGGGGCGGCATGGATGGGTCGAGCAGCTCGGGCAGGGGAAGGTCGTGCGCGACGGCGTGCTCCAAGATGACCTGCGGGATGGAAGAACGTGGGACGTTGTTGTCAGGGTCTTACCAAATCCGGTGCACCGCCTAGGAGCCCATAGCTCTGAATCCTAGATAAGGCGAAGAGCATTGAAAGCTTACGGCTCCTGTACAAATACAGCCTGGCCCCGAAGCACCATCCAACCGAAAAGGTGAAGCACTTGCCTGGCGCACTGCCTCGTGGTGTTGCGCCAGCAGCTGCCCCAGGGCCTCCCGCAGCGCAGCACCGCGTTCTGCGGAGCTCCTGCCAGGCAGCTGCCCAGGCTTCGAGCCTGCCGCTGGGCCGCTGGAAGCCGTTGCCGGCCCCACCTGCCATGCAGCGCCTGCATCAAGCCCCCAAGCAGCCCCCACGTCTTCCTCGTGGCCCTTCTCCGTAGGGCCTTCCTCGTAGCCCTCGTTCCACTCAGCGGCCCCTCCGCCCCGTGAGCCCTGGTCTGCGGACGCGCGGAGCGCATAGAAGGCTCGGTCCAAGCGCTGCGGCGGCAGAGGCGACAAGGCGCCACCACCCCCACCACTGCTGCCGCGGGCTGCTGCGGCGTCCAAAGGCTGGCCTGGATGCAGCGGGGCCGGCTGCGGTGCCCTCTCAAACGGAGTGGGCATGGCTCCCTCCCTAAAGTACCCAGACGATTCCACACTCTCCATGCCGCTGCTGCTGGCGCCGCCGCCACTGCTGCCGCCTGGGTACGGCGGACGGCCAATCGGGTAGCGTCCCTCAGCCGCCCCTCCGGCCGGGCCACGCCAGTGCTGCTGCGACTGCGGCTGTGGCTGTGGCGGCCGGGCCTGAGGAGGACGCGCCACGCCTTGAGGAGCACCACCCTGTGAAGACACAGCCGCCGGCTGCCTCTCCGGGCCACCCCCCAGGCCACCTGTGGAGACCCTGCTGGAGCCCGGATGCGCTGGCGGCGCCGCGGGCTGCGGGGCCTGCTGCTCCTGGAACTGCATGGCGTAGTTCAGCAGCTCCTCCAACGGGGCTGAAACAGGTGGCGGGGGGCCAACAGCAAGGCCGCCTGGGTCTGTCTTTGCAGCACGTCTACCTGGCACCTGAGCCGTTGCCGCCGCCGCAGCAGCTCCTTGACGGAGGAGTGGGGAGCTCTGCCTGGTGGGGTCGACGGGCGGAGGCGATCCAAGCAGCGGCCCCACTACCTCCTCCCAGTGGTTAGAGGATCGCAGCCTGTCGGGGGAGAGGGCGAATTCAGGCCCAAACAACCCGCCGTCCATTGAGGCAGCCGGGTCTGCGGTCCCTCGGGCATGCGACTGGCCTCCCGCACTTGCACTGCGAACAGGCTGCTGCTGCTGTTGCGGTTGCTGCCAGTGCGGCTGGTCACGCCCGCCGATGGGATGGTACGGCGGCACAGCCTGCTGCTGCTGCGGCAGCATGGGCCCAGCAACAGCATATGAGGGGGCGGCCCGGCCGGCAGCCGCTGCACTGCGTTCGGGGCTGGCGGGAGCACGGAGGGCTGCTGCTGCGGCGGCGGGCGGTGGCAGCGGCTGCCGGTCCCCCTCGTCCGCCACCAGGTGGGTGGGACTGAGCGCCACCAGCAGGCGACTGGCGCCCTCCGCCACCGCCGTGTACTGCCCTTCCACAACCAGCCGCGGAGGCGACTGGGGGGCCTGCTGATGCGATGGCGGCTGCGAGTGCTGTGGGGCTTGCGGGCGTGGAGGCGACTGCGGCTGCTGCTGCGGTTGCGCTCGTTGGCGTGGTGAGGCGTGCGTGGAAACAGGCAGTGAGCCGCGGAAGCTCGTCGTCGCGGTGCCTGCCGTTGGTTGCAGGCTAACCGGCCCCGCGACAGCTCGTAGTACCGGCCTGCACGGAATACGACACAAGGTTCAAACGGGTTGCCTAAGCCCAACGGCAGTGCCGTAGTGCAAGCCTAGGAGAGTCGTCGCATGCGATTGAGTACCGTGCGAAACAGCATTCTGCACCCGCATGTAGTTTTTTAGATGGCAAGGACGAGGCAAGTGACTTTGACTGCACGGGGTAAACAGGGCTCATACCACTGTGTGGCAACCTTTGACTTTGCGGATAATGGTACTTTATGCCCATTGTAAGTACCCCGGGTTCTCCCTAAAGCGATGCGAAACAGGGCACCTTTCCAGTTTTCATCTTTACCTTGGTCCTGGGGGCTCTCCGCCCGCGGAGGAGCCGCCCCTGCCTCCAGCCGTCGCCACCAGCGGCACTACGGTTGCTCGAAGCCACCGACCCACATCGTCCGCTGTGCAGCGGTACATGGGGCGGGTGGCGCCCGGTATGGGCTCCCATGCAGTGGCGTCATCCGCAGAAGGCGGGATAACAACCCTGACCTGTTGGTGGTTAAGGAATATGGAAGGGCACGTATTTGGTGGCATGGATGGGGCGTGCGGTTAGAAGTGTTCCGGGAACGGGGTTGTGACGGGCAACACTAGAGCGTTGGACCTTGAGGAAGCGGCTGTCGAATAGTTCCTGCTCATGGGCATATTTCCAGGCGCAAAAGCATCCCAAGCCAACAAGCACTCACGGCTCATCGTTTTTACTATTGCGCAGCTCCATGCATAATAATGGAAATGTATTTGCGACGGTGCTTTTCTGGCATGAGCACCCAGATAGAGCCCCAGATAGAGCAGACTCAAGTACCGGTACCGTGGTTCGGTGAACCGCAGGCACCGCCGCTAGCCACCTAGTTGCAATCCTAAGGCGAAATGACGCATTGCCTACCCTTGCATCTGCAAGACTTCGATGCCAGGTAAACCGGGCAATGACTTTGGCGTCCTGAGGGTTCCCTGAGGTTGCACATGAGACGGGGTTTGAGGCAATATTTCACTGTCTGGCAGCCGACATGGCCTTCGAGGGACAAGCGGAAACAGCTCATGCGTCTACGGACATACCCGCTAGTCCCCTGATGCTCCGTGCGTCTGCTGCTGCGACAAGTTCTATGCCAACGAAAGGCTCGCCAAGAATACTAAGTGGTGAAGCCATGACGGTAGTTACAAATCCATTCTGGCAATAAGAGGGAGATTCCTTGCGAGACTCCTACGAGTCGTCGAAATGCCACCGGTAAAGGTCAATCAAGTACTCGTTGACTCCACGACGGGTGTTCCTCACATGCTGTGAGTATACCATAAAAGCGTCTATGCCAGAATCGTAGCAGCTAAAGGAAGACCTTTGCAAGCATGGTGGACAGGAAGGACGATGCGTACGACACGAGGCGTAGAGCTTAAACATGCGATAAAGCTCGGAAGGATTCACAGGTTGACGCCTTGCAGGTAGCTGTTCCCGCTTTCAGACCACTTAACCATGCCTGTCTTCAGCCGCTACTACAACGTTGGCCTCCTGTGCGGCATCGCAGCTGCTAGCGGCATTTCCATATGGTGGTATAACCGCGAGAGCATCTACCTGCGCGTTAAGTCTGACCTTGAGAAGGACAAGGGCGCCGCAGCCCAGCACTGAGCGCACCTGCTCGGTGCCGAAATGCCTAAGCGGAAGCGTACACAAGCGGGCGGCGAATCACAGGCTCCGCTTGGCAAGCCTGACAGGCAACCGACGGAGTTTGAGGAGCGCCTTTACCAGGTGAGGAACGTATAACTTTGCAGGAAGAACCAATCACGTCTATGGGCTAAGCATTTATGCCAACGCCTTCTGGCATGGCTGCAGCTATGCAAATGTATTCCTGCTGGCAAAGTATCCACGTATGGCGCAATGGCAGCTGTCTTGCGAAGTGCCCCACGTGCAGTTGGGCAGGCAAGTGTTTGTGTGCGGAACTAGCAAGTTTGTTGCGCTTTTCCCAATTATGAGCGTTTATTGCTACGTGGTATTGGGAGTTTGCATGGGAGGCCTATGTACGTTTCTGGTTGGTGCAGGCTCTCAGGCGCAATCCGTTCGCGCCTGTGGTTCCCTGCCACCGTGTCGTAGCGGCGGATCTAAACATTGGAGGCTTTTCTGGTGGCTGGGTGGGTACCCACGATGACGTCCGGGCACAGTTCCCTCGAAACCCTTTCCAACACCCCGCTTCCATGCCCGTTTGCCGCTACGCAGGGCATTTCGGACCCGAAGGTGCAGCGAAAGAAGAAGCTGCTGGAAGATGAAGGGATTGAATTCGACGGTTCAGTGGTGCGGAGCGCTGAGTTTGTGCTTGCAGCTGATGAGCTGAGGAGTCTCCTTGCTGAGGCCGTGGCTGCTAGTGCTCCCAGCGGGGGAAAATGAGAAGGGGGAGGACTATATTGGAGTAGGCAGGGTGGCTTCGTTGCGGCATTCTGGTGGGTGCAGTTGGTGTGGCCAAACGCACACACCTGCAACGTTTCTTGGATTGTAGTGAATAGGGACGTGTGCGTTCGTCGCAACAAAGCCTGGGGGTCTAGTTACCGCTATGTGTGTCGGGCAGCTGGACACAACACTGACCCATTTGAGTTGTCCGGGCCACATGTAAAACACGTCATGCATGCCTCTTTGTCCTGAAACCATCCGAAGCACAACGCCCTCTTTCCTTGGCAATACTAACCCCTGGATTACTCCAACCTTGAAAGAAAAAATATCGACGACGGCACATACCTATATACCACTATACTATGTTACCGATAGTGCCACACAAAATACCATGCAATATGCGTATTTCGCCATTGCAGGCCCGTAGCAATGCACAGCTGGACAAATCACATACCACCCTTTTGCGGGTTGTTCGGTTTGCATGTCGTTGCACAACAACGTCCCTTGTACCACAGCAAGGAACGTCATCCACCACAGCCGAAGGACATGTGTGCCAGTGACGGGCAGACGTCTGAGTCACATCTCAGACGCGCCTTTAGCAATCCTCGTTATAGATCGCACATCTACAAATTAATGCTGCAAGTCAACAGAGATCAATGTACTAAAAGGAAGTCAAGCACAGCTGCACATGCATGCTTAGTCACCATCATATAATGCTAACATAATCAACGGATACCAAGCAGCCTGGGCACGACACCCCCTCACGGCGACATGCCAGTGACGGGGGCCCCACGAAACACACTAAGAGAGCGATGCACCGCCATGCCTCGCCGCACCTGTCCCCGCCCGCTAGGTGGCGCCGCCACCGTTCCTCCACTACTCACTCCCGCCGCACTCACCACACCGCCACCACCACCAACTGCAGCACCAGCGCCGCCATTACCACCACCCACACCCCCACCGTGCACACCGCCACCTCCTTCCGGCCCCTGCGACTTTGCCCCATGCGCGCCATGCCCCTGCGTGCCTCCCCCTCGCGGCGTCAGCGACATGGGGGTCACCACAAAGGCCATCTGCCGTACCGGGAAGCCCAACGCAAACGCCTCCGACAGACTGCGCCTCTGCGGCGGCATGCCCCTGCCGTACTGCACACCCGAACCCGCCAAGTCGGCTGGCATGAACTGACGACTAGACGCGCGGAAGCCGCCAACATGAGCATAACCAGCGCCAGCGGCGGCAAGTGCAGGTGGCTGTGCCAGTGGATAGTCGACAGGGACGGTGCTTGCGAGGCCGGTGGCGGCGGCCCCGCCGCCGCTTCCGTTAGCGCCGGCTGTCGAGAGACGCGACGGCTGCGGTCCCGTAAATGACACGGCATTGCGAGTCGGGTCCTCCGCAGGGACAGGTGGGCCGCTGCGGGAGGTGGGTGAGAAGGACTGCGGGCGGGCGGCTAGGCGGCGCTGCAAGCGCGGGGAGGGGGAGAGGTCGTGTGAGGCCACACTGGTCGCCCCGCTGCTGGGCTCTGCACCCGGAGAGTGAGGGCGAGGGCTGGGACCGTTGGGAGACTGGCTGGGGGCAACAATGGCCGGCGGCAGGGGACCTGCAAGGGATTGCGGCAGGTCTCCTCCCGCGGATGCTGTTGGGGATGGCCTGAGCGTGCCAGCCGCCGTTGCCGTGGCAGCAGCGGCGGCTTCCTCGCCGGTTTCCGCATGGGGGTCCGCATGAGCGGCGGCAGCAGCAGCCGCGGCAGCTTCCGGCGAGTCTGGTGCTGCTTGGGACTCAACGGACGGATGAGACGCCATGGATTGGTGGGATGCGAGGGATTGGTAGGACTCGATACCGGTAGCCGCGGCGTCTCCATCCGCTCCCTCCGCAGGCGCCTCAGCTGCCGCAGCGTCCTCCTCCCCAGCAGCCTCCGGTGTGCCGGCACCCCCCCCTTCTGCAGGTTCTTCCTCCTCCGCCGCCTCCGCCATCCTCGCAGACGCCTCTACCTCTGGCGCCCCCTCTGCCTCTGCGGCTGCGACAACCTCCTCATTCGGCTGCCCTGCCATTCCGTCCATCCCACCAGCTTCCGTATCCTCCGTACCCTCAGCCTGCCTTGAACCTCCACTCCCCTCCTCCTCCACCATTCCTTCCCCTTCCCCTCTCCCCTTGACCTGCCCATTACTTGCTGCCTCCTCCTCCCCCGCCACCTCCGCCGTCGCCTCTGCTGCCGCCGCCTCAGCATCCGCCGCAATCCCAGCCACCACTCGAACCATCTCCGCCGCCACACCCGCCTCCGTCAGCTGCTGCTGCCCACCACCACCACCACCACCACCACCACCACCACCACCACCAACCCCCTGCTGCTGCTGCTGCTGCACCGCCAGCATCTCCTTCTCCAGCGCCGCCTCCAGCATCTCAGCCACCAACGCGTCCACCGAGCTGTTGTGAGACACCAGCTGCCGGCTGAATCGCGCCTTGCCCATGCTCTTCTGCCGCCGATGCCGCCCCTGCTGTACTCCACGCACGGGGAGAGCGGGAGCGGCGGCGGCGGCGCCACAGTCGCCCTCGACGGCGTCCATGCCGGCGGCGGAAGCGACTGCGGTGGCGGCGGCGCTCCATGTCCGAGCCGGATCTCTCGGGTCCGGTCGGCGAGTCGTCGCATTGGCGTTGGCATTACTAGCGTTATTACCAGCAACGCTAGTAACGCTACCATTGCTGTAAATTACAGCTGGAGAAGCTGGCCGGGAGTTGATGGCGGTAGGGGAGATAGCTACGGCGGCGACGCTGGTAGAGCCGCCGTTTGAAGCTCCCGGTGATTCGCCGCCGCCTCCGCCACCTCCGCTGAGTCCTTGCGGGGTTCTCGGCGACGTTGTCTGCGACAAGTTGCTGGGAGCAGGGGGCCCGATGATGAGCGGCCCAGGCCTCAAGAAGGAGGCAAAGCCGCCACCGCCGCCGCCACCGCCGCCGTACCCCATGCCGCCAGTGTAGCTGCTGCTTCGTAGAGCTCCCACCGTCATTGTGATATCCGTCGGTCCAAGTGCCGCCGCCAGCCTTTCGCTAACGGACCAAGAGCCCGCGGTGCCGCCGCTGCTGCTGCCGCCACCGCCGCTTCCACCGCTCTGCTGAGCGCTGCGCACGCCGCTGATGCGACCGGCGCCGCCGCCGCTACCGTTCATTTCTGAGCCCACTGCCCATGCATTGTACGGCGTATATGAGAGAGATCCCATGTACGATGTTGACGACGACGCTCCGAAGCCATCCAAAGCCGCCCCCGCCCCCGCCACTGCGGAGGAGGAGGTGCGGCCTGGCGCTGGGCTGGGTCCGCGTTGCGGCAAGGAGCTGGTCTGCAGCTGGGATGGCTGTGTGCCTGGTACGGCAGCGCCGGCAGCGGGGCTGGAGCAGCGGTGCGGGAGCTGCGAGCAGGAGGTGGAGGAGGACTGCGCGAGCGGCAGGCCGGAGGAGCTCCCGGCGCGCCTTGCTAGGGAGGTCAGGAAGAGGTGGTTATGAGTTGCCAGCTGCGAGCGAGAGGACGAGGGCTGCAGCTGAGTTGAGGAAGAGGAGGAGGGAAGCAGCAGGGAGGTGGGGCCGGCGCCGCCGCCGCTGCTGGATCTCGAGCTGCCGCTGAGGGGCCGCGGCGGCGGCGAGGGCTCGATAGTGCCGGCGGCACCGGCTGCGGCGGCGGCGTCGAGCGGGTCGGGTAAGGTGGCGGCAGCGCCCTCTCCTGAGCCGCTTCCCGTGCCCGACCGGCGGCTGTCGGTGGTGGCGGGGGCGGGGCCGGGCTGCTGTCCGCTGGTGAGGCGTGCGGGTGAGGCGGATGCGGGTCGCTCCAGCAGGGCGTTAATCATGGTACCCGGACCCAGACCCCAGGAGAAGTTGATGTCGGAGGAGCGCAGCCTGGGGGGCGGGGTGGGGGCGGGGTGGGTGGGAGGGTGGGTTGGAAGGGTGGGTTGGAAGGGTGGGTTGGAAGGGTGGGTTGGAAGGGGTGCGTGGGTGGGTGGGTAGATGGGAGGGGTTCGCTGTATTGGAGGTCAGCGAGAGGGGTCGGGCAGATTGGGGAGGAATGGCAAGTGGAAGGGACGCTGGAGACCCAACTGACCACCAGCGCCTGGCAAGTACCACCACCCCCTAGCACCCTAGCAACCCCCCAAACACCCTCCTCCAACACCCCAGGGCAGCTCCTCACCCTCCCGCCACCGCCACCGCCAGGGGAGCTCCCGCCTTGGAGGCCCGCCGCGCCAGCCCCGCCTGCTGCTGCTGCTGCTGCTGGGGGTAGAGCCCCCCCGGCAGCTGCCCCCCACCGCCCCCAGCGGCCTGCGCCACGCCCCCGCTGCTGGACACAGCCATGGACGCAGACCTGCGCGCGGAGCCGCTGAACAGGCGCCCGCCGGTACTCAGGATGTCCCGCACCGCCGCCGTACCGTTCACCCCCGTAACCCCCGGACCCCCGCTAGGAGCCAGCAGGGCCCCTGGGCCTTTTGCTGCTGCGGCGGCAGCAGCCGCCGTCATAGACCCCAGGTTGCCGCTGACCAGCATGGCGTAGGGAGATATCGCGGCGGAGGCGGAGCCGCCGCCGCTGCCGCCGCCGGAGGTGGCGGCAGGGCCTGCACCTGCTGCACCTGCACCCGCTCCCGCCACTGTTGCCAGCCCGCTTGCAAGCACCGCCTCCACCCCGGCGCTGATGGCACCCGGCACCCTGCCGCGCAGGTCCAGCGGCCCCACCCGCTGCGGCTGGCCGTTCAGGTGGCGCAGCTCGTGGCCGCGCAGGATCTTGTCGCGCAGGCTGACGTGCACGGGGGCAGCGCCGCTGGCCTTACCGCCGCCACCGCTGCCACCGCCGCCAGCTGCGGCGCCGACGTGCTTCTCGGTGATCTTAAGCTTGGCTTCAGCTACCTGGCGTAAAGCCTGGTGTGGAGATGAGGGTGTGGTAGGGGTTGGGACGGTGCGGTTGTTGAGTAACGGTAGCGGCGGGTGATTTGGATGGTGTTTGGTGCATTTTGCATGCACCCTATCTCTTGCGTTCTTCACGCCTCCCTCTCCGCACACACCTCCTCCACCTCGCCCCTCCCCTCCCCTCCCCTCCTCCTCCCTCACCTCCAGCTGCACCCCCGGCACCCGGCGTATGAAGGTGCTCCTCCGTATCTTGTATGCCACCAGGTCGGACAGGCACAGGATGGAGGCGGTGCGCTTGCGCACGTTGGCCAGCACCGTCATGTCACCCACGATGTTGCCGGGGCCGATCAGACACACCTATGTTTGGGGTTGAGAGGGGGGCAGCAGCCGGGGCAGGGGGATCAGGGGGACAGCAAGGAGATTAATTAGGAGGCGGCAGGCATAGGAGCGACAGGAGCGGCAGGCGGAGTACGGGCACAGCTTCCAGATGCGCAGCTCATCCTCCCTTCCTCCCCCACACTCCCCAAGCGCCCCACCCACCCACCCCCCCGCACCTGCATGGCCTTCTTGGGGTCCGTCTCCGCCGGCTGCCCCCCCTCGGGCCGGTACCCGGGGTCCACCAGCACGGCGCACTGCCCGCTGGCGAGCGCGAACATGGAGTCGGCGCGCTCGCCCTGCAGCACCAGGTACTCGCGGGAGCGCAGCTCCTGGGGGGGGGGGGGAAGCGGAGGGGGAGGGGGGGAGCGGAGGGGGAGGGGGGGAGCGGAGGGGGAGGGGGGGAGCGGAGGGGGAGGGGGAGAGCGGAGGGGGAGGGGGAGAGCGGAGGGGGAGGGGGAGAGCGGAGGGGGAGGGGGAGAGCGGAAGGGGAGGGGGGAAAATTATATAAAAGCGGAGGGGGAGGGGGGGAGCGGAGGGGGAGGGGGAGAGCGGAGGGGGAGGGGGCGGGGTGGGGTTTGATACCGGTAGGAGGTGGGTACTCCGCACGAGCTGGCTGGTGGTGGGTGGGGTGAGGCGGGTTGGGATAGTTTTTGGGGTGTGAAGGAGGGGGAGGGTGGGAAAAAATTATATAAGTGAAACAACGAGTCCCAATCCCATATCCCGACTCATGCATGGAGGGTGAGGGTGGGAAAGGTAGAGGTTAGAGATAGAGAGTAGAGTGGCAAGGGGGCTGGGGGGGTTGAGGAGCTGTGCAGCGGGGAGCAGCCCGCCCCCCCCCCGCACCCACCACTTGTGTGAAGCAGGGCGCCAGCTTGCGCAGGGTCTCATCCGGCAGCGAGCGAAACACCTCCAGCCGACCCAGGAACTCTACCTGCAGGGGGAGGGGGGAGAGGGAGAAGGAAGAATAGGGAAGATCTAGTTCAGAGCGGGGGGGTGATCGGGTTAGGGGGCTTAACACTGGCATGCAGGGGGCCGAGGGGTACACACCGGTACGTTCCTACTCGCGGCCAGTTTTCTTAACACACCGGTACATACACCGGATGGCGGTGTGGCGGGCCGGTTGCTTGCGCCTGGACCATTTAGGGCTTCGCCCCATGCCCTCCCCTTCCCACTCTCCCCCCCCCGCACCTTGTCCTCAAAGTCGGGCTGGTGCAGGTTCTGCAGGTGCTTGCGGTACAGCTCCGGCGGCACGCGCAGCAACAGCGCGGAGGCGCAGTCCCGCCCCGCCTCCGCGCGCTGCGCCCGCCGGCTGCCCGACAGCAGGTCCTCCTCGCCGAAGCTGTCGCCGCGACCCAGCCGCTCCACCGCACCGTCGTCTGGAGGGGGGAGGAGGAGGAGGTAGGTGAAGGAGGTAGGTGAAGGAGGTGGGTGAAGGACGTAGCGGTAGGACACAGCAAGCTGAGTAAAGCGCACGAGGATATGCGATAAGGGTAAATGCCAGTGACTATGGGAAGCAGCAGCAAGAACACCCCACGAAACCCCAGCGCTCAGCCCCTCCCACCCCATCCCACTCCACCCACACCCGCCCCACCCTCCTTCTCCTCCTCCTCCTCCTCCTCCTCCTCCTTCCCCCCATCTCACCCCCATCCTCCTCCTCCTCCTTGTCCCGAAGGTCGTACAACACCACCTTGCCGTCCACCACAATGTAGAAGCCGTCGGAGGGTTCGTTGATGCGGTAGATGGTGCCGCCGCGTGGCACCTCCAGCAGCTGTACGGCGGTGGAGAGGGCGTGCAGGGCGGTGGGACCCGCGTGCTGGGTGCGGGGCGCGGAGGCCATGAAGAGGGCTAGACGGTTGTTCTGAGGGTGGGAGGGAGGGGGGCGGGGTGGAGGAGGGGGGAGGGAGAGGGGTGGGGTTGGTGGGATAGGGAGGAGGCAGGGGAGGAGGAGAGATAGGAGGTACGGGGGTGTAGAGCAAGTGTGGGAAATGAGGGGGAATGGGAGAGCTTGGTGTCAACAGGAGTGTCATGAGTTATCAGCAACTTATCTAAAAGTCATATAAGGGTAGGGCGTTAAGGCAATGGGCCTGAATAGAAGGTTGTGCTGACGTTGGAGGATGACATGGCTCTCCCATCTGAATTCCCACAACTAAGCACTGCGAATAAATAGGCTAGCTCAGCGTTATAAACGCATGTAGGTATGTTCATAATAAGGTATTTGGCACGGGTCTAGCTCATTGCTAAAACCCCAGCCATCTATGAAACATCCCATTAATGCATTGTCGGGATAGGCCACGAAAACGCCTACCTGTGCGACTGTCCTCCTGTTGGGAGGCATTCCAGCTATGTGTGCGAACTCTGCCCTCTGGGCAGCTGCGGTTGCAGCGTGCCTTTGCAGGATGGCTTCCCTGGCCGCAACCGCGGCATTTTGGCCAGCAACAGCGTCAGTGGCAGCCGTTGCTGCCATCGAAGCTGCTGACTGCTTGCTATTAGGCATCATCTCAGCAATTGACACCTCCTTTTGACTCTTCCCTCGCACGACTCCTCGTGCCCTTTACTGCTGGCGAAGGTTCGTTGTCAGCTGGAGGGCTAAGAGCGCCAGCTCTTGGCCTACCGCTGAGCCCATCTTCAAAGCCTTTCTACTGATGCTAAGTCGATGCGTAAATTACAATACCCTGACTTGATACAGTAACTGCAACACTCCTCTCGCTCTTCGGCCTAAAACCATAGTCCGAAGGTAGCAATTTGTTAACAAGTGTTGGCTTTTGCACTAAAGTGCGTCACTGGTTCCAAGAAGGTAGGAAGGTTTAACTTACGGTGCTGTACTGTCACGTCACTGTGTGAACACAGTCGTCCAATCCTACCTCGAGGCAGATAACAGTATGCAGACTCTACTATGCGCGCCTCATCCGCGTACCAAGAATGCCTGTTTGCACAAACTGCGACCGCATACGGCAGATAACCTTTCCGACTTCACCGGGCGAAACATGGCCACGCGTAGCCATGCAACTTCACATTCATTATAACACATGGACGAGCGTATAGTGCTTCCATTTTCACACTTGTCACACCGCAGCGCACATCCTTGCTGTCCTGACGTCCACTATAGAACTGCCCTCGCGCGACCAGCAGCAACGAAGAATCCATAGACGTGCCTTAGACGTCATTCATTGAACAAGATACACAATTTGTCACTCGGCCAAGTCCTACATCGCTCCTACCTGCTCGTCCATGCTTTCATGGCGCTCCTCCATACATCGCATCACAAAGCTCTCATTTCCTTGCTAAATCTCTACACTCAATCGTCATCAATCACTGGCTCCCATCGGTCCCATTCGTCCCAACCTCAACTACCGCCCCAAGCAACACCTGCCTTTTTTCCGTATCCCCCTCCAACCTCTCTCCTCCGCCCTGCCCCGCCTCACCCTGCTGTCGCCCCTCTGCTTCCGCCAGCTGCTGCTCCTCCTCCGCCTGCTGCCGCCCCACTGCCGCCGCCTGCTGCTGCTGCGGGCCGTCCTCCCCCCATATCAGCAGGTCCGCCCGTCTGCGCGTCACGCTGCTCTCCAGCTGCTCCGCACGCATGCCCGCATAGCGCCCCTCCGCCCAGGCCACACACCTGCCAGCAGCCGCAACCCGGGGTGGGGGGGAACATCCCTCTACTCGTCAGTTACCGGATATCACCTGGGGAGCCTTCACGGTGCGGAGACTTCTTTCTGGATGCCATGCTCAGGTCATACATGCAGCCTCATCCACATCCGCCTAGGTCGATGTCGCACGGCAGCACGTATGGCCCCGCGCACCCCCCACCCCTACCCTGCCAACCAGCCCCCTACCAACCACAGGAGGCGCCCTCCGCCCTCCCCCTCCTTGCCGCCTCCGCCCTCCCGCCCCCTTGCCGCCCGCTCCCGCCCCTTCCCGTCCCCTTCCCGCCCTCCTTCCCGTCCTTCCGCACCTCTCCAGCATCTTCTCGAACAGCGGCATCCCCTGGAAGAACTCCTGCCCCGTGAACTCCTGCAGCGGCAGCCAGCGGGCTGCCGCGATCTCCGACTCCTGGCAGCGGGGGGTGGGGTGGGGTGGGGCAGGCAGGAAGGACGGGTGGCAGGCAGGCAGGGTGGGTGGCAGGGCAACGAGGATGAGAAACGCGGGCGGGGGGCCGGGAGGGGTTGGTAATGGAGGGGAAGTCGAGGGAGGGCTAAGTGCCATGCCTGGAAAGCCCAAGAAGAGGGAAAAGAGGGCTGGGAGGGAGGGGGGCGGTGGGCGGGCGGCGGTGCCGTGCGCCATGCTTGCTCGCCAACCGCACTGCACCTCTGCCGCGCTGGGACGCCCCGCGCCCCTCCCTCGCCCTCCGCCACCCCCCCGCCCCAACCCGTTCTCGCCCACCGCCAACACCCTGGCACCACCTCCGTACCCGTCCCTGCCCCTCCCTCGCCCCCTCCCCGCCTGTTGTTTCCTCTCCACCCCCGCTCCAGTTGCTTCATTTTTCACCTGTTGTGTCCCCCTGCCCCCCCTACCCTCTATGGCTCGGGATGATCTTCGACCCCGCCTACCTGCGGCACGGGCTGCTGCCCCTCGCGGGTGGGCCGCATGCCCACCACCACAAACAGATCGCTCTTGCCGAATGCAAACCCGTGCGCCTGTCGTAGCGCCAACACCGCCTCCACACGCGCGGAGATGCCCTGGGGGCGGGGCGGGAGGGGTGGGGAAAGAGGAGGGAGTTTGTTTACGGTGGGGCGTGTTGGTGTGATGGGTATTTCGCCTCTCCGTCCCTGCCGCCCCTCAGTGGGGATCGTCGCCAGGGGGCAGGGGCTATGCTCATGCTTCCTTCCTTCCTCATTCTCTCCTCCCCCCACCCGCCTCACCGTCTCCTCCATCAGCTCCCTCTCCGCCGCCGCCGTGATATCCTCCCCCGCCGCCACCAGCCCCGTGGGCATCTTCCACACGCCCCGCCCCCGCAGCACCCCGCTGCGCTCCTGCACCGCCAGCACCCGACCGAGGGAGTCCACCAGGAAGGCGCCCACACCCACCTGGGGGGCAGGGGGGCAGGCAGGCAGGGAGGGAGGGAGGGAGGGAGGGAGGGAGGGAGGGAAGAACCAAGTCATGCCGCGGCATGTAGGGTACCTGGCGATTATCGTTTACTATCGTGCTATTTGTCGTTGTTGTCGTTTTAAGCGAAGTGTGCACTTCGGGAGGAGGAGGAGCTCAAGGGCCGAGGGAGGTGCGGGCTCGGGAGACAGGGAGGAACACCGCCGCCATGGGAAGCACCACCTTTCGCGTGTAACAATACCCCTAGAGGGACCTCCCTAACGAAGTGTTAATCCCACTAACACCATGGGGTATCAGCATGTCGTGCGCCCGCTGGTACCCAGCGCTGCCCCCCTCCACCTGGTGCGAGGCATTGGCGGGCAGGGTGCAGGGTGCGGAGGTGGGCAGCCAGCGGGTCAGCATCAGGTAGTCCTGAGGGGGGGGGGGGAGGCGGGGGGAAGGCGGGGGGAGGAGCCAGAAGGTGTGGACACGGGAAGGGAGTGGCACAAGCCAAGGGGTTGGGGCTGGGCAAGCACTTCCGGCTCTGTTTACCCCGCACCCCTCGGCATCCTCCCTCCCCGCCCACTTCCCCTCCCACCCTCTCTGCATGGTGGTATTCGAAGCCCTGCTGCACCGCCACCGGCACCAGACCGCTCTGAGCCGAGTCCAGCCGCAGCCACACGCCCCGCGTGCTGCCCGTGCCCCAGGCGGCCAGCGAGGCGGCCAGGCGGCGGCCGAAGAGGGCGGGGTCGGCGGGCAGGCCGGCGGAGGAGATGATTTTGCCGTCGTAGTGGTCGTCGTCGGCGTCTAGGAGGAGGGCGGTGGAGTCTGGGAGGGAGGGAATGGGGAGAGAGTGAGGGGAGGGACATATGTGGAAGCATAACGCTTGTTGCTAGAGGTGAGGACGGCAAGGAAATTGATGAAGGTACTACGAGCAGGTTTGTAACAGGAGAAGGGCTGGGTGGGAGGGTGGGATATACTGTCGCGCAGGACAGCTCGTACCGTGCCTCGCGGCTGCCTCATCTTCTGACATTAGCACCTCAGGCCGAGTGCAGTACCTCCTTATGTCACGGCGACAGCTAAATACAGCAGGCCTCCTCAGTGGATAAGCACGACGGCACAATGTGCTAGTGTGACTCTTCAGAAGCTGCATCTACTGGCGCGCGGATGGCTCGCGTAATGCATGCGGTTTGGCAATAGTGACAGGTAGGCGGACAAATGCACAGTGTAACACCTGTAAGTGTAAAAGCAGTTTTACTATCAAGTTTTGCTGTGCGCTCGTTAAGAGGGCTGGCCGTGCATAAAGCAACAACCTGGCAGTTAGCATTGGATTCTACCAGGCCAGCTGCCAGTGATGTTGCAGACTGTTATCCACACACACACACCACTTGCAAGCATTTAAACACGTGACTAGATGGCTGCTTTATGGTCCAAACGTCTGTCACTTCAGCGGCCACCCGGAAAGCTTTCACTTAGCAAATACGCATAGCTAAGCAAGATGATAGACATTGATATATGGAGATTAAGAACGACAGTATTGCTGGCGGTGCTGCTCCTGGCCACAGCTCGGCAAGTCACTGCCATCCTGCATACGGACCTCTTCAACGCTAGCAACATAAATGTGAGGCTATTGACCTTGCTTGCGTCCCTATGTCCACGTTAACAAAATCTAACTTGATCATCCTCGATGACCTGGTACCCACGAGCTGCTTAGCCCCATCCCTGACCACGCTGTAACATGGCTCCACGTGATGCCGCGCACCCCACCCAGGACCCCGACCTGCACATCCGCACCCAGCTACCCGGGGTGCAGCGGGCCACCACTGAGGCGGAGCTTGAGCCCCTGCTCACGTGAGATGGGAGGGAAAGAGAGCGGGAGGGCGGCGGGGCAGGCAGGAGGGAAGAAAGAGCGAAAGGGACGCGGACGGGGGGCAGCTCGGGGAAGCAAAACAGGATGCGGGGAGAGTCCTGCGCTCAAGGGAGTAAGGGGGAGTCGGAGCCAGGGTGCCCTGTCCTGCAGACCAGTGGAGCCCCGGCACTGCACCACCACCTGGCCTACACCAGCCTCTCCCTCCCCACGTCTCCCGCCCCCAGTGACAACTTGGAGCCCGACCTGCGCCCCTGGCGCCAGCTGGGCCGCCCGCTGCGGTGCCGACGCGAGCTGCTGTCGCTGCTGCACCAGATCCACACCGTGTGGCCCGCCTACCGCCGCAACTTCGTGGCGCTGGTGCTCATCCGCAACAACCGGATGAGCTGGTGGGCGTACCCGGAGGCACGCGGTTGGTGCACACGCAGGGTGGGGCGGGGGAAGCTGGGGGGGGGGCGGGCGGCTGGCGGGCTCTCCGTATGCCGCCCCTGCGTTGTGTTCCCGCCGCTGCACGTCACTCATGCACCTTTCGCTCCCTACTGCGCATAGGGTCAGTGGCAGCCCTGCTGCACAGTTCTATTTGAACACACCCCTCTTCTGCGCTCCCTTTCAGCCATTGGGACCCCAGCTGCTGCACTTCTCGTTTATGTTTTCCTCCATCCGGCTCTCCATGCGCCTCCCCATCCGCTCCCCCTGCAGGTCAAGACCATAGCGGAGCAGTTCCACTCCTTCATCGCCTCCGCGGGCATGCGCTTCCCGGACGTCATCTACGTCATGAACGGCTACGACAAGCCCCTCTGCGAGCGCCAGCAGGCGACCCATGGGTCACCGACTGGCGCCACGTCAATCTCAGCTGCAGCTGCGGCCAACTCTCCCAACTGCTCGGCGCCCGTGTTTTCGTTTGACAAACGCTGGAACGCCAGTGCATATGCGGCCGGTCTAGCCGGCAGCGCACATGACGACATCCTGCACCCCGTCATGAACCACCCCTTTGAGCAGCTGATAGACTACCCCTGGGAGAAGAAGATTGAAAAAGGGTTCATGCGGGTAAGGAGGGCTCCCCGGTGTTGAAGTGACCCATAGGTCGGTCATGGGGCGGGGTGTGGGCTGAGGGGCAGCGGCAGCAAGTTCCGCCGCTCTCCCCTGACCCCAGGGTGAAGCTCGTCACACAGCCTCGTCAGTTTCTTTCTCTTCTTTCCTCCTGAACTTCGTTTCCTCTCTCCTCCAGCTCACTTGCTGCATTCGTCATTTATCCCCCCCCAGCTCGTTAGCTGCCTCGTCAGTTTCCTTATTCCCCCTCCCCCCCCCGTTCAGGTGGGTGTGTACGGCGCCATGGCCGCCAATTGCTCCCGCGTGCTGCTGCAGCGGGTGGGGGGCAGCCGCGAGGGGCGGCAGGTGCTGGATGTGGGCATATACCAGAACAGGCACTGGAAGGTCAAGGTCAAGACGGTGAGGGGGGGCAGCAGGGCGGGAGGGAGGGACACCGGGGGGCCGGCAGCGGAAGGCGGCTGGTAAGCTGGGTGCGCGGCTATGCTGTTGTGTTACCACACCTGTGTGAAAGGTGCCACCGCCTGACGCATCCTGTCGCACCCTCACACCGAACACCACGTCCCCGCCCTCCTCCCCGCCCTCCTCCCTCGTCCCCGCCCTCCTCCCTTAGTTGTTTGCATTTCTTATATAATTTTTCCTCCCTCTTCCCTCTCCGCCTCCCTCTTCCCTCTTCCCTCTCCGCCTCCCCTCCTCCGCCTCCCCCCCAGGTCCCCCCCGTTCCCATGGAGCTGCATGCGCGCTGGAAGTACCTGCTCAACACGGACGGGCAGTCCGCCTCCTGGCGCCTGGCCAAGCTGCTAGCCATCAACTCGGCGCTGCTCAAGTACCGCTCGGATGCCATCGAGTACTACTACAGGTGGGCAGCGGGGGCAGGGCAGGGTAGGGCTAGGGTAGGACACGGCAAGAGAGCAGGGGGTAAAGAGGAAACAACTAACTGACTGAGGGAGAAGGCGTCAACATGGGTTGCAACATGTGAGCCAGCCCGACCCGCCCAACCCGAATTAGTGAAGCCAGTACGTGTAATGCACTTACCAAAAAATGAAGACTTACCGAAGCCAGAGCGAAGAGGGATAGGGAGAAAAAGAGTAGCGTCGCCAGTACATCGAGGTAGACAGGGGGTAGGACAGGAGGGCAGGGGGGTAGGGCAGGACACAGCAGCAGCTCTCGGTTGGCAGGGGGCGGCAGTGTATACACAGGCAGGACGGAAGCGACGGTTAGGTACAAGGAGTGGCTGCCGGTCGCAAGTTCACAGCCCATCTGTGCATGCGCCCCTCGTTGCGGTTGCATGTGGCGGCAGCGGGGACGGTGCGGGTGGCAACTGGCAGGTAGCTTTCCTCGCATGAACGGTTTGGGTTCTGCTTGGCTGGCCGCAGGTCGCTGAAGGAGGGCGAGAACTACATCAGCTTTGACCACACGGATGCCATCCAGGTCATCCGCGGCTTAGCGGGGCGAGACGCGGAGCTGCAAGCCATGGTAGCCCGCAACCAGGCCTTTGCCTTCCGCTATCTGTCGCAGCACTCGCGGACGCTGTACGCCAAGGTTGCTTTCGAGCGGTACAAGGCGCTGTTCTCGGACATGGATGATTTCATAAAGCAGGTTCCGGAGAACTTTAGCATGGCATGGTTCCTGCAGGAGAGGGAGCGGCTAATTGCGGGGAGCACTGGAGTTCAGTGAGGAGTACTAGGGCGAACGGGGGGTTACTTATTGGGAGGAGAGGTCAAAGGGGAAAACGAGCTCGCAAGGTTGTTGATTTCGCTTGCATCGTGCATCGACCCCGCCGATGCATTGTACCGGTACAAGAAGCGTTGCGCCCATCCGATGCTAACTGAACAATGAATGCGATACTGTAGAATAAGACGAGCTACCTACACGGACGGACGCAATTCATATTTCATAACCGTGGAAGGCGGACGCGATGGCTTCCGTTCCCAACGTCCTGCCGACACTGCGCTTCCTCTTGCACCTTGCAGCGTTTGCCCAATTAGGAGTCTTGACTAGAATCGTGGTTGGAAGACTTTTTGGAGGCTCGTGTGCCGGCATCGGTCGATGGAATTGGGCGCCTTGTGTTACTGGCGCGGGCATACTAAAGCCAGGCGGCGCGCTGTTTTATGATTTTCCATCAAATGTCCTTGGAAGTTTCATCATTGGGCTGCTAACCGCCGGTAGCGTCCTGACGACGACCTACCCGCAGCACATCGCGCCGGCTGAGATTGCAAGGCTACAGCTGCTGTTCCTGCACCGCGACTCCAGTCTACAGGGTCATACCGACTTGCAAATTGGGCTGCGGACTGGGTACTGCGGCTCCTTGACAACTTTCTCCAGCTGGCTACTGCAGGTATGGCACATCAGCGAGCAGCGGGTCCAATGGCAGCAAGCGTAGGCAAAACCCTTTATGCAGGCACTTCCAGGCTTTATCGCTACATCCTGCCATGCTTTATCTTGTGCGGAGGTGCCGGGCGCACCACGGCCTTCATGCCTGACCTCCATCCATCACAACCTGCTTCCTTGCACCGTAACACTCCTACCGGTACAAGCTCCAAGCCCCGACGCTCCCTCACCCTCTCTCTCCCCCCTCAGGTTGTAGAGCTCATGGTAGGCGGCTCCTCCCCCGAGAACCTGCGCGGCTCGCAGTGGGTTCAGGGCCTGTGGGCGCTCTTCCTGGGCGTTGCGGGTCCCCTCACGGCGCTGGTGGTGGGGCAGCACACCGCGCTAGCAGCAGCCGCATTCTGGCACGCAGTCAGCAGGAGGTGCGATGCGTCCGCGGATGCAGCATCCGTCGACACGGCCAGCTCCGGCAAGGGAATCGCCAACCGGGACAGTCTGCTGGAGGAGGAGACCTCTGGGGAGGAGGGGAATGGAGACCAGCTGCACCCGCCACCACAGCAGCAGCAACAGCAGGGGCAAGGGCAGCAGCAACCGCAAGCACAGCCATGCAACCCCAGCATCCTGGTTATCGTGGACAACAAGCCCTCCTCCGCCGCTGCAACTCCTCCTCAGCCACCCCGGCTGCAGCCGCCCCTGCCGCCCACCCTGCGTGCTCCCCGCCTCTACCCAGCCGACATCCTCGCCGACGTCCTCGCCGCCGCCGTGTGCCTCACCCTCACCGGCGTCTCAGCCGCCTACATCTACATTGACCGCAACGGCTCGGCCTCGGAGGAGCGCCGCTTCTGGTGGTTCGCGCTGCTGCTGGGGCCGCCGGGCTGCCTGCTGCGCTGGTACCTCTCACGCTACAACACCCTGCCCGCCAGCTGGGGGCCGAGCTGGAGCTGGCTGCAGCTGGGCACGTTTGCCGCCAATGTGGCCGCGTGTGCACTCAACTTTGCGGCTCAAGCGGTGCTGTACCGGCTGGGGGGCAGCAGCAGCAGCAGCAGCGGCGGCGGCAGCGGGCTGAGTGGCACCCAGCGTGTGGCACTACTGGGTCTTATGGTGGGCAGCGCGGGCTGCCTGAGTACGGTGTCCACTTGGGTTGCGGAGCTGCAGAAACTCTCCCTGACCGCCCCCCTGGCCGCCTACAAGTACGGCGCTGCGAGCCTGGTGGTGCCGGTGGTGCTGGGGCTGATTGTGTACGGCATACCCGTGTGGACGGCTTGATGCGCCTCTTGTGTGGAGGGTGGCGGCTGGAGGAAGGGGGGGGGGGAAGTGGGGGCTGGGCGGGAGGAGGAGGAGGAGGTTGGAGCGCCGCAGTGTGACGCAGCGTGGGGCGAACATGCAGTTGCAGTTTTGAGTTTATACTCGTCGGCTGCGGCCAGCCATCGTCTTGCCGTAATAACGACGCATGGAGGGCTGTTGAATAAAAGACGGTTCGGGTTGGTTCGGCGCAGGAAGGAAGAGTGCATGCAGCACGGGAGGAAGGAAGGAGGAAGGGAAGGGGGTAGGGGGCAGTTATTCGGGCGCATGCATGCATGCAGTGCGCGTACGGCTGTTATATCCGTTCGTAAACCAAGGTTTCACCTCGCAGCATGTTGCATTCATCTCTGTGAATCGACGATAGTAACTTCGGCGCCAGCAGCGCATCTTGGTTGACACCACTTGTTGTTATTATTGATTTCGCGTCTTACTGTGACGGTACGGCTGCTGTGTGGCAGCGTGAGTTAAGGGTGTCGTACACACGGCTGCTGCCGTATGGGAGGCGGTGGGCTGGAGTCGTAGTGAGCAGCAGCAGGTACGACGGATACGGAATTACGGATACGTGTATGACAGTATATGTGTATCATGCACGCTACGCCTCCTGCCCTCACCACAACACAGTGATTGACTCTTACGCCGCCTGACTGTTCGGTCCGTAGCCCTGTCCAGTGCAGCCATGCCGCAGTCCCGTAACGTCTGTGTGCCTGACCGGCCCTAACGCCCTTCCTTTCTCTTCCCTTCTGCACCCCACAGGACGGCGAGCCTAGCGGGGGCTGGCAAGGGTTGGGTATGATGGAGGGAGGTTTCATTCTGCGCTTCCTACATCCAGCACTGGCGTTGGCAGCATGGCAATGGGACCCGTCAGCTCGCAATCGAGGAGCGCATAGCATAGGGGTGCATCGCTGGGGCTCGCAGGGGCGGAGTCTATTGGACCCTTTTGACGTCCCACAAACCTACTCGCATGTTGCCAACAAATATCGGGAAATGCTGTCACTTGAGCGACACTAGTAACGCGGCGATGATGGCCATTCGTTCGGGCCTTTCAGTAAAGATTATTGGTGTGTGGCGGGGTACTTGACAACTGCTGATGTTCCCTAGCTATGTTCGTGAGCTGGTAAGTGTATGACACCGCGTCACGTCTGGTCTCAAGCATCGGAACCATGTTATAATATACATTACTGCGTGCTCAACGATTGGGGTGTGGTACGGCACAATGCTGCCATAACAACGGTTTCGCTTGCGGCACCGGGCTGTACGGATGCCAGCCCAAAGCAAGACATGTGGGATCATCTTGTAAGCGTCTGAGAAATGAGATACGTCTTCCTTGGCTGACGCTGCATTACCCAAGGGTTGGGTGCCCGGACGGGCAAACATGACGCACGGTTTCCGAAACCCACGCATACCAGGTAGCAGGAGCCTGGGCCTTCTCCGATCTTGGAGCAGCTGCCATCCAGAAAAGCAATCATGACTCACATCGGACCACCATGCAACACGTCCTCGCGTGCGGCAGCAGGGCAACCGTACGGCGATGTACGACATCGTGTACTGCAACCTATCGAAAGGAGATGCTTGTACGACACGCTGCCAATAAATCCAGCGCTCTTGCGACACACGTCGCCGTGCCAAGTTGTTGCCTAACCGACCCTGCTAGGCCACGAGTAATATCCAGGACATGCTCACTGGGATGCTGCACGCAACAACTCGGGACCAACACTCTCCGCTCCTGTTGACCCCTCACTGCGCCTAGCGCGCCGGCACCCAAGCGACGACACCAAGAGGCGGGCTTCCAACACATCAGGGGCTACTCCAAACTGCCGCCATCCAAGCCAGCCAGGCAACCAAGCCACGCATGGCTCCCCTCACTTCGCGTGCACCGCAGCAACAGCCGTTGCGGCCGTTGGGCAGCCCCGTTGTTATCCCGCCAAACGCCACAGCCTGTCAGAGCCAGAGCCCGCTAATGGCTTGACCCTAGAGCTGTGGACGGAGCCGCTCTCACGCCTGTCTGTCTCTTCAAACAACACTAACTCCTTCTGTCACCAACTTTCTGCTGTTAGGCATACTCTCAGGTCCTACATCTGGAAGCGCTTCTCGCGCCTGCCACCTACCGCTTACCACCTGCACTTCCGCCTACTCGTGTATCCATGCAATAAGCGCCCACACCACTGGCTCCCCCTTCCCTCCGCTCCGTTCTACCACGTCCCCCGCACCCGCACCCACCCCTAGGACCCGGTCGCCCCTGCCGCCACCTCCATCCCCTCAGCGCCGCGTTCCGCCACCCAAACCCTCGCCGTGTTGTCCGGGCTGTGCCCCCCGGACGCAATGACCGGCAGCGAGGGGTGCACATTCACTGTCAGCACGGGGGCAATGTGGCCGCTGCCGCTGCTGTTGCTGCCGCCGCCGGCACCGGCATCACCACCAGAGCCGCTGGCTACCTCCATAGCTGACGGTGCGGCCCCAGCTGCTGCTGCTGCTGCTTCTCCCAAGGCTCCTGCTGCGCCCGGAATGCTAGCCACGACATCTCGCCTGTTCATGTCGTACACGCAAATGCTGCAGTCCTCGGATCCAGTTACGATCCACTGACCCAGATCGGTGATGCAAAAGCCCGAAGTCATGCAGTACTGCTTGTTGACGTGACCGCCTTCGTACGTTTTCACCGTACGACCGCGTTCGTAGTCCCAAATGCGGGCGCGGTTGTCGAGCGTGTTGCAGAGCACGTACTTGGCGTTGGGGCTGAAGGCGGCGAAAGAGACAGGCGGGCTGTCGCGATCAAACAGCGTTTTCAAGCAGTGCCCGGTTTGCGTGTCCCAGAGCCGAATCAAGCCGTCCAGGCTGCTGCTGACGAGCATGGAACCGTCGTAGGAGAAGTGCACAGCGGTAACCGGGTCGGAGTGCGCCGGGACCTCTCGGAGGCATTTCCCGGTGCGGACATCCCACAATCGAAGCGTCTCGTCGAAGCTGCCGCTGGCAAGCAGGTGCCCCGCGAAGTCGAAGTTGCAACAGAAGGCGAAGTTGGTGTGGCCTGTAAGCGTGCGGAGGCAAGCGCCGGTTTCTGCGTCCCAGAGTTTGAGGGTGTTGTCATCGGCGGCCGTACACAGGTAGCGCTCGTTGGGGTTCCACGCGACGTCCGAAATACCACCGGTGTGGCCGCTAAGTGTTGCAACCCGTGCGCCCGTCTCTAGGTTCCAGACGCACGCGGTCCTGTCAGCTGAAGCGGTCGCCAGCAGCTTGCCCGATGGCGCGAACTTAACGCTGGCGACAGCCTTGCTGTGGCCGGTGAGTACATGCTGGCAGCGAAATTTAATATTGCTTTCTACCTTAGCCATGTTCGCAAGTTCTCAGCCTACATGTCAGCCAGTTTGGAAGAGGCCGAGTTCGCGGCAAAGCGAGTGGGGCAGAAGGCCCCTGACAACGTTCGACAAAAGTGACTAAATGAAGTCAATGTCAGCGGCAACTTGGTTAGGTGGAGAGCGGATGTTTTATTAGCGAAAAGGCAGGTCTTAGGCGAAAAAGCGGTAAACTGCCTGATCAACGTGCTTAGACCCGTCTGTATGGCTTTCTGATAAAAGTCAATGTATAACGGTTTGCAATCTAGTCATGAACGCTCCCAAGCCCTAGAAGGAATGGTAGTGCTATGTGCGACAAACCGCTTCCGTACATTGCACTCCTGAACAAACCGTTGCAGCCCAACCAATGCAGCCTAACATCGCCGTAAATGTGGTAGTCCAGCTAAATAGTGGCATCCGCAAAGGCTCTACGGTTGCTGATACCACCCGCCATCCCATCCAACCCAACCCAACCTTGTACAGGGAAGGGCACCCTTAGCAACAAAGAAACACATACACAGACTCATGCCCTCCAAGTATCGATCTCGTGTCTACTACATCACAGTGCTCACCACTCGTCGAAAGTATTGCCGTTGACTCCCAACCTTGTTCCAGGCCCTCCAGAGGGAGTGCTCGGCTCAGCACTACTTGGCCCTATCCTCTGCTCTGCTAGCCATTGATATAGCTCCCTAAAGCCGCTTTTTAAGGGCCTTTCCAGCTTCTGACTCGGCCTGGGCGTTGACCTGCCCTCGGTCATGCGTCTCATGGCGCGCCGCCGGCCCCATGCTACCGGTATGCTGCCTACCGTAGTGCCCACTTGTACTCGTGTTTGGAGCGGGCTGCGTACTGTCCCAATCATGCGAGCCGCAGGGCATGGGTAGCTTTGTACATGCCATGCAAGATGCGTTGCAGGACCCCGTGATGGCACGTGCCTGAGAACCGCCTAGGGCCGCCTCTCCCCTCTCTCACTTCCTCCGGGTTGGAGGATGTCGTTCGTGTCATCGTGTGATCCCTGGTCCACGGTAGACGGACGTCCATACCGATATGCTACTTGTTCGGAATCCTCAAGGGGCATTGCCGTTGAGCTTGGCTTACCGGTGTGCTGCCCATACGGTCCACTAGGTTTCAGTGCGTACGACAGACTTGTAAGACCGTCAGCGTCCCTTTCACCAGTATCTGGATGTTAACTTTATCTTAGTGTATGTAAACTTTCGTAAGTGCTGCTGTCTCACCCAGACGCGAACCCACGTGCTCAAGGCAACCGCTCCATACAATGGCTCTTTGCACAGTTTCACAAAGCACAGCGACAGTGAGCTGTTCCCGTCAACGTTGTTGTGATCGAACAAGTTTGGCGAGAATTGGTTGGAACACGAAGGGTTGGGCCGCCGTTCCTTGTCGAACGAGCGTGCGTGCGCGAACTGCGCACGCAGCGTTGGTTACCGCTCCAACGGCGACAGAGCCTAATATTCCAATCCCTCAACATGGTATTCAACCTGATGCCACAAAGCTCGTTGGCAACACGCCAATGGTGAGCTGTCTTAACCGCTCTTCGGCACGCAGATGCGTCGGCGAGAAGTATTCATGCATCATCCATACACGGATAAGCATGTGTTAAGACGAAATAAAGGAACTGTGGCTTATGTGCTCCCCTGGCTTGTCCTTCCATCCATCCTGTTTTGGCATCCGCAGGTCTTCTTGAACTCGGTATCCAAGGGCTGCCTCGCCCGCATAGCTGTGAAGTTGGAGAGCTTTGAGCCATGTTGCAGGTGCGGCGGTCGTAGCTTCCTCCTTGCGCCGGGCTCTTGGTGCCCAACCTTGGTCCCCGCCTCTCCCTTTGGCCCCCCTTCCACCTAAGCGCCAATTTCAGGCAACAACTACATATTAAAACCCCACCATACATACCATCCACTGTCGCCTTCTCCTGCTGCCGCAGCGTCAAAGATCGAATCGCACTGAGCATGATCGAGCGAGCGGAGCAGGCGGGGCAAATCAAGCCCGGAGAGACAACCCTGGTGAGCGCAACTCTCGGAAAACAAACCGACGGGGTCCGAGCGAGACTGTACGGCAGCGTTGCTCTCGCGCAGCCCCCTGTGGGCTCCTAACATCCCTGTAGCCCCTTAGCCGACGACACCGTGTTTCCGGTTCACCTCGACGCTCCTGCAGCATTGCTGAGCGTGCCGTACAACAGCGCAGAGGGATAAACCCCCGAGTAAACCTGTACTACTCCTGACCAGGGGGCACCCGCAGAGCGCACCACGTCCACCTCCTCCCTCGGCTCCCTCTCCGCCGTCTCTCCTTTTTCTCTCCCTTTTATCCATTCGCTGATTTCGCTCCCACGGCTTTCAACACCGGTTGTTGCCGCCTTCCTCACCAACCCGATCTCCCCCCCCCCAGATCGAGCCCACCAGCGGCAACACCGGCATCGCACTGGCCTACGTTGCCGCCGCCAAGGGCTACCGGCTGCTGCTGACCATGCCCGACAGCATGAGTGTGGAGCGGCGGGTGCTGCTGAGGGCCTTCGGGGCGCAGCTGGAGGTCACACCGGGGAAGATGGTGAGGCGGGGGCTGGGCAGGGGTAAAAAACCGGTAAGGAAGCTGATGGTGAAAGGGGTAAAAGTGAATGGGGAAATTGACGAGGCAACTAACGGGCTGATGGTGAGGGGGGGCGCTCCCCTGACTTTTTCACACCCCTCTGCATGCGACTAGGGGGGGCCGCTCCAGTGCTTCACTGCTACTCTTGTCCCTCCCCTTCCCACACCTCATTCCCCCGCCCTCGCCCCCTCCGCCCCCCGCCTCCCCCGCTCCCCCCAGGGTATGACGGGCGCCATCCAGCGTGCCGAGCAGCTGCTGGCCGCCACCCCGGGCGCCTTCATGCTGCAGCAGTTCGACAACCCAGCCAACCCCGCCGCGCACTACGCCACCACGGGGCCCGAGATATGGCGCGACACGGCGGGGCGGGTGGACGTGTTCGTGGCGGGGGTGGGCACGGGGGGGACCATCTCAGGTGGGGGACGGGTGGGCACGGGGGGTGGCGAGGGGCGTTGGCAAAGCTGTCCGCGAACGGAACGTACGGGGGTTGAGGGGAGGTGCGCGCAGGAGTTTGGGTGGGAGGATGTTGGGTGAGGTGGTGGGGTTGGGCAATGTTCGGCAACGTTCCTCCGCTTCCTGCATGGCTGCCCGCTCGGTACACCTAGCGCAGCCAGCTGTCTAACGCCCTGCCTCCCCCCCCCTGTCAGGTGTGGGCGCCTACCTGAAGCAGCGGCGCCCCGGTGTGCAGCTGGTGGCGGTGGAGCCCGCCGAGTGCCCGGTGCTGAGCGGCGGGGCGCCCGGGTACCACCAGATCCAGGGCATTGGGGCGGGCTTCGTGCCGGGCAACCTGAGGACGGAGCTGCTGGATGAGGTGGGGAGGTGGGGGGGGTGGGGGCGGGGGGGGGGTGGAAGAAGAATTTCCAATGCGTTGAATGAGGATGCAAACCAGGGGGGCGGGTGGATAGGGGTAAAGAGGAGCTAACTAGGTAAGCGTGTGATAAGGTTTCATCATGGGTTGCAAGAAGGGGGAAGGTGGGGGAGAGTGAGGGGATGATGCATGAGTGGTAGAAACACGTTTGGCACACATGGGCACATAGCTTACAGCCATTCCATGGGCATACCACCCTCCACCTCCCCCCTCCCCCCCCCAGGTGGTAAAGGTGAGCAGCTCGGAGGCGGTGGAGATGGCGAGGCGGCTGGCCACGGAAGAGGGGCTGTGCTGCGGCATCAGCTCGGGTGAGGGAGGGGGGGTGAGGGAGGGCTTGCGGACAAGGGAGTTGCTTTGCCTGCGCATGCGTCACCAGCGGCCGGTGTAGGAGCCAGTTCCCAGGCCGAGTGGCGATCGTGGTTAACCGTAGGGGGCCGGAAGTGACCGTACGTGCCCGTCCACATCTCCTCCGACTGCCTCCCCCCTCCCCGCCACTCCTGCCCAGTCGCTCTTGCCCCCCGCGGCTTCCCAAATGCCCCTGTCCTCCCCTCCCCTCTCCACCTCGGCCCCCACCCGCCCTCCTGCCGCCGCTCCCGCCCAGGTGCTGCGGTGGCTGCCTCCGTGCGACTTGCCAAGCGCGTGGAGAACCGGGACAAGCTGATTGTGACGGTGCTGCCCAGCTTCGGGGAGAGATACCTGTCCACGGGTGGGTGGGGGGGCGGGGCGGGGGTGGGTGGGGGGGCGGGGAGCTGGGGCTGGGTGGGGAAGAAAAGGGGGGCAGAGGGGTGGAAGAGGTAAGGAAGGGAGATGCGGAAGATAGGCTGGTGTGCGCGCTCCCGGGCAGGGATGGCGGGTACTGCAGTAGGGGTTCCGTACCTACCCTGCACGTGCCCTGCATGCGGAGGAGGGAGTACGCCGGCACGTCGGGTGTTGGACCACCGGCCCGTTCCACCGCCCTGCCGCCCAGGAAAGCACCTCCCCCTCCTCCCCCCTCCTCCCTATTTCCCTCCTCCCCCAGTGCTGTACAAGCACCTGTGGAGTGAGGACGCGGCGGAGGAGGACTGCCTGCCCGCCAGCTGGAGGGTGGAGTCGGGGGCCGAGCGACCCGCCACACGGGAACCCAGGCTGTGAGGGGGAGGGGGCGGGGGGGCGCGGGGGCGGGGCGGCACACGACGACGCGCACTGCCTGCGGCCTCGCTGCCAGCTGCTGCTGCCGGGCAGAGTTCTGGGGGCTACTTGGAGGGGAAGCGTCATGGGGTTGCGGGGGGAGGCGTGAAGGGAGGGAGGGAGGGAAGGGAGCGGGCGGAGCAATGGTAGATGCCGGAGCATGCAGGGCGAGGGGCTGTATGTACGGCAGCGGGCTAGCAGTGGTCGAGGGGCATGCAGCGGGGCAGGGGGGGGGCTGCATGGGGGGGCATGACGTGGTGCAGGATCGTGCATCAATGCATGGCATCAGGTACGGTAGTTGCAGCGCTGGGTGGTATCGAGGGGCGAGTAGTCGTGTGTGTCGGTCGCTGTGTTTGTTTGTTGTGACGCCAACCAAGCATAGCGTGAAACTGCCGTGTTTGCCCCTTCGAAACGGGCAGGGATTAAAAGACCCCGGCCTTAAGCAATATGATTATTATGCTGTTGTGGTTGTGCAGCTTGGGGGAATGATGATGGGGGGGGCTGGTTTGAAGCAGCGCGTTTATGTGCAGTGTGTGTGTTGGTGGTTGCTAGCATGGGAAGTAGCATAGGCGGGGGAGGAGGATGCATGCCGCTCTCGTCGGAAGCTGCACATGGGTCACGGTGCATGCTGCATCATGGCACACATGTACAGCATGGTGCGTCTTGTTGCATGTTTGGCTTGCTGACCTCAGCGCCTTGTGGCTGGATTCATATGCATGCGCTGGTGACATGCACGTGCATGCCATTATGCCAAGCAATGCATGCATGTGTACATTGATGCATCCATGTCATGGGGCCCGTATGTTGCATCAGTAATTGAATGCATGGCTGGCAGGCCGTCCTGCACTCGACTGACACGACCTGAAGGTGTGTAACCCATCATCATCATCACAGCGAGCACCCTGAGGTTTGCTGGCCAAGCCTGTTGCCTGCTCGGAGGCTGGGCTGGTCGTTGCGGGCGGGAAAGAAGGGGGAAGGCGGCTGACTGGGGAGGCGGCTGGTGGTGAGGGGAGGACGGAGGAGTGAGCCGGAGGGGGCTGCCAGCTGAGCCGCAGGCAGGATGGTCTGTCAAAACCTGCGCGACATTGCAGCTTGTGACATGAAGGGCATGAAGAATGACCCATGGGTCGCCGCAGGTTGAGAGCCGCCCTCGGTGCTTGCCGATCGACACGCAATTGCTTCGATTCAGAAGGCGGAAGCCCTTGTGGCGTGAAATTTGAAAGAGGGCAGGTTGCTGTCACCTTACTGCGTCAGAAAGCTTTTACCGGCTCTTTCGTAAGCACCTTTTGGCTGGATCGACGGGTCGGAAATTGGCGCTTCATGCTTTCTACCCGTACGAATTTCCCACGGCGCATGTTCCCATAAGCTTAAAAATGTTGCTGCTCAGTTAGCGCAGGGATACAGTTGTTTCGAGGATCCATATGCGAACTGTTTGCTGCACTACTCGTTTGTTACATATTTTAATGGAACGTGCTTGCTGAAAGGGGCGCCAAACCATTTCACATCTGAAGGATTGTGCTCAGCTTTAGCAACAGTGCACGTCTAGAGCGCAACGGAAGGCGCTTCCGACGCGGTGCTGGGAGCAGGCGCCTTGGTGCCAGGCAGCCGCCAGTTTCCGCGGCAACTTCCGTGTTCTTTTGCTTTCCTGCTAAGCAACGTAAGTACGGACACTTATACTTAGCTTGGTATAAAGTTGTGCTCACAGTCGTCTCCAAAAGGCTGCAATAATAAGCTTCACGACAGAACCCACATCATCGCTCGCAGGAATTACAAATGCAGCGTACCGTCCTGGATTGCAACGAGGGATGTGTGGGGACCAGGCCCCGCGCTGATGGATCCCCGCAAACATTGATCTTCGCGGATTACGTCTACGAGCTGCAACTGAATCCAGTCGTCAGCCTGGGGCCAGAGCTGCAGCTGACAGACGGCGCCACCGGAGAGCCCTACTGGGCTGACAACTTGTGTAATTACTGCCAGTACGAACCAACAACCAACAGCGTCTACTACATTACGGCTGGAAACGAGCTCAAGCGTCTTGACGCTAACAATTCGGTGTGGGCGGTAGCGGGCAAGGTGGATTGCTTTGCTGTGGTGGATGGGTTGGGGCCAGACGCGCGGTTTGGGTACCCAAGGGACATGGCCGCTGACGGCCGTGGAACCCTGTATGTTCTGGAATCCAACGACGGAGGGTACGGAGGAGGCAAATGCCTTCGCAAGGTTGTGCTCAAGCGGAATGACGCCCCCTTCCTCCCTGGCAGCAGCAGCAGCGATGGCGGCGTCACAGCGACCGTGTCGACAATCATGCTAGCGGAGGACGGCCTAGCGCGCCGTCTCTGCTACGACGCCTGCACTAGCACACTGCTAGTGGCATCACGTCATCACGCCCTGCCCCCACTGGCCTCCCTGCTGCTGCTGCCCCCGAGCGGCTCCGCAACGGTCACCCTCCATGTGGGCTGCCACTCCTTCGCGGCTCACCGCTCGCTGCTGTCGGATCGCTCAGAATACTTCCGGTCCATGCTGGCAGCAGGCGGCTTTGCGGAGGGCGCAGCAGAGGAGGTGGAGCTGCGGGACACCGACCCATGGGTCTTCGGCGCGCTGCTTGGCTTCATGTACACTGGGCGTCTGGAGGTGCCGGACGAGCTGCTGCGCCCCACTGCCGAGCTGGCTGGTCGGCTGCTGATGCCGGCCGCTCTGCAGCTGCTGCAGCCGCGGCTGCTGGCGTCTGTCTCTCCGGCCACTGTGGTGGCGGAGCTGGAGTGGGCTGCACTGCGCAACCTGACGGAGCTGGTGGAGGGGCTGAAGCAGCGGCTGGTCCGCAGCAAGCCCCTCGTGGCCTCGCTGACGCCCCCCGAGGCGGTTTGGCAGCTGGCGAGGTGCTTCCCGAAGGTCGTGGTGGAGCTGTTTATTATGGATGCGCAGGGCTGGCAGCAGCAGGGTTAGCAGCAGGTTGGCAGGGGGAGCAACCTGGGTGGCATGGGTGACAGCAGGGGGTAAGCAGGCAGGCAAGGGTGGTAGGTGCGTGAAGGCATGCAGTGGGCTGGTTATGCGGGTCATTCGGTGGGGGGCAGGCTGGGTGGTGTCATGGGTGATGGCTTGCACGCACCTAGGCCAAGCGGGGCCAGCTAGCAGCTTGGGTCAGGTGTAATGAAGCCTTATCACGTGTTCGTCACGTACCGGTACATCAGGATGTGATAGGGCTCGGTTACAGCTAACCCGGAGTGCTGACTACCCATCTGCTGACTATCCAGCCTGTCCCACGCGGCATGAGCTGTATCGTTATTCGTTAAAGTGGAGGTTCTTTGTGGGTCAGCAGGCTTTGCTAAAGTGCGGCTGGGTGGATGTGCATGCGATCTGGGTCCAGCTGGCGACCCTTTTGTCTTCAGTCACATGTTGCTGCTTTATTTTGCTGGACTGTCCCTCTAGAAAGACCCTTGGGTCGCGTGCGTAATCTGCATGGGGAGAAAGCCCCGTTGGGTTGCATAGGGTTGCATGTGTGGATGTGGTGTACGGCCGAAGCGGGTTAAGAGCTTGGGATTAATTAGGATACCATGGTACGCTGATACATATGTTTGGTGATTGGCGTATGTGCGACCGGTCGTCCTGCCTGCCTGTGGCTAACCGGATCTTGGCCGCACATGCCGCCATCAACGTACACTGCCACAAAGATACCTCCGGGCGTGTGGAACGCGGACATGTAAATCCAGCCAGTTTATTCACACCACACGTTTCATCGGTCCCGGGTAACACGCTCATGGGTGGGAGACGGTAATTGGCGCAATGGGCGCCTCTGCTGCTTAGCCAGTGACCGCATCTAGTTACAACCCCTTTGCGCGCTACTCTACGAGTTGCAGTCTCAATACCTTTTGGGCTAGGTGAGCCGCTGGTAGCTCGCGGAGGAGAAGCTGTGTCGGCCTACAGCCTTGGCTGCTACACAATGTTTAGTCGGGACAGGTTGGGAGCTTAGTAACGCTGAAACTGGCTTAGTAATAGCGTACAGGACTGCATGGATGCTTGCTTGTGCACGGAAGGCCTCAGCAACTGCAGTGGACACACGCATATGAGATGCAAACATGGTCCCAGCAGGCGATACTAGTGATCGACATCCGTTGATCAACGGCTGTACGGAAAATTGAGACATGCTCTCTACAATCACACTGACATCATAACAACACAATAAAGTTCAGGCACATTATTACATTATTATACCGCTCGTGCACAGAACCTTTCACGCGACAAAGAAAATGTATGATTTCTGCTTCACACCCTTCTTCTCGCTGTTCCTAGGGGTAGCGGGACTGTATGGATTTTTCTCCCAGGGAAGTAAGGTCTCTCTTGGGGCTGGGGTCGGCTCAGCAGCGGCCCTAGGGCTCCTAGCTTATCTGTCGCTTCAACACTACAACAAAGCCAAGGCCGTTTGCAAGCCAACTGTGTTCTTGAGCTTGGGTGAGACCGTAACATAACACAGTGGTTGCCTTTGTGTGCGGTCTGCGGTGACTTGTTCGGTCCTTCTTTGTACCGGTACAGTGATCTCCGCTGGGCTCTCCTTCATGATGTACCGGCGCTACGAAAAGACACATGCTATTCCACCTGCTGTAATTGGATCGGTCAGGTAAGGGCTCTTGTGCTACATGACATGCAACCGTCTGCAAGTTACCCATGTTGTCTCAAATCCTTGGCTATTGCAGTGTCGTGATGGCTCTATTCTATGCATGGAACATCAGCCCTCTGGGTCCCAAGCCTCCGAAGAAGACGCAGGGGAAACGGTATTAAGCATGGACGTCTGCAACGATGCTGGCTACCGTATAAGTTGGATAAAACCCTTCAACGGGAGTAGATGGGCACGCAATTTCTGTCATGTTGGATGGTCTAGATTGTCCGCTCTCAAGGTGTGACCGTTGGAGATCGGGGCCAGGAACTGACAGAGACGAAAGGCTTTTATGATTCGCTGTTGTAGTGCTCCTATACAGATCCGGGTCTTGTTCTTATCGTATTCTGGCCTGTAACGGTTCTACGACCTTCCTTTGCACGCAGCCTGCCTTTGCTTTGCGCGGCTCAATCCTTCGCAGCGGATGTTAAAAGGATTACCCAAAACGGCTGGTGCCTTGGTCGGTGCGCATGTGCGGGTTCGCCTACCTTGCAAGTCAGCAACACGCATCAGTACCACGATTAGGGCAGCTGCGGTCCAACAGCAAGAGTACTGCGTCATCGTGGTGAGGCCATTCGTGCGCATAAACCCAGTCAGTTGCAGCGACAGTGTTCACACCCCGTCAACATGCAGTGCGGCCCACAAGACCACACATCCGGATATCCAACTGAACCGCTCCAGACCGCGGTTGTGTTTGCGCGTGCTCACGTCCCCGACCCTCTTAGCCACGGCTCGATGGTATGTGCGTAGGATGAACACAATCGGGTTGTGGGGGCGAAACCCCGGGACGTCACGGTTCGCAACCGGCTGCTAGGTCGCGGCTCTTACGTGCTCGTGAGCAACCCCGAGGGGCAGCTGCTGGTGTCGAAGCGCAGCAGCAGCAAGGTGTGCGGAGGAAGTCGGTGTCGAATGCCTTGCATGGGGTGCCATGAACGCTAGGGACGACGCACGCGAACTTGCTGCACACGCGGGGGCCAGCACGGGCATATCCGCCATCCACGTGATCTCGCCAGCGTTAGTCTTGTGCTGCCCAGGGCAGGATTCCGTTCCGAGGCTTGTACCAACGTGCGACCACCCTCTCCCTTCCGTGCCCACCTGGCTCTCCCCTTCAGGACGTGTACCCGGGCTACTGGGATGTGGTGGTGTCGGGGGTGGTGCGGGCGGGGGAGGAGTACGAGGACACAGCCGCCAGGTGCGCGACAGGGGGAGGTGGGCATGCGGCCGGCGCAGCACCATTAACTAACCAGCACCATTGAAAGGACATTGCCCTCCCAAACAGCAACCTACCGGTACCCCTTGCGTTACTGCATACCTGTTTGCTGATGGCGCAACCCGGTACCCCGCACCCCGTTGGCGGGGGGCCCTCAGGGAGCTGGCGGAGGAGATCGGGGTGAGTGAGGCGGCCGCGCGCGCGGGTCTGCGGCGGCTGTTCGTCTTCCCGTACCGCGACAGCAGCTGCCACGTGTGGGGTTGCGCCTTTGCCTTCACCCATGAGGGGGGGCCGCTACAGCTGCAGCAGGAGGAGGTGGACTGGGCGGGGTTTCGGAGCTGGGACCAGGTGCGGGACTTGGTTGATGGTTGGTAGAGGTAAAGATGTGTAGGATGCGGCGAAAGGCTACAGGCGGTATGACGAGGTTTAGCTGCAGCCTCTGGTGCACAGCGAGGCGTCCAACGGGGCTTCGTCGATGCCTGTGCGCTGTGCGCGCTGACCCATGGTTCTGCCGCCGCAGGTGTCCGCCATGATGGCAGAGGAGCAGTTCACGCCAGTGGGGAGACGCATCCTGGAGCTGTTTCAGCAGCAGCAGCAAACACAATCGACACAGACAACAACGCCTCCAGTCACAGAGCAACAGCAGCAGTAGGGTCAAGAGCGGAGGGGGTCGAGCCAAGCGAGTTCTGACTGCACGGAGCCGGGGAGCCGCAGCAGCAGCAGGACACCCAGTCGGCACTGCCATCACGGTCGGCTAGCAGCCAGCAAGGGTTGTGCACAGTGCATGGGAGTTGAACCATGCAGTTCGTTGACGGTTTAGCTGCCGTGGCGTGAGGTTGTCATGCGTTAGGACTTAGGGTTGTCATTATCAGCTGCATGTGACACTGTGCTGCCCAGCAGCAGCCTGGGCTGTTGCAAAGACGTTTCTCGCTGAATTGGTGGTCCCGGTGGACATCGGATAGGTGCCCGGTGGCTGTGTGTAGGGTGTGAGCTGCAGGGACACGACAAGGGTACAATGCAATACCGGTCGGAGCCCCCTATACGTGCGACGCTGCTTACTTTACCGTATAACCGGCCTTCACATGGTTTGCCGGTTCACATGGTGTACGCAGATGCCCTGATGCATAATACAAGTATGCAATGGGCAGTCAGGGAGCACTCATCCATTATCGGAACCACTGCTGGATGTATAAAAGGAAGGCACCAGGCCCTACTGCTTTGCTACTACTACTACAAGCCTGCCCTCTCTCGCGGCCCCTGCCCTGCTCCATCTCCCCTCTTCCTGTAATCCTGGCTGCCCCCTGTGCCCCAGCGCGCCTGGTACCGTGACCATGTACCCCATTCCGCACCATGCAACCGTGCCAGTCTCCCCCCTCCAAACTCCAACCCCAGCCCCACACGCCAGCATGCCGCTCCTCCCCTCTTCCCTTCTAGCTACAGCAGCGGCAGCACCAGCGGGTCAACCTCCTGCTCCGCCCCACCCGCCCCCACGTCGCCCTGCCCCGCCGCCGCCACCAGCGCCACCCAGTCGGACACGTCCTCGTCCGCCGGCAGGTCGGCGTTGCGGGGGCCGTGCCGGTCGCACTCCTCCAACTCAGCCTGGCGAGGGGGAGGAGGAGGAGGGCGCGGGTGGAAGTCATGAAGGAGCTGCAGACAGCGGGTTCATGGCGAAATGAAGGATACTAGAAGCGCAAACGATTGCTCCGTACTCTCCGACCCACCCATAAAGATTGATCCCACTCCCTTCGCAACACCCTGCCTGCCCCCTGCTTTTCCTCATTCCACGCTCTGCATGTGCGCGCCCTCCCTCCCCGGGCCTAGTATCCATGCGACTTATCACTCAACGCACGGCTATACTTATTTTTCTCTTCCCTTCCCTTCCTCCGCCCCCACCTGCAGCTGCGCCAGGTGCTCCCCGGGTGCGGTGTCCGCCACAAGGCCGATCAGGGCGGTCAGCTGGTCGGCAGCGTACCTGCGGGTGGGGGTCCATGGCAGGGGGAAAAAGGGCAAGTCACATGGCAGGGCAGGGGAGGGCAGGGCTAGATGTGAGGAGGTATTGAGGAGAGGGGGGATGTACAACACCCCTACGGGATAGGACAACATGCAGTGTATGTGTGGTGCATCATACCCTTGCATCGTGGCATGGCGCCTCCAGCGTATGCGCAAAACTCCAAGCAAACGTATACGCAACTAGGATCATGGCATGGCCAGGCCAGGCAGCTCCCTCATGACATTCTAGCTGCACGAAAAGCCAATCGCCGTTCAGTTCAGGGCTATGTAATGATACGACCGCAGGCCGCCCGCGAGCACACGCACTTGTAGTTCCCCACGGTGCGGTTGCGTGTGATAGCCTCCCGCAGCAGCGCCCGCGCATGCGCCGTGTCCAACTTCAAGCCCGCCAGGTAGCGGTACAGCCGCGCCTCACGGGGACCCGCACCCGCGCCCACTCCCTCCAACAACCGTACGGCCGCGTAGTACGACGCGCAGAAGGCCAGCCGCGCGCGCCGCGAGGCATCGTCCATGGAGGTGCGTTCCTCGTGGCTGAGGGCCCACATGGCGCGAGCAAAGTGCGCCGCCGCGCCGCGCCAGTCGCCGGACTGCATGAGCGACACGCCGGCGGTGTAGAGGTGTACGGAAGACATGCCGGGAGGGAATGGGTAGCCGGCGGCGGCGCCGGAAGTGGGTGCGGAGGGCGCTGGGGATAGGTTGCCGCTGGGGCCTGCTGAGGCGATGGGGCCAGAGGCGGTGGAGCCGAGCGCCAGGCGACTGAGGGGCGAGCCAACGGCGCCGGTGCCGCCGGCAGCAGCAGCGGCGGCGCCTGGCGGCGCCAGCCGTAGCCCCCTGGCGGCTTCCCGAAGGGAGACGTCGCCGGAGGCGCCGCCGCCGCCACCCGCGTTGACCGCGCCGCTGCCGGCACTTCCTCGGTCTCGGATCTGGATCTTAATGCGCCGCTGCGGCCCGCCGGCGCAGCTGCCGCCGCCGACGCTGCCAGTCGCCTCCGAGTCGGAATCCTCGTCAGACGAGAACGCAATGGTGGGTCCGCGACCGAAGCCCGTCATGCCCGCACCCATTTGATTCATGAACTCGGCACGAGCTGCAGCCTGCGCGGCGTCGCTGGAGGACACTGACGTCGTATCCAGCTCCCCATGCGCCGTACTGCCGCCCGGCCGATGGCTCGCGGACTCGCCTCGGTCGCCGCCGGCGATCGAGGCGAAGGAGGTTCGCGCGCCGACGGCGCCGGCGGCCGCCGCCACGGCGGTGGCGGCAGCCGTGGTCAGGCCGTAGTACGACACAATGTTGGTACGATCGTGGCAGGGCGGGATGTCGCCAACCTCGGCATCCGTGGCGGCGGCGTGGGGCAGGGCGCCGCGAACGGCGACGGCGGCGGGCGAAGCGGTGAGTGGCGCTGCAAGGGGCCACTGCTCGGCTCGCTCAATGGGCGCTGCGAGCGAGGGCCCGTGCGGGGAGTGCGGGAGGTGGCAAGGAGGCAAAGGACTCGGGCCGAAAAGCGGTGTGCGAGGGGCATGGTTCAAGCACGTTGTCTGCACTCATGATGTGTTCATATGTACCGCAGAGACACACGCTAGGAGTTCTGCTCACCTGCTCCGGGTCCCCCCGGTGGCAGCAGCGACAGCGTCAGGTCTTCCACGGGTGTGCCGACGCCGCCGTACACGCCACGTAGCGCCACCGCCAGCTGCGCCGCCGCCGCCGCATCCGCTGACGCCGCAGCGGCGCCGAGGCCTCCTGCGGTGCCCGCCAGCTGCTGCGCAACGGCGCTCACTGCCTGCACGTTGCCCTGGCACACCGCTAGAATCATTGCAGCAGCCCACTCGCCTGCATGGGGCGGCACGGGGGCGATGTGGAGGAGGTCAGCATGACGCAGCCCAAGCGGTGAGAGGGGCGTTTTCTTACGAGAGCGACGTTTCTAAACAAATGACAACTGCTTATCCATAATCCATTACTCAGAAACTGGAAGGCATGCCATTCACAGAAGGCAACAGGACAACAAGGAACCGGGAGTCCCTTTATGCACATGCGCATGGTGTAACTATTGGGCTTGCCATGGGTGACCCGCGGGTCGCAGCTGACCGCGCACCTGCCGCCTGGAACAGCTCCCCGGCAACCGCCAGCTGGCCGTGGAACAGCGCCCCCGCAGCCGCCGCCACCAGCTTCGAGTGCAGCTCCGAGCCCCGAAGCGGCGGCCCAGGAGCGTACAGCGACCGAGACGCCTCGCCACGCAGAGTCGCCGCCACCGCCGACCAGTTACCGGCGGCGGCTGACACCGCCAACTTCGCAGCGGCCCCGTCAAGCGCCGGCAAGTGCGCAGCGACGGCGGCGGCGACGTCCCATGCACCAGCGGCAATCAGCGCCCACACGCCACGTGGCGTCAGGCTTGCAGTATCGAACGTTGACAACGCGTGACGCAACGCCGGCCGTACGACAGCTGCTGCCGGGCCGTACGACAGCAAGCCTGTGGCGGCAAGGCTCGCCCAGCCGATCAGCAGGGGCTGTAGCAGCGCCGCGGGACGCACGACGGCCTCAGCCAGCGCGGCTGCGTTGCCGCTGGCGGTTGCGATCACCGGCGGAGCGCCCAGCGGCGTGCGCAGCAGGATGAGAGCATCCGCTGTGACACCCAGCAGTGCACAGTGACCCGTGGGCGACAACGTAGCCACAGGCAGCAGCGTGCCCGTCCACGTGAGCTGTAGCACCTGCCCTGCTACCGTGGACACCAGCAGCATGGGACCCGCCCACACGACCGACGTCAGGGGGTCCAGCAGCGCGGCTGACCCATGGGTCACAAGGCTCACCGCGCACACGACACGCAGCCCGGCCGTCACCAGCAGCAGCCGTTGGGTGGTCAGCACAGCCGCCACGGCGTCCGCAGGTCCAGGCACGCCGCCGCCGCCGCCGCCGCTGCTGCTGCTGCTGCCGTTAGCTTGATCGCGAGGAGGGGCCAATGCGAGGCTCTGCCAGGCCACGTGGACCACGTTTTCACTGGGCAGCAGCGGCAGGGAAGCCTGGCGGGGCTGCGAGCCGAAGTGGTGACCGGGGGCCAGGGTGGGGTAGTACGGCTGCGAGGCTGCGGCGGCTGCGGCGTCAGTGTCATCGTCTGAGGAGTCGTAGCCGGCTGCTGCTGCTGCTGCTGGGGGAGTGTTGGGCTGAGGTGGCGGCGCCTCCTGGGATGCAGCAAGCAAGGAGGAAAGAGTATCGAGCGGCATGTTGCGGGTGGCACCCCCCTTTCCCTCGCACATCACGCTAAGCAGTCTACGGTCAGCCTGCTCAGGCAAGAGACACGTCCATACACACGCCCCCGGCTCCTCCTCCCTCCCGCCCAGTCCCCCTGTACCCCCCCCCCCGCCCGGCCCCCTACCAGCGGCACCCGGGCCAGTTCCGGCAGGGTGGCCATGCTGAGGCAGTGGTCGGGCGACTGCCACAGCACCACCCCCGACCCGCGGAAGCGCCGCAGGTCGTGCGGGGCCGCCTCGGGGGGCGCGCGTGCCTCTGGAACCGGCGCCTGAAGGGCAGAGCGCGAGGTAGCAGAAGGGACGTTGGGAGGGTAAAGAGGAAACGACTAACGAACCGTGTGATAAGGCGTCACGTTAGGGAGGGGGCTACAGGAGGGGGGAGGCTCGTTGTGGGCTGTGTGAAGCATGGAGCAGCTCAATGTGTGCTTCTTACGTTGGTCATGGGCGGCCCGGGAAACACGGGTGCGCCCAGTCCCGGCAGCAGCACCGAGCCCTCCAGTGCCACGCTCAGCAGGGGAGTGGGAGCCGCCAGCCCCCCGCCAGCGTGTACGACAGCAGCTGCGGCCGCCGTGTCGTACACCTCGAGCAGCCGGCCGGCAGCCGCCATGACGCAGAAGCGCTCGTCGGCGGGGCCCAGGAAGCAGCCGGACTTGCCTGCGGAGGGAGGGGCGGGTTTGCGGGCTTGGGAGTTGGGGTGGAGTAAGAGACAGAAGGTAAAACTGGAGCGGATGCGCCATGGATACACAGGTTGTTGTTAAGGAATCGTGCTATCCACCTTATCTCGTCTCTCAAACCCCCTCCAGTCCTATACGGTAGCCCTCTTGACTACCGGTAGCTTCTTCCCCGGTGCAGCATCGTTCCCTGCCCGTCTCCCTCTCCACCCGCCGCACCTGACCGCACCCACAAGCACCCCTCCACGGCTCCTCCACCGCCGCTGACGCCGCCCGCTGACGCCGACGCCGCACCAAACGACGACCCATTCAGCAGCGTCCATGTGAAGCGCTCCGCCGCCGCCGCCGCAGCAGCGGAACCGCCCCCGTCAGCACCCCCCGCTGCCCCCGCTGCTGCAGGCGTTTCAAAGAACACCAGCCATGCGGCCGCCTTGGTGCTGTGCAGCAGCTGACGTGGCGTGCGGACGTCACCTCTGGGCGTGTCGGTTGGCAGTTGGGCCAGGGCGCCGGAGCTGCGCGTCACGAGCGCGTACTTCATGAGCCTGCATGGGGCGGAGAAGAGGGTGGATGGATGGATGGATGGAGGGAGGGATGGATGGAGGGAGGGATGGGTCCATGCAGTGGGGGCAGCGCGGGGACAGCGCCGTCGCGTGGACAGCGGAAGATGGCGAGCGCACTTCGCAACACATCCCCCACGAAGCTACGCGGTTGCCATAGCAGGAAAGCCAGGAACTGTGTAAACGCTGTGACCTTTCCTAGATGTTTCCAAGCATGTCCAACACCCCTAGCCGTTTTCTGTATGCCTCTAGCACCTTTCCCCACTCCCGCCCCCAGCCCCCAGCCCGCCCCATCCACCCACCGGTTCCCCGCCAGGTAATACACATGCGGCGGCAGCGGCAGCGCTCCGCTGTCCACCTCCTCCTCCGCCGCCGCCGCCGCCATCACCCCCGCCCCTCCTCCTCCTCCCTCCGCCTTCTCAGCCTCCTGCCCCTCACCCTCATCCTCATCGCTCGAATCCGCCGCACCACCCACCCCGGCCGCCGCCGCCCCTGCACCCCCCAGCTGCCCTCCTCCCAACCCAACCCCCGGCTGCTGCTGCTGCCTCCTCAGCTCCGGCGGCAGCCATGCGGCCAGCGGGGTGTGCTGCGGCGCCTGCCGCGCGCCCCGCCAGCCGCCCGCATGCGCCTCCAGGTTGGACACCAGCAGCAGCGACATGCAGCCGCCGCGCCTGGTGGGTGGGAGGGAGGGGGGGAGATGCGTGGAGGGGAGCGAGGGAGGGAGGGAGCGGAGCGGATGCGGGGTAACAGACAGGAAGAACGCTACAAGTTAAAAATGGACGAACAACGCCGCTGTTGCACCCCACACCTCTCCTGTACTGTCCCCCTCCCCCCCTCCCCCCCTCCCCCACCCCCCGGGTACCCCCAGCTCCCACCTGGCGAGTGCCGCCTCCTCCCCCGCCAGTGCGCCCCTGCCTGCCATCTGCACCTCCCGGTGGACCCGGGCTGCGGGGGGCGCCTCCCCCGCCACCGCCACCAGCCCCAGAGCCGGGTGCACCGCCACACGGCCCACCGGGGGGGACAGCTGGGGGTCTGGGGGCGGTGGGGAGGAGGGGAGGTGCGGGAGGGGCAAGGGATGCGCAGGGAGGAAGAGAGGCTGGGCGGAGGTGCTTGTACGGAAGTAGAAGGAGGAGTTTGGGGGAGGTCACACATGGACGGCCCCCCCCATTCAACCATACCAACTCTCCTCCTCAATCTTCACCCCGTGTCCTCAGCAGTGCACCCACCACCCCACTCCCCCTCCCACTCCCACTCCCCCTGCTGCACCCACCCAGCTCCCCCTCCCCCTCCCCCTGCTGCACCCACCCAGCTCCCACTCCCACTCCCCCTCCCACTCCCCCTGCTGCACCCACCCAGCTCCCACTCCCACTCCCCCTCCCACTCCCCCTGCTGCACCCACCCAGCTCCCACTCCCACTCCCCCTGCTGCACCCACCCAGCTCCCACTCCCGCTCCCCCTCCCCCTCCCCCTGCTGCACCCACCCAGCTCCCCCTCCCCCTCCCCCTCCCCCTCCCCCTGCTGCACCCACCCAGCTCCCCCTCCCACTCCCCCTCCCACTCCCCCTGCTGCACCCACCCAGCTCCCACTCCCACTCCCCCTGCTGCACCCACCCAGCTCCCACTCCCGCTCCCCCTGCTGCACCCACCCAGCTCCCACTCCCGCTCCCCCTCCCCCTCCCCCTCCCCCTGCTGCACCCACCCAGCTCCCACTCCCCCTCCCCCTCCCACTCCCCCTGCTGCACCCACCCAGCTCCCACTCCCACTCCCCCTCCCACTCCCCCTGCTGCACCCACCCAGCTCCCACTCCCACTCCCCCTGCTGCACCCACCCAGCTCCCACTCCCGCTCCCCCTCCCCCTCCCCCTGCTGCACCCACCCAGCTCCCACTCCCACTCCCCCTGCTGCACCCACCCAGCTCCCACTCCCGCTCCCCCTCCCATTCCCCCTGCTGCACCCACCCAGCTCCCACTCCCACTCCCCCTGCTGCACCCACCCAGCTCCCACTCCCGCTCCCCCTCCCCCTCCCCCTGCTGCACCCACCCAGCTCCCACTCCCCCTCCCCCTCCCACTCCCCCTGCTGCACCCACCCAGCTCCCACTCCCACTCCCCCTCCCACTCCCCCTGCTGCACCCACCCAGCTCCCACTCCCATTCCCCCTGCTGCACCCACCCAGCTCCCACTCCCGCTCCCCCTCCCCCTCCCCCTGCTGCACCCACCCAGCTCCCACTCCCCCTCCCCCTCCCCCTGCTGCACCCACCCAGCTCCCACTCCCACTCCCCCTCCCCCTCCCCCTGCTGCACCCACCCAGCTCCCCCTCCCCCTCCCCCTCCCACTCCCCCTGCTGCACCCACCCAGCTCCCACTCCCACTCCCCCTCCCACTCCCCCTGCTGCACCCACCCAGCTCCCACTCCCACTCCCCCTCCCCCTCCCCCTGCTGCACCCACCCAGCTCCCACTCCCATTCCCCCTGCTGCACCCACCCAGCTCCCACTCCCACTCCCCCTCCCCCTCCCCCTGCTGCACCCACCCAGCAGGCATGTCGGGGTCGCCTCGTGCACCCAAGCGGGGCTGCTGCTCCACAGCCCCAGCCACGAGGAAGAGGAGGAGGGGGGACCGCTGGCGGGGCCGGCGGCGGAGGTCCCGTTGGAGGCCCCACCGTTGGCTACTGCCGCCGCCGAGGCAGCCCCGCCGGATGTCAGGTTGCGGGGCCCCCCTGCAGCTGCTGCCGACTCGGCTGCGGCAGAGGCGGTGGGGAGGGCGGCGGCGGCGGCGGTGGCTGCGCCCGCGGTCATGGCCGCTGCGAGGGCTGAGCGGGTGCGGCGGTGGCTGTCCAGCAGGGGCGTGAGGTCCTGGTGGGGTGGGGATGGAAGGTAGGAGGCGAGGGGAATGGTTTCCATCAGTCCGTTCCCTTCTTGCTATTGCAACTGCCACCTTTCCAATCCCTCCTTCTTCGGACATCACTCGTGTGCCATGGGTCATGGACCAAGGACCCGAACCAGGATCCCGACCCAGCATGGGCCATTCAGCTCCGCCAACTACCTGTAGCCCCCTTCCTGCATCCCTAAGCCCCACCACCCGCCTTCCGCCCTCCGCCTCCCCACCAGGCTCTTCTCCTCCTTCTTCTTCTCCTCCTCCCTCCCTCACCTCCCCCCTCTCCCCACCTGCGGCTCCAGCCTGGTCTGCCTGAGCGCCAGCCCCCCCGCCCCCGCCCGGTACGACAGACGCCAGCAGGCGCTGCGCAGCCGCCCACCCCCGCCGCCCTCCGCCTGGCCGAATGCCAGCACCGTGCCGCTGGTCTGGAGGGGGCGGGGAGGGGCGGGAAGCGGTGGGTCGCAGCGGGTGGGATAAGAGCATACGACCAACCCAGGGTCGACGCAAAAGTGCATAAAAGTAGGACACAGTAGGGCGGGTGGTAGGGCAGCCATGAAGGTAGGGTATGGCTTCGGAAACATCGGAAGAGAAGGGGAGAGGCGCCGGTGCTGTGACACGCACACGGGTGCAGCCTAACTGTCTCCCCCCCCACCCCGATCTGCCCACCGGGACCCCAACCGCTCGCTCCCGTGGTGTTTAAGCCGCTCACCCGACACACGCCCATGCCCACCACCGCCGACCAGCCCGGCACCTTGCCGCGTGTCAGCAGCACGGGTGCCGTACGGCCGGGGGACTCCAGCACCGCTGCCGTACCCAACCGGGAACCCTGTGTACGGCGAGGAGAAGGAAAGTACGGTAGGTCGAAAGGTTGCTGAGAGACGCGAGGGGAAGAGGAGTGTTGGCTAGCGCAACAACAACAGCACCACCCCACCCTAGCTCCCTCCTTCTCAGCTACATCCGCCGGCTACACTCGCCCCCCCGGCCCCACCCCCAGCCCTGCCCCACCAGCAGTATGACCGCCCCCCCCGGCAGCCCCGGGTGCGGCACGCAGCTGAGCACCCCGGCGGGGGGGACCACCTTGTCCGCGGGGTCCTGGACCTGGAGGGCGGGGGGGCGCGGCGGGGCGAAAGCAGGGGCGGGGGACGTCAAGAGGAGCCGCTAGAGAGCGGTTTGTCCAGCAGCGATCGCCCGCATTCACAGGGTACCACCCCATCATGGGCTTGACCCCCATTCAGTCCCCCCCATTCTCAGCCCATATCCCACCTCCCCTAGCCCACCTTCCCCCCCCCCCCGCCCGTCTCCCCACCTGCACCATGAACAGCGGCGTCAGCACGTCCCCCCCGCCCCCCGCGATGGCGTACCCCCGCAGCGCCCCGTCCGCCCCCAGCACCAGCAGCTGCGCGTCCACGTGGTGGCACGCCAGCCCCAGCACCGCCTTCTGCACGTCCAGCTTCAGACGCTGACCCCACCCGCTGCCACTGCTGCTGCTGCTGGGGCCGCCATGGCCTGAGGGGGGTGGACCGGGGGGTAGGGGGCGGACAGGGGTGGCGAGCCAGGGCGGGTAGCGTTTTGACCGTCCCTAGCAGGGAGGCAGGCGGGCGGGCAGGCAGGCTTAAAGCGAGCGTGTCTGGCCGTATCTCGCTTGTAAGGCTGGCCGTTCCTCTCTCTCTGTCTTTCTCCCTCCCGTGGTGCGCCCTATCCACCTGCTGCAGCCGCCCCGCCGTCCGCCGCTCCTCCACCGGCGCGGGTGGGCAGTGTGGCCAGCCGCAGCGTGTCCTTGGCGTAGCGGCAAAAGTAGATGAAGGGGTTGTGACCCTGGGGCCGTGGAGGGGGAAGGGGTGTGGCGAGGGAGGAGCCAGGGAGCCAGGGAGGGAGAGAGGGTGGGAGGGAGGGAGGGAGGGTGGGGGTTGGGCTCCGGGTGCGGGGGTGTGAGGCGGCATACGTGGCAATGTGGGTGGAGAGCCACCCAACCGACTCGCTTCTGCTCTGCTCCCTCTTGACCATACCCCTGCTCCCACGACTTCCTCCCCCTCCATCCCTCCCTTCCGCTCCCTTCCTCTCCCTCCTTCCTTACCCCGGGCCCCTCCTCCCCGCCCCGCCCCGCCACCCCTCCTCACCGGCGCCACCGCCAGCAGGCACCCCTCCAGCGGCTTGTCCATCTTGGAGCGCCGCGGCACCACCACCCGCGCCTTCCAACTGGCAGTGCTGATGGAGTAGAGGATCCAGTCCTGGGGAGGGAGGGAGAGAGGGGAGCGGCGGGGAGGGAGGAAGAGATGGGAGCGATGAAAGCGGGGTAGGAGACAGCAACCAGCACCACACAGAACACCAAGTCCGCATTGGGTTAGGGGCGGGTGTGTGCAGTAAGGACGATGCGCCTCCCCCCCCCCCCCCGCACAGCTGGAGCTCCCTCATCCGTCCTGCCCCCCACCCCACACCTGCACCATCACCACCAGCACCGAGCCATCCGGCGCGAACCCCATCTCAACAGGGATGGACTTGAGCTCCACGCGGCCGAGGCGGGTGCCCAACTGCACGTCGTACACTGCAACGTAACCCGACACGCCCTGGGGGAGCGGCAGCAGCAGCAGATGGGGATGGGTGGTTTGAGAGTTTTGCGGGGCTCTGAGGGGGCTATGGTTGAGGAGGACAGTGAGGAACACTTGGAGAGGATTTAACGGTTGAGCATGGGTGAGGACACATGCTTGCGCGTACGGCATACCCACAAGCGCACCTACCACTGCCATAAGCGCCTTTGTTGGATGGAAGCAGATGCATTTTGGATACAGTCCCCGGATAAGGGAGCTTGTCGCTGCCTGGAAAGTTAGGCCCAGGGTGGCACATGGCGAGCACGATCGCCAAGGTTTGGGCAAGGTTATTTTCAGATAGGTACTCGTAGAAGATGGTAGCACCAGCAGAAATGCAGGAGGCCCCGGTAACATGGTGTGAAGTAAGGACCAGCGACAGCCCTGGACGCACCGGCACAATGCTTGAGACGTCAAGCGTCTGGCTGAGCTGCAGACGCAGCATCGATGGTCCGCTCTGATCTCTAGTCATGGCGCCGTCTATTAACAGAGCAGAGTCCTTTGCAGAGATGTATGGGTCAAGGTGTCTACCCTTTAGGTGCCTTGCACATGACGCTATGTATAATGTTGCTATGCAGTTATGCCTATTCAAGATAGGAAGTTTCTCTTGTCACTGAAAGCCATGGCAACAGCGATCAAGGCGAAGGTAGGAAGGCGCGATCCAGTTGTACAGCAGCAAGCCTGCTTCACCAGGTCGCGACGCAGGTTTGGCCAACTACAGAAGCATACGGCATTTTACCTACTGCAAGGAGTAAATAAAAGCCTGTAGAGGCCCTTGCGTATGGGCGGAAGCCCTTTACTCAACTACGCGTTGTTGAAATTGCAAGTAGATCTACACATCACACGGGTTAAACCTTAGCAGAGCTATATGCTGTTGGACGGAATAGACGGGCTTCAGTTAGCGCAAGCCTATGCGTCTGATGATGATGTCGTCGGGCGCACGAGCTGCCGGGGCAACATGCGCGACGGCAACAAGTACCATAATGGCAACGCTTCAAGCGTGTGAACACATCGGAAGCGTCAGGAGCGATTTGCGGCTCATTTCCACAGCGCTGGCGTCGCCATCTAGCCAGCTGGAGCCGTGCGTCGGCTCTCCTGCTTGCCCCGGGCGCCTCTGCGTTGGCAAATCGAGTGAGCAGCGGCCCCTCTTGCCTCCTCCATCCTCCTATCCCGGGCCGCTGCTTGCACGCCACGCAGCGCACGCGCGGGCGCCCCAACCGCAGTCTAGCCTCTCTATCCCTCACCTAGGCCCTAGCCCCAGCCGCTCCATTACCACCTCTCCATACCTCTGCAATCGGTCCGGCAACGCCGACGAAACGCCGCCCACGGACCCAACGGATCCCAGCCGTCGGCACATTTCCCATGAGCGGGGCAGCAGCACCACCACCATCACCAGCAGCAATGGAACTACTCGGGAGCCCGCAGGCGTTGAGCCGCGGGACGCAGCAGGCACTCTACCTCGCCCGCCGGCTGGCGACCCGAGTGCGGCCCAGGGGTCTGCGCTCCAGCCCGGCCGGGAAGCAGCAGCGGCAGCGCCGTTGTCGCCAGCAGCAGCAGCAGCGTCTGAGGCTGCAGCTGCTGGCAGCTCCACAACACGAGCGCCCTCCCCAGCAGCTGCAGCAGCCGCTCCTCGTTCGCCTCCTGCATCGCAGCAACAGCAACCGCAGCAACAAACCTCGCCAACGCCCCTCACACCCTCACCATCACATGCCTCACCGCCGTTGCCCTCATCCTCATTACCGCCCCCAAAGCCCTCGGACCCCAACTTACCATCGCCGTCACCCTCACCGCCACCGTCACCATCCTCGCACTCCCAGCAACACCCCAATCCCCAAACCGAATCCCAGGCAGCAACCGCCGCCGCCGTCTCCCATGCATCCTCCTCAGCCGCCGCTGAAAAGGCAAAGCAGGCAGCCGCAGCGGCGACAGACGCACTGCGCTCGCGATGGGCTGCCATACAAAGCAGTGAAGCTGCCGCCGCGGCTGCGAGTGCCGTACACACAAGCATGGCAGTCGCCGCTGGTGCCGTACATGCAAGCATGACTGCCGTACATTCTGCCCTCGGTCGTACGGCTAGGGTTCTGTTGTCACGTGCGATGGAGCTGGGTGTGAAGCTGAATGAGGTGACTGGCTACACCGTGATTGAGCAGCTGAAGGTCAAGGTGAGGGATGGGGCGGGGCGGGGCGGGGTTGAGAGGACGGGGCAGGGCCAGGGACAGCAGGGTTGGGAAGGGAGAACTAGCCTTGGTGACCAGACTCCACCCTGGATTGTATCATGGGTGGAGGGAGCACGGGAAGGCCGCTGTCTTGGAGGGCTACTCCGAAGCCTGGCATGTGTGTCTGTGAGCCTTGTGTAACCTCAGCACCCCACACAACCGCCCTGCATCCTCCCCCGCAGGTGGGCGAGGCGGATGCGGGTCTAGCCCGGGCTCGTGAGGCCCTGCGGTCCAGCAAGGCGCTGTACGAGGCACGCATGGCGGAACACGGGTGGGGTAGTGGGTACGGCAACACACACACACACGTACGGCAATAGTGTGTTGTGTGTACCGCACATGGTTCCGTTGTGTTGGGGGTCCGCATACATGCATGCGCAGGGCAAGTGGTGCAGCAAGGCCCCCCGTGCAAACCCACCCCCTCCCGCCCCTCCCCCAACCCTCCAGTGAGGTTCAGCGGCAGTTGATGGCGCTGCTGCAGCGCAAGGGCAGCTGGGGCGGTGCTGACGTGCAGCTGTTCACCTCCCTCTGCCACCAGGAGCACAGCTTGGAGGGGACGGTGGCGCAGGCCAAGGTGGGGGTTTAAACGAGGAAACTGATGGGCTGGGGGAAAAAGAAATGAGAAGTGCAGCAACTGGAGGGAGAGCTGGCGAGAGGTTGGACACCGGGGTGTTGATGCCAGGGGATGAAAGCTAGAGTTTTGTCAATTTTGTGCAGTGATCTGCGAATACCATGCGGCGTCGTGGGCCCCCCGCATGTACGGTATATCCCATAATGACACGCGCCACCTTACGCCCCCCATGCACCACGCGAACGCCTGCCTTAACCCCCCTCCCCCGATACGGCATGTACGGCAGGCCGCGTACGGCGCCGCCTCTGAGGCCCTTGAGGGCGCGCATGGGGAGCTGCTGCGGGCCATCCGCGAGCGTTACAGCGCCGAGACTTTGTGGAGCGATAAGATCCGTCGCGCCTCCACTTGGTGGACTGCGGGGCTCATGGCGCTGCACCTGGTGTCGTTCCTGGTGGGTGGACGGCGGTTTAAAGTGGGTGGGCGTGGGGGGACGTGGGTGGGCGTTACGGTAGTGCTGCTCCCACCATGCTGAACAGTTTTAACTCCTCGGTTGTGACCTACTGCTGTAACGGTATCTGTTTCAGCGGCGGTTGTACTCGCTGACGTGTCAATACCGGTACTTCCCTCGTGTCAAAACCCCTCACGTCCCACTTCCCTGCTGTCAAATGAACACAACCTGCCAAACACGCAGTCCGTGTACCTGGTGATGGAGCCCATCAAGGCACAACGGCTCCGAAACCATGTGGAGGAGGTACTGCGGGACGAACTGGTGGGTGTACGACAAACCGTGGCGTCACTGCAATCCACCCTGGAGTCCCACGTGGCTTCCGACGGCGCAGCGGCAACGGCGGCGCAGGCGGCGGCGGCGGTGATGACGGCGGCGGCGGCGGCAGGGGCAGCGGCGTCACCGGCGGCGGCGACGGAGGCGGCGGCGCCACCGCCGCTCACGCCGCCTCCGTCGTCAGTGCTGTTGGAGGAGGTGCTTCCGGAGCTGCGGGCTGTACGACAGCGGCTGGCGGAGGTGGAGAGGCTGGCGGCGGCGGTGAGCGGCGGCTTGGCGGAGCAGGTGGCGGCAACCAGGGCGCTAGCGGGGGCGATTGGGGAGAAGGCGGCGGCTGCTGCGGCGGCGCCGCCTGCCGCAGCGGTGGGGGCGATGAGCACAGCAGGGGAAGCTGCGGGACAGCCGTCCGGGCCGGCAGACAGGGGGGCCGTTGGTGGGAGAGCGTTGAGGGAGGAGCCGGGGCGTGAGGAGGGGCTGGGTGTTGCGGGCGAGGGTGGGGGTGATGGCGGCAGGTTGGGCAGGCTGCGGGCGAGGCTGGGCGGGTGGGGCAGCTGGGCAGGTGCGCAGCTGAAGCGGGCGGCGGCGGTGCCGGAGGTGACGACGGGGGCGGCGGCGTTCGCGGGCGCAGTGGTGGGGGCGGGCGTGCTTGTGCTGCTGCTGGATCGCCGGTGATGCGGGCGGGTGCAGTAGGGTAAATGGGTAATTCTGAGGAGCAGTTCAAAAGGAGCAGGCGCGCACACCCGGGTTGTGGGGGTGGTTCATTAGGGATGCGGAGGGGCGGGTGTTTGGCTGGCTCGGGTCAGTTGGGTGAGATGGCTGATGTGGGTTATGGCTGCTGCGCAAGCGCGCGGCGAGAATGGTATGTATGCAGCTATGTACCGTCGGGCTTTACAGGTTAGGCGCTGAGGAGACCTAACAGTTGGCCGGCACAAGCTAAAGGTTTCCGGGTTCCGGTGAAAGCAGGAAAGCTATTATGACCTGTCGGCGCCTCACTTCGAGGGGGTTTTCTCTCTGGGTACCTCCTGGTGCCTCATTACCCACTTCTTATTGTTGCTCCATGACCTACCGGTACTATGCGTGTCAACCCTGCCGCCTGCTTGCTCGTACAGCCCCGGCGCCAGCGTTAATAACCCCCCGGAGCGCTGCCCAACGAATCCAGCTGCCTTGTACTCATATGCCCAGACTTGGTGTACAAGATGCAATCCCACGTCGTCCAAACGATCCATGTGCCCCCTGCAATCAAACCACACCTTCAGCCGCCCCTTCCTTCGCTACTCCTCTGCCGGCCACACAAGCCGGTCTTTGACTTCCTCTCCTTCCCCTTACCACCCCATTACCCAATCCACCCCTTCCCCGCTCATTCCCGTGCCCCTGCCTAGCCACCCCCCCACTCAGCCATCCCCCTGCTGAGCAATTTCCGGTGAACTACGGTCAGGGTCAGTGTTCCCCCGCGGCTGAGTGGCTCCCCTCCCCCTGCTGCGCCCTTCAGTCGAACATGCTCTCCGCCAGGTAGTTGGCCGCCATCTCCTCGTTCTTGTCGCACGCCAGGTACGCCTCAAGGCACAGGTTGCGGTCGAAGCCCAGCGCCGCCAGCCGCGTGATGGCCGCCTCGTCCTCCTCGCTCAGCTCGATCACCATGCCGCCCTCGCCGCCGCCCAGCATGCCCTGGCGCGATGCAGGGAGGCGACACGGGGGAGGTGGCAGCGGAGGTGAAGGAACACAGGAAGCGTGTGGGTGGGTGGGTAGGCGTCTTGGCGGCCGCAAGTCGAGAAGGGCTGCATGTGCGCCCAACCACAGCACAGCAGCAGCCGCAACACGCAGACACGCCAGCGAGAGAGTACTGCGCTTGCCTATCCCACGAGATTTGCCATCCCCGACCACAGCCCTCCTATCGCAGCCTGAAGGATGAACGCCTCTCTGCCGTCTGTGCGTCGGCGGGTTCCCCTGCCTGCCTGACTGCCACCCTGCCTGCCTGCGTGTGTGCTGCCCCTGCCACACTGCCTCCCTGCGCACCCACCTCGTCGTCGTCTCCCTCTCCCGGCTCCATGAGCATTCGCAGGAAGTCCTGCTGGTTCTGGTTGATCACCTGGACCAGCTCGGGGTTGGTGCGGCCCAGTTGCTGCGGGATGGGAAGGAAGGGGGAAAACATGTGTATGGGGCGGAGAGTGGCGGGCGGCATGGGAGAGCCAGGGGTTTGCCAATAGGGGTTTGCCATTGGGTTTGGGTTCTGAATCAACCCCTGCAATCCTGTCCTGCAACACCCCCTGCCCCGTCCTCGCCATCCCAACACCCTCTTCGGATAGCATGCGTACGCCCATCACTGCATGCCCATCCCTGTCACGCACCGACAGCAGCGGCACCAGCGACCGGGGGTCCTGGGCCACAGCGGCGCGCAGGGCAGCGAAGGCGGGGCTGTCCCGCAGAGCGGCCAGCGCCGGATTCAGGCCGCCCTCGCCGCCGCCAGCGGCACCTGGGGCGGGGCCGCCAAACATGTTGAAGGGCTGCGCATTGGGGCCGGCATCAGCGGCGGGCGCGGCGCCAGGGGCGGGTGCGGCCTGCGTGGGGTGAAGCATGGCGATGGTGCACGGGGTTTGTAGGCTCAGGGCTGGGCTGTGGGGGTGGGTGACGGCATGTGCGGAGGGAAAGCACGGTAGCCGGGATTACCCGCTGGCAACCTGGCTGCCCAGTGTGGGTACGTATGCGAATTATGAAGATGGAGGACGGAGCGGAGAGTAGAAACAGATCATGGCTGCCACCCAACCCGGACGACCCTTCGCTCCCTCCTCTCTAGTAGCAACCAATGTAGCATGCGGTGTGTGACCCCAAGCGCCGGAACCCCACCTGCGCGGCGGGGCCGGCAGCAGGGGCGCGTGGCGCTGCGCCGGCCTGCGCCTGCGGGGCCGGCGGCGGCGGCCCGGCGTTGGCGGGGATGCCAGTCATGAGGTACTCCACGGCGCGATCTGGGTTGTTGAAGGCGGCACGCATGGCCCGCATCACCTGCGTGAGGACGAGGGGGGTTCGGTGGGGCGAGCGGTGAAGAGTTGGCGGTGGTGGTGTGGCGGGAGGCATGGCGATTGATGCAGGAAGGCCTTGCGACAGCAGCAACACCAGCCGTGGTGGCATCATCATAGGGCAGCAGTGGCTGACCCAAATGCCCGCAGCAGCAGCAGCAGCCGGCACAAACAGGCCTTCCAGACACATGACCCGGGGCCCCGCCGCAGCTTCACTTACCTCATCTCGGGGGAAGCCCATTTCGCAGATGTTGCTGATTGCGGTCTCCAGCTGCGAGCCCGCGAGCAGTCCCGAGGCGGCAGCGGTGTAGGCGTCCGCGGGGGCGACGGCAGCGGGGGCGGGGGCGGCGGCGGCCGGGGCGGGCGCAGCGGCCGGGGCAGCAGCAGGTGCTGCGATGGACGATACAAGGGAATGTGTTAAATGCATGGTTAGCAGCAGTGCTGCCTTTCACAAACAAAGGTATGGCAAGTAGTAGGCACACTACTTGAAATTGGTATCCAGACTTCAAAGAGTACGGTATGCTCCGGGGACGCCCCATGGTTGCTCTCCTGGTACAGCAAACACCTCCCCAAGCCCACACACCGCAAGGGAACTCACCAGGTTGGGGCGGTGCGGCAGCGGCCGGGGCCTGAGCAGCTGGCGCCGGGGCGGCAGCAGCTGCGGGCTCCGTCGCAGCCTACAAATGGTTGCTTGTCGTCAGATAGAGTGCCAAATTGTTGTAATGATGAAGTTCGGCATGTGTCTGGATGCAGCTCATGTAGGACCCTAAGAAACTGAAGGGCGACATACAAAGGCATTTCGATGCTCTATGAGCATGAAATGTATCTTACCGGAGTTGGCGCGGCAGCAGGCTTTGGCGCCTCCGCCTTCTTGGGCTGAATGAAGACGACAATGAAGCCCTGCTCTGTGATCTGGTTATCCCCCACTGTTGTAGCGTCGTCCAGCACTTTTCCCTTGTAGACAAGCTTCATGGACTCTCGGTGGCATTCCGACTGCGCCTCTTGCACCTTGTCTTTGAGTGCGCCGATCGAGAGGCTCTCTTCCGCCTCCAAATTGAAGCTTTTCCCAGCTATGGTCCTGAACGTCAGCTTCATTCTGTACAAAGCGGAAAGCCGCGGTAGCTCTAGCCTATGGGGTAGAAGAACTAGATCTGCGCCAACTCCGCGTAAGCGAGAGTATAACCAAGACTCGTTGCGTGTAGGGCAAATGAGAAGATACTTTTACTCCAAAGGAGCCTCGGGTGCATAAAGGTTGCTGTACACAGCTTTCCTCAGCATTACCACATGCACCACCACGGCAACAATTGGTATGAATATGCAATAGGCAGAGGCGCTTCACGAAATAAGTAATTCCTACACAGTTGTATCCATTCTGCGCCTAAGACAACCGATACGTTAGTATCCGTCAGGGGCAGGCATGTGCAGGATGAAGACGTGCTGGACTGAACAATGGGATGAATGGGCAAGCCAGGACTAAGGAATAATCAACGGAAACTTGGGAAAACGGTGAAGAGGACGCATGAGCCTACTTTCACTCAGTTTGGGAAGGCCGGCGAGGCCCGATGAGGCTCGGTGTATATCGGGAATACCCTTTTGCAGCAGGGGAGCGTGTTTGCTAAGAGTTTCGTTTATGGCGCTTGTCGTAGTGGGTGCGATTTCAGGGGCAAAGGCCAACTTGGCCGGTACAGCGGTTACTGGCGGGGATACGTTGTCAGTATTCATCAACAGCATAGCGTGACATATCAAGAGGATACCATTCTGTAAGGATAAGGCCAACTCTTAATGGGGGTGTGAGTTAAGTTCCGGTCATGCATGCCGTAATTTTCTAACCGCCCTGATGCAGTTGGTGAAGTGAAGGTCGGTCCGCCTTACATTTCGTCTACCACCATCAGCAGTTACCTCCAAAAGGCTATTGTAGGATGCTCAATTCCCCTCGCTGGTTCGACGCACCAAGACCTCGCCCATACTTTTCCACAGGATAAGAAGGCAGAGTTGCCGGCTAGCAACTGTTTGGGTGTAGTGTACTACATACAGTATCTGCCGCGTCCTTTGGCAGCAACTAGTACCCTCGGCAGTACAGTCCTGGGCGCCGGCTTGTGCGTAATAGTACCTGTTTAGTAGGCATTTCGAAAAGGCGTCAAGACATTGAGCATTGCAATGTCCGTTTCACCAGAAAATGGGAAATCGGTAGGTAGGGTCAGCATCTGTCCTGGTTCCTACCTTCGTGTTTCAACACCTGTACTGGCTGGGCATCGCCATTGCTTCCGCTATGGCCTTGCATTGCATTACTGTTGGGATTCGTTGTCCATCGCAGGGTTCCGTTCGCTCCCCGGAAGAAGTTCTGCGCCAAGCACGGATTGCACACAGCACTCGTATGGCTTCTATGGCACTTATAAATCGTGTTTCTGACAAACACTCAACGACTCGCCAACGCCGCACATCCCTGGTGCGACTTCAGTTCGACTCGGACCCATTCAAAGCACTGCCAAGCGATGGCTCCACCCTTGACTACCTGAGTCCCGGCTACGGAGAAATGTTTGACATATCTGATAACGGAAGGCATCCTGACGGTGAATCCATATCAGGCGGAGCCGCGACCAGTGCGTTCGCCAGCAATGCCGCAACAGTCCTGTTTGAGCCCAACGAGTGCTGCGATGCCGCCGCCGCCGCTGAAGCTGGCATCATCATTGGTGAACGCCGGAGCAGCAGCAGCAGCGGTCATGGCGACGATGCTTGCTGGGAAGCCGAAGCCAGCTCAGCTCTCCCCGTCTACGACACACCAAGCAACAGTATCACCACCAAAGCCCCTCCCGCGTACTCCCTCCTAGCCGCCGATGGCTCCAAGCCCCTGCTTCCCAGCTCCTCCCTCCCAGACGCAGTCTTCTTCCCAAACGCCCCGTCATCCACCCCTCTGCCCGCTTGGCCGGACGGCCCCCCCGCCACACACCGACCCAGCGCAGGCTGGAACCTCGGCGAAGCAACCCCAGCAGCCGCCACACCCCGAACACTCCCCAGAACCTCCGGAGAGGCATGGCCACCAGGCGCACCAACCGCTCTTCCACACCCTCCCAGCCCAACCCTGCTGGCCTCCAGTGCAGCCCCCCGGCGCCGGAACATGCGGCTCTCCTCCCCCTCCGGCTTGATGCAGGGAGCGCCGCCAAGCGCGCCGCTGCCCCTCCTGCGTGTCGCCCTGACCGGAACCGCGGATGGTCGCGAGCTCAGCCCCCCCGCGCTGCACAGCCGCAGCAGCACCCAGGGCGGGGGCGTGCCCATGTCGCCACCGCTGATGATGCCACGGCCGCAATCTCCGGCGCCGCTGCTGCAGCCCTTCGCCTCATGCGAGCAGCCGCCGCCGCCGCCGCCGTCCAACGGCCCCCTGCCGCTGCAGCTGCCCGCAGAACCGCCGCAGCCGCTGCAGCTGCCGCAAGCCCTCTCGCCCTCCTCCTGCCCATCCACCTCACCCCAGGCGCATGCTGCTGCTGCTGCTGCCGCTGCCGGTTCAGCTGCTGCTGCTGCTGCTCCTCCTTTGCCCTCTCCCCGCTTCAGGGACCGTGTCTACACGGTTGCGACCGCGAATGCGCCCGCAGCACCGCCGTCGCCAGTCCTCGCGTCCCAAGGCAGCGCCGCCGCCGCACCCGCCCCCGGCCCTCCAGGCCCCGGCTCAGGCGCTTGGCGGCTCGCTGCGCACGACCGCGAACACACTCGCTACCCCGCCCTCGCCGCCGCTGTTGCCGCCGGCATGGCAGCCTCCGCCGCCAGCTCCGCCCCCTTGCCGGGCGTCACTGGCGCTGCTGCTGCTGCGGCGGCGGCGGCAGGCATCAGCGGTCCGCGCACCAGCTGCTGCGGCGGCGTACCGGTACCCCCCGCGGGAGCAGCAGCAGCAGCATGCGGGAAGGCACACCATGCGGACGAGGCCCCCCATGCTGCCCGTGTTACCACACCCGCACCCGTGAACGCCGGCCTCAATGCGAGGCTGCGGGGCGCCTCCCCGGCGTCAGCTCGCAGCGCCCGCAGCGGACCTCTGCTGCGGCCCTCCTCCCGCGGCCTCAATCCCTCCTCCACCGCCGTCTCCGGCGCAGCGGCTGCGGGCGCTGCAGCGGTGCCGCTGGGAAGCAGTCCGGGAGCGACTCCCGCTAGTCCGGTAACCGTGGTCACAGGACCCCTTGCGGCGGGATTTCGAGGGCAGGGTGGGCTGCAGCCGCAGCAGCATGGGGCCAAACCGCTGGGGCAGGCAGCTGCAGGTGCGCAGGCCGCCGCTGCTGCGGCGGCGGCGGCGGCGGTAGCAGAGCGGCCTGGAAGTGCAGCGAGGGTGAGGTGGGGGCCGGGCACGTGTGCAGCTATGTATGCTGGAGGCGGCGGCGGCGGCGGGGGCACGCGGCTGAGGGGCAGCGATGCTGGTTACTACTGCCACAGCGCGACGGGGACGGCGGACGGGTCCGGAGCCGAGACCGCTCAGGTGAGGGCCTCCGGGCGGCACGCTGGGGGGTGTGGGATGCGTGTTTGGTCTCATGGCGCCGCTTGTGAGGTCTGGGGTTGTGAGCGCCTTGCTAAGCCACCGACCTCTTTCCAACCCTTGGCTGCTGTCCGCTGGTCCCGCTGATCCCGTACCCGTTTCACACCCTCCCCAGGACTCACTCGAGCAAGAGCAGGAGCAGGCACGCGAGCACGCACCCGCCCACCCTTCCGCACCTCAGCCCCATGCCACCCTCATGCCGCGGTCCCGGGCCGCCTCCCCAGCCCTCCTAGCAACCCCTTTCCTGTCCGCCTCCGGCCACCCCTCGGTTGTCACCGCAGCGGGGGTGGCAACCAGGGAGGCTGCGGCCGCGGGAAGGGCGCTGCCCGCGCAGCCTCTGTCTGTTGAACTTCCTGTCGGATCGCCTTTGAATGTGGGCTCCCCCATGAGCAGCGTCATCTCTGCCTCAGCACTGGGACAGCAGCAGCAACAACATCAGCAGCAGCAGCGGCGTGGCGGCGGCGGCAACGAATCGCCTGGGCGGCCGGTGCAATCGGCCCGCCGACTGTTCGCATTCGCCCTGTAAGCGTTACTCGTCGTCCATCGCCCATGCGTACTGCTTGGTTGATGTACGGCAGTAAGTCCATACCTGTATGTAGCTGAAGGGCAATGAAGCCGTGGCATCCCATCGCCACCTAGCTAGTACACTGGAGGGGATAGGAGGAGCCGGTGGCTGCGATAATGATATCCCAGCAGCTGTTGCATGAAGGCTTTCACATGCTGATGCGTGGTATTGGGTAGCCAGGGGACCCGTTCGTGTTACCAGTTGGCTTGGGAGGAGGAGGAGGAGGAGGAGTTGGGTTGTCCTAGCGTTGCGAATGCACTGTCCGGGTGTTTCATCCTGTGATCTGCAGTTGCTTGCATGCCTTGCTCGAAGCGGGCTGCAGTGTTATGCGCCGTCGGTTTTGCTCGCACTTTGCCGTCACAACATTCCTGATGTTTCGACGATTCTGCCTGGGTCCTAGTCATTTGTTAGGTTTGAGACTGGCGAATGGGAGCTGCAGGAGGGTTATTACGTTTGTTGAGGTTAGGTTGCTGCTGCTGGTGTTGCAGGGATGAAAAAGATGTGATACCAACGCGATACCGTTGTCACCGGTGAGTAGCGGTTGGGCTCGGGGCGTTGCGTCGCGTCCGGGCTGTGCATTTGCGTGCCGGTACAGCCATGTCCTTCTGTATCCGGCCGCGGCGTTGCTCGACTTCAAAGCGGTGTTGGCTGTTTGAAGACGTGAGACTCGGGTTTCGGAGCAGGTCTCTCCCCATGCGTGGCGCACGCAGGCTGCCTTTTGTGTGCTGGCAGCAGCGCACTCTCGTGCGAGAGTTTTATTTGTTTGCACGTATCGCGTATCCACTTGTTTCACAGTGCCCTAAATGTGCTGATGGGATGTATGTGAGTACATGACGACGTGCACTGCATATCGTAGGGATACCTTGTAGGCCGGATGCCGTGGCACGGCGGGCGGTTGCTGTTGTGTGTTGGGTGCATACCCCGGCGTTGTACGGCACCAGGGTATCAGAACCTAGAGTGAGAAGCCATCGCAATGGAAATGCCGGTAACCAAGGTAAGCTTGCGGTTCACTTTGGTTCACATTGCTGTGCGGATGTTTTGAGGATGTGCCGCGGCGGAAGCTGCCTGCCTTGCCTCACCGCTCCAGCTATCTTGCGCCAGCTGTTGGGGCGTGGTGTCGTCTCAGGTGCACATGGAATAGCGGTGCATGAATAAAGGAACGTTGCGTCAATGCGCACGATTGTTATATCTCGGGTGGTGCAGGTCTTAATGTGCGCCTTGCAATAGGCAGGGGAACAGGAGAATGGAAAAAAGAGCAGGAATAAGCTGCAGGGCGCTGCACATATGTTTGTAGCCCTGTGTACGCGGGGATGGTGGGACGCAATGGGAGCACATTCGAGGCGTGGGGGCTAATAAAAGGAATGCGTGTGTGGAGGCAGTTGATAGTCACGACTTTGTGAGGATAGGCGCGAGCGGAGAGGTGAAGGCGGCAGCGCATGTTTCCGTACATCCGTTTCCGTACTAGGCCGTGAAGTACGTGGTACAGTGGAGAGGGAATGAGCGCCTGGCCTGCTTCAGATTTCTAGTAAATACGGGTAGGCGATACCTTACAACTGGTATGGTGCTGTTGTGTAATGTTAATGCGATTGGTGTAGGCTGTTTTAAGCTAAAAATACCGGTACGTGATTGCCATGTATGCGCTTTATTGGTTCGGTCCAGGCGAGGGCTTCTGGTTTGGGGAGGAGCACCAGGGAGCGCCCCATAGCTAATAAATAAACTGAGCAGGAATCGGTGTGAAGTGCGAGATTAGGCGGTTGGCGCGCGCTAGCAAGTGCCGGCTGGCTACCATGAACAAGCTGCTCGGTTATCGTAATGGAGGCAGTGTGAGGATGCAACGGGAATTGCATATGAAGCTTCATTAAACGAGCGTACGTTTTAAATCGTCCGTCCTTCGTCCAAGGTTTCGACAAAACAGGCAACCCGATAACCACAGCACGGTCATAGCTGCGGGGTATGTATGTCAGTGCCAGGGCAGTAGTCAATCTAGCTAGGTTCGTTGGGGTGTGCGAAGCGGTACGCTTGGAGATTGTACGACCTTTCGGACGAGTAAAAGACGATTGGTCTTGCATTTAACGCTTAGCCAGCTCACATTTTTTGTGCAACGCTGCGTTTCCGTGCGTGCGCTCTGAGCTTACGGCGTGGTAATTATTCTAGCGGGCCGACTACCGGTATCGGCGGGTTGTTTTGGGAACAGCTATCGCCACAGTTAGTACCAGCCTGGCGTTAACATGCTGTAACAAGCTGTGTACAGTACGTCGCCCCCTTGGATAGAGTACTCCACTGCCTGCCGAGCTTTCAGGCTTCGTACCGTGCATTGCAACTGAGTGCCTGCAAGCATGCAAGCGTCGGAGGAATACCGAGGCGCTGTGAAGGTATGTGGTCTAACTGCGTACACGCCTCGCATCTCGCCAAAATGCATAGATAGGGTCTACGTCCTGCGAATCCTGCGTGTTTTCCAACTATACGCTTGCATCACAGGCAAAGCTTCTGTCGGATTCCCACGTGAATCCCGAAGAGATGTTGTCTACGGCTCACGAGGCTTGCCTTCGAAGCGCGACCAACAGCAGCGTCGCACGACTGAAGCAATCTAGAGTCCTACATAAGTACCAGTCTCTAGTTCGCCTGCAGTATGATGAGAATACGTTCGTACGTGTCGACGGTGAAGACGGCACCGAAAGCGATGAAGATGCTAATGGGTCTCAGCTGACAGCAGACGCGGCGTCGGGGTCTATTCCTGTGCTCACTTCAAACACAGCTTCTTACAGCAACGAAAACAACGCTTCTTCTAGGAATGGAAACGATGCCAGTAATACAGCCGATGGCGATGGCCGGTCCACGCATTCCGGACAATTCGCGCCCCCTGGTACCGCGGTCGCCTCACAGTTGCTACAAGCCTCAGGCAGCAGCCAAAGCTGGCGCAAGATCAGCAGGATCTTAGCTGCCACCCGTCGCCGAAAGTCCGCTCCCGATACGCAGGAGTACTACAAGGCAGCTGCGGCGGCAGCCGCCAGCGCGAGTGTAGCGCACAATGCGGCCGCCTTGGCTGACGACGACCCAGATGGATCCTCCACGAACTGGATGCAGCGTGCCGCGAGCCTCACCGCGCAACATTCCGGTAAGGCGCACCTCGACAGGCGGCGCCTGCTGCACCTCATCCACAACAACGCCAGCCCTGCTGCGGTGCTGGCGGCTGTTGTGGGTGATGCTCCAGCAGCCGAGCTCTCAGCCGAGGAAGACAATGGGGATGCAGCGGAGGAGAGCGACGAGGACGATGATGCCAATGTCAGTGAAAACCACGGCGGCGAGGACAGCGAGACACTGATTGTGGAGGAAGCGGAGCTTGATGCACAGCGCACCACATACCTCCCTGCGTGTCGCCAGGGCTGCAGCGGCGGCTTACCCATATCCACCCAACCCAGCGCCTTCCTTACACCTGCGCCACCATCCCTGGCAACAGTCGCAACCACCACCATGCGTCAGACCATGCCCAGGCGGGCGCATTGCCGCTCCGTTGATTTCGCCACCGCCTCCTCCTTACCCACCCCTCGTACCGGCCAACACACCGCTTCCTCAGGCGCTGACCTGGTCTACGCGGGACACGAGCACGGCGGCTGTGGTCAGGATGCGGCAGCAGCAGCAGACCACCACCACCACCACCACCACCACCACTACCACCACGACAGCGGCAGCAGCGGCGGCACGCTTGACCCAGGTGGCCTGCCCGTTATCAAACTCCGTCGCAACAGTGTCAGCATGGGCTCGGCGGACCGAGGCGGACACCACCACCACCACCACCACCACCACCTCCATGCAGCTGCTGCTGCTGGCAGTGGTGGTGGCGGTGCTGCTGCCGGAGCGCCCACAGGCACGGCGCTGAGCCGGTCCACCCGCTCGCTTTCACGTCTGGCTGTCACTCCCGGAGCGCCGCTGTCAGCCTCAGCTTCCGCACACAGCTTTGTCGTACATTCGGGCATGGCCGCCCATTTGGCCGAGGGTGCTGCTGCCGACAGCGCGACGGCCATGACGGATGTTTTGGAGGGCTCTTCAGGTCCTCCTATGTCGCCATCTCCGGGATCGCCCTTCCTTTCCGGTCCAACAGCAGGACCCCTGCGTGGCGGCATGCATAAGTCCGCCTCCTGCGTCGTCACGCGCAGCCGTCCTGGCACCCCATGCGGCTGCGAGCCTCGCGGGGAGCTGGAGGCTTGCAGCGGCTCTCCTCGGCAGCACTACCTGCCCCACACGCCGCTGTCACCAGTGCTGCCCGACGGCACCACCACGACCAGCCGAGTCCTCCGCTACTGCAACAATGGGCGCAGCAGCAGTGTGCAGGGTTACTTGAACAGCAGCGGCGGAGGCGGCGGTAATGGATTGTCTCAGCTGGCTCAGCGCAGCGGGAGCATCATTTGGGGCGGCCTGGAAAGTGGTGGCAACTCGGATGTGGAGGGCAGCGTTGTTGGGACGCGGCAACAACATCACCGGACGAGTGTGCCCTCGTACCTCTCTGCAAGCTCTGGTTTGGGTGCCGGCACTGCTGCTGCTGCAGGTGCAGCTGCCGCTGGCAGCGGCCCCTCTTTTACTAGGCCCGCGATGCCGGCCGCTTTGCAGGTGGGGGGTGCGCGGATGTCGTGCCGTGGGTGTGGGCTTGTGGGTGACGCAACGATGATTGATGCAGCACGGACATGTAGGCGCTGGGCAGCCTCCCAGTTCCGCCTTCCATGCTACAGCACTGCCTGGTTAGGACTGCTGCTCCGAGGCCTGATGCCCTATTTTCTTGTGGCTGGCCCCCTGGTGCGCTGCATGCTGCCGTCACATGCTGCTAACACTGCCTGAAGCAGTACTGCAACAACACCTGTCCGCATTACCTGGTTTGGCAACCAATGGCTCGCTATCATGTCATGGCTACACACCGCGCTGCACCTCCCCGCCAACTGCAGGGCCGTTCGCTGCCGAGTATACCCCTTGCGGAGGATGCGGCGGGTCGCGCCTCCGCAAGCCCCGCCACCGCATCCGCCCTGCCGCAACTGTCAAGGCCCTTTTCTCCTCGCCCGCCACCGCTGCAGCCGCAGCCGCACCCACCGACACACCCACACTCGCCGGCATTGCAGCAGCAACAACAACCGGCTGCAGCATCCCCTCCCTCAGCGGCGCAGCAGCTCCGGCACCTGAGGTCTGGGATGGGTCGCTCTGTTTCTGTCACCTCGCGCGTCGAGCCCTCGTGCACCGCACCGCCTGTAACCCCGCGTGAGGTCTCGTGCTTTGCTCCCGGTGCGGGAAGTGTTGCGGATCGAGGGTTCTTAGGAGAGGGTAGCAGTGGTGGCGGCGGTGGCGGGGCCGCAGGCGGTGTGATGGCGCGACTGTTCCGAGAACTGAAGGATTTACGGCGGAGCGAGGAAGCGCGTGTACGATCGCAGCTGGCAAGCCTGGCAGCATTGAGCAGCAAGGACAGCAGGAATTAGCGGGGTGCAAGGTTGGGTGTGTCGGTAGCTGGCGTTAAAGAGGGGGTTTAGAGCATGACATGTACGGGCGCTGGTCCGTACGGGCGCTGTCGTCATGACAGGGTGTGCTGCTGCTGCTGCTGCTGCTCGGGTGCGCATCCGTTCACGGCAGCGAGCACAGTCGTTGATGAAGGAGAGGAGAGTTGACCTGTCAGCAGGTTGGGAGCGAGCATCGAAGACTGGTGAGTGGTTCGTGTTGCATTGGCTGGGTATGTCACGGCATCATCGCTGGTTGGTTAGTTGGTAGGTATGGAGGTCCTAGGCATCTAGCATCGGAAAACAACGCTGTTGAATACCGGTAGAAGGAGGGGTTGGCAGACGAGCGCCAGGCAGCGCATTGTTGTGCACTACATACAGTGGGCAGCAGTGCTAAGCAGCGCGCGGTGCGTGCTGGCTTACAGCCGTCTCGATGGCTTTGCAGCGTATTCTTTAGAGCGCATGTTTTGGGTTGCAAGGAACCGACTGTGTAAGGACATGCAGCATGTCTTGCTGGTAAGGTAGGGCGCCATGCGCCCGGCAATAACTCGGATTTACTAGATGACAAAGACAAAGTACCTCTGCTGGTTGGTGCCCGATGTATGTATGGGCGTTGCTGACGCGGAGCCCTGACGTATGGACATTTGGTTGCTCTTCTGCTGCTGCATGGGGGATAATATACCTTGCCGCAGTGCATGCATCACTTGGGTTCATGTTGGTTCATCTAAAATTTTGTCATGGCAAAGCATGCGTTGATGATGTGTTGACCAGTAGTTCGCGGCGGAGGGCCTTGCCTGTGTACTCACGAACCCGGCCTTGGCGTGGATGCTCGTGGCCTATGCGTGGTGAGGGCAACTCGGCCGCGTAATTGCTGTGCCGACCGTAGCTGTTGACCAAGGAGATATGCACAACCCGCATGCCTGGTGTGCGGTGCGGGCTGGTGCGCTTGCGGGCTTGCGTGCTTTACCGGTTACTGTGTGACAATTTCGACCTAAGCCGCCAAATGCGGACAGCCTTTTGTGGCATGGCGTGCATTCTGTGTAGTGGTCAACCAAAGCACTGGGGGCTGGCGGTTACTAAAATGATTGCATCCTGAACTGATCAGTTCAGAACGCATGATGCCATGTACGAACGGAGTCGTCGCCGCATTGGCGGTGTTACGGTGTATTGCAATTATGGGGTTGGGTTTGGCTCCTTCGTGCTGGAGCCGCCCGCATTCCTGGCACCTGAGACACGTTTGTAGTGACATCTGTACGACTCCTTCCGAACCATTACCTTGGGGGAAACTGTTGGGGGCAACCGTGCGCGGGCGCTGTGGGTGGAGGTGGGAGGTGGTTAAAAATTTGCTGCGTCAGTTATCCTACTACGAAACTGGTAGGCTTTGTGGGCAGTTGGTTTAGCGCTTGGTGTGGCGGTGTGACCATGCATCAGCGACAATGGTTTAGGCTTAATGAGCTCTGGTGTCGGGCTTAGGTATTTGATGGCAAACTTTAACTTAATATGGACATGCATGTGATAGCATCGCCCGTATGGAGCTTGTCGGCTTGTCAGTAGCCCTGCCATCCCACTACCATATCTAGGAAGTGATCTCCGTTACTGGATTTGTTGTTGGTTGTTGTTTTTTTAATTATTGTCGTGATTTTAGCCCTGCTTTTTTCTTTGGCTGTGTCGCAGATTCCTCGCGACAAGCCTGCGAAGGCTGGTGTCAAAAGTTGTATGTGTACTGTTGATGATGCAGGTGAGCTTGCTGGGAGCAGCCAGGCGCATGTATTCAGGCCAGCAAGCTTTCCCTCTGCGGTTGTTGCAGTTGCAGTTTTATGCAGTGTATTTAGTTTGCAGAATACATGCCTTACAAGGAGGGTCTGTCATGCTCCAATGGTGAAACATGCCAAATCATGACATGGGGTGGAACCTGGCAAACACTGGGAAAGCAAGCGGATAACCAATAAACCGCTATACGTAAAGTAACCAATAAACATCGCAGGCGTCTCTCCTACCAACTTCGGCAAGACAGTTGGACGGTTGGTCCTAGGAACACGACTTGTACACGATAGGGGTCATGGCTGGCCAAAACCGGCATCTTGGTCTCTGACAGAGCGAGTACACACGCCGCAGACGTTGTGCATTTAACAAGAACGTTATATTGCGTGTGCAATGGGAAACGTACACGGCTGGTAAGTGTCATAATGACTTACTAATACTTGACACAGGTCAGCAGCAGGGCCTTATGGGCTACAGGTCCTGCATTCCTATGCCCCGTTTCCGGCTGTCTGACTTTAGTTATGCCTTTTAACCTAATAGATAATACACTCATCACTCCTTGAAAGCCAACGACTCATTAGCTGCACTTAGCTGCACAGGCTTGGGACAGCTCCTGCGAGCCATGCCGAGGGCTGTGGAAGGCCACCGCGAAGAAGTTCTGGTAAGTGACAATTAGTTGCCTTCTGCTCATCACCGAACGGTTTTTTCCTCTAGGAAACGCAGCTTCTAGACACGGAAACCGCAATACGCAGTACAGGTTTCCCCTTTCACGCTTCACATGTACACAGCTTACTTCAGATATATGATCATAGAGTTTTAAGACTCTGTGCTCTGTGTTATGTGCCAGAGAAGGCTCTGCCCTGCCATGTCAGAATTGTACCCGTTGACTCGCTGGCATTACTTTGTCAGTGCTTATAAATAGGCCTTTATGCTCATTAAACGAAGAAGTTTGTGGTTTTTAATTTCTTACCACAGGCCAGGTTCGCGCCAGATGTGCCGCATCAACTTACTCCTGAAGAAGTCTTACGAAACGCTCGAGAGGCATGCAATCGGAGCATATCGTTCTACGAGGGCTGCCGACAGGAGTACACCCGTGCCCAGCATGCAAGGCAGTCTATGTGCAAAGTTCAATTTGGCGAATCTCGCTGGTCAGAGGGAGACGAATCTGGGCCCAGCTGCGACATCGAGAATGACAGTGAAAGGGCCGTTATGGAATGGGATGACTGGGACGCGTCGCCTGGACCTGCTGCAGGCCCTCTCGCTTCGCGCCGGTGTCGCACCAACATCGGGTTCGGATCTTCCTCGGCTAATCTTCGCCTCATGGTTACCTCGGCACCAGATGTTATTGAAGTAAGCAAGTACGTTACCGCGCCGGTACCGACACGGTTTATGTTGGCCGACATGCCTTCGGGGTCAGTGGCTCCCCAGGCTGCTGATCGCTCTCCATCACGCAACAACCGGCCCGACTGGCTCATTGCCAGCAAGCTCATGGCACAGACTCGTCGCCGTCGTTCCGCACCGACCGCTCAAGATTTCCACGAGGCTGCGGCAACCATGGCTGAAATTGCTGAGGACAACGAGGTTCCCGAAGGTGGCTGCCCGAACTGGGTGCAGCGCGCTGCACGCCTCACGTCGGAGCGATTGCAGCATTCCGCCGCAGGTCGTCTCGACAGGCGGCACCTGCTCCACCTCATGCATAACAACGCCGGGCCCGCGGCAGCTTTGGCCGTCGCTGTGGGAGACCTTCCGACTGAGAACCCTGCTAAAGAGCACGATGACAGCGGCCTTACGAATAGCGACAGCATCGGAGCGTTGCAACGTACTGGGGGGCTTACCTCTGTCTCAGCCCCGCTGTACAAGCAGTCAACTCTGCGCGCGCACCGTCGTTCTGTGGACCTCAGCGCCTGCGGTGCACCTCCCTCCCAATCCGTCCTCCTCAACTGCGTGTCACGCCGCACGGGTCCCACCGCGAGCGAAGGTGCCAACCCTGACAACGCGCCGGTCCGCAACCAGAACGAAGGCAGCAATCACGACAGTGAAGGGCGCACAAGCAGCTTCCCGGCAATCTCGTTCCGTCGCAACAGCTGCAGTTTCCGTTCAAATTTGGATCCTGGGCTCCACCCCTCTGGTGCTCCTCAGCTGCGTCCGGCGGCGCTTGCTGTACCGCGACTCGGACCGTCCGGCGCAACGTCCCCGGCGTCCTTGCCGCATAGCGCTTTATCCTCTGCACAGGCCTCCCCCTCCGCCGGAGGCACAGGCCACGGTACTCTAGGCAGCCCTCCAGGTACCATTGCGCCGCAGCTGTCAGCATTGGGCTCCGAATCAGTCAGCATGCGCAAGACGGGGTCAGGCTGCCTTCACGGCCGAGACGGTTCGGGCTCACTGTCGTTGCTCCTCGACCGTAACTTTGACGAGGGACCCGCAACTCCAACCGCACTGCCGCCGAAGCCTCCGCTGCTGCAGCAGCAACAGCGGTCGCAACAGCAGGCGGACTCCCCGGCCTTACCACCCGGGTCTACCTCCACGTCGATCTCGGGTGTTGTAGGCGCTAGCGGCGGTGCTGGCTCCCATGGGGAGGAGCCGCGCCTCTCGCAAAGCCGTCCAAGGCTTTTGCGTAGTCTTTGCAGCATCGGCAGCACAAGCAGCAACAGCGTGCACAGCGTTTCGAGCACCAACGGCTGCCTCTCGGCACCTTTGGCCGTGTCAAGCATCAGCGGGGGCTCTGCGAGTGGCGTCATGGCGGCCCCGCTTCGAGCGTCTCTCAGCTCGGTCTTCCAGGTGGGTTGGGTCGGGTGCAAGCTAGGAGATATGTGGTGCGACCCAGGAATTTGCATGCAACCCTTTCGCTTTTGCAGGGACAGGCAGGAGATGCTTTCTCGTCACCGTCCCTGCCTGGTTGCGCCTCGGACCAAGCCGACTGCCTGACTGCTTTGGTTAATGAACGAGCCCAATCGCTTCCCAGTCCAGCACTCCACCTCTCCACGCCCTTTCAAAGCCCCTACTCCTCCGGTGGCGCCCAACGTGCGCGCTCCCGTTTAGCCGCCCTCGCGCCCCTGGACATGTCAGCGCTTGGAGGCAGCAGTGGAGTCTCCGTTCGCCCCACAGCGCCTCTCGTACCTCCGACTACTTCAAGCGGCGGTCGAAAGACCTTAGATGAGTCGCGGCTGGGTCTCCGAAGCAGCCAGCTCGCTCGTGGGGACGTGCCAGGGCCAGGTGCCGGCAACAAGGGAATGCGGAGTACAGGGGAAGGGGCTGCAGTGGAGGCTAGGAAGAAGGGCGGTGCGGGTCGGCCTGGTGTTATGGCGAGTTTGTTTAAGGCCCTGCATGACTTGCGTAGCGTGGAGGATGATGAGTGAGGCAGTGAGAGGGGTTGTGCACAAGGGTGCTTAGTAGCATGGATTTGTTCGCAGGTGCCAGCAATGGCGGAAAGGGGTTCCTGTGCTTTTGGAAGGGTTGGGATGGGCATACGCACGGGGGTGCCGATGCGCATGGTATGTCTACGCATTGTGTATTGAGGCTGGTCTGTGCACTGCTGGGGGTTAGGAGTATCATTGTGTTGGGTGGGGACGAGGGGTAATGCAATTGTTTGGGACGAGGGGTTATCAGATTGTTCGGTATTACCCTGCACGACGCAAGGCGCTTCATTAATGTCAGGGCGACGCTAAGTAATTATGGGCTCAGCAGTTGGAAATAGATGAATTACGGCGAACTCACAACCCATGTATTTTAGGTTTGTTTTGGTCTAACCAATGAAACTCAATCCGATATGGAGAACCGGTTAATGTATCGTCACGATTAACCTTGATTGTTTCATGATGTTCATCTCGTCTCGTTTCTATAAGGATTCAAGCGAATGGGATTCCTGCCTGATGCAAATTGCCAAAATCCTTACGGTACTTGTTTATTCTTGATAGCCGCGCAGTTTTCAAGGGTAAGCAGGCTAAGGGTTTTGGGGGCGGGGTCAGGGTGGGGTTGAAGGTTTTTTTGACTGGTTTGCAGACTGCGTAGGGTGACCGTTGGACCTTCGGGTGGTGAGCACTTTTGACACAATAAAAAGGACGGGTTTTGCGGCAATCTACATTCGAGGGCAACCCCAATGACGCGGCTTTGGTGCATTGCAATGAGCGTGTGTGCTGGTTGTCGATGTTGGTGTGTCCTAATTCCCCCCATGCGGTTAACATTGTTTGTCATGATCTCGGCAGCTCGGCGCCTGTTTTTCTTTATGCACTGATCTTATGTTGCCCTTTCTCCTAGAAGGCAGCTTCTTCCTCTCTAGGACTTGCCAGGTTGCGTCTATGGCCCTCTTGCACTCTGGGCGTAATGTTTGCCTTCCTTGGGCGTGGTATTTGCCTGCCTCGGGCAAACTTGCTGTTGTTCAGGAGTTCCCCGGCGCCCACGATGCGTACAGCTACCGCAGCGTGGGATGGCCGGGGGTGATGGCGCTAGCGGCGGTGGTGGTGGTTGTGCAACGCGTGTTGATGGACGTGGCTGGGTTTGCGTACTATCGTACTGCCTTGTCATGTGACGCTGCATGAAAGTTGTTTCAGGTCTCGTTGTGGCTGGGGAACTGTCACCACTATTAGTATAAGAATGGAGGCTGCGGTGGCTGACATGATATGTGTAAGTCGGAAGCATGGAGTTTTAGGAACCTCAAATTCGTGACGTTATCCTCCGCATAATTAAGGCATGGCCGCACGGGCTTTGCACGTTATAAATGCATGCAGCCAGTAGCCTTACTATTAAAGTATGGGTGCATGTGTACGCGCAGAATTAGCCATCTACCGACTTCCCAAACAGACATTTGCGCTGTGTTAAGTTATTAGGTAATTTATGCCCCTCACGTGCTGCCCCTCACGCCTGTCACTGCGAAGGGATAAGAAAACGGGGCACCAGATTACCAATTCGCTCCGGAGCCGAGGTGTGGTTTCAGAGCAAGCTGTTCGGTTTCGTCAGGTTACTTTCAACTGGAGCAGTGATGCTTCTTCTGCATCAACAAATCTTAGCAATTGCATTCCTGGATTTAGCTATAACCGACAGTTTCTGGGCCGCAATATAAGGCCCCTTTCTGATAGCCTTTGGTGCAGCAGGGCGGCAGCGAGCACCAAAATTGTCTATCCATTATAACAAACAGTTGTACCCTCTGTTATCTCATATTTGCTCATTTCCAGTATCATGCCGAGACGGCAGGTTTGCACTGGATCTCCATCGGTTTACTGCTATGGCTATTCAAGTCCTCATTAAAGATGAAGGACTTGTCTTCGGTAAGAACTTGGGGCCACAACAAGCGCGCGGGCAGCTGCTCATACCAAGTCACTGAAGCGTTCGGAATCCTTTCCTAGTAGGAACACTGCAACTAGTGAACTTATAGGGCTAAACGTGACACGCCATGATGCACTGATGGCGGTTTGCTCTCCTTTGCTGGTGCGTCGAGGTGTGCAAGGGATGCACCTGCGTACTGTAACAGGAAGCAACTCCCGCTTTGTTACTCATCGCCCTTCACAATAGCGACCTTGTCCCTTAGGCTTACTACATGGAGTTGGAAGCCAGAAGTCATTGTGTAGCAGGCGCGCAGTTCGCCATGCAAGACGACCACCCTTGCCTCATCTTTTTTGCTTGCCCTGATCCGTGCCCCATAGTTGCAGCCTTGCGCTTTCATGTGCAAAAACGTGCCAGGCTTATCTCTACGAGTTTTTCCGCCGCGCAACTCCCCGTTCAGTAAACAATCCTTGACCCATCCGGCCCCCTTCCTACGAACCGCAGGCGTCAATGCTCCACAGAGAGGAGCGTCACGTCTCCGCTATAGACGTGCTGGCAAGGGCGCGAGCGAGCCACGGGAAGCAAGTCCTTTACTACGAAAGCCTGGCTAGTTTTGGACTGCTGCAGCGTCCAAAGCCTTCCCTTAATCGCTTTCAGTACGGCGATAGCACATCCAAGGGCGACGGGAACGGCAAGCACACCTTTACCAGCGACGGCATCGGGCACAGTGGAGATGACGGCAGCGACAGCGGTGACGATACCAGCGACGGGACAGCTTCGTCAACCAATGACGGTGAAGCCTACAGTCCTACTTTCATGAGGATCCAAACCGTCAGATCCTCTTCCATCCTCTGCTCTACCTCACCAGTCAACAGCCCCAAACTTGCCACCTTGAACGGCAGCACCAGCCGCAGCATCAATGGCGAAAACACCAGCACCGGCAGCAACGTCATCACCACCGCCACCGTCACCTTCATCACCACCAGCAGCAGCACCAACGCCGCGCAGAGCACCAGCGCAAGCACCAGCAGCGTCGTAACTGCACCCGACAAACCCCCCATGAGGACCCACTCCTTGTCGCTCTTTCCCGTGCGCTTCATCGGACCCGCTACCTCCTGCTCCAAATCTGCTGCGCCATGCCTACCGCAGCCCGAAGCTAGTACAGCAACCTTGTTGTCGCCCTGCACTGCCCAGCAGTCGCTGCCCTCAAGCCGGACCTATCGACCGTCTCTTGCTAAAAGCGCCGCGCCGGCATCTGGCCGGATCCGGGTAACCGGGATGCAGCCCGGGGTTGGCGGGGAGCTGTCCACACTGGCTTGTACGGAGATAAGCCCCGTGCGCCGAGCCGTGACGTCTCCTGGGCCGGCAGCGCGTCGCAGGTCAGCTCCAGGTTTTCTGAGCACAGTGCATGAGGCGGTTCCGGTGGCTTCTTTTGGGAATGGGGTCGGGGTAGCTGTTCCGCCAACAAGTGCTGAATGCCGCGCCGGCAGGGCGGCAAAACAGGTAGCAGGTGCAGCCGCGGGGCTTGCAACTGCTCCCTCTTTCGGGGCGGCTACTGGCACTTCTGCTACAGCTACTGGTGCCCCAGCCACTCTTTGTATAGCTATCACACCTGCACCACACGCAGCTTGCGCGACGCCAGCAGCGGTATCGACGGCAGCAGCACCTCCATGGGTGGCTGTGGCGCCAGTAGAGCGCCCCAGTACCTGCGCCTCCCCAGCCGCTTGCCACGACCTGCGGCACCAGCTATCGGCCCTGTCGCAGCTCCTGCGCGGCTTCAGCCCTCGCTCAGCCTCCCTGACGACATCAGCCTCGGCCGCCGGAGCTGCCTCCGCGTCTCCAAGCGCAGCGCCAGCGCCCGCCGCTGCCGCGAGCACCTCCGCCAGCGGTTCGCTGGGCGGCATGGTGACTGCTCGAGCGCCCGTGCCGCCGACGCTGCTGTCCATCCGCTCCGCCCGTAGCGCCTCCTTCACCTCGCATGTTGCCACTTCACCCAACACGGTTGCGCCGTCGCCGTTTTCGGCCTCGGCCGCCGCCGCCAACGCAGCTGCCACGGCAGCAGCTGCAGCCCGACACAAGGCGCACCTCCTGCCGGACCCCAGGTCAGCTTCCATGGGTTCAACCGGGGGTGCAGGCGCGCCACTACTTTCCGCACCATCGTTCCGGCAGCGGTCATCCACCGGGCCACAGCCTTCGCCGCCGGCAGCCCCCTACTCCCCCCGGCAATACCAGTCCCACCCACAGCATGCGGCGCAGCGGCGACCCGCGTCCCCTTCCGCTGTACCCCCAGAGTGCTCATGTGCAGAGGAGTACGTGGGTGAGCTTGAGAGCAGCCCCGCACTTGCGCGCAGGATGGCGCTGCACCCGCGTGGAGTGGCTGCAGGGCTGCCGCTGCGGCCCACGCCGCTGCGGACCTCCTCCAATTCGCCCACGCCGCTCTCCGCGCCATTACCAATGCCCGCCAGCGACGTTGATTCATCGGTTGGCGTCTGCCATCCAGGCACGGCAGCGGCGGCGACGTTGGGTAACAGCGCGGCGGCGCCGGCCGAGACGAGTGACCCTGGTGGCGAGGCGGCGCTTCGGCAGCCTTACCTGCAGCCCCACCTGCCGAGACTGCCGCATTCTGTTAGTCCGACGCCGCCACCGCAGGCGGCAGCGCGCTTCGGAAAGCCGCAGGACGCGGCAGCAACCGCGACAGCGTTATTGCCGCGAGCTGCTACTTTCACTGCCTCATCGCCCTCACTTCAATCCGGGAGCTATGACTTAGTGGCAGCGCGGCTGCACCGATGGCCGGTGTCAGTGCATTCGGAGGCGGCTGCGATGAAGCTCTTTGCGGCCGTGGCAACGTCCGGAAGGTTGGTGGGGACGGCAGGTGGTACGGCAGCCGTGGCAGTTGGAGGGGCCTCCGCCGCCGCTGCCACCACCACAGCCACAGCCCACGTCGAAGTCAGTAACGGCGTTGCACGGGTTGGAGCTGTGGGTTCTGAGACCGCTGTTATGGGTTCTGTTTCGAACGCAGCTGGAGGGACGGCGATGGGTGTGGGTGCGCTTGCGTCTGCTGCAGCGCGGCGTTCGATGCAGTCTGGTGCAGTCGCCACGGAGAGTGAAAGCAGCGGCAGCGGCAGTGCCGGTTGGCAACGCAGGCGCGGCGGTGGTGTGCCAGCAGGAGGTCCCGTGTCAGCTGACATCCCGGCGGTTGGGTTGCGGCAATCGCCGCTGTCTCGAAAATCGTTACAGATTTGAAGCAAGGCCTTTTCGTTGTCCTCATGTGGGATAACAGTGACGGGCTGGCTCTGATATGCTGCTTCCCCACTTGATATGGTACATGTATCCTGCTGTAGGTACAAGACACTCGAGTTCTTGATATAAAATTAAGAGGGGCCGCATGTGCCCGATGTGCGAGCGCACGTCAAGGTTTGCGGGCTGGGGGCTTTGAGGCACAACATTTAATGCATAAAGGGTTCGGATTAGACAACGAACTGACAAGCCGCGTTTAATAATAATCGTGACCGCTGCATAGCAGAGGTTGATGATGCCGGGTTGGAAGTGCATTGAAACCCTTGTGGCGACGTTGGGTTACGGTTGAGCTCCGTGCATCCGGATGTCCTGGTGCTGTCAGGTATCCACGAGGGCCACTGCCTGCGTTCTGAAGAGACTTGTTGCAACCTGGTGCGCGTGCCCGCATACGGCATTTTGAACTGACAGCAGCCAGCCACAGCGGGTGTGGTCCGCTTTGGCTGGGGACGGATGATTCATCTCACATTGGTGGGCTACCTGGCCTCGTGGTTTACATGGCATTTCCAATGCAGCGGCCTTGGAAGATCACGTTGTAGCATTAGACGTTTGACGGTGGGTTGCCTTGTTTGTTTATTGCGACAGTTCGGCGGCAGGGTTGTCAGCACGGGTGATGGGTTGTGAGCGCGCCCGTGGCCGGTGCCTGCTGCGTTTCAGTCATGCCAGCAATATGCATTGTACCCCTTGGATTGATGAGACGCATCCTGCGTGTGTAGCAGGATGCCACATCCTTGTGCATTAGACATGAGCATGAAGCATTGTTGTGGATGCCTACTGACCGCATCCCCTTGATGTGGGTACCGTGCATGCTGGGAGGAGTAGCTGCGGGGGGAACATGTGGCACGATGGTGGGCCGTTCTGCGTGGGGCTGCTTAGAGACACCGATAACGCTGGGCGGCGTGAGATGGACGCATTTTCCTGCGTTACCCCTGAACGGCTGAGGCTAGGGCACAGCAAGTGCGGCGCAGAACTGCACTCGTGAGGTGGTCTTTAGCATGGATGAGGGTGACGGGAAGGTGGTGCTTGGCAGTCCATGGCAGCAATAATTCGCCATAACACGGCATTGCAACACTGAAACAGCCAGTGGAGCCATGTGGTTATGGCTGGCAGGAGTGCTGTGACGGTGATTTGTTACACAGGTTGACGATGAGGCAACGGGTAGTATGTATATGGAGGCCAGGCGTGGAAGCACTACTGGCACGTCCACAACTAACCAAGGTTCTCTTGTTATCATTCATAGCATTAAAGGCTTGCGTGAGCGACTTGGAGGGCCTGACTGCTGCCCTGTGTGCGGGGGTGCAGGGCTGGCGCCAATTGATCCTCCTTGCCGTCATCTGGCGCAGCTGAAATTTGTCTGCAGAAGTCGAGACGTTAGCGAAGGTGCCCGTGCTGTATTGTCCTGTTGCCACTGTAGAAAGATGTTCTCCAATGGAGTGGCCTTCTGGGTTGCATAGATGAAAGGATAGGTGTACGAGGCATGTTGGAATGTAAGACCGGTTAGCATCCTCTCCGTTGAAGGGCATACGCCTTCTTTCAGGGCATATGCCATGTTATATGCTTAGTTCCTCGCGCGGTACCGTGGCGCTGACGTGCTGGATCGGGTTTTCAAGCTCGTCCGTGTATCATATGGCTCGTTTATGGTGACGACGTCTACTACTCTTGCTGCTGAGAATGCAAAGGGGTCCGTGTTTGCCAAGCAAGCAATCGCTGTGAGGTTTTCCGCCTCACGTGGATTGAGACATGATACGGGCATATGAAAACGGTTGGAATACTGCAACATGCAGGACTGTTAGAGAGCAATATGCTATGATCCGAAGGCCACACTGGATACCAAGCACTGACCAATCGCACGGCTATGCGCCTGCCGTGTGTACAGCCTTGGCTCCGGTGCCTGGATTGGTACCTTTATGCATGGTCCGTTGATTAAGTTCAGGGTACCCCGTGGGTACCCAGATATTAAGAGCCATAGAGTCTGAAGTGCCGATGCCTAGTAAGCTTGTAGGCCTTTGTATCAGTGTACGGAATGCGACAGCCCGCCTGACAACCTGCTGCGGCCTACCTAATCCAATGCTGTCATATATAATCCTGTTTACTTTGGTATGTCTACATACTTCAATACAAATTACTGGTATTCATTGCTTGCACCAGTCCCCTGTAGGTGGAAGGAAGGTTCCACTTGACAGTCCACCAGACGAGGTGGCTGGTTTAACTTTTCACTTCGCAAAGGCAAAATGCGGGACTCTGAAGATCACCAGAAGATGCTGGTAGGGAACCTGCCTATGGCAGGCTGTTCAAGGTCTTGTCGCTTACAACTTAGCTCGTCTGGGATTAAATGAAAGCAAGTATGATTGAGTGCTCTCCTAAAATTTGCATGCCTTGTTTTTCCAGAAACCTTCGGCTTTGCTGCGCCAGGTTATGCATGTTTTGCCGAAGCGCACCGACCCCTGAAATTGCAGGCGCAGCTATTAGAGGAACATCATCTAAGGCAAACGGCGGAGGACGTCCTAAGGTCGGAGTTGCACTGTACCCGTCGTCTGTAGAAAGAGTGTTGCAGGCCAGTGGAATGCCTGCGTAACTCATCAACGTAACGTTTAGATTCGCGCATGTTATTTTGTCGTGGAAAACTGTAACCGGAAATCCCAGAGACACCTTCTCACCAGCGCTTCGCTATGATAGGGCTTGGGCCGCACATACAGCTTTCAGGGGCTGCAACTCACATTGCCGCGTACTGTGAAAGTTTCCGATCGCACAGTTGGCGCACGTTTAAGCGTATCCCCTTGTTACAGGCGTGAGCTGTTCCATGCTCCAACACGGCCCTTTTCGTTTTCTCGCCTGTTACAAGTCTTCCCGCAAACCCTTCCACCTACCAAGTAATTTTTTATTTCCTATCCTTTTCACAATACCTCCCGTCTGCGCAGGCAGGCGCGTGTCTCACATGGGAGCACAATGCGCTTTCATATCGACAGCAGTCTCCACAACCCGCCTAAAATGTCGTTGGTTCGCTTACAGTACGGCGCCGCTGCGAGCGGGCCGCCGCCCTCACCATCGGAGGCCACGGCAGAGGCCGCCGGAGACCTTATAACTGGATCAGAACCGCCAAAGTCCATCACCGTAAAGCCTGTTCCTCGATTTGGTTCCATGACGCTGGCGTGCTCCCCTTTTACGGCTGCTGCCGCCGCTGCTGCCAGCGGCGGTGGCGGTGACACCTCTGCGGGCCTGAAGGTGTCACCCTCCAGCGATAGCCTCTGCGACGCCGGGGATTTGCGCGTAGCTATTTCTGCCGCAGTACCCAGCGGCGCCTTTGACACAGATGGCGCCGTCGCCGGTGGCAGTCCTTTTAATGAAGCAGCTGCGCGGCTGTCTTGCGGTAAAGGCGCCTCCACCGCATCCTTCCGCACCCGCATGGTGAGGTCTTCGACGCCTGCTGCCGATGGAGCCTTAGCAGCGAACGCAAGCCACGGCATTGGGAACTCCCTTGTCGTACCACGCGCTGAAGGCATCCTAGCTGGCGCTTCTGTGCGCTGCAAGCCACGCCGCATCTCGGGCACCGACCACCCGGCTGCGGGCCCTGCTCGGCGCCTGGCCCGCACACCCGGCGTCACGTCGAGTACCGACGGCTACGTTTCTTCGTTCATGTCTGGTAGCGCCAGCACCGGTAACGTGTCCATGGTGATGCCTGCCAGCGGCGGCAGCGGCACTGCGGTGAATGGCATTGGCAGCGCCGCCAGCGGCAGCATCGTCGTCGTAGGGCATTGCGGCCGCGAGGCCTGGCAGACGGGTCCTAGTTCCCTGAGCTACGCCGGCAGCGATAGCAACATTGTCGCCGCCTCTGGGACTGGCAGTAGCAGTACGGCAGCCGTGCAGGCAGGCAGCGCTCGAGGGAGCCTCAGCCCGAGGTTTCGTGAGGCGTCTTTCGGAGCTGGTGTGCATGCAGGACCCATCCCAAGCTCCGGAGCGGCACAACAGCAGCCCAGTGTGAGCGGCCCTAAAGATGCGGCACCTGGTGCAGCCCCGGCTGCGTCCGGCCAACATGGCGGTGCCGGGGCCCGGCGGATCTCCATCGCGTCGGCGACCGGTAGCAGCGCTGAAGACAGCGCCGGCGAGGCGCTAAACGTGTACCGAAACGGCCCCAGTATCTCCGCCCCACGCAGCGCTGCGAGCTTTACGGCGCCCCACCACCACCACCACCGGCAGCAGCCCCACCACCATCAACCCCACCCGCATCACCAACAGCACCAGAGCGGCCAGCAGCATCCAGCTCAACCCCAAGAGCAGTCGCAGCAGCATCGTCCGCAGCAGAACAATGACCAGCCGCCACAGGTACAGCAACAGCAGCAACAACAACAGCAGCAGCACAGGCAGCAGCAGCGACGGGCGTTCCAGCATCCAAGCGTCCACCCACATGTGCATGAAACCGGTGGCGCCCTGCGGCCTACGCCGCTCTGCCTGCCAACCCAACCGCATGCCATGGGCCGAGCAAGCCCGCCGCCTGCTTCCCTGACCACCACGCCGACCTCAGCCGGCTTGGCGAGTCCTGGGGCCGGTGCGGGGCTTTCCTCGCCCCTCATGTCCCCATCATCGCCTTCGCCTTCGCAGACTGACTTAGCTGGGCTTGGTCCAGGGCCCGGCCCTTGCCGTGTGGCATCGGCCAGCTTCCACTGCGGAGCCGCACAGCACCCGCAACAGCCGGGCGGTTCCTGCTCCGGTAGCATCCTAACTTCGCATGATATGTCGGCAGCTATGATGCTGCTTTCCAGAGTATCTCGGGTTACGCCAAAGCCAGCCCCACCGCAGGAATGGACGGTTGACCTGCATTCACTCGAGGCTGATGGTGCAGGCGCTGGCGGCGGCGGTGGGGCCACGTTGACACCTAGCCGAGGTGCCAGTTTCACTGGAGCAGGCGCAAGCTTTGGCAGCGGCTACAGCTTTGGGGTTTACGGTCAGGCCTTAGGCCGGCGGGCTGGGTCAGCCCTGTTTCGCGGCGGGCCGGCTGGCGAATACGGTGGAGGCGCGGGACAAGGACTGGAGGGTGACAGCGGACTGCGGAGGTTGGGGGCAGATGTTACCGCCGCGGGCGTTAGCGCCGCTGCCGCTGGTGCTACCGTCGGTGCCTCTGCCGGGTCGCATCCCTCCTCCGCTCCAGTGGCTGTAGTGGAGTCTGGCGCGCAGGTAGGCGCGGTGCAGTTGGCAGCACCTGTTGTCTACTTTCTGGTAGACGAGTGTTGGCGTAATGCGTACAAAATATAGAGACAGTTGTAGGTGTTGAGCGGCTTCCGCCATGCAAAGAACTGCGACAGCCCTGGCGTGCGTACTGCAGCGTTTGTTTGGACTGCAACTAGGGTTGCTGCTTTGACCAAACCTGGTATTGGCGTTGCGAACCCAATGTTCTGCCGCGTGTCGCCGCAGGAGGTTCCCGGGAGCTCGGACGGCGCCGGTGGCACAGCTGCAGCGGCCAATGCCGCTTCAGCTGTCGCGCATCCGCAGCGCAACCTCCCCCGGCAGCTGCCTGCGCTTGCTCGTTACCGGGGCAGCACCGGCGGCGGCCCGCCAAGTGCTAGAGGTTCTGCACGGCGGAAGGCGAGACGCGCATCTGTCGGCATGGAGGAAGGCCGGCCATCACCGTCGTCGCCGCCGCCGTCTAGCGCTACGTTTCGTCCGCGGCCGCCCTCGTCGCCTTACAATGCGCGCCCTGGCACCGCCGTGGCTGGCGGCCCTCTGTCGCCCTCCCTGCATCAACACCAACCACAGCTGCCGCATGGGGCGTCCCTGGATGGGCGGCCGCTGTCCCAGCAAGTCAACGCGGAGGGGGAGATGTGCACCCGGGAAGAGTTAAGCGCCGGCATGCAGGGGCCGTCCGCCGGCCCTGCTGCCCCCACCACCGCTGCGGCAGTAGAGGCTGCTGCCTGCAGGAGGCCGCGGTTCGCCAACCTGGCCGCCGGGGATGCCGGTACGCCTCGGCCGTCGTACCCTGGGGTGGCAGGGGTGCCACTGTCACCCACTGCCCCTCGTGCTGCTGGCAGCAGTGCGTGTGATGCGGCTGGCAATGGCGGCAGCAGTTTGGGTGGTAATGCCGCCTGCGGCGTCGGCGGTGCCGTTGGCGGTCAGGCATCACCGGTGGGGGAGGCTGCGCAGACCCCACAGCAGGTGTCTGCAGAGTCGTGGGAGGGGACCCGTCCGGCAGTCACGAGGGAGGAGCATGCGAGCATCATGACGCGAATGAAGAAGGCGCTCAGCTTCCTCCGAAGAGGCGACTAGCGAAGCCGGGAGGAGGGGCTTTTCATTCCATTGCCTGGACCCGTGGCGCATGCAGCACGTTACCGCACGCACGCAACATCCCGGTATGAGTACTTTCACATTTATAATTGAGCCCGTCTTGGTGATTTGCCAGGTTTAGGAACATACCTTTGTGTGGCACCGCCTGCCTTGCAACAGTGTCATTCATCTGGAGCATATTCGGGTCATTGTTAGTTTTTTTATCAACTGGTACTCGGCGGGATGTGGGATCATGATTATTGATGCCTGCACAGGTTTGTTGTTGGGCTGTTTAGGAAACTTAGCCCTGGTGTCTTAATAATTCATGCACGATGGCGGTATCGTGAGGTACAAAATGAGTGCTTCTAATTCATTGCACCATCCAGTCCGCAGGCTTTACCCGACTCTAAAGGGATATGCAAGTAGAAACGTGTGCTAGTGTAGTGTGAAGGCTGCCTGGAAATTATCTAAGAGACGGGTGCGATGGAGACGGGTTTGCAGTGTCTTGCGACCGAAAGATTCCGTAATGCCACTGCTGAGTCACGCTGGCTGAAATGCCGGAAAGAAACACAAGGTGCTGATTAATGGGGTTGACCGAAGTCCATTCTTGGTATTAGTAGTGGGTTGCCAACTGATTAGGAGTGCAGCTCGGTCACCCTACAAGATACCTGTGGGATGATAGCGTTGTGATTGTCGTATACTGCAATTTCTGCGTGTGTATCTTCCAGCATGCAACCAACTAAATGACTAGTTTATGCTCGATTGTTCCTGAGGTCACGGTGCTTGGGGGCTGTGCCATTGTGAAAAGGTCCTAGGGGCTCTATGGGCTGGCCCTTTCCGTACACGCATGGAGTTCGAAATGTTGGCATTACAACCGTCCCTGAAGGTGTCCCATAATTGAAGGGACACATACCGGTCCTGTGCTCTTTACCATTTTGGCGTGCCTTTCTCCAGTGTTTCGGTTAGGGATTGTCTCGTTAACGGTACAACTGAGCACGTGATCCCGACGGCAGTACGATTTGGGCACTGCAGCGCACTGCTCGGAACACCTTTTGTATTGCCAGGCGTAGCGCTTTAATGCACGCCTAGAATTGGTGTGTCTTTTGCCGGTCTAGACAGGTAACTATCAACGCTATACATTGCGGACTGTACGACATTTGGCCCATGTCTTGTGACATACTAATGTACGAACATAACTCCTTTTTACGTCTTTTTGCCTACGAATGTAGCCTCTGTATATTTACGAACGTCACGGGATGATTAGTGCCTATGTTGACGGTGACGGTACTTGAATGGGTTGCTATGACGGTCCCGGATACTGTGTTGAAAGTGCGTTGGCAGGATTGAACGTTTGCGCCTCGACATTACCGGTACCAAACGCATCTTATGCCGTCTACTGAACGCAATTAATGGCCTGCCCTCGTTGCTCTTCAATTGTGTGTAGGGGAGGTAGTAGATAATGGCATGCGGAGTATGACTGCGTGGGATTGCGCATACCGGTACGTTATTGGTGCGTATGGTTGTTTAGGTGCACGGGAGTACGCACCCCAACAAAAAAACCTCTATGGTTACGTTTCCACGTGGCCTTCCCTGGTATGATTATCTGCTGCTGTGTTTCATGTTCCTTAACGGTTCATTCACCTGTAAACAAAGGCCTGCCTGGGCTAATATTTCCCTAACCAAGCACGTCGTTTGGGGTTAAGGCAAAGTAGTTAACTAAGTTAGCGTGAGCCTGCTGATGTCCCGGACGGTTTATCGTAATGTAACAGTACCGTGGGGATAGCCGGTAGAGCTAGGGGTACAGCAAGGCAGGAATGGCATCGCTGTACGGGAGGGGAGGATCTGTTAGAGCCTTGCAGGGAGCCTTACACGTGGTAACCCTACTAGTTACTCTGCTCATCGCAGCAAGAAAAGCCACAGTTCACCAAAGTACAGGAGTAGATACACGGCTAAGCCTTTTGAAATCCATGAAAAGTCTCCAGCCGAGTCACGACGTTTCCGATTTTCGGCATTGCTGTCCTATCTATAATTGACGTAACCCTGAGGTAGAAACGTCTGGCATAAAGGCACTTATACCAAACAGTCGCCCAAAATGACACCAACCCTCATCTTCTGCGCGGATAGAAAGTTTGCAGTTTCCATCTTTTGCGCGGACAGAGGCCCCATGCAGCTACCAATGTCTGCAGAGCATTATGATATAACAAGACTAATTGTTTGCATGGTGCTTTCTCCTTCCGGAGTACTTCTTGGGCAAACCTGAAACCATTCGTACTTCCAACTATGTCGCCACACGCGTTAGCGTACTGCCTCAGTAGTGGAAAAGTCTGACAAAGCTGCCATGGATTATTTCCTTTCTGAGGTATCATGTGACAAGCTAGCGCTTCAAGTTGGACGAGTACACTTGGCACCTTTACTTTCTAGCTTTGTCATCAGTTGACTGTTCGCACTGTGCAGCTTGTCTTTATGGGCTGCTGCTGTGGTCATGACGTCCAGCAGCAGGTGAACAGGTGGGTGGCGCACTGCCGACGTAGGCTAGGTAGCTCATTTCCTACGCAGTAGGCTAGGACTTTTTGACGGCTGCTTCCAGAGGAGCATGGAACATCTGTATGGATATTGGTACTGGTATCTGTGCACCTCGACACGGGAACGAAGGTATAGGGCGCACACCTTTACTTATTGTCGAACGCGGAGACGTAGGGACAATTCGTGACGCCCAGACAACAGCAAACAGCACATCACTATAATAATACCAGCCTTGGTATTTGGGGAGCATGTCCTACTACGCTTATTGGGGGCTGGAGTCCCTCGGTTGTATGGGACGTCGCCCATAATAGCGCGCTACTAAAAATAAGCGTGCGCAGTTACAGTACAGGCCCTGCTTTTACCATAGGAAGTAGCCGCTCCCTTGCGGTACTATTGCAATCGTTGTCTCCCAAGGCTAGGGCGGGCATGGCTGCGACGCTCTTTCGGCCCTCGCACGATTGTAACTGTTATCGTTGAGACATGATCTGTATGCTTTCACACCCGCAGGTTGTGGTGCTTGCCTTTGGAGCAACAACGCGAATCGCTCGTGCTACACCGTGTGCGAGGACCCCGAAGAATTATCCGATAGGCGCTCATAATGAGCAACATGCACAAGGCACAAGCTACGAAGAATCACGCAAAAGCGGCCCAACGGCCACCTGGTAGCTCAGCTAAGCTGCAGAACGGCAATGGTGAAACCCCGGCAGGTTCCGGTACCCAAGCAGACCAGAACTCCGACCCGCTGACGAAGCTAGAAGAGCCGGCGCATCTAATGCGCACGCTGCACAAGTCACCCAGCCGGCGCTCCCCTTACAATTGCCGCGGAAGTAGGAGCAGCAAACGACACGCACACCGAGCAAAGGACGCCGGACTGTTAAGCCCCGCAGGCAAGGTCAGCGATGTGGAGGGCTGCGACACTGCGGAGGAGACCGACGACGATGGGGCATGGGTGCTTACATGCATCGACGACGACACAGACCATGCCTCCTCCGCCGCCATAATCAACGAGGGTATCTCCCAGCTGCAGCGCCCCATTTATCGCTTCTCCTGCCCCGGCATGAACGCCAGGCCCCACCCTAGCACCCTTCTCGGCCAGCATGCCATACATGCGGCCAGCAACACCATCAGCTACCTGCGCACCGCGGGTTCGCCGTTGCGGGCTTTACGCAATGTGGGTTTCGACGGTAGCTCTTGTAACAGCAATAACAGCTCCTTCACCGCAGGGGCGGGCAATAGCCGCCATGCCTTCGCGGCAGCGCGACATGCAGTGCAGCAGCGCTCGGCTACCGGTATGATTGGCAGTGCCCCTGTGGCAGGAGAGGGCGCAGGAGAGGGCGCCAGCTGCCCCGTTACTGTATCTGTGATGGCAGCGTTTGGTGCTGGCGAGACCACCTCCTCCTCATCCGCTTCTGCTGCTGTTCTCGTCACGCCGCAAAGCCAGGATGTAACGCCCATGCCGCCCACCTCTAAGCCAGTTGCCAACCATGGAAATGGCGACACGAAAGGCAGTGGTGGCGGCGTTTTCAACCGAGCCGTGAATTTCTTGGGTCGCCAGACCTCCCGCTCTCGCAATTCGCAACCGGCAAAGACCGCTGCGCAGGAGGAGGAGGACCTGGTCATTGCACGCGCCGAGCGTATGCTCAAGAACCTGCGCTGCTCCAGCTTTCACGGCAAATCTCCGCACATTGCGCACCTCAACTACAGCACCACCCAGCACGAAGCCAAGCAGCGCCAACACCAACAGGAGGAGCTCAGCATGCTGCTGGCCTACCAGCCCCGCCGCGCCACCGCAACTGCCCTTCAGGGTGGTGGTGCCCCTGCAAAGGCCGCGCCGGGTGTAGCCGCTGCGCTTGAACGCGCTGGCCCCAGGTTGTCCTCTCCCGGCCTGGTCGGCGCCGTCCGTGGCGGCACTGCTGGCGCTGATGGCGCAGCTGCTGCCGGGGGGCCCGCTGCAGTTCCGACTGGTAACAGCGGCGGCAGCCCTCAGGGCGTGCCGGCTGCCGGTGCTGCTGCAGAGCTCAGTGGCACTGCGGACGCCAGTGAGGTCCGCGGGATCGCCGGCAGCTGCGGCAGCACCTGCAGTTCCGCCCGCATCCCAGCGCTGCGGCCCGCCCTAGCAGTCACCCTACCCACCACCCCCTGCGCCGTGAGCTCAGCGACAGGACTGACATGCGCGCTCTCACCCTCCTCTCCCGCTGCAGCTCGCCCGGGCTCATCCGGCATGGCTTCGGGCTCCGTGTGCGCATCAGCAGCCGCGAGCGTCACGGTGTCGGCAGCAGCAGCCCCCGGCAGCTCGTCAGGCTGGGTCGGCAGCAGCAGCAGCAGCAGCGCGGCAACCAGCCGGTTTGGCCCCCACCCGCCTGCAGACGGCCGTGCGACCTCCGCCTCCCCAACACCTTCCCGCCTCTCCCGCTTGCTACTCCCTCCCCAACAGAGTGCGTTAGCCAGCAGCGGCCGCGGACAGAGCCCCGCCTGGCGGTCGTTTGACTCGAACAACAACAACAACCCAGCAGCGGCTGGTGCTACAGCGTCGGCGGTGGCGCCGCATCGCAGTGGAAGCGGTATCGCGCTGATTGGCAGCGGCCGACCCACGGGTCAGCATGCTGCCCGTGCGACCTCCATGAACAGCAGCTCGCACTCCCACTCGCACGGTAGTGGCGGCAGCGGCGGCGCCGGCGTCCGGGAAGGCGCGCGAACCGTATCCGGTGTTGCGACCATCGACCTGCATGACATGGAGCGCGCGCGTCCGTCAACCTCCTCATTCACATCACTGTGCGCCCCCGATCTGAACACCGGCGGCAGCGGATTGCTTCCGAAGGCGGCGTCCGGTAGCATCGTCACGGATTCGGGTCTGAGAGTTTCCATGAGCAGCATTGGGGCCCGCAGCGGCGGCTCCTCTCGGGGGCCCTCCTGCACCTCGGTGGATGAGGGGGCACTGAAGCTGCCGCAGGTGGCGGGGGCGCCGGGCGGGCAGGGCAGGTTACTGGAGTGGCATTGAGGGGAGCTGCATCGCTGAGGTGGGTCATGCTACCAATGGTATGATGTCGTGACCGTCAGCTTGGTGGAGTGGAGTGGGTTTGGGAATGGGTACCTACAGCGAGTTAATGCGTGCGCTTGGGTGAGGTCTGATATTGGGCTGGGGATATGTCTTGTGCGTGGCACGAAGGAAAATAGTGAAACTAGAAGAGTTTCGAGGTGAACGCGTTTCTATGTTGCGCGCGAGGACGCTACACGCAGTGTTATTTTTTACTGACTGGCACAACTGCCTTTAATCGCACTTGTCAAGAAGGTACGAGGTGCTGCGTGTCCGCACGTCGTGATTTCGGGAGTACTGTTGCTGTACGCCTACTGTGTACTGTGGAAATAATCCTTCTTGTCGCAGCAAAGCCTGCACACGAAGCTCACACGGAGCTCACAGTTGATCTGGCCCGGTGGTGTTGGTGTTGCAAGGTTCCTTGCTTTTAGGTTGCTGGTTTATGGTTTGCCGGGTATTCGTGTGCAACCCCTGCGTTCCAGCGGGTTGACTGGTTGAAGGTGTTGGCTCGTGGCGGGTGCCCTGACGTGCTGTGAGCGGCAGGGGCGCCCCGAGCATGTGCCGGGGCCCACGTTGTCCCTGGGGTGTATCCCGTGACAGCGTTGCGCGCCTGTTCAGTACCTTGTACTGCCATCTTACGGTTTGAGGGTATGGTTCTCAAACGAAGTAAGGGTAGGCGGGTTGCATTGTTGCGGTTTTCGTGCTTGTTGCCGTTGTTGGTAATACGTGACTCTGGGCAGCTCTGGGCCCCAGAGGTTGAAATATTGCTTTTGAGGAAAGCCGTACAACGCCTGCTGCTGCATGTCTTGCCACATGTGTTGGTGAAGAACGGATGATTGCAAAAACCAAACGCTCCTCCTGTCGGCATGTGCACGACACGCTTGGTGGGTATGGGTCCCGAAAACAGGGACGAAGCGCCGAAGACGAAAGCTGCAAGTGAGAGCAATCTGACGACAGTACGTGTGTGCAGAAGTTGTCGCCGTTGCTGGAGTGTATGCAAAAGTTGCGTTTGGAGTTTTTCGGGTGGCGAGGTGCAGGGGGTGTCCAGCGCTAGTCCATTTGGGGCTAGATGCGGTGGATGTTGTCGTGGTATGCGATGTGTTTCCAAGCATCCCCTACCTGCGACAACTTGCCCCGCTCGGGGGGTGGGAAGCCCCTTGTCGTGGCGCGTTTGGAAGCCTAGCTGCCGGTGGTTGTCCGTGGTGCTCAAGGACTGGCTCACCCTCACTGCTAAAGAATTGTTGCGCGGAGGCTCGGGAAAGAAACCCAGACTTGGGGGCCAGGGAGTTAGATTGCCGTACAGCACATGTGGGCACGTTGGGAGGCTGCGATCAGGGAGCGTAATAAATTATGTCGCCATGCCCACATGTCGACGGTTGAGATCCCAACATTGTTTGACTGATTTAGTAACCGCGTATTTGACTTTGGCTAGGAAGGGTTCTGGGACAGTGCCTGGAGGTTTACCTCCTGTTGTTGCCTGGCAGGGTGTCGGCCGTCCTTAACAACGTCTTAGCGGCAGAATTGTGCATGACGTGGTATCTAGCTGACGGTTGCATGCCAGGTTGGAGTTGAGGGTTGGGCACGTGCTGTCACAGGTAGATGGAACGAACCGTCTAACTTGGAGGCCAGCCTTATTCAGCATGTACAGCTAACGTATCAGCTATACTCTACCAGTTTGCTTCGGGGTGTCTGGGCACGCGCGGCACACTTCACAAGCAAATTTTGGGCCTTTCCTTTCTGTCTACCAGGCAGATATATATTCCTGCATTCACAATTAATAATGCATAGTTGACATGAGGCGAGAAGATAATAGGCTTGAAGAAATCCACACAAGCCGTAATGTACTGCAACTAGGCCACGGGCACCATATTTCTACCTTAAAGCTTTACAGTGGAAGGCTAACCACCTTGCATTGCCAGTTACCAGACCTTGACCCCATGGAACTAATTGTTACTGGCTTGGGAAGCACTGCCCCAGACATAACAACCGTATCGCGCGTCCGAACCTCGTCTGGCGGCTCTTGGCTGGAGGACTTGACGTTCTAGGTCGTTTATGCTTTGACAATCTTGCGATGGCGCTTCCATATAGCATGGCTGAGGTGAGTTGAGCGTCTGACGTGCCGGGCCCTACTTAATCGCTTACCAACACACTTTCCATTAAGTTGCCTGTCTTACATATATTGCAGCCCTGTTCGAAAAGCTGCAAACCTTGTCTTATTATATATAGGGAGTGAATGCCGACCGCCCTAGTTCGGAGCCTCAGTATGTGACGCTGATACGTTGCCTACCTGCTAGTGGTGTTGAGAATGGATTGTAGTAGTCTTCCAATGTCGACTGTTGATACATAAATGGCACCTGACCCTTGGTACAGTGCTAGCCTTTCCTATCCAACTCCAACCGCCTTCACACTGCCACTCCGCTTGGTCATGCCATCGTCTTTACCTTGCAGCATGAGCAGTTTTCTGGTCGCCGTCCGCCTGCGCGCCCATCGGACGGTGTCCTCCTGGTCCTCCAAGAGGCGCGAGAAAAGCATACCGCGACCAAGACATCAAAAAGAAATATTATTGGTGCCAGCCTAACTTTTGAACCCCGGCGTGTCGGCTTGGCACGGCTGCAGTTTGGAGCTAACGATGAACGGGCAAGCGCTATGAATGCGGAACCTCTCAACCTTGACGAAGCCTTGGCCCTGCCGGACCCGACTGAAGGACTTCCAAAGGAGCCTGTACAGGTTGTACAGTTGACTAGAACACTTACAAGGACTATGAGCAGGGGAGCGTCCTTCCGCGGCGGCAGGCACCTAATGCAGTTCTTGGACAAGGGCGACAGGCAATCCATAACCTCAGGTGTCGACAACGACGACGGCTCGGAGTCCACAGGGGGGCTGCTGAGCCGACATAACAGTGAGACAGCATCCCTTAACGGTGAAGGTCGTTCGCCTCAAGTGTATTCTGGTCGCGGCTTGCAAATCAACACTGACTTTGATCTACCCCCACCGATCGCTGGCACTACCTTAGCCAACCACGAAGACGGCGCTGACAGCCGTCTCTTCAGGTCCCGCTGCAAGTCCACACCCGCCCTAGCCCAAGACGAAACCACCACCTCCGGAGAAAGCAACCTCCAGAACTCGCAGCCCCTGCACCCTCAACCTCCCCAGCCAGGCTTCGGAGGCTTCCTCCCCTCCGCGAGCAGCATCCCCTTGCCTGCACCACCCTCCGAACTCCAATACTCCACCCAACAACCGACTCGCACAATGCACGGCAGCAACCCTTCCGCCTCCTCCGGCGGCTTCGCAGCACCCACCAACACCTCTAGCCGGCTGTACGGCAGCAGCAGCGGTAGCGGCACCGCCAGCGGCGCCGTCGGCTCCTCCTCCGGGCCGCCGCAGCACCTGCAGCACATGAAAGCGCACAGCGACGCCGTAAACGCGGCCGCCAGCCGCTTTATGAGCCTGTTGGGACGCCGTCGCAGCAGCGTCAAGGGTGCGCCTCACTTTGTCGCACGCGAGGAGGGCAACACGGCTCGAGTGGATAAACTGCTTAAGAATCTGCGAGGCAGCGGCTCACAGTCCAGCAGCGGTGTGGGGGTGGGCACCCCGGGGCAGTCCGCAGGCATGGGCGCCAGCCTCAGCACCGCCGGCAGTATCGCGTTTGGGGAAGCTGACACGCTGACGGACGCAACAGGAGCAGCAGCTCCCTCCCTGCAGCCCCAGCCGCCGCCATCAGCGGCAGGAAAACCATCGCGATGCAGGCGAACCATCACCGCCCCACAGTTGCTGCTGGCACCGCAGTCTGGCGACGCGTTCGGCGCAAGCAGCGGCGGCGGTGGCGCTGGTATAAGCGGCGGCAGCGGCCTGGCTACAGCAGCTGCTACCACCGCCGCCAGCAACGCATGGGCAACTCTCGCGCACGCCAGCAGTGCCACCACCACCACCACCAACAACAGCAGCGGCCCCGCTGCGGTTCCGTCAGCTCCCCCGGTCTGGAGCCGCAGTCGCAGCATCCGAGACCCGGGGCTCTTAGTGCACCTGGCGGAGGCGGACAACGCCGCTGCTGCTGCTGATGGCAGCGGCGGCGGCGGCGATGTCGATTCGGACCTCGTTGCCAGCGGCTGTGGCGACGGCGGCAGCCCCGGTGTGCAGCGCTCCGGTCGCTCAGTGACGCTTCCCAGTTCGCCTTCCGGGCCCTCCGGGTCCGGCTCGCCTGCATGGGCGCACTCGCCGGGCCCTCCAACCCCTGGCGGGGCCGGGGGCGGGGGCAGCCACGGCGATGCCAACGCGAATGGCAGCAGCGGGGGCGTCAGCGTTGCCCCTTCCCAAACCAGCATTCTGGCAGTTGCTACACGCAGCGGCGGCGGCGGCTCAAGTGGCGGCGGCGGCGGCGTGTTGTCGATGCGAACCGCCAGTGAGCCGCCGTCGTACAGCCCCTTCTCCTCCATGGTCATGTCGCCCGTCCTGCAGACGCAGTCCCGCATAGTGCCCGCCTCAGCCATGCCGCCCGCCCCTTCCACCTCCATCCGACGTCAAGGCCTCTCCCGCAGGGTCATTGAACCGCCTTCTCCAGCGGCGACAGCATCCGCCTCAGCGACAGGGGCGCTGACTGCCACAGCACCCGGCGGATCGCCTCGCAGCTCTGGCGCAGCATTGGGGGGCTGGAGCAGCCGGCCCATGAGCCGCCGGGGCATGAGGCCGACCGGGGCAAGTGCTCGGCGGTCCTCCTGCACGGAACTGCCGGGCGGGCAGGAGGACCCCGTGCTGTCAGACCTCGCGAATGCCATGGGGGCGGCGCTCAAAAGTGAGGGCGGCAGGTCCACCGATAGCAATGACGGTCCTGCGGATGGCAGCGGCAGTGGTGGTGTGTACGGTGCTGGTGGCGGGGTGTACGGCAGCAGCGGCCCCGGCAGGAGCGCAGCCGGGGCTGGGCTGCGAGGCAGCAGCGCGCGGGGGGTGTTTGGGGAGACGGCAGGAGGTGGTTCTGTACTTTACCGGGGTCTTTCGGGGGGCTCCCCAGGTGCGGAAGGGTTCGGGGTGGGAGGCGGGGGCGGCTTCCGGGGTGGTGCGGCTTTGCGTGGTCTGAGCAGCAACGCGTTACCTGTGCTGTGATGCGACTGCTGAGATTGAGGTGTGTGGAGGGGGAGAGTGTTCTGGGTTAGTATGCAGGCGGCTTTCCCAAGTCAACTCGAAGGAATGGCGTGTATCTCGGGACTTGCCATTGAAACTGAACAGATGTCATCACGGGCCACGTCTAGATGATGTGAGCCGAATGGTCACACCGGTTATGTAGTATGCTTAATATGTCTATTTATGGAGTACTGTTGGGGCCTTCGAATGCTGTTGTTGTGCGAGTACTGTACCACCCGCTTGTACCGGCAGAGTGGATGCGATTGATGATCGATGCAGTCAGGGCTTGATTGATGTATGGTTACAGCTCCCTTGGTATGCATGGTGGGATGCATTGGGACTATTGAGGCGCCGGGCTGGGCAAAGCCGGTGCTGCCACACGCCCCGGGAATGCGTGTTGCTCGTCAAGTCTCAGTGTTGGGCCCTTCATGAGGCTTCTTGCATGCTCATTCACTCCTCGTATCAATCGCGCGGGGAACATGTGGGTTAGCAAGTACCCTTCATTCATCCATGCAACACCAGGAAACAAGAAAAAAATAAACGATGGATGGCTGTTAATACAGATCTCAGACTGTGATGCACAGCTGTGTAGGCTGTGCTCGTGTGTTGCGTCGCTGTATGCAACGGTGCCGCTCCCCGGGGGCGGCGGGGCAGGTTGCTGCCTGCTTGCTGTTCCCTGTGGCGTGACACACGGCAGGATGGGGTGGGACGTAATTACATTTACATGAGAGGATGTAGTCCGTCTGCGGGCTGCCTGCTTGGATGGTTATTATGTTGGGTGTTTGTTTATGTGTACCGCTCTGTGGCTTAATGAGGAGGTGCCGCTGCAGTAATGGAGTGCATGCGCGCGCGGTACAAGTTACTGCGGTTAACTGTCTAGGCAGGAGTGGGTCCGCAGGGCTTGAGGCACAACGTACGTGTGCTATAACCTCCACCGCAGCTTAGCGTTGGAATGGTGGGACCGGACGGCGAGGTGGTGCCATCCACGGTCACGGTCTTCGCCATTCCCGGGGCACAGGTTTGGAGCTGATTTTGCCTTCTGAGCACCTTTAGTTTCTTAGCACCATAAGGCTTCGTCTGGTTACCAGTAATGCCAACACGGCGTGTGTATTCCGTGTTTGACGTTTGGTGGCAGCAAGGGCTGTGTTGCAGATGTTGCGTGCTGTCTAGCATGCAGCTGGAAGAGCACAAAGCACACACACGGAGCGCTGCATACGTGCATAGTGTGGCATCTGGAGAGCAGGCGACCTAACAGGGCTGGTGTGACATGGTTGAAGACAGGTTGAGATGGGCCGCACTCTTCCCGCTGATTGGTCCGTGGTAGGTAGTTTGCATGGCCTCCTGGTGTACGGCAAGAACTCGGTGACCACGTGAGGTGATGGGTGGGTATGCGCTTCCGTTTCGCTGGTACGTTTACCGTTTAAGTCTTTCCCTTTGCGTCTTCTTTCGATTCGACACCATTGAGCTGGGCATCGTCGTGCCGTTATCCGTATAAATCCCCTAGTGGCCTCACAGCACGCTACACACACGCACTGCCACGCTTTGGTTGTATACTTATTGGGTCTCTACAGCCCGCCGCATCCGGCATTGACTTCATGTGCTCCGGTTGGGCTCGTCTTTCTCTTTTACGGTATGAATACAACTTCTGGTGCGCATAAACATGTGGTGGAAGAATGACGTTTCCCGCTCCAGGCCGGGCAGAAGAGCAGGATGAGGATGAAGCGGCTTGACCACGTCAGTCATGACGTGTCCCCGCATTTGTAATGCATGCTTGTAGCGCTATGACAGACTGGCAAGGCGCCAACCGAAAGCCTAGGCGCCACTGTTTCTGCTGCCCTGCTTCCCAGGTTCGAGGAATTTGTTGCTGCTCTGGGCTACGTTGCTTTAGGATATGTGCGGTATATGAAGGGTTCAGAAGAGACACAGGCGTGTTGCCCTCCCTTCCCAGCTCGCGCAGGATGAGGAGGGCGGAAGCCATCTTACAGGAACCAAACACACATGGACAGACAGTTAAGCGGCGTTTGCATCTGTCCCTATGTAAAGATACACTCCCATGACAAATCACGGTCGTGACAAAACCACGCACACCGCAAAAGGAACCAAGATGTGACCCTCTGGTCACCCAACACCCATAAAACATTTCACCCCGCTGGGTACAAAACATGAATAGGCACTAGAGAAACTCACACCCACCAGGCCTCCCTAACCCTAGCTACGCTTCTCCGGCCCTTTGTACGGCTCCCTGGTAAGACCCCCGAGGCGCCACGATTGGACTGGACACCCTTGTTGTCCTCAAGGGCTTTGAACCCTCAAACTGCCCAAGGCTTTCCTCGACAGCCGCGACCGGTATTGGGAGGGCAATTTCCGCGAAGAAGACGTACGGGTCAATGGGCGCGTCAGTGCAGCTCCTAGTCGCCCGACTCCTCCCCCTCGCTGTCGCTATCGCCCAGCAGGTCCCTCGCCTCGCCTCGCCTCGCCTCGCCTAATAAGGCGGTTTTCATAGGGGATGGCTATGGAGGCGCACCGCGTGCACCCAGAAGCGGTGGCCACATCTTCTTCGTAATTCCGGACGGCAGTTTCCCCAGCTTGAGGGAGCACCGGTAGCAGCTCGTTTTGGACCCTTGGGACGCCCGACGGGCAATTTGAAGGAGCGAAGCGAGCCTAGCAGTTGAACATCTTGCAGGCACCAGACAGAACTGACTCCAACTCTCCAAATACGCGGTTACAATTGCTATGTGCCTCTGCTTACTTTTTTGGAGTTCAATGTATGGTCCGTTGCTTTGATGAAGCTATCTTGGGTCCACAACTTGTAAAGGTCCATGCCTTGTGTAGGAGGAGTGAACGTTGGACGCCTTGCAGCAATGCTACCTCGACCGTTGCCGTACGGCACAGACACCGGAACGCCCTGCAACGTCGCAATCTTTGTACAGAAACTACTATAATTTGCACCCCGGCCTTGCTTTAATTTAAGTGTAAGATGCCGTTGGCTGCCAACAACCCTGACTGTTTCGTGGTGTGCTCGCCACGCTTCCTTCGTGCCGCCTTGCCAACTATAAAGTCACCTTGATAAAGAGCTTAATACCATCAGCGACCCTACCTGAGGCCAGGAACAACGAGAGCCTTGCTTTTTCCTGGTGCCTACCTGGCCGCTATACATCGCGTGTTCGACAAACTATGGCGCATTCAAGTGGTCCCGATGCTTATCAGGTATGAGCTTGCTGGCTCTCGTTTCTTTTAAATATTAGTTGCACCATTACCTCTAGGAGCTACCTGCCGCGACATCGCGGCACTCGAGAGGACGTGCATTCCTAGGCAAGGAATGTTTTTGTGTATAATCCTAGGGTCATCTAAGGAGAGAACGTAACAAGTTCCCCTTTATACGGCCAACCGCCTTCTTATTGCCGTTTACCCAACGCCTCGGCAGGACCCCTCTCGCCGACGTCCTGCACCGGTTGCGCCAGAAGATGTTTTACGTCAAGCTCGCGAAAGGCACACGGGATACAAGTCAAGCATGGTTAGCGCCAACCCGAAGCCACGTTCCATCGGCATGGCCAGGATGCAGTACGGAGATGGAGAGTACCTCGCCAGCGTGGAATCCTTACAAATGCTTCGCGAACCTCAGCAACCAGCAGAGCCACTTCCTGACCTCGATGAGCCTGTGAGGCTGACTCACACCTTGTCCCGCTCACTCGTGCGCGGATTGTCCTTCCGCAAGGCCGCAAGGCAACTCTTCTCCTTTGGCAAGCAGTCTGCCGCAGCAGCAGACGACGAGGACGCGGACGAACCCGAGGTAGAGGTTGGTGAGGTTCCCAGCGATTGCATAAGCCGTCGCCTCCGCGGCTCTGCGTCCTTCACCTGCGCCGCCGCAAATGGGCCCCGCAGCAGCGGCATCACCGCGGCAGGATTCGGCAGCGGAGCAAGCTTCACTGCCGGAAGCCTGGGTAGCAGCTCAAGCGGCGCTGCCCGTGGCCAGCCTGGTCCCAATCCCCTGCAGCGGCAGCTGCTGCAACAGATGCAAGCACAAAAGCAACGCAGTTCCCTGCAGCTTCAGAGGCAGCAGGCACAGGATTCCCAGTTATCGGCATCGCCCACCTCCCGAAACTGCGCGTCTTTTGACGGCTTGCCCTCACCCGTCATCGACGCCTTCAACCTCAACAACGGCACCGGCAGCAGCCTGCAGCCATCTCCCGCTACCTTCAGCGGCGGCATTGCGGCCTCCACCACCACCCTGCCGCGTGCTCCCCAGTCCCCGGCAGCGCTGCTACTGCTGCAGCAGCAGCCCTCGCAAACCTCGCAGAGCCCCAAAGCCACAGACATGCTGGTCTCTGTAGACGACCTTGCACCCGGCGGCTACTGCCCCCACGTCAACGGAGCGTCGGCTGCTCCTGCCGGTACTACGGCTGCTGCTGCGGCCGTCGCCGCAGCCACCCAGCGGGTCGACAGGATGCTGGAGGACTTGCGGAGGCCCGACGCCACCTCGGAAACGCCACTCTACGCCAACTCCGCCTTCAACACCCCGCAGCAGCAGCAGCAGCTGCGCAGCAGGAGCAGCCTCGCAGCTGCGCAGCTGACATCGCCCGCAGCGGCAGCGGCAGCGGCTCCTCCGCTGCGGGGTGACTCTGCTAGCTCCGTTGGGGATGGCGTGGCAGCGGCCAGACCAGCTCAGCTGGCACACAGTCGCAGCCTGCGGAGCGCTCGGGGGGCCCGGGGTGAGCCCCTCTTCGCTGCTGAGGGCGCTGCAGCGGCTGGCGGCGGCGGTGAGGGTGAGGGCGACTTCCTGCTTGACAGCAGTGGCAACGTGTGCGGCAGCCCCGGCAGCCATGCAAGCTCCCTTCTGCGGCACAACCTCTCCCTGGCTGCCTCCTCCTCTCGAGCGCTGTCGCCGTCGCCCCATTCGCCCATCTCGACTTCTCCCAGCTGCTCCACTCCCGGCGGTGGTGGTGGTGGGTTTACGTTGCACGCAAGTCCGCTTGGTTCGGCAGTGCGCGGCAGCATGGGAGGCGGCGGCCTCATGGCCGCGCTGCGAACAGCAACCGATGCCGCGGTGTACTCCTCGACATCCTCCGCAACCATGCTGGCCGGGAACGCCGCATGGCAGGCCTCCGCCCCTCACACGACCTATGGGTCGGTCCCGGGTGGCGTTCCCGCCGCTGCCGCTTCCGGTGGCGGCGGCGGCACCACTGGTAGTGGCGGCAGTCGGCGGTCCTTTGAGGTTGGCTCGGTGGCGTCAGCCCGCGCTTCCTCAGCCCTCGGCGGCTGGACCAGTCGGCCCATGAGTCAACGCAGTTTCCGAGTCAATGGGACTTCAGGCAGCCGGAGCTCTTCTTTCACCGGGCCCGCCGCGGCATCCTTGCAACACACACTGCTGGCGGAGCTGGCGGCGGAGGTGCCGGAGGCTGACGGCTTGGGGGCTGGCAGCAAAGGCAGCCGGAGCGGTAGCGGTGGCGGGGCTGCAGCCACGTCGAGCGAGCTTAAGAAGTCCGTTCGGAGTCTCGGTGCGACCGGTGTTCAATCCGGCGGGGCCGGGAGCGCCAAGTCGGCACTGGCAGCGGTTGCGGAGGCGGCTGCGGCCGCTGCGGCTGGCTCGTTGCCTGTGCTGACGGCGCTGTCGGGGGGCGTTCAGCGGGCGCAGGCGGGTGTGCTGTCCATGAGGTAAGGTGGTGGTGGGTGGTGCTAATGCAACGATGAGAGGTGGTGTTGGATTCGGGTGCTGCAACGGATGGAGCGGGCTGGGTGTAAGGGAAGGTTGTTCGGCGTGGCTATGGCGCGCTGGTCGGTGGAGCACGATGCCGAAGAAAATGTACGTGCGTGCTGACGTTTGCGACTGTAGGACTGTGTTTCGGGCTTTTGTGATACATCGGTACTGTTTCCCAAGTATGCTCAGTATGTTACACGGCGTGGAACATCTCTGTGAAGACGTTTATTCATCTACGCAGCATGCTACAACAAAATCACTGCCTTAGTGTCAAAACTTGTTGTTTCCGTTGTGCGGTGACATCGCTCCTACAAAGGCCAGATTGGCTGGACGCATGAGCCCATCCCAAGCAATGCGGTGTGACAACGTTGGGAGTCCGAGTGTTAACAGACCGGTACTGGTACTGCAAGGGGACCGCATTGTACCGGTATCCTTGCTGCATGTGGTGAATTGGTATACCTGCTACGCGCGTGTGTGCTGGAAGCTGTCGGCAGGAGGCAGGGAGCATTGCGCAACCGGTGCCCTGGGCCCTTCCCCCGGGGCGCATTCGTCCGGGGCAGGCGGCAGGCCACAGGGAGGGGCGTGTGGGGCATGTCAGCGCTGCACCCGCACCTTTGCGCTGCCATCTTGCGCTGCCACGTAGTGGACTTTGCATGTTGGGCTGAACGTGTTTGGACATGTCGTGAGCTTTCCTTGTGAGCAAATAATGGTAGATGACTATTGTGCTATGTTGCCGTTCGCCGACTTGGGCCTTCGTTGGCAAAGTGATTAATTTGTATACGGCACGGACGGTACGGATGTGTTTACCCGTGGGCTGGTGCCCACGTGACCTTACCCGGGTGCTGTCGTAATTCATGTTCGCCAATGTGTTGACTTTGTTGTGTGTTTCCAAATGTCGGATTGCCAATCGCTTGGTCGTCAGCGCTGTCGACACTAGCGCGTGGGGTAGTAGGTTGGGGGCTTTGCAAAATGCTGATCCACGCTGTGAGTTCCCCTAATAGATGACTGACCCGTTTGGTGTATGCTTGTGTCAGATTGTTGGACGAACAAATGGTATGTGAGTCGTCGTTGAATAGGATGCTGGTGTCAGGTTGTTAGGCGTGTCGAGGTCAACAAACCGCTCCGTCTCGGCGACCTGTTGACATGCACTGGGGATGTGGCAGTAACGGGTGTTGTGGGTGGCGTGTACATTTTGTGGCGGTCATGGGTGGGGCTTTCCTTGGCTCGGCAATCGCTGTCGGCGACATGTACCATAGCGGTGGAGTTGGTTGTGGGTGGCACATGACAGCATGTTGGTCCGTTGTCCTCGGACTTGGACAGCGTTGAATTGGGCATCACATTACTGTTGTATTGTTGTTGTGTTAGGGAAATCGGCCGGCATGTGGTTATTGGAAAGACACTGTTGTGCGGTAGGCGTGCTGGACCATTGCAAATTGTCGTTGTGCTGCATCATCTTACAGCTCGTGGGAATGCCATGCAACAATCCTGGAATGCAGAGATATGCAAATATTTAGACGTTTTTTGCGTGAATATGCCAACTGGGAATGCCCGGGAAGAAACATGGCTCCTCCAACAAAACTCGGCTACAACACGCCCTTGTGCTCGTGTCTACACCAGCACCCAAACGCGCCCACAGACCCAGCAAGACCGCAAGCGCACCCAAGTATCCACTCCATGCAACCACCAAGACGGCTCAAACGGAGGCAGCAATCCTCCTAAACCGGGTCGAAAGCTCGTAACAAGAGGAATCATGTACGGTCCAAAACGTAAACCAAGCCATACCATACCTCTTCGTGCCATGCCTTCATTGCCAACAGCACGTTTGCGACCCAACCACTCGATGCACCGCCGGGCTCGCTCTCATTGTGTAAAGCGTGCCGCAATACGACGCTCCGAAGAGCACCGCTCTTCCAGAAGCACCTCCATGTTCCATGAAACAAACAAAAGAACTTATCATCGCACTCTTATCATCAACGACAACGGCAACCGAGTACACGCCTCGACCGCCCCAACAGGCTTGGCACAGAGCAAAGCGCAGCAGCTGCCATGAACCCCACAGCCTCCGTACCGCCCCGCGATCCTCACCTCATACCACTATAACCCGCGCATTGCATCTGGTGACCCAGACGACCAGCCCTAGCCGACCCACATCGCAACCGCACTGCTGCGGGAGAAAGCGCTGGTGAGGAGCGTACGCAGCGAGCTTCCGACGTAACCGGACACGCCAGCCTTTTCTGGAGTGGTACCGTCCCCCGGTCAGCTGCTGATAACGCCCGTCGCAATTCCCGGTTTAACGACCGCCATTTGTGTCCACCCATCAGTCGTCAAAGCCCACATCGTCCGCATCGTCGTCGTGCTTGTACATGAGGCCGAGGTCGTTGATGTCCGCCCCGCCCGCGCCAAAGGTCTGCGCAAAGGCCTTTGCATCCGGCGGCTGGTACACCTGCGCGGTGTTGGCCTGCATCTGCGGGAGGGGGAACAGGAGGGGGCATGCAGTGTCACAAGCAGCGGGCGGACAGGGTATCAGCGCCATGTGTTTCTCGTCGAGGATGAGCCCTCACAGATAGGATATGGAAAAAATGAGTAGATGGGCTGCCAGGCAAGCCCACGATCCAACAATAGCGGAACATCGTTCTGACATCACCACCGCCAGCACCGCAACCCGCGCGCCCCCACCTGCAGCTCCTCCAGCTCCTTCTGCCTCGCCTCGTCCTTGGCGCGCTTGGCCTCCGCGGCGGCCGCCTCTTCCGCCTCGCGGATCTTGCGCTCCTCCTCCTCCTTCGCCTGCCGCGCCTCCGCAACAGCACGCAACCGCTCCTGTGGGAAGCACATCACGAGCGGTACCCGGGGCGGCGGGCGGGGTTTGAGAAGAAGAAACAGCAAAGTTGAGGAGGCAGCACGGACAGCATAAGCATCTGAGCAGCCCAAGTGAGTAGCCCTGACATTTGAGTAGCTGAAGCCACACAACGGCTATATTAACTGTTGCTTAGCTTTGCACATCATGGGGCGAGTGTGTAAGGCGGAAAACGCTCCTGAGCACTACTGCACTCCTCATGTTAGAGAAAACAGTGCCGCCTCTTACCTTCTCTCGTTCCTGCTCGAGCTCCTTTCGCCGCTTCTCCTCCTCAGCTTTCTGTCAGGACAAAGTGAGTAGGGGGCAGTCAATAAACATCGCAAGTCGCCATGGAGCAGTCACTCAAGCCGACACCGCACATGCTCGCCTTCCACGCAATGCTCCAAACACGCGTAAGTATCCCCAATACCACGAGCCTCTCGCAGACGCCCGACTCGTAGCCCCACTCTCGGCTCCCAGCCGCCCCATCTCCTCGCCTACCTGCTGCTTTTCCCGCTCAGCCACACTGCGGAAGGAGTCCCACAAGTCATCCCCCTCCTCCTCCCCGCCAGCGCCCGCGTCGGCCGCCTCGCCGCCGCCCTCTGCGGGCTCCTCGTCCGCCGCCTGCCAGGCGGAGGCGTTCAGCACCACATCCTGCACAGCGGGAGCAGTAGCGGGAGCAGCAATGCAGGTTAGGGGTGAGTTTGCGACCAGCGGCACTGAGAATAGCCTGACAAGGAGCTTGGAGACGATTCGAAGCGCCATCCAAGACCTAACATTTCCTCATGGCGTAGCCCCACGCAACCCCGCGCCAACCTTGTTGCTCTTCTTATCGGTTGCGATGGCCGACTTGTCCTTTGGTGCGGTTGCGGACTCCTCCACCAGCGCCGCAGAACGCTGGTTCTTCACAAAGTTAGGCTGGCCTGTGGCCCAAGAACAGCAACCGCTTTAACGGCCCCAAGTTATGTGTTCGGCACAGGCAGTGCCAAGGGTTGGGCAGGAAGTCCCGTCACTGTAGAATGGCGCACAGCTGAGCGCCATTTCAGGCCACATGACCCGTACCAATGCCCTCGGCTTCGCTGCCGGCAGCCCCGCTAGACTTCTGCCCCAAGCCAACCCCGGCTCCTCCTCCCCTTACTTTGCGGCTGCTCCACCATGTTCGAGCCCTTCACGTCCTGCTCCGCAGAGTAGCGGTCCGACTCTGCTCGCGGCGGGGAGAAAGGCCAGGGTAACAGAGGATGTGAGCAGGACAGCTAACCTACTGGCTGATCAAGACCAGACAACCTGGGCACGGGGCTGAGGGCACACGGAGCAGCGACTGCCATACACTGGGGCACGCATAGCTAGCATGCAAGCCATTCCCAGCGTCGGCCAGTTCAAAAGTTCCCCAGGACGGCAAGGCAGCTCGCGCAGTGTATGGGCAGCAGTCGGGTGCCTTGTCGCACCTGAACCGCTTTCCGTGCGCGCCGGCGGCTTGCTCCTCTGTTGTTGCTGCTGCTGTTGTTGTTGCTGTTGCGGCTGCTGGTGCTTCCCGCCGTCATGCGCTGGCCGCGACTCCCCGCCGGCCGCTGCCTTCGACGGCACCGCCGGCTTGGAGGTCTGGCGGTTGGCCACATTGTCGCAGTACTCCCGGAGCCGCCACAGCGTCAGGTTGTCCAGCTGGTCCACGTCAAGCTCAATCTCATCCTCGTCATCTGGGTTGATGTTCTTCAGGTTTTCCGCAATGATGTTGAGTACCTCCCCGAGCTGGTCGCCCTGCAGCTCGCTGAGCGCGATGCTCAGCTTGCGCTTCTCCACCTGCAGGGACGAGCATGCAGCAGGGTTGCACGCGTGGGCATGCACGCATGGGCCCCAGTGCCGCTTTTTTCGCTGCGTATCGTCAGACACAACCGTGTGTCTAACCCCTTCATTACTACAACCCACGTGATTCTGTAGGTGGGATGGAAAGGCGCAAAATGCGGCGCGGCCGACGCATGTCTGAACGTTAACCCTGCCGACCAGGGGCTCTTCGCACGTACCGTGCTCATGGGCCGCGAGGGGTCGGCAGCGGGCAGCGAGTGCACCGAGTTGACCCGCTGCAGCAGCTGCCGGGCGCTGGAGGCTATCCGGCGGTCCAGAGATATGGCCTGCGGTGGTGGGCACACGGCCGCGGGGGCAGGGAGGTAATCGCCTGGTGTTCGGTTGTTGGGAACGAGCGCACGAAACGCTGTTCCTTCAGGCGCGCTGACCCTTTAGCTACGTAACAGCGCTTGTCATACTGAGTAAAGTCAGCAGAATTGCTGTGTGCTTATGGGCGGATTCAGTGGTGTGGAGTCCCACCTGGGGATCCCGCTGCAGCACCAGGTCGTCCCAGCGCTGCTCGATGTTGCTCTCCGCCCACTTCTTCTCCCAGTCGTCGGACAACTGGTCGCCCCAGATGCGGACTGGAGTGCCAATCGAGTTGTATGTGCGGCAGTTGCTCCAAACGAGCCGCACGTCCGCCGCGAACTCGCGGACGTCGTTGTACTTGCGCTGGGAAAGCTTGCTTTTGATGGTGCCCAGGTCCATCGGATGGGAGATGAACTGTAAGCACATAGCACCAAGAGTACATGGCTGCCCATCCCAAGAATGCTTAACGACGCGTTCCCCATCCAGCTTGACCATTCAGAACTTGCCAGCAGATGGCGACGCACACACGCGGGGACAGCCCATTCACCCCATGGTCACGAACCTTGAAGTAGTCGGGCACTTTGTCCCTGACTGGGTCCACTGGCTTGGAGAAAATAATAGCGGACTTCTTTTTCATGAGGAAGTCCAGAATACTTGCGCAGGATCGCCACAAGTTGTCAATCTTTTTGTCCACCTCAGAGTCTAGCTTTGGCCGCTTAGCTTCCGGCGCTCCAAGCCCTGATGGCTGTGGTGCTCGCTTCGCAGGCTGCTTGCTGGCAGTTACGCTAGCCGGGCCCGGAGCGATGCCAGCGAGCCCAGGTCCAGCTTTGACCTTGTCAAGCGCCTTCGCAAGCCTGTTAATTAGCTCAAGGTTAACAAGCTGCCGCTGCTCCGTAAGTTTTTTCAGCTCCTCAAACTTGTTGCGCGCCATGGTAGCTGCCTCTGGAGAGAGACTCATTTTCTGGCCCGGCACACGAGTCAGCCGTTCAGGAGGTCGCTAAGAAAGGGGACGAGGCCCTGCTGCCTGCCAGCGCCACGTCCCCTGCCTCAAGGTGCGGAGCTGAAGGCGTTGGCTGGAAGTTACTGGATGGGCTTAGGGGCGGCGCCCCGAACGCAAAAGCCCGTCAGGGCAAGTGAGCTCTCTACGCAGCTGTCCTCGATTTAAAAAGCGCAGAGCTACTTATTACAGTCAGTAAGGAGCAGTGTTCAAGAAACTTGACTGAGCAGGTTGCCGCGTGGACTGACTGAACGACTCCAAGTATCTGTTTTTTGTTATCCGCGTATATAAGTTAAGGTATGTCCGAAAGCGCGTTATTGGTCCTCAGCTGCACGGATTGACGCATCGGCGCTCGGCCCAAAACGGAAAGCACCATGGGCTGCCATGCGCCTTGTCACGATGATAAGTAAAGCTCACAACAAGTCAATAATTAGCCATGTTCAAGCTTTTCAGCCTGCCAAATTCCGCCACCAACGCCCCACCCTGACACCATCAGCCCCTTCCCATCCATCCCTTCCGCCCTGCGCCGCGCCAAGGGCCCCCGACCTCGCCCTCGAGCAAAGCCTGCCCGCGCCTCACGAGCACTCCACGCCAGGGATCCCCTGGTCCCGGCCAACAGGGAGCGTACGCTCCAGAAGCTGAATACCAATCCTCCTCAACCGAAGTGCCGTGTACCCACCCCAACCACATCCTGCCCACTCCAACTTTGTCCCTTTACGGATCATTCCGTTCAGTCCCACGCCAAAAAACTTCGGTGCGTGGCGACACACCCCCACCCCTTTAACGCTCAAACACCGCCCGCCTGCAACACACTCCCGCCGCGTCCTTCCCGGCTCCTTCCCACGATGGGCCTTCCCACAAACAACCCTTCCGCTCCAAGCAACCTTTTCCTTGCAGAGAGCCACACACCTCCACACGAACCCAGACGACCCCCCCCCCTTCACGATATGCTCTTGCGCAGTTCCAGCAGCGCCTCGTGCAATTGCGCGTCCTTGACGATCTGCGGAGGAGGAGGTGGAGGAGGAGGAGGAGGAGGAAAAGATAAGAGGTGGAGATGGAGGTGGAGGCGCAACATGTATGGGGTTAGAGGGAGTAGGTTCACGCACTGCCTTCCGTTTGACCCCTCCCACACCAGCAGCAAATCCATGCTCCGACGCTTGCACCAAGCATCCACACAAGCACAACCCCTGCCACCGCACCCTCCCTCCGCACCTTTCTTAAATCCTCCCCCCAGCCCCCACACCCGCCCACCTGCAGGAACGGCCCGCTCAGCCGGCGGCCCAGCCCCATCTCCCCCACCATGATCCGCCGCGCCTCCGGGCTGTTGCCGGCCAGCGCCGCCAGCTCCGCCGCGGCGGCCGTGGCGGTGGCGGCGAGCGCGCTGCCGGCGTCGGGTGACATGAGCCGCTCGCGCCCCTTCCTGTCCGGCACGAAGGTGCTGAGCGCCTGCTGGCACACGCACCACAGCGAGCGCAGGATGGCGGAGAGCACCTGGCTGGGGTCGCAGACGGGCAGGCCGGAGGAGGGGCCGCTGGGGCTGCGAGGGGAGGAGGAGGGAGGAGGCAGGGAGGGAGGGAGGGAGGGAGGCAGGAGGGATGAGGGAGGGATAGAAAGGGGAAGATGTGGATGACCTAATGACCTAGATGTATGAGAGGAAAATGAGAGGCGTGGGCCCTAGTGCTGTGAATGTACGCAAGGTGAGCGATTGAGTCTCTCCGCACCGCACCGCACCGCTCTCCCCCACTCACGCTTGCGCCGCCGCCACCACCCCCTCCAGCAGCTCCCAGTGCGCTGCCAGGCAGGCCAGAGCGGATACCACGGTGGCCTTGCTGCCCCGGGGGTCCTGAGGGGGGAAGGGGGGGAAATTATATAAGAAATGCAAACAACTACAGCACCAATATTATATCCCGACTCATGCAGTGAGTGGGGGGCAGAGGCATGGAGGGGGATGTGGGGGGGAGGCCCCGGATGGAGTTGAGGGTGGGGGGCCGAGTGAGGGTACGGGAGTACAGGTGAGCGGGCGCGGATACCGCTGGTCATGGCTTACTGCAGAGAGGAACAGCAGCCACACCTGCGACAAGAGGGCTAGAGAGGCAGCCGGGCCGCGCCAAACCCGACGCACCCCCTTGCGGCCTCATGCAGCCCCCCCCCCACCCCCCAGCCTTCTGCCCTGCCCCATACCTGGTTGAGGAAGGGGAACATGTCCCGGTTGAGCAGCTCGCTGAGCGCCGCGTACGCGCCCGCCGCCACCGCCGCCGCCGCCGGCTGCCCTCCGCCCACCACCAGGTCCCCCAGCAGGTCGGCAGCGGCCAGGCGGGCGGTCCAGCTGGCGGAGTGGTCCAGAGCCAGACTGCACAGCCGGGACAGCAGCTGCGCGGGGGGAGGAGGAGGAGGGCAGGAGGGGGAGGGAGGGAGAGAGGAAGGAGTTAACTGTTAAGAAGATGAGGGGAAGTCTACCTCATGCGATGGATCCAACAACGGGCATTTTATTTCAGTTGCAGATGGGTGTGAGAGGCAACCCCCGCGCGCCCCGCCCCACCTTGTCCTCCCCGCCAATGGCCGCCAGCACCTCCGGCTGCGAGTCGCTCAGCGCCACCAGCGCCTCCGCAGCAGCAGCCTGCTCCGCCTGCTGCGCCGGACCCATGCGACCCGCGGACGGCAGCGGCGGAGGCATGCGACCCAGGGGTCGGGCAGCCGCGGGGGCGCCCGCCGGGACCCCCGCTGCCGCACCGCGCGGGGAGCCGCCCGGAGAGGCCCCTGCTGCCCCAGCTGTTGTGTTGGCGGCGGCCGCGCCCCCTGCGGGTCTGAGCTGCCCCGCCAGCATGCGGATGAGCACCTCCAGCATGCCCGTTTCCTGGTACACGGCGGAGAACTCGGAGCCGGGGACAAGGCCCAGCTGGGCGATCTCCGCAACGCAGGAGGCGACTGGGGGGGGGAGAGGAGGGGCGAGGAGGGGAGGGGGCAGGGCAGGGGAGGGCGTGAAGCTGACTGCATGATGGTTATTCGGCGGTAGCTGCTGCGCAATTGACTTTGACGAGGCGTCGCGGATCTCCTCAGGCTCCTTCTTGCGGGAAGGAACATCGGCAAGCCTCGCCGCACGACAAGAGTTTACTACGAGCCAAACTGTTGTCCGAGAGGAACAGACAGCTAAGGGACCTGACATTAAACAGGCTGGTTGTTGTCGTCGGCTGTTTCTTCCGCCCCCTTTCCCCATCCTCATCCCCATCTCCATCCCCATCCTCTTCACCCACCCTGCACCCGCATGTCCGGGTAGTGGCAGATGGCGTCCACCCACAGCGCATGCAGCTGCCCCATGGCGGGGCCCACGTGGCTGCCGACCAGGGAGGCGTACGACAGGCTGGCGGGCAGCTGCCGACATGTACGGCAGGCGGACCTGGGGTGTTGGGGCGGGTGTGTGGGGAGGGAGTGGGTGAGAGGTGGGGTTGGTTAGGGGGAGGGGTGGGTGGTGGGGATGCTGGGGTGTGAGGGCGAGCGTGGGAATGTGGGAATGTGAAGCATGAGGCAAATGAGGGAAATGGGGTGGCACTTGGCAGGCGTTAGGGTGTGGGAGCCGGAGCCCCAGACCCAGCCCCGACCTGCACCGCCCCAGCCCCACCCTCCACCCTCCACCCCGGCCTCCCCGCACCCCCACCTCGTGAAGGTATGCAGGGTGCTCAGCGCGTCCAACACGCGGCACAGCAGCTCCGACTGGAACAACAACGCGTCCAAAACACACACGCCGCCGCCACCACCCGCACCACCGCCGCCTCCAGCCACAGCAGCTGAGCACCCCTCAGCCTCCGACGCCGCCAGCTGACTCGCACCGCCAAAGCTGCCCCCCCGCGCCGCCGTACCGAACCGGCTGACGCCGCCGGCGCTGCTGCCACCCGTACTGCCGCCGCTCGCCTCCGCCGCCGGCGCCAGAGCGCTGGGGTCCACTGGGTCGAACAGCACGGAGGAGACCGCCTGGAGTACGACACGTCGCGACTCGGATGCCACTGGAAGACCAACCGCCGCGGCCGCCGCCGCCAGCGGATCATCACCAGCCAGATGGTGGTGGTGGTGGTGGTGCAGCTGTTCCGAGGCTGACATGGAGATGGAGAGTATCATTGCGGCTGCTTCGGTGGCCGCCCTGAGGTCGGCGGCAGCTAGCAGGGTGCCGCCGTCCGCGGCAGGAAGCCAGGCTTGCTGCTTGGCCTGCGCCTGCGCCTGGGCGTGTGCCTGGGCCCGCAGGCGCCTGGTCAGGTCGTTGGAGCGGCAGTTGTTGGGGGCGCTGACTCCGCGCATGGGGCTGTGGGTGGCCTGGGGGGCAGGGGAGCGGGGTTGTGGGAGCGGCCGGTGGTCGCAACGGGCTGCGAGTGGTGTGGCGGTTGTAGCTGTGTGTGCGCACACCTCCATCAACGTATCAAGCCATCAGCGTGCGAGTCCGGTGTAAAACGCAGCAGCAGCAGCCGTCGCGCCTTGAAACAGCGCATGTGTGCCGCATAAGACGCGAACGCAACACGCAGGAGGTACCGCATTAAGGTCCATGTGTCGTGTGTCATGTGCGCTCCTACCTGGATCATCTCATACATGGAAGTGAACTCCTTGGACCGCTGCGTCGAAGGGGAGGTGGGCAGCGAGGTGCGCAGCTTGGAGTCACCCGGGCTGCCTCCGCCGCCTCCGCCACTGCCCCCCCGCACGCCAGCGCTCGTCGGCCGTCCCGCCGCCCCACCCGCGTCCGCTCCTCCGCCACGGCTGCGAGCCGACAGCGCACGCCGGGGGCCCTCCCCCGCCATACCTCCTCCCCTGCCCGCCGCCCCGCCCTTGCCCCCGCCTCCCTCGGGTCCCGGCCTGCCCAGCAGCTGCCGTACAAGCGCCCCCAGGTTTGATGAGGCGCTGATGAACGGCGACAGCGACGTGGCTAGCAGGCGGATGAGCTGGCCTGCTGGGTGGCTGGGGTCTCTAGCCATGAGTTGGAGATGGGAGGCCATGCTGAGGGCTAGGCCGGGGCTGGGGCCTGGGGAAGAAGCGGCGGCGGTAGCGGGACTGTTGGTAGGGCCCGCGGGCGCCTTGGCGGGAGGGGCCTGCTCGGGGTAGGCTGCGAGGAAGCGCGCGTGGCTGTCGGAGAGGGCGGCGGAGGCGGAGGAGAGGGCCTGCGGAGGGACAGGAAGGGAGCGGCGGTGGGGATGAGGGCTGGCGGTGGCGGGTTGGCAATGGGACGCTGCTGAAGGTGTGCAGCGTTCAGAGGTAGTCTTACATGGTAGGAGGGGTGCAGGACTCTTGACGGGGCGACACAGGCGCCGTTGCCTTTCGCCGTTGAGAACCCCTCGCACCCCGGCACGTGCACTCCTCCCAAAACCACCCATTCGGTATCGCACGCAGGCTACAACCCTAACCCCAACCCATCCAGGCCCCCACCTCCAGCTTGCCGCGCATCAGCTCCATGAGCCCCTCCGAGTCCGCCATCACACAGCCCAGCTCCGCAGCCTCCAGCTCCAGGTCCTAAGGGGGGGGGGGAAGAGGGGCGGAGGGGGAGGGGGCGGCAGGGAGCGGCAGGGGGCGGCAGGGGCAGGGGTCGTTACGCTGGTCGGGGGCAGGGGAGCCAAGGGCACAGTGGCACAGGGGAAGGCTCGGTGCGGGCGCCAGCTGCCTCCCATGCGCGCTCGCAACGCTTGTGGTCCACAAGAGATGACGCGGACGCCCGTGCGCTTCCTCCCGCATCCGTACACGCATCCGTACCTGCAGCCGCTGTTCCACGTCCTCCTGCCGTACTTCCTTGGACAGTCCGTTGCCCGCGAAGAGCTCCACGTGCCTCCGCGGGCCCCCCTGCGGCAGACCCAGCTTCAGGCCCCGACGCAGCTTGGCGATCTCGGTGTCAACCTGGTGTGTCGGGTGCCGGCAGGGTCCCGCGACGGGGCGGGGGAATTGCATGTTTGTGGAGTTCCGTACCCATGACTGTTTAGAAGGCAGCGGCAATAGAACGAGCGGCTACAACAGCGAACTACGAAGCGCTGCTCACTCCTCACGCAAACAACCCTTCCATGCCCATTCCTGCAATCACCCCCCCCCTTCCTCGCCCCCCTCCTTCCCTCCCTCCCTCCCACCTGTCTTCTCCTCAGCGCCGCCCGCCTGTTGGCCGCCCCCAGCGCCTGCACCTCCCTGCCCAGCGCCCCCTGCGCCGCCCCCAGCGCCGCCGCCATGTCGGGCTGCAGCGCCAGGTCGGCAGCCAGCTGAGCCAGCTCGCACGCCAGGCAGCGCAGCGACATAAGCACGGAGTTCAGGCGGACCTGGGGGGTGAAGGGGTGAGGAGGGAGGGGTGGCGTGCATGGGATGGCTTGCAACGGGGGCGAAGGGAGGGGTGAGGGCATGTACTGGCACTGAGGATCGGGCCGACATACACCGAGGAAGATGCCGGAGGTGCGATGCGGGACAGGAGTGGAGCAGAGTCGGAAAGGCCGCCGTCGTGTATGACTGCAAGCCAGCCGGCCATGCATCACCGGCATATGCTCCTAAGCGCACACATGCATGACAGGGCAACCCAACCGCGGGGGCGGACCCGCTGGCACCCCCCGGGGGCAGCCATGAGCCACCCACCCCCACCCACCATGGCCTGCACGATATTCCCCTCCAGCAGCTTGGCCGCCACCACCTCCGCATGCTGGCGGCTGGGGCCGGGCGGGCTGGCAGCGGCGGCGGCAGCAGCGGCGGAGGAGGCGGAGGTGGGGCGCGTGGGGCTGGCGGAGGTGGCGTGCGGGGAGGCGGCGGGCCTGGCACTGGCTGGTCGCTCCGGTGCGGGTGCGGGCTTGATGCGGGAGGACAGCAGGGAGAGGACCTGGGGGGGTGGGGTGGGGGGAGGAAGGCGGAGAGGGGTCAGGCGGCGGGACACGTCAGACGTTGGGGAGGTGTGAACCGCTGGCGCCGTCCGCTCTACCAGCGATGCCGCGCAGCCTGCATGTCGCCTTCAGGAGGCCGTGAGGCGACTCGCCACTGCCATGCTGCCTCGCGCTGCCTTTCCCGACTCCTAATGGCTGACACCAGCACCCCCGCCCCCGTCCCCGCCCGCCCGCCCACCTGTTGCAGCATGTGTACGTTGGGGCGCGACACCCGCACTCGCCGCCGGCCGCGAGAGCTGTGCTGCTGCTGCCACTCCTGCAATGGGGGGCGGAGTGCGAGGGGGTGGAACATGGAGGGCAATGCAGGCGGGAGGCGGTACGGCAAGGTGGGAGGAAGGGCTCTCTAAAGCCACCACAAGTACCGCCCCGCCCCACCCCGCACGCACCCGCATCGCCCGTTCCAGCCTCGCCATCCGCTCGCTCTGCAGCCGCACCGGCCCCGCCGCCCGCCGCGCCACCGCCATCTCCCGCCTCAGCTCCGCTGCCCCCGCCTCCGCCGCATCCATCGCCCGCCGCCGCTGCTCCGCCTCCTCCTCCGCCCGCGCCGCCTCCGCCTCCGCCACCCGCCGCACCCGCCGCTGCTCCTGGCTGCCGCCGACGCCGCTGTCGCGCACCTCTGCGTCGGCCGCCTCCGCCGCCTCCTGCGCCGCCGCCGCGTCCATCTCCGCCGCCTCCGCCGCCCTGCGCGCCTCCCTGGCTGCGTCCTTTGCCTCCGCCAGCTGCTGCTGCATGTCGCGCAGGCGGGTCTGCAGGTGCTCCAACTCCATGCTGGGGTTGGGGGTTGAGCGGTGCATGCGGGAGGAGCGAGTGTAGGGTGTAGGATGCGGGATGTACGGAGGGAGGGCTTCATGCAACATCAGCAGCAGCCGGCAATAGGCAGGAACACGCATGCTACACCCCCAACCCAACCCCCTGTGCTGACGCACATGCCTACTGAGGTACTAGGGTACTAGCGCGCAGTCGGCGCCCCACGCCCACCTCCCAACCTGCACTTGTTTTGCGGCACCCTGCCGCCTCCTACCCCCATTGTCTTGCCCCAACATGTGGTTTCCTATGGTTTGGTATGGTCTTTGACGCCCCCACCTGTTCTTTTCGATGACCGCCCGTGCGCTGCTGGCCAGCAAGCCCGCCACCTCCTCGCCCAGCAGCCGCAGGTTGGCCGCCTCCACCGCCACATAGCTCACCAGGCACTCCAGGGCCTGGCTGTCCTGCAGGGGCGAGGGACAGGGAGAGAGAGAGGAGAGGAAAGGGGGGGGGAGAAAGGAGGGGGAGGGTGGAGACGTGTGGGCGGGGCTGGGGGGCCGGGCGCGGGAGAGTGGGGAGCAGGCGGTGATTCGCGCGCCACGCCTCGCTTCACTGGCTGCACAGCACGCATGCCCGCGCCCCTCCTGCACCCAACAGCGCTCCCTGGGCACCCCAAACATACATGAAGCGCTGTAGCCCTCCATGGCCTTGTAAGGGTAGTAACCCACCCGATCCATGCCTCCTCCCACCCATTCTTTCTCCTCCCTCCCTGCACCGCACCGTACCTCCAGATGCCGCTCCGCCAACCGCCAGTAGCTCTTGGGCAGCACACCCACACCCGCACCCGCACCACCACCCGCGCCACCCCCGCTGCCACTGCCGCCTGCAGCAGCCATCCACCTGGCCTGCGGCGCCAGGGTGATCGCCTGCAGGATGAGCGCCGCAACGTCCGCCGGCAGCAGCAGACATGGAGGCTGATCTGGGTCGTTGCAGCGCTGGTACAGTACGGCAAGCGCCTGGAAGAAATCTGCCGTACGTACGGCAATGTACAGATCTGGGGTGGCTTCGGCCAGGCCGAGCAGCGCGAGTGCGCAGGCGGCTGCGTCGCGGGGTGTGGCTGCTGCGGCGCCGGGGGAGGCGGTGGGAGCAGCAGCGGTGGCGCCGGTATTGCGTACTGAGACGAGGGCGGCTAGGAGGCCGGGTATGATGCGGCTGTCTAGCACGTGGACGTCATTGGCCTGGTGGGGGTAGGGGAACAGGGAGGGGGAGAGGTAGGTGTGGAGGAGCAAAGCAGTGTCCGGCAGGTGTACCTGCTAGCTGCTGCTCCTCGGCTCCCCGTGCCTGCCCCCCCCCTCGTCCCCATGCTCCTGCCTTCCCTGCGCTACCACTGGCAGCCACCCCTCCACCCCATCCGCCCCGCCGCCACCCCTGGTGAAGCCCACTTTCCTCTTCACCCGCCCCGCCCCTCCTCTTCACCCGCCCCTTCCCTCCCCCCCCCACCTGTGTGACGTATGGCGCCGTGATGGCCACCAGCCGGGCAGCCGCCAGCACCACCCGGCTGGAGCTGCTGGCGGTCAGCACGTAGCCTGGGGGGGGCAGGGGAGGGGAGGGGAGGAGGGGAGCGTGAGAAGATAGGCGCCCGCTTCCAGCCATGCGTCCCTTCGCAAGACAGCTCCAATCCAGACCATTGTTATCGGTACGCTGCCCTTCTTTACTCCCAAGCTCGCCATACTCCCACTCTCTCTCCCTCCTCGGCAGGCCTCCCATCCACTCGCCTCCCCCCCACTCCTCCTTCCACTCCTCACCTATCTGCGTGAGCACCTCGGGCCGCATGACGCACCGCCCCAGCAGGCGCAGGTGCGGCGGCCGCAGCGGCGCGGCGTGCTGCTCGTGCGCCGCAGTCGCCACCAGCAGCGCCGCCAGCGCGCACAGACACGCCTCCTGCACCGCCAGCTCCTGCTCCGCGGCCAGTAGCTCTGCCAGGCTGGCCACCACGCCCTCCTCCACCGCCACACGCAGCGCCGAGGCAGCCTCCCGGCGCGGCAGGAAGGAGGGCAGCGCGCCCAGGCCCTGGGCGGCCAGCACGCGGGTTGCGGTGGGGCCGGTGTAGAGGTCGCGGAGGTAGCTGGAGGAAGGGGGGTGGGGGAAGGAGGGTGGGAAGGGGGGAGGGGGGAGGTTTGGAGTGTGCGGCGGGGGTTGAGGGGGGTTGGGTGGGGATGTGGGAAGGGGAGGATTGGGGTTGGGTGGGGTGTGCGGGTGGTTGTGGTGGTGTGAGGCGGAAGGTGAAAGGGCAAGTGCCGGTCCAGAGTGCTGAGGAGGGTGACAAGGGAAGGTGCATTGATGTGGGGAAGTGGAGATGGTAAAGGAGGTACTGGGGTTTGTGGCGATGGGAAAGCAACTATCTTATGCATGGGGCTTGCCGGCCACCAACCTGGCTACGATGTCCTTTGGGCGGGTGGACGAGCTTGCTGGGGCAGGCCCGTCGGATCCATGCGGAGTTGAGGGAGCGGTGCTAGGTGAGCTGCCAGGGTCGCATGGTGGTAGCACAACCAGCGCTGAAGGGCCTCGCGACGCAGGGATGCCGCCCGACGACATGGTGACAAAATGCTGCTGCTCCCTAATACCCTTTAGGAAGCTAGCCGAAGATTCAAAGTGAAATAGGCTTTGATGCTATTTGCCCCTCGAAGCGATACGTCCGCCGCTCCTTAAAACTGCGGAAATGCGTACACAGCAGGAGCCATAATTTGTGGCAACGATCCTTCCTCTGTTACAAAAAAATCGATCATGTAATGCTGTAGTAAAATAAGCTGGATAGCACGGTATAGCCAATAACTGCTGGGGCACTGCTACGCCTTCTTCGCCCGCGGGAACCCCAAGATATGCGACATTGTTATACGCCAAGTCCACCCCGCATTAGCAGTATGATGGCGCTGGCGCGAGTAGCGCTTGTTTCGATGCAATAAACGCCGACGATACGGCGATACGAGCATCCACAAGACGCGCTTGCTTTCCATCAAGTGTACATCATAGAAAGGGACTAGATGGTCGGCATGCAAACCTGAATACATTTTCGCTTACTTTGGTGCTTGCAGTCTTGCGCCCACGGTAACGGTGTTTCCAGTCTATTGTCAGTTACACACAGCCTTTAACCTATAAATTGCTACATTATGTAATCTGGACAATTCCCCATAACATTGGGTTGAAGCTTCTTCTGTTTGTCGCTGAAAGGACAGAAAATGGCTGTTGCCACGGTTGCAGACCCGGCAAAGTATGCCGAGAATCTACGCAAACAGCTTATGAACGATCTCTTTGAGGGAGATGACTTGGAGTCGGACGTCACCCCTCTTGGCGATAACATTAATCTCTCTGACTTCTTGGGCGACGCTGGCATAATTAGCCTTCAAGATGTCGACAAAGACTTGGAGGAATTTCAGGACCACGATGTTATTAAGGGAATTCTTGAGCAGGGACGCGTGGTGAAGGAGTACGCGCGGGAAATCGATGACAAGCTGCGAACCGCGGAGATGGAGTCGATCCAGGACTACATCCAGGAGAGCGATAACATGGTGGAGCTGCATGAGCAGGTACCTGTGGGGGCATGGCACACGGGCGGAGGGGTCGGAGAGTGGCCACGGCCACTTGCTTGCTGTCTAGTGTCTAGTGCATTCCCCACAGCAACTGGGGGGCAGGGGTTCACACATCTTCTGGAAGGGCAACAGGTTACAGTGGGCAGCGGGATGCGGGGCTGGTATGGGCAGCGCAGGTGTCCGTCCAGGTGTCCAGCGCGGCCCCGGGGTACACCCTGCCACCACACACACACACGGCGGCTGTGGCGTTTTCGGTGGGAGGACTCCATCTTTCGGCAATCACAGTACGTTTCGCCTCGCGGCCAGTTATTTTAACACACGGCGGCTACTGACCCACCCACCCACCCCTGGCTTGAGCGGCTGCTGCATGCAAGCATGTGGCAGAGAGGCTCCAGGGGGTCGGCGACGTTGCATGGGGGCCTGGCTTGCTCCCATACCCCCGCCCAGTCTCGCTGCCTGCCTGCCTAACCGGCACAACCTTCCGCCACCCTCCATGCACTACCCCCCTCCATGCTCTCCATGCACCAACCCCCTCCATGCCCTCCCCCTCCCTTGCCACTAGATCAAGACGTGCGACTCCATCCTGGCGGGCATGGAGCAGCTGCTGGCCAAGTTCCAGTCGGACCTGGGCAAGGTAGGAGGCGGGGAAAGAAGAGGAGAGGCTACGGCAGCTGAGAGTGCGAAGCGGAGGGGCGATGGCACCCCGTTCAGTCTTCCGGCTGCCGCTCACTGCCGCCCACCCACCCCAGCCTCGTCATACAGTTCGTCAGTTTCCTTTATTGTTTCCCACCCCCACTCAACCCCCTCACCACCCCATACCCCGCCCCTCCCCCCCAGGTTGGCGAGGAAATCCGGCAGCTGCAGGTGCAGTCGCAGTCCATGGGCACCAAGCTGAAGAACCGGCGGGCGGCGGAGGGGCAGCTGGGCGCATTCATAGAGCAGCTCACCGTCAGCGAGGAGCTGGTGCGGGCCATTCTGGACAACGAGGTGAGAGGGGCGGGTGCTCCTTAGAGGCAACCGGTGCTCCCTTACAGCCTCCCCCTCCTCACCTACCACCCCACCCGCGTTGGAAACCCGGTGTATCCGGCCCTCTGTCTCCTTCTCCAACCCCTGCGCCCCCTGTAGCTCGTTAGTTGCCTCGTCAGTTTCCTTGGTTTTACCCCGCCCCGCCCCGCCCCGGCCCCCCCCCGCCCTGCAGGTCAACGAGGACTACACCGAGCACCTGGTGGCGCTAGACCGCAAGCTGCGCTTCGTGCGCGAGGACGGAGTGGCGGGGCAGTCTCTGGCGCGGAGGGACATCGAGGGGGCGCTGGAGAAGCTGCGGATCAAGGCGGTCACAAAGGTGGGGGAGGAGAAGTGCAGCAAGGAGGGGTGGCGGGTGCGGCACACTGCTCGGCACATGCACGCAGCCGCACCCGGCCCCCCTGCACCCTCCCGCTTCCTTTGCTTGCATCAACCTGTGGCTTCCTATGGTATTGTATGGTCTTTGCCCCCCCCCCCACTTCCCCCCGCTCCCCCCCAGGTCCGCGAGTTCGTGCTGTCCAAGGTGTACCAGCTGAAGCGCCCCAAGACCAACGTGCAGATCATCCAGCAGTCGGTGCTGCTCAAGTACAAGTACTTCATGAGCTTCCTGCGACAGCATGGGACCGATGTGTACACGGAGGTGGGGGGGGAGGGTAACTGAGCCGCGGAAACACTGACCCTGACCGATGTGTACCGGAGGTGGGGTGATAGAGGGGGGGTCAGGGGGAGGAGAAGGAGGAGAGGAAGGGGTGGGTTATCTTTATGTGGGGCACGACATAAGAGAGGGTTGGAGGAGGAGGAGGAGGAGGAGGAGGAAGAGGAAGGAAGGTGAGGAGGGGTGCCGAAGGAACAACCCCGCCTCCCCTGCCTCCACCATTAACTGCTAATCCCCTTCCCCTTCCCCCTCCTCCCTTCCCCCCAGATCCGCGACGAGTACATTTCCGTGCTGTCGGGCATCCTGGCCTCCCACTTCCGCACCTACCTGGCAGCCATGGAGAAGATGCAGGCGGCGGTGGCGGGCGCGGCGGACGTGCTGGGGGCGGCGGAGGGGGCGGGCGGCGGGGCGGGGGGAGGCATCGGGGCGCTGTTCGGGAAGGGGGCGGCGCGGGCCACAACGGTGAGGGGGCGGGGGGGGGGTGGAGGAGGGGGGGATTGGGGAACAGGCCGCGAGGAAGACCTTTTAGGTTGGAACTGGGTGTGCGGAGACGGGAGGAGGGGCTGCTTCCACTGCTGCTTCGTGCCCCTCCAGCAAGCACAGTTGGTTCGCCGCGCACTGCTCTTCCCGCCACAACCTCCTCCTGCTCCACCTCCTGCTCCTGTTTCTTATGATTTGGTATGGTGTTTGACCCCCTCCCTTCCCCCCACCTCCCAGGAGGCCACCTTCAGCCTGGGCGAGCGGTCCGCCGTGCTGGACCAGCTGGACAAGCCCGCCATCATACCGCACATGGCGGAGTACGAGGGAAGGAAGTTCCCGTACGAGGTGGGGGGAAAGGGAGGGGGGAGGTAAAGAGGAAACAACTAACTGATCGTGTGATAAGGCTTCATCATGGGGGTGGGTGGGTGGGGGAGGCTGGGCAGCGGGTGGGGTGGGATGCCGGTGGGGGCTTGCGTTGTGCTGGGCGCCGTGCTTGGCGCGCGCGTGGGGGCTTGGCTCGGCCCCCCTTTACCCCACTTGTCACACAGATCGTCAGTTGCCTCCTCCTTACCCGCCCCTCCCCTGGCCCCCCTCCCCCCCCCTCCAGGTTATCTTCCGCAACGTGCACAAGCTGCTGCTGGACACCGCCACCAGCGAGTACCTCTTCTGCTGCGACTTCTTCGACGAGGACGAGGGGCTGCCCGTGTTCCGGGACCTGTTCAAGGACATCGTGGGGGTGGTGGAGGGCAACCTGGCGACCAACCTGCAGGTAGGAAAGGGGAAGAGGAGGGGGGGGGATTGAGTAGGCTGAGCCGCGAGGGAACACTGGCCGTGACCATAGGGTGCGTGGAGTGCTGCCAGGGCGGCGTGGTTGTGCTGCTGGGCTAAGTACCTGCCTCTTTCCGGACTCTTGAAACCACCCGTCCCCCATCTCCCTCCCCCTCCCCTCCCCCCCACATGATGACGCCTTATCACACGGTTCGTTAGTCGTTTCCTGTTCCAACCCCTCCCCTCCCTCCCTGCCCCCCTCCCGCCTCCCCCCCCAGCTGATCGGCGACCTGGTGTGTCTGCTGCTGATGATCCGCATCAACCACGACCACCGCAAGCTCATGCTGCGCCGCCGGGTGCCCTCCCTGGACGACTACCTGGACCGGGTGCACCTGCTGCTGTGGCCCAGGTTCAAGGTAGGGAGGGGGGGAGGGAGGGGGGAGGAGGAAACAACTGGAGGGGTGGAAGCGGGGTTGCATGGAACGAGGGGCAAGGGATGGAGCGGTTCGACTGAGAGGCGTGTTTGATGCGGGCCTCCAACCCCCGAACACCCGTCTCCACTGCCCCTTACCTCATACCCCTTCGCCTCCCTTCCCGCCCACCCGCCACCACCACCGCACCTCACCGCACCATGGCATCAACGTTTTCTTCACTCCTCCCCCCATGTTGACGCCTTATCACACGGTTCGTTAATCGTTTCCTCTTTCACCCCCTCCCCTCCCCCCCCAGCTCCTGTTCGACGGCCAGCTGCACTCCATCCGCCCCGGCTGCGAGCGCGCGCTATTCGTGGACTCCCCCGCGCCGCACTTCGTCACGCGGCGCTACGCGGCACTGGCGGCATCCATGCTGGTGCTCATGGCGGGATACGAGAGCGGGGACCCGGGTGCGGGAGGCGGAGGGGGAGGGGAGGGAGGGGGGAAGGGGGCGGGGAAGGGGGCGGGGAGGGAGGGGGGAAGGGGGCGGGGAAGGGGGCGGGGAAGGGGGCGGAGGGGAGTGGCGGCGAGCTCTCTGACAGTCACCCACGCGGGAGTGAACCCGCATGCGTCCATCCGCTTCTCCCTCCTCCCTTCACCCCCTCCCTAACGGCCTCCCCGCGTTCTTCGTCCGCCTCCTCCCACCACCCCCACCACTCCCCTATTCCATCACACCTACAGCCTCCCGCCTCCTCCTCCTATCTACAGCTTACACACTCCTGAGCTCTGCTGTCCCCATGCAACCTCCCCACCACACCCCACCACACCCTTGTTCCCCTGCTGCCAACCCCCCCCCCCCACCCCCCCTGCAGGCATCTTCAAGGCGCAGTCCTTCGTGGACTCCATGGAGCGGCTCTGGCAGGCCATGCACGACCTACTGCTGCGCATGTCCAACCTGTTCAAGGACCGCCGTACGGGCATCGTGTTCCTCATCGTGCAGTACAAACACATACACACCACACTGTTCGCCGCGGCGTCAGCAGGCAGTGCTGGCGTGGCTGCCGCTGCTGCGGGTGGTGGTGCGGGTGGTGCAGCGGGTGGAGGTGCTGCTGCGGGCGGAGGCGGGGGCGGGTCGGCGGCGGCGGGGGCGGGGGGCAGTGCGGCAGGAGGGGCGGGGGGAGCGGGTATCGGTCTGACGGGGCTGTGCCACTTGAAGGAGTGCGAGGTGAGGGGGCGGGTGGGAAAACGAAATTCCAATGTGTGGTGTGATAGTGGTAAACAAGCTGACAAGCCCTGATGGGTGGGGAGGCGGGTGGGGGGCGGGAGGGTGTGGGAGGGAGGGAGGGAGGGGGCGTAGCGCGGTGGGCTGGGGCTCACTTTGCTTGCATTGGAGCAGACGCAGGACCAGGGAAGGAGGGCGGAGCAGGGGTGTGTATGCGTTGTGCGATTGAACACACACGTAGAGCCAACATGGGTGCCGCCAACATCGGCCTGCCTGCCGCCTTGCACTGCTACAAGACCGTGGCTGGAAGACCACATTTGCACTCCACATGCATCTCACGCGCCACTTCGCCACCCTCGCTTTTTCTTTTTCTCCCCCCCCCCCCACTTGCCCTCCCCTTCCTTTCCCCCCTCCCCCCCCTCCCCCCTCAGGACCAGCTGGCCTCCTGCATGGGTCTCTTCGTGGATGACCAGCTGGCCGCGCACTTCCGCGACCTCACCGACTGGGTGCGCAAGGCGGAGCAGGCGGCCAAGCGGTCGGGAGTGGCGGAGGGGCAGCACATACCCGGCTTCGCACCCGCGCAGGCGGCGCCCCTGCTGAGGGACTTCGCGGCCAGGTGGGGGGGCGGCGGGAGGGGGGGAGCGGGAGGGGGGTGATAAATGAACAGTGAAGCAACGGAGGGAGGGAGGCGGGAGGGGCGGTGGCAGCGGGAGGGGAAAAATAAAGTGAGGGGAGGGAGGGAGGGAGGGAGGAGCAGGGAGAGGAGAAGCGGGGGGGGCCGATGTGTAGTGGAGTTCATGGGGTATGATGCCTTGGGTGCGGGGGGGGGGATGCTGATGAGCATGGATGGGAGCACACTGGTGAGCTCAGCGTCCGTCCGTCCATCGTGTGCCTTCATCTTGTCACATCCGCATTCGTATGGTCCTTCCCCCCTCCCTGCCTACCACCCCTCCCCACCGCCTCTCAACCCTATACCCTATGATCCCCTCTCCTACCTCCCCCCCAAGTTGCTCTTCCCTACCGGTAACCTCTGGTTTCCTACATTTTGGTCTGGTCTCTGGTGACGCACCCCCCCTTTGGGTCTTCTCCCCCCAGGTGGCAGGCCGCCATCGAGAGCATGCACCGGGAGGTGGCCGCCCAGTTCTCCGAAACCAGCTGCGGGCGGGACGTGCTGCAGGCCTCCATGACCTCGCTGCTTAAGTACTACACAAGGTGGGAGGCAGGGAGGGAGGGAGGGAGGGAGGGAGGCAGGGAGGCAGGGAGGGAGGCAGGGAGGGAGGGCGGTGCCAGGGTGGTTGTGAAGGTCTCGAGGACGGTGGTAATGAGTGGGGACGACGGACGAGGGGCGGGCAGAGGTTGGGGGTGAGGAGCAGTCCTCCCCGCGTCCTCCTTCCGCTCCCCACTCGAACGTCGCACGCTCGACTAACTCGGTTCCCTCACCAGAAGCTTGTCGCCGTGTTTGCCATTCTTATTCAACACATTGGGTCTTCTTCTTCTTCCCCTCCCCCCCCGTCTTCCCCCTCTTCCCCCCTTGGCCTGCAGGTTCCTGGAGCTGCTGAAGCGGCAGGGTGCGGAGGGTCTGACGCTGGTTCGGGAGGCGGTCAACGTGCCGTCCATCATGTACGAGATCAAGCGGATCACCAAGACGTAGGGGAGAGGAGAGGAGAGGAAGGGAGGCGGGGAGGGTAGGGGAAGGGAGAGGAAGGGAAAAGCTGGAGGGGTTGGGGGGTGCAGGGGGGTGAGGGTGCACAGCCCGTGCGAGCCGGGAGTGTGTGGGGAACAGATGGGGCCGTTGTGGGAGGGGGTGTTGGCAGCCACCTGAGCCGAGAACTGGAACAGGGCGATACACGGTAGGGGTGTGCAGCACCCAAGAGAAGCCCGGAGAGTGAGGGAGAGAGAGAGGGTGTGTTAAAATGCTACGTGTATGCTAGGTGAACCGGACACGGCTGCCAAGGATACGAGCAGGAGGGATAGGAAGGATCTTGTCTAGCAGAAGCGACCTCTGGCGCTTGTTGCCGCACGTTTCAGTCCTGCTGTTGTAACTCCGTGAGACGCATCTGAGGGCTGCTCCGTGAGGCTGTTTTGGAAGGCGTGGGCTTTGGAGGGGTGAGTGGGTCAGGGGGCGTGGCGGAGCCAGGTGTGGCGCAGCAGCTGGGGTGCAGCAGCTTGCGAGGAGGGGCGCTGTGCAGGGAGGCAGTGTGATGGGGGGGAGGGAGGGGCGGGCTGACGTCCCGCCGGCGTCCACCGCCCCAATGGTGTTCCTTGCGTCCCTCGGCGCCCTGTAACCGTCGTGCCGTAACTGGTGGCACTGAGCAGCAGTCGGCATGAAGGCGGTTGCGGACGCTGCTGCGGTAGGGTGGCAGCTAGAGGCGGGTCGGGTGCTTGCTGCTGCTGCTTCCCTTGGGTTGCTGTGTTGGGTACCGTAGTTCGGGCCAGCGCCCCTGCTCTTGCCAGTGCGGGTGACAGCAGTGTGCGAGTGTTACCGGTACCGTATACAGCAGGGCTGGCCTTGCCTTGTTTGTCATCAGGTGGCCACAGGGCATAGTACCGGTACAGCTGTAGGTGACTCAGCCAGCTGTTAGCGGAGTATATGCTGTGCTAGCATGCGTTGCACGCCCAGCCGCAGCTTAGCGACAGCTAGCCGGGGGGAAATCGGGAAAGCGACTGGGTGGGGCTTCGTACAGAAGTACGGCGATCACTATCGGATCCTCAATCCAACTGCTCTTGGGAAGGACAAATGAATAGTCAGAAGGAACGGTAAACATTCAGAAAGACGGATATATTAAGTGGCAGGAGCCTTGGGCTTAGCGACGACTTATAGTGCTACAATTCCACCGACACTCCTCGCATCACAACAACCGTTCACACGCGGCCGTGCAACAATGAATCTTACTGTTACTCACATGCAGTGAGCACTCACTGTTGTAGTCTTAACAGCTTTGAGGTTGTATACTTGCGCGCATGAGCGAGCGGTTGTTGGAACCTTCTGGGGCATAAGTACAATGCAGTGCTACCAGGCGCAATCAAAAGCGCACAACATAGCGTTTTATAAAGGTGGAAGCAGCTGCACCCAAGCGCAATTCAGCGCACCATCGACTGTCGCGGCGAGGATTGCCTCAGTAGCAAAAGAGCGGCAGCAGCGGGGCCAGTCGCCATGCGCAATCGGATGTTATCATCAGCAGCATGGCATGTTGCCGCCTGATTTGTCACGGTCAAGAGACGAGTGCTTGCTGCAGGTATTCCTGCTAGTGCCGTAGTGCAGTACACACGGCTAGCACAACCCGACCGCAATCACTCCTTCTCCCTCCCAACCCCTCCACGTGTCTTTATCTTCCCGGGCTGCGAACTGCAGGCACGCATAGGGTTCGGGGAGCGGGGCCGGGGCCTCTTCTTCGCGCCCACAGCTGAGACCCCCTCACCCCCATCCGCATCTGCCTCTGCAAGCTCCTCCTCCTGCTCCTCCCCGGCCTCCGCCGGCCCCTCCGAGCCCCCTGTGCTGCTGCGTGTGCCGCTGGTGTGGGGGCTGCCGCTGGTGGCGCCGGGGGGCCCGCGGGGGCTGCAGCTGGGGCTGCTGGAGGAATGGCAGGTGGGGTGCGGTGGGTGGGTGGGGGGGTGGATGGGGCTTTGTAAGCACGTGACAGGGATACTGGTATATTGAGAGCCCCGGGATGTGCCACGTATTACCAAACCCGGGCAAAGCATAACGACTTCGGAGTCGGGGTATGAAGGTACAAATAGGGCCAGGGTACCGGTAGTGGGGAATTATGGGTTGTTTTGCCATCTGGGTCGCAAGTTACGGTAGGCCAGACCGCGAGAGGGCCTCCATGCAAGGTTGCATGGCGGTAAGGATATAAAGGGGGACGGGGCAGGTCAGGCGAGTGCAGCTGTCAATCTCCCCCGTCATTGTCGTCCTGCGGCTCAGCGCAGTAACATAGCTTTTTCTTTGCCGATGCTACGTCGCTACTGTGGTGCTATCAGCCTTCTTCGGCACCGCCACCTCATTCCGTTCCGAAATTCCCTCCATTCCACCACGTCCTCGTTCCCCTAATACGATTCCACTATAACATTGTTGTTGCCGTACATTGTGCCCCAAACAACCCGCAGTCGTACCACGGAGTACGGCTGCCCGAGCAGTTGACCCAAGTGCTGCAGGACACGGACCGCCCGCCCGCTCTCAGGTAACAGGGTGCACTGGGCGCTGCTCCGGTACATGCCGGGTACCTCTCGAAAGGTGCCGGACAAGTACCCCGAGGATGATGGTTCCCATGCTACTGCGACCAGATTGAATGCGTGTGTGTGTGCAGACGGCCGGGGCAATGATTTATCTAACCGTCTCCAACCTCCTTTCCGCCCCGCATACAGGCTAGCAGCATGGCTCCTGCGGGTTGTTGCACCGGCTAGTGAGGCCGAGTGCGCTGCTGCTGCTGCTGCAGCAACATCCGCTGCGCGTGTTAGCAGCCCTGCCAGCGCCTCTACCCCCGCTGCCGCTGCTGCTGCCCCTGCTGGCGCTAGCAGCGGGGCACAAGCCGGCAGCGGCAGCGGTTGCAGTGCTGGCGGGGGTGGAGGCGGGGCTACTGAAGCAGCAGCGCCCCGCCCCCTCGCCTTCCCCCTGGCGGACTACCTGCGCTCCGTGCTGCCGGCCCCCAGCGGGGAGGGCGCGGTGCCCGCCTCCTGCCTGCGACTGGCGCCGCGGGAGGAGGCGGGGCTGCCGGGGGATGTGCGAGCGACCCTGCGCGACATGCGGCAGCAGGTGCGGGAGGGTGGGGTGCGGGCTGGGCGCCGGTTGGTGGGGCTAGAAGCTTGCAGAGTGAAGCTTGCAAGGGCTGGCTGCTCTCTTGCCGCCTCCTTCCTTACCGCCTTGCCTTGTTTCAATCACAATCCCGACCTACTGGGTTTGCCGTATAAATCCCTACCACAAGGTGATATCGTACATCGAGGAGCTGCGGCGGCTGGGTCTGGCTGAGGGCTGCGAGGAGGCCACTCTGTGGTGGGCCTTCGACATGGGTGAGGCGCGCGGGCTTGCATGGGCGCCCCCTCGGGGACGGCGGGAGGAGGGGTGTGGTGGCATGGGCGCGGAAAGCCATAAGACCACCCACTTGAAGTTCGGCGGTACCGTGTCGTATGCTCGTATCGCAGTGCACGGCCCTGCAGAAGCAGCTCCTGTAATGTTTTGGGCTCCATGACTAAACACCTCAGCGCTTACCGCACCGCTCCCCTCCACATCGCTGCCTTCATTCCCTCCCCGCCCCAACCACCCTCTGCAGTCATTTCACGGGCCTTCGCAGTTACGGCAACCCTGCCACCCGCAACCTCCTCCTCCTCCTCCTCTTCGCCATCCTCCTCTCCATCCCCGGCCGCCGTCCCCCTGGCGCTCTACCTGCCCTGGGCCTGCCTGCTAAACCACAGCAGCACCCCCAACGCAGTCTTCACAGCCGTCCTCAGCCCGCCCACCCCAGCCCCTGTGCTGCAGGCAGCCCCCCAACGCGCCACACCACCAACTGCCCCGGTCCCAGCCTCAGCCCTAACCCCGAAGCCGCCCCGGGCCCTCAGTGAGTTCCAAGTGACTCCACGCCTCAGGTACGCCTCCCCACCCATACAGCCTGGCGCTGAGATCTGCATCAGCTACGGGGACGGACTGGACAATGTACGGCTGCTGCTCAAGTACGGCTTCTGTACGGCGGGGAACCCGAATGACCGGCTGCCGTTGCCGCCCGGAGCCGCGGCGGTGGCGGCGCGGTTAGATCGACGGGTGTTGTGCAGGTGGGCGGCAGGGGGCGCAGCGTTTCTTGACGGGCCTCCTCCAGTCCTCCTAGAACGCTCCTGTTCATGCGTGGGATACCCAATGTGCGCTCTTTCAGTGATGACACAGCATGAACGTAGGGCGGAGCACACCCACACGGGATGATTCCTTCCTTCCTTATTCCTCCTCCCACCCCTTATAGCGCTGCGGAGAAGCTGGCTGAGCGGCGCATGCATGGCCCGGCTGGGATGCCGGGAGCAGCCTGCGAGGAGGAGAAGGAAACAACCCAGCCCCAGGGAACTACAGCCGCTGCAGGCAAAATTGGCAGTCAGGTGGAGCGCGAACAGCACAGGGCCCGGGTGTATGCGGCGCTCGCAACACTGCTGGAAGCAACTGATACATCGCCACCTGGTGAGGGGGTTTCGGGGCTCAACCACCAGCAAACCAATAACGCCATTTCTTAACGAGCCAGTTAAAGGATGGGGACGTGACTATTATTGTCTGCGGGGTGCCCCTTTTGCAACCAAAGGAGTGCCCCTCCTGCGTTGAGGCTGGCAGCAGCATTCACGGACCGTTGCAAGCATGTGGAAGCAGTGAATCTCTTATAGCATTCCTAAAAATCGTAGGCAAACTTTTAGACGACCCAACTCTCCCGTGCAGGCAACACCCACCATTGTGGTTCTACCTCTAGGGGAGCTGCAACTGTGTCGACGTTAGGTAGCCCAACCCAACTCTTTGCTTGGGCGCGGGCCAGCGCCATTCTTCACGCTAAAGAAGGACTACGCGATTCGACCTACTCTCCCCACGCAAAAGATGATGATCTGGTCCCCTGTGCCTCCTGTGGCGCTCAACTGTCCGCCGGTACCTGCATAAAAGCTGGAATTGATGCACTACGGCATGAGCGCAAAGTGTTGGCCTGGTACCTTTGTGAGCTTCTTGAAGCATGTGGAGTTGCGCCTTAAGGATCTGCTGGAGCTGCTTATGGGCCGCGGGGACGAGCGTCGTACGCCATGCTTTGCGACAGAATAATGCACGTTGCTTATCTTTTTAAAGCACCCTTTTTATTCCAATTTTCTTTGCTACACAATCCATAGTCCTACCTTCACTTCTTACTCCCACTAATATAGCTCTGTCCTATCAAGCCAATCAGCGCCTTAGGCCTCCGTTCCTGCGAAACCATGGCAACCACGAACGCCCCCGTCAGCCCGTAAGCTTTGTTGCTGCATAGAGTTGGGGACTCTTGGTATTACGGTCAACGTGTTCCTTGTCGTCCTTCCAGGAAAGGTCCCACAACCTACCTTGAGAACAAGGAACGGGGATACAACAGCAAGGCAAAGAGCCTTATCTATGGTGGAGATACACGGCCTGAAACTCCGACATACATCGGCAAGAAGAGTAAGCCTTGCTGGTTCTACTTGCATGTCTATTACCAAGGCCTGCCGATTTGCGGCTTCAGCGCCTATTGTGGCCCCGGCCCCGTTGCAGTGAGGCTTTGACCGGCATCCGCTTTATAGAAACTTTGTTTGTCAAATGTTCGCTTTGCGAAGGCGTCCCGCACAAGGGCGAGAACACGTCGGCGCCTTTCGCAACATATTCGAATGATGAGAAGAGCCCGTCAAAGGAGTATCACACCAAGCCAAAGCTGAAGGAGGGGGCTGCCAAGGTACGGCCCGAGTGTACGGCTAGGTCGTACGCTGCCCTTTTGCCAGCCGCTTTCCAGGGCAGTTCCGTCCGTATTTCTTAGGGCACCCAGCCGAGGCATGTGTATGGTTTAGGGCCCGCATAGGCTTGCATGCGATATGCGTCGAATCCCGATGTGTATAGATGCTGGCATCTAGGTAACCTTGCTCTGGGCCTCCTAGTCCCCTGTATATACCACGTCCTCCTTTCCTACACGTGCTGACGATGCCCCTCTCTTCCCCATACTTTCTTGTTTCTGTTCGCTATGACGGCAATCTCTAGCCGACGAACGCGGCGTTCACCTCCGACGTCTACCGGCAGCAGATCGAGTCGAACTACACAAACATGCAGGCTAGCAAGGCGCGCAACTATGGCGGGAACGGTCTTTTCAGCTAAGCTTAGCGCTGAGGTTGGCACGTTGACTCACATGCAACGATGCACGTCCTAGATTCCTAGCTTTCATGTCGTACATTAGCTGTCTGCATGCTTGACAAGCCAGTGTTTAACATAATCGGTAAAGACACCCCTATACAAGTTTACATCGGGCGCATGATGATCAGTTTACCCTTCGATGAATGATGACGTGACTGTGGTGGTGAAACATGTCCGCCCATTCATTCATACGCCTGTACTTCCTAGCCTATTAGCATAGTGTATGGTTTGGGTATGACATGCGCCTAGGTGCCAATGCAATAGCCTGTAGACAAACCGCGGCGCACGGTTTGTGTAACTTTTGAGAACCCAGTTTTGGCTCTGGGATTCAGGTTTCGCCCTTGGTCGCCGTGATTTGTTAAGCCTCCGTTTCTGAATAAAGCAGCAGTGGTATTTCACAGCGCTTAATGTTTTTAGGCACTGGATAACTCCGTTTGTGGTCGTATTATGGTTAAAGGTTTGCTTTTTGTTGGTTCGGCGGGTATATGCAACACCCTCTGCCGCTCTTTGGCGTCGGGTCGACGTTTGGCGTCACTCCCTCACCATCCTCTGGTGCTGGTGTAAATCCTGGCAGCATTGTCGTTACCGTTATGTCACAAACACATCAGGTTCGACAATCACGGCCGGCATCACTTGCCTCCTGCGGGCTTTGCGTGGGCCTGATTGTTTCCGCCAGTTATCTAGGGTTGGGAGCGAGACATGGCTATTACAGCGCCTCAGCGGTGGCTATTGCTTGTACGGACTCCAACCGACGCATAGCAGCAGGAACCGCTCCAGTGTCGGCTACGCGAACATTAGTCACGGCGGGTGGCAATGTATCCTGCACAAGGCCTCTGATGGCAGCGACAGTGCACTTCAGCTGCATTCACGCACTTGGGTTTCGGCCCGCCGCTTAGCACCAAGACGCCAGCCAGAATTTTATGCCGTCCAGCGCTTAGTAATGCTTGCCATCCATAAACGTCGCGCTTGTGCGAGTCGATGCGATTGCTCAGCTCCACAGCGAAGTGACTTTTGTGAGCTCGGCATTCACGTTTACCGCAAGATGTTTGACATTAGCAAAAGCAGTACGTCAACTGCTTAACCGACTCCACGTCCTGCTGCAACGCCTGCGAACATACCAGCCTTTGAACTTGAGCGCCAACTGATTGAAACTGAGAAGATATCGCGCGCAGTTAGCTAAACCTGGTAGTTCGGCGAGTGCGTAGTTGATGGACGATGGCCGCCGAGGAAGCAATTCCGAGCGGACTGCCTGTCACAAAGGGAATTTCGTCGGAACTATGGCAATCTGTGCAACATGAAGTTTACATGTCGCTGCATTGCCCTTTCGTGCAAGCTTTGGCGCAGGGCACCTTAGACAGGTGCGACTCAATGCAAGCATAAGCGCGCCATGCAAGCACACATACCAACAAACATTCCTATCACCCCAACGGCATTCAAGCGAAAGACGAGACTTAATGAACGTCTCACCCAGGCCTTGGAGGCGATTACCTTGCTGAGCTATCCCCAATACATCCCCACCAGCATTCGCTTTGCATCCCTCCTCCCACACTGTCCCTCTCCTCGCAGACGCGCCTTCCAGCACTATATCCGGCAAAACGCCTTCTACCTAAACTGCTTGGCACGTGTGTACGGCATTACCCTCAGCAAAGCCTCACACCTGGATGAGGACAGCTTTGCCTCCCTCTGCCGCCTGCTGCGCGGCTTGCATGCGGAGCTGCGAGGGTACGGATCGTACGCGGCCAAATGGGGCGTGGACCTGGATCCTGATTCCGATCTGGGTCAGAGCTCAACAGCAATTTCCCATCTGGGTCAGTGCTTGGCGGCACCGGGAAACATCCGGGAGGCGAGCCCAGGGTCAGATGGCGGCAGCCGGGGCGGCTGTGAGGGTAGCGCAGGCTGCGCGGGGCCCAGCGCGGTGACAGTGGAGTATATGCGTTTCCTGTTGGAGGTGGCTGAGGTGGGCTGGTAGGAGGAGAGGCTGGGGAGGAGCGTGGCGAGGAAAGGGGTGGGTGGGGTGCTGGGTGGGAGCCAGGGACCGGGGTATGTCTGCTGAACTGGACGGGTATGGGGAACAGAGGGGGTTGTGTGGAGGTGCTGCTAGGCGCCCCACTGGGGTGGAGCAAGGGAGGGAGTGGGAATGCGATGTGGGTCGGAGGCAGGGATGCAGCCGAGCACTTGGTGGGGTGAGGACTGAGGAGAAGAGGACCGGACTGGGATTTAAATCTTGAATCATGGCACCACCCTCGGCAGTGTCACTCTTTGCCACCTCGCATACACACACCTGATGCCTCCTCCCTTCCCCTTCCCCTCCCCTCTTCCCAGTCCGGCAGTGTGGCTGACGTGCTGGCCGCCATGCTGCCCTGCTCGCGACTGTACGGCTTCCTGGGTTGCAGCCTGGCGGCGGCGCACGGGGGGGAGCGGGGGGCGGGGCGGGGGCACGAGTACTGGGAGTGGGTGCGGACATATTCCTCGCCCGAGTACCTGGTGAGGGGGGTGAGGGGGGTGAGGGGGGTAGGGGGTGAGGGGGAGTGAGGTAGGGGGTTGCTGGGACATGCGGCCCGACTGACTGGGCCCTCTGCGCCAGCCCACTGAGCTGATGTGGCCTGGCGGCCCTTGCTGCTGCTCGCCCTTCATAACGCATGCAACGCCTGCACCGACCTCCCTGTTGCCCCCCTCCCCACCGCCCCCTCCCCGCATCCCCCTCCCTCAGGCCATTCCCGCGCTCAAGGAGGCCATGTTTGACAAGCTGGCAGCGGGCGAGGACAAGAGTGAGGCGGAGGCGGGGTGTGTAGGAGGGGGATAGGGAGGGGAGTCAAGGGGGCGGGGCATGGGTCTGCCTCAAACGGCGGTCTTCTTCTCAAGCCCCTTCCCTCCCTCCCATGTCCCTCTTCCCCCCCCTCTCCCCCAGCCCGGCTGCAGCGCCTGTACCGCCGCGCCATGCGGCTGGAGGCGTCCTTCTTCTCCGCGCAGCCGCACCCCCCGCCGCCCCGCCGCCCCGCCGCCCTGCTGACTGACTTCGACGGCACGTGCAGCCCCGCGGGGGCGGACAGCAGCGGGGCGATCCTGGCGCTGGCGGAGCAGGCGGCGGGCGGCGGGAGACCCACGGCCGGGGACGCAGCCTGGGCCGCCCGCACGCGCGCCGCCCTGGCCGCCGACTACCAGCGGCAGTACGAGCAGCTGGTGGGGCAGCTGGTGGGGCCGGCTGAGGGCCCCGCCCCGCAGTCCGACCCCGCGGGTGTGGCCGCCCTGCTGGAGCGGCTGTCGGAGTTCGATGAGGAGATGAACCGCCGCGTGGAGGAGGCGGGCATACTCAAAGGTGGGGAGAGGGAGGGGGGGAGGGGAAGGGGGGGCGGGGGGATGGGCACGCATGTCCTGTGGGAGCACCTCCTTGCAGCCGACCGCAGCCCCATTGTTGACTCCGCTGGGTGCCCTCACCGCCACCTCCCTCCCTCCCTACCACCACTACCCCAGGCTCCACCCCCGAGGAGGTGTGTGCTGCCGGGTCGGCCGTGCCGCTGCGGCCGCACTGCAGGGAGGCGCTGAGGGCGGCACTGGACCGGGGTGAGGGGGGCGGGGGGGGGGGGGCTGCTAGGTGGGAGGGGCACTGGACCGGGGTGAGGGACTCGAGGGGGGGATGTCGAGGCATGCCCAGCTGTTCCGGACGGTCCGCCCCGCCCACCTCCTCCTCCCCTCACCCCCCTCTCATGACCCCCCCCCTCAGGCATTCCCGTGCACGTGGTGTCGGTCAACTGGTCGGACCTGCTGCTGCGAGCGGCGCTGCGACTGCCGGCCAGGAGGGGGGAGGGGCAGGAGGGGCAGGGGGAGGGGGAGCTGGTTCTGCACTGCAATAGCCTGGAGGTGAGGGGGGGGGTGAGGAAGGAGGGGGGACAGGTGCATGCAAGGGGTGAGGGTGGGGTGAAGGCTGAGTAGGCCGCCTCAGACCCCCCTAGGGCCCCAGCCAACACCGCTTCACCCTCCCTGTCCCTCCGCCCTTCCCTGCCCCTCCGCCCTTCCCCTCCCCCTCCCCCCACCCCAGCTGGGTCCCGACGGCCTGACCTCGGGTCGGCTGGTGAAGCGCGTCCAGAGCGCGCGTGACAAGGTGGCGGTGGTGGCGGCGGTACGGCAGCGGCTCAGCGGGGCCCAGCCGGGTGGCGGGGGTGGCGGGGGCGGGCAGGTTGTGTATGTGGGCGACTCGCTGAGCGACCTGGGTGCGCTGCTGGCGGCGGACGTGGGGGTGCTGCTGGGGGGCGGGCGGGGGGTGCGGAGGGCGGCGGAGCGGGCGGGGGTGCGGCTGCGGCCGCTGGCAGCGGCGCCGCTGAGGGGCCGGGGGCGCGAGGGGGAGGTGTACGAGGCGGCGGGGTGGGAGGAACTGCGGGCATTCCTGTTCGGGATGGAGGGGGCGGAGGAGGAGGTGGGAGAGGGTACTGCCCCGGCCCCCTGCCCGCCCCCCTCCCTGCCGCGCGTGCTGAGTATCGCGGGGTCGGACTCGGGCGGTGGAGCGGGCATCCAGGCGGATATCAAGGTAGGGGAGCGAGGGCGGGAGAGCGGGGAGGTGCCGTGTAGTTGTGTGGGTGTGGGTGGAGCGGGGCAGAGGGCGGCATGGCCGCGTCGAGCTACCCACCCTTGCTGGACGGATGCGAGGTGCGAAGTGCACCCTAGCTCTCTTCAAAGGCCGCTTCCCTCCCTCCCCCTCCCTCCCCCTCCCCCCATCCCCCCTCCCCCCTCCCCCGCCCCCCCAGTCGCTTCTCTCCCGCGGCGTGTTCGCAATGACCGCCGTGACCGCCCTGACGGCGCAAAACACACACGGGGTGGCGGCCGTGCTGCCCACCCCGCCCGACATGCTGGTGCAGCAGATCGACGCGGTGCTGGGAGGTGGGTGGTGGGAGGGGGGCTGGGGTGCGGCATGAGGGGCTGGGGGGTGTGCCCTGCTTTGGCGCTACATGTCTCATGCTGCACGACCCCCTGCATAACCCTTCCACCTGCCCTTCCCTCCCCCTTCCCCAGACCTGGGTGCCGACGCGGTTAAGACCGGCATGCTCCCCAGCCCCGAGGCGGTGGCGGCGGTGGCGGGTCGGCTGGCGCACTGGCGGGGGCTGGCTGCCCCCCTCCCCCTCCCCCTGCCGCTGGTGGTGGACCCCGTGTTGGTGAGCACCAGCGGACACAGCCTGGCGGGGGGCGGGGTGGCGGGGGCGCTGGTGCGGGAGCTGCTGCCGCTGGCGACACTGGCAACACCCAACATACCCGAGGCGGAGGAGCTGCTGGGTAGGGCGGGGGGGAGGGAGGATGGGGGAAGGGAGAGGAGGGAGAGAAGGGGGAGCAGGGGGACGGGACGCGGTGCATGATCCGCCGGGAGGGGATGGCAGTCCCAGTTGGGCTGTGCTCTGAGCTAGTTCGCGTGCCTGTTTGCCCCGCCTTGCTGACGTACGGGATTGGACTCGTTGTTTCACTTACAAAATAATTTTCCACACACATGCCCTTTGGCCCCCCCTTAGGCCTATCCCCCGGCTCCATCCGCTCCCCCTCCGCCATGGCTGCTGCGGCCCGGGCGCTGCAGCAGCGGACGGGGTGTGGCGCGGTGCTGGTCAAGGGAGGGCACCTGGCGGCAGCGGGCGGGGGGGCGGAGGCGGGGGCGGGGGACGAGGTGGTGGATGTGCTGTACGACGGAGCGGAGGTGCACTACCTGAGGGGTCCGCGGGTGGACACGCAAAACACACACGGCACGGGCTGCACGCTCGCCTCCGCCATCGCCGCCGAGCTGGCCCGTGGGTCGGCGCTGCTGGCCGCCGTCCGCTCCGCCCGCGCCGCGCTTCAGCGGGCTCTGCGGGCGAGTACGGGGCTGCGGCTGGGGGCGGGCGTGCAGCGGCCCTTCGACCACCAGCACATGCGGAGGGAGGGGGGCGGGAGGCAGCTGGGAGAGGGGCAGGCGGAGGGGGAGCTAGCAGCCGCCACCCCACCCCCACCCCCACCCGCAGCAGCCGCCCCTCCAGTGGTTGCCAGCCGGGTGGATCGTGAGGCTCTGCGGCGGCAGCTGCGTCTGTACGCGGTGACCGACCCGCTCTGCAACCAGCGGAGCGGCCGGTCGCTGCTGCAGGCGGTCACGCAGGCGGTCCGCGGGGGCGCCAGCATCGTGCAGCTGCGCGAGAAGGAGCTGGAGGGGGGCGACTTCCTGCGCCAGGCGGCGGAGGCGCTGGCGGTGTGTCGGCAGTACGGCGTGCCGTTGGTGATCAACGACCGGGTCGAAGTGGCGCTGGCGGTTGGCGCGGACGGCGTGCATGTGGGTCAGTCGGACCTGCCTGCTGCGGCGGTGCGGGCGCTGCTGGGCCCGGGGCGCATGCTGGGGGAGTCCGTCAAGACCGCGCAGCAGGCCGCCGCGGCCGCCGCCGCCGGTGCCGACTACCTGGGTGCGGGTGCCGTACGCCCCACCGGCACCAAGGCCACGGGGGTGATCGGGCTGGCGGGGCTGGCGGAGGTGTGCTGCGCGGCGGGGGGGCTGCCGGTGGTGGCCATCGGGGGGGTGGCGGAGGACAACGCGGGGGAGGCGGTCAGGGCGGGGGCGGCGGGTGAGGCAAGGGGGGGGAGGGATGTGGGCGGGTATGGAAGTGCGTGGGTATGGAAGCTGATGTGGTGGCCCTGTTGGAGTTGGTGTGCTTGACCCTTTCCCTTGACCCCATATGGTCCTCTCCGGAATCCACCTAACGCCCCCCCTCACCCTACCCCCCCACGCCACCCTGCCCCCGCAGGTATTGCGGTGGTGTCGGCCATCTTCGCTGCGGCGGATGCAGAGGGGGCGGCGCGGCGGCTACGGGCGGCGGTGGACGCGGCAGTGGGGGGGGCGTAGGAGGGGGGCGAGCGGCAGCACCTGGCCTACGCCGTTGTGCCCTGTTGTTGTAAGCAGATGGGCTTTAAGCCACGTCTCGCATAGTCGTGCTGGTCCCGTAGGGACGAGGTGGGGCCCGTCAGGGTAAAGGACTATTCGTGTGGTTTGACTGCTGGTAAGAGGAAAGCGGCTGAAGGTTGTTTGCGTCTGCGTGGGGCAAGGATGTGGGGCAAGGATGTGAGGCAAGGACGGCCTCGGACTTATCGTATTGTTTGTGCGGGGCCAGGAGTTACAGGTTTCGCTGCAACTTGCCTAGAAGGGCTGTGGCATCCTGGCGTCACGTAGGCAGGCAGCACCCCTAATGGTGGATACAGGGAGGTGCTGCCTCAGATTGCCTGCTATGTACAACGAGCCTAACGGAACCGGCCGAACGGCATGGCTAGATGAAGTCGTCCCCTGGAGTCTAGTAGTTGGAAAGCGTGTCGCGAGGCGCTTTTCGCTATGCAAATTTTACTTAGGTGGCTTAGTAACAAATTACCTGTATAGCAAACCGCTGTTTACAGGAACACACTTGTCAAACTCAAAGGCTAGTGCTCTTGAATTTCGTTTAAGATATATCCGTTGAAATAGGTTGATATTTAGTACTGCACACGCCTCTAGCTGTCGAGCGGAGCACGGAGCACAACGCTTAGTGTGCCTCTAGGTTGGACCGCCCTTGCCAAGTCGTAGCCACCTTGTACCTTGTCTACTTGCTGATATATGAAGATATGACTGGTATTGCAGTGTTCTGGTGAGGAGAACAGCCAAAATGAGCGTCATTACCTTGCGCAGCCTGGTTGCAGCCTATCCTAGCTTTACTAGTTAGGACAGAATGTGTCTGGGACACGGCACTTGATACAAGGAAACTCCTTCTGGCGTCTCTAGTTGGTTTCCCTCAGCCTGGTCATAATGCAAGCGCCTTCTCCTGGCCCAGACCGGGATAACGATAGTGCGTTTGGGGGACCACATCTGGGGCCTCAGCGTTCAGGGAGGAGGTCTTCAAAAAGCGCGACAGCTGCTGGTCCTCCTGGCGCAAAAACTGGCACTGGCTTTACAAGCAGCGAAGGTGGCAGCTCAAGCAGTGATCGATCTGATGTTGACGATAGCACCACGCCTCGTCGCGGTCGCGGTCGCGGCCCTGGTCGCGGTCGTGGTCGAGGCGGGGGCCGCAGAGGCGGTGGTCGGGCCAACCAGCAGTTACGAGCAGCTCTAGCTACTGAGATTATACTCAGGGACGACAAATTGGCCGGCGAGGAGGTGTTCGTCGGTGACATGGACACCCTCGATGACCTGCTGCCGAGGCTCGAAGACGCGCCGGGCGCTCCAGTATCTGTCCTTATTGATCGCTCGGGCGACAGGCCGCTTGAAATCCCTGGCTTGGTGTTCGCTGACATTGTCGCGGCCTACAACATCCTCCGCTCCTTCTCATGGCAGTTGAAGCTCAGCCCTTTCTCGCTGGTGGTAAGCAGCGCACCGTACCCAACATTCCCTCGCACAGCAGCACACCCAGGTTGACCTCTCCCATCTGACTCGCACCGGGAACAGCCCGGATGCTGAGCTCAGGCACACCTGCCTCCCTTCTACCCACCTGCGACCCTCCACACCATGTTCCCATCCCCTCCTATGCGCCTCCTGCCTCTCACCGCTCCCGTTTCCACCCGCCCCTTCCTCAGGACCTGTGCTCCGCGCTGTGCTGCCCCCAGCCCTGCGAGCTGCTGGACGAGCTGCACGTGTGTGTGCTGCGCACGCTGGCCAGCCACGAGACATCCGCCGCGCGCCGCCGCCGCCTGCTGGACCTGGAGCACCTGGACCAGGTGGGGTGGGGGTGGGGAGGGGAAGAAACAACTAACTGACCGTGTGATAAGGCGTCATCATGGTTGGCGGGGCGGGGTGGTGAGGAGGCGAGGCGGGGAGGGCTGTGGTCTCCAGCCGCTGGTGGTGGCTGGGCGGTGTCCTGGTGTTTACATCCTGCTGTCCGCCTGCCCCGCGCCCTGCACCAGGTGACCTGGCCCGAGTTCGTGTGGGAGTGGCTCGGACTGGTGGGGGAGCGCATCCTCACAAAACACCGGTACGTCGCACCCTAGACACCTCTCACCAATGGGTGGACCTGCCGTCCTGCTGCAAGGTGCTCAGCCCCACTGTGTCACCCCACGTGCACATTCCCACGCTCAAGACGCGCAACCTTCCGGCACGCGTGCACCCTCCGGGAGGCCCTTGACAAGGGCCGGGAACCCATGTCCCCCGACCAGCTGCTCCCATCTCACAGCTGCACGTGTGTGTCGCATGCAGGGCCCAAGCCGCGCCCCAGCCGCTCCATCTGCAGCCTGTCGGGGCTCCAGCGCTGGGTGGCGCGGGGGCAGCGGCCGCCTCCGCAGCGGCTGGCGACCAGCCCATGGAGGACGTGGAGCCCCAGCAGCCGGGCGGGCAGGCGGCAGCGGGAGCGGGTGCAGGGGCGCGAGGGCTGGAGGAGGCAGCCGCTGCCGCCGCTGACACTCGGGATGTGCAATGGGAGCAGGTTGCGGGCGGGGCTAGGAGACCCGGCGGACCGAGCTATGTGAGTGGGGCTGGAGCGGAGGGGGACTGCGGGGGCGAGGGGAGCGGGCCGGGTGGTGCGGTGGGCTCAAGGGGGTCAAGGGCAGGCGCCCGGCTGAACGGCGGTGCACGAGGCTGTCCTGCTGCTGTGAGGACTGCTTCTGCGGGGCCGCCGCTGCTTGTGGACCAGCGGCCTGTGCCTTGCCGACACTCGTGATGGGGGCCTCTCAGCTTCTTACACGCAAGCTCACCACCCCATGTTACGAACGCCGCATTCTCCCTCCACGCAAGGCCCTGCTAACTCGTCTCCGTCACTCCCCTCCTGCCGCAGTCGGCTCCGGGTCTGGCTGCCGCGCTGCGGCGGCGGCGCCCCCACCGCTCGGTGCTGCGGTCCGAGTTCTACAACCTGCCGCTGGCGTGCAAGGCGGCGCTGCTAGCCCGCCTGTGCGACGACCTGCTGGAGGCGCCGGGCATACGGGCGGAGATAAACAGGCGAGCCTAACAGGGTTGCTGCTGCCTTGGGAGGAACGACACGGGTAGTCATTGCCATGCGTAGGCATGCTGCCCTGATGACCCTGAAGACACTCGTAACCTCCCCTCCCTCACCGTGCGCTCCTCCCCGCACCAGGCGTGAGGCCGCGGGGCAGATGCACGCGGGTCGCGGCGGCGAGGGCGGCGCCTGGCCCCAGTTCTCCGCTGCCGAGCTGGCGGTCCGGGAGCGGCAGGTGCAGGCGGGCGCCTTCGAGGACGGCAACACGGAGAGCTGCGTGCTGTGCGGGCTGGGCGGCAGCCTGCTGTGCTGCGACCGCTGCCCCGCCGCCTACCACATGCGCTGCGTGGGCGAGTCGTCACGGAGCATCCCGCACGGCGAGTGGCGCTGCCCGGAGTGCGTCATCGGCAGCAAAGGTAAGGGACCGACGCTGCAAGAGGCGCCGCCGTTCTAGAACTCCACCCCTGCTTTGTGCGGGTCCAGCCCAGTCCTTGCGGCTACTGCACGGGGGGGCCGTCGTGGCGGCGGGACTGATGGGGGGGCCGTCGTGGCGGCGGGACTGATGAGGGCGCCACCTCGGCTTTCATTGTCTCCCATGCAACACCCACCCAGCACAACCCGTTAGGCCGAGCCGCTGCTGCTGCTGTTGCTGCTTCCTTCCCCGCTCCCACTACCCCTACTCACGTCCCGCTGCTGCTGCTGCTGCAGGCGAGGCTGCGGGTCTGCGTGTGCCCATGGCCGGCATCAGCCCCGCCACCGGCTGCCCCTCCTGGGTGGCGTACGGCTGCGTGTTCGCGGCGCACTGCGAGGCGCGGCCGCCCGCTGCTGCCGGGGCGCCGGTGGGGGATGTGGGCTTCCGCGGGCTGCAGCTGCTGCTGGGGCCGGAGGCGCAGCGGCATGCGGAGATGCTTAGGAGGTGCGCGGGTGCGGGCTATGGGGGGGTTTTGCGAGCATGGGTTTCCTTTACACGCGCACCGCTCCTGCCATACCCTTCCGTTACTCATCCGCTCCTCCTCCTCCTCCTGCCCCCACACCGCAGACCCCGGCGGCTGGTTGACGACGTGCCGCACCCCACCTCGGAGCTGGTGCTGCTGGGGGGCCCCGCGGCGGGCTGCATGGCGGAGCGGGGGGAGGCGGCGGCGTACGACAACAGGTGGGGGCGGCTGGGAGATGGGGGGGCTCGCCTGGAGGGGTGGAGCGATCGCATGTGATCGCCGCCTGGGTCCGTGTCGCTTTGGGGGGAGCGGGCACCTCTGTAACGGATGCGAGCATGTATTTGTATGGGGGTATGGGGGTTACATTGACAGCAGCACCCAGGGAAGCCAGTCGCCCCACCTTGTGTGTTAAGAAAACTGGCCGCGTGCGTGTTGTCAATACCCTAGTCGGTACAAGCCGAGGGTCATGGTGTGACAACTGTGGTTGCGCATGTGTCCCGCAGGTACCGCCCGGCTTGGGAGATGTTCGTACAAGCCATGAAGGTGAGTGATGGCGCTGTCACGTGAGGGGCCGTCCCGCAGAGCCGCTCCGCTACCCAGCGCCCGCGCCCGAGCTTGTCCCTGCTATTCGCCCCGCTTCTTTCCTCCCGCTCTGCGCCGAACTTCATCTTGCTCCATGCCGACCTCCCTCCCTCTCTCCCTCCATCAACCCCCCCCCCTCGCAGGCCGCCCACGACATCGAGTACAAGAAGTCCAAGCGCGCGGGCGCCACACCCGCCTCCGCCCTGGCGGTGCCGCTGCCGCTGCCCGCCTACTCCTGGCCGCAACTCCAGGTGGGCCGTGCAGCCACAGACACACTGGCGCCGGGGGCCGGGGGCGCACGCCACACCCGCCAGCTGTACGTCTCTCCCCTCGCTTCCCAATACCTTGTTCCTTGCGACCGGACCCCGCATGCTGCTGGACAACCCCCCCGCACTCACGTACCGGCTGGGGCTGACTCCGCCTCCCCCCATCGGTAACCCCACAGGAGGCTCCTCGCCGCTCGTCCGCCCCCCGCGGCGGCCCCGACGGCTCCTCCTCCTCCGCTGCCGCCTCCGAGCTGTGCGGGCGGCTGGCGGTGCTGCAGCGCTACCTGCTGGCCACGGAGCGGGAGCTGTGGGGGCTGCTGGAGGGCGGCTGGGGGCGGCCGGGGGAGGCGGGCAAGCAGTGGCGAAGGCAGTGGGCGGCGGCGGTGCGGGCGGCCGCCTCACCCGCGCAGCTGGCGCCGCGCTTCCTGGAGCTGGAGGCGGCGCTGAGGAGGTGGGGGGGGGGGGTAGTCCAGAACGCCTGCGGTGCCAAAACTGTCACCCACTTTACAAGAAGAAAGGGGCATCGCTGATCTTGTGGCTTGGCGCTGCCCTGAAGGGGCTGCACCGCTTTCGCTGTCCTCGCGCACACGTTCCTCCTTGCGGCCAGTTATCTTAACACACCAACCCCGGGCCACCCCCTCTCCCTCTCCCGCCGCAGGTCGCTGCCCGTCTTCTCCCCGCAGTGGGACCCCTACCGCCGCGACCCCGCCGAGCTAGCCCGGCTGGAGCTGATGGTGGCGGAGCGGCAGCGGGACGCCGAGTCGTACCGCCGCCGCCGCATCACCAGCCTGCTGCCGCAGCCCAAGAAGGGACCCGGCCGGCCGCCCCGGAAGAAGATACCGCCGCACCTGCAGGTGGGGTGGGGGATGGGATGGGGCCCATGGGGGACACCGGGCGAACTCCGGATCAGACGCGAAGAACACGACAGCCCACCCTGCCTCTTTTGCTGCTGCCGCTGCAGGCCTGGAACGACCTGCGCTCGGCCCAGGCGGCTGCGGCGCGCGCCACCTCCGTGGCACCCGAGGCGGCTGGCGGCGCCACTCCAGAGGGCCCCGGGGGCGAGGGCGAGGAGGCGGGACAGCCCTGGGAGCTCAGCAGCCAAGGTGCGGGGCGGGGCGAGCAACGGCAAGCTTTCTTGGGGGTTCGGCAGAGGGGGCCTCGTGCGTTGTGGTGAACATAAGGCGTGCGGCATACCGGTATGTGCCCTGCGTCCTTCAGGCAAAGATCTTTCCAGTCCTAAAAGCGTACGTTTTGCGCACCAATAGCCTGCGTCTACTTGCTCGTGTGCCCGCCCCGTCTCCATGCAGGTGTGGACGAGGACGCAGGGGCGGCGGACAACACCGCCTCCACCTCGCCGCCGGGGAAGGGCGCGCCGCCCGAGTCGCAGTCGCAGTCGCAGCCCCCCTCTCAGTCTCAGGGCAGGCAGCCGCGGGCGGGCGCCGGCGAGGCGGCTGCGGACATGGAGGCGGAGGCGGGTGCGGGGGGGCGCTCTGCGCGGCGGCGGTCCAAGGCGGCCTCCGGGGTCGCTGCAGGCGGGAGCGGGGGCGGCTCGCAACCATCAGGTGCGGTAGAGGGTGGCGGGGGCAGGTGGGGGGGGGCACAGCGGGTGCCGTGGAGCGGCGAGGGGGGAGCGAGGCGCCGGGGCTGATGCGGGCGTGTGGGCTTGTAGGCAGTCCAGTCGTCCTACCTCCAGTGTGCCGTCTTACACCTCGTGTCACCCTGCCCCTCGCCCCGCGGCAGGTGCTCCCGAGGGTGGCCAGGCGGCTGAGCGGCAGGCGGAGCTGGAGCTGCTGGGGGCCATGGCGGCGGAGGAGGTGGTGCTGGACAAGTGGTGAGCGGGGGTGGCGGGTGAGGGGAGGGGAGGGGAGGGGCTGCCCGCGCGGGAGGAGGTACATCAGGCCGCTTGTTGCTGCCAGTCCAACTCTTCACCCAAAGTGTGCGCGCGCTGCTGTCCACCTGCTACCGTGCCACCCCATGCCCCCTTCCCCACCTCGTGCCCCCCCCAGGTGGCGCGACCTGCTAGCCTCCTTCGGCGAGGTGGACGCGGTGGACCTGCTGGGGGCGGCGCTGGCGGCCGGGGGGGAGCTGGGGCCGCTGCCGGGGCCGGAGCGGCGTGCGGCGCTGCGGAAGGCGCGCACCGGCTGGTCCTGGTGGCGCCCCGCGGCGCTGCGGGCGGAGGCGGAGCTGATGCTGCCGCGGGAGCAGGCGAGGAAGCTGGCGCGCCGGGGGGGCAAGACGCTGATCAAGCAGGTGTGTGGGGGAGCGGTGGGGGCGGCGGCACATGGGGCGCGGTGCTGCACGGGTTTTCGTCGCCTGGCTCTTGTTTTCTGGTTCTTGTTACCGCATGTCACCCACCCCGGCACACCCCCCTGTCCCCCCAGGGCGTCATCTACCACACCACACTGCGCCACACGCTGTCCCGGCGCCTGGCCTGGGTGGCAACCACGGAGCACGCCACCTCGGTGGCGCAGCTGGCGGTGCAGGTGGGCGGACGGGGGTGGTGGGGTTGTGGGATGGGGTGGAGGGCTGGGGGTAACAAGACAAACCAGGTAGGCGCGGGGGTGCAAGCGGACCTCGCTGGGTTGATACCAGCGCCTTTTGCGATACTCATCCGTGCACGACATGCCCTGCAAAGCTGCCCTGCCATGCCCCCCCCATGCATGCATGCAGGCACGTGTGTTTGAGGACGCACTGCAGTGGGAGCGTATCAGGCGGCCGGCGCTGACGGGCGCGGAAGGCGCTGCGGACGTGGCGGCTGCCGTACCCCCCGAGTACCTGCCGTACACACACAGCGTGGCGCTCGCCAAGCGGGTGGTGGGGCCCGAGCGCAGGCAAGCGGGCATGCCACAGATGGTGCAGGAGGGTGAATGTATGTTGCGTATCAACTGTTCTCATTTTCTTTTTTCCGTTTTCATGTCCTCGTTGGCTTTGTCATTGCGTCAGGCGATTACCGCATCCCCCCTTGTACATGCTCTTTAATAAACCCCGCTGCCCCGCACTTCCCCCTCCCCCCCGCCAGAGTGGAGTACCTGCTCGCCCCCGACGCGGTGGGTCAGGCGCTGCTGCAGAGCGGCGGCTCGCGACACCAGCCGCCCCCGCCCCAGCAGCAGCAGCAGCTGAACGGACTGCGCATGCTGACACCGGATGCGGGTGGGTGGGTGGGTGGGTGCCGCTGCTGTCACCTTAACCGCCCGTGCTGCCACCCCTTGCTAGATACGCAGCGGACAGGCCGCAGGTACAGCGCTACTTGGTAACCATGCTGTAACACATCGGGTATTCTTCTTTTCCCTCCTCCTCATGCGCCTCCCTGCTGCACCCGCGCAGGTGTGTCCCAGTGGGTGGCGGAGGGCAGCGTGCCGTTGTGGCTGCTGCGCGCCTACGAGGAGCGCGTGCGGGCGGGCGAGCCGACCCACCAGCGGGGGGCCCCGGCCCTGCCACCCGCCGGCGCGGCGGACTCCCCCGCCTCCGCCTGCCTGGTGTGCGGCCTGACGCCGGCGGAGAGCGCGGGCACGCCGCTGGCTGCGGGCGGCTGGGTGGGCTGCGCCACCGCCTTCGGGACGTGCCTCACGGGCTGCCATGCGGCGTGTGTGGGGGTGCCGCGGCGGGAGCTGGAGCTGCCGGGGGGGCGCGGCAAGTGGCTCTGCACGTGAGTGTGCCGTCGCGTGCTGGGTGGTGGGGTACCGGTGTAGCTACCTAGCTGCCGAGCAGGATGAAGCGGTCAATCCCGCGACCCCTCCCTTTACGACGGGCCCTGCCTTGCCTCGGCTTGACCCCGGCTGTAAATAACCCTCCTGTCGGGTCGCCCATCTAGTGCCGCCCGTATCTGTGCACACCCAGCCGCCCACCCATGTTGCTGCTGCGCTGCCGCACTCCCCCTCCCTCCCCCCTCCCAGGCGGTGTGCCGGTGAGGCGCTGCTGCAGCGGCAGGCGGCGGTGGACAAGTACGTGTCGCGGCGGGTGGGCACCGGCGGGGCCTCCGCAGTGGTGCTCACGCCGCAGCAGCTGCTGGAGCAGGCGCTGGCGGAGGCGACGGCGGTGGCGGCGGGGGTGGACCCGGAGGGGGCGGACGAGGCGCTGCTGCTGGCCAGCATGCAGGCGGAGGAGGGGGAGGGAGACGGGGAGCAGGGACTGCCGGCGCCGGGCAGAGGCAGAGGGAGGGGCAGGGGCCGGGGGCGGGGCTGGGGAAGGGGGAGGGGTCGTGGGCGCGGCGGTGCTGGGGGTGGTGGCGCGGAGGATGGGGGACGGGGAGGAGGAGGGGAGGATGGGGAGCAGGAGCAGCGGCAGGGGCCCCGGGAGAGCTTCTGCATATGCGGCGCGACCTGGGAGGCGAGCTGCTCGCCCGGCTTGGTGAGTGGGGGTGTATGGGGCTCTGTTGCATTCGGCGCCTGTATACTCCTTGCCTGCATTTTCGCATCAGCTGGCTTCCTGGCTTTCTGTGTGAGTGGAAGGCAACATGCGGCGGACCGACTGCGTTGTTTTAGGTTTACTGTTTGCTTCCCCCGTGTTGATCCGCCGCGGTCCGTCATTCTTCTCGTCATTCCCCCGCAGGACGTGACCTGCTGCGACACCTGCGAGGGCTGGTTCCACGCGGCCTGCTGCGGACTGCAGCCCGACCAGGCCATGGTGGGTGGCTTGCGTGGCAACCGCCCGGGGGGGGGGTCGAGCGTCCTGAAAATCCGCATTTCCGAATCCGCCTGGACATGCTCGCATCCACCCTTCCCCTCTTCCTCTGCCTCCCCTACAGAGTCTTGAGAGCTGGACTTGCCCCTTCTGCTCCGACGGCGGCGCCGGACTCGTCCTCCCGCCGCCCTCTCCCTCCAAGCGCCCGCGCCTCGAGGGCCCCGCGTACGCCTTCCACCAGCAGCAGCAGCAGCCCTCGGCGGAGCTCGGCCTCTCCTCCGGCGGCCCGGACGCCCCCGGGCAGCCCCGCACCGCCTCCCCGGGGCCCGCTGCTGCCACCAGTGCGCAGATGGCGGCCCGCTGCCGGGCAGCCGTACTGGCGCGCGTGCGGCAGGGGCTCACGGATGTGGGCGGAGTGGAGCGGGTATGGCGCGGAGGCGGCTGGGGACGCGGCCGAGGGCGGGGGCGAGGGCGAGGGCGGGGACCCGGTGGGCGCGGTCGGGGCTCGGGCCGGCGGCGGACGCAAGGCTCTGATGACGAGTTTGTGGAGGATGATGACGATTATGAGGAGCCAGATGAGGAGGGAGATGGGGATGACTCGGATGCCTCGGACGGCGCGCCGGCCGGCAGGGCGGGCGGCAGCAGCCAGGGCGGGCAGCGGAGAGGTGCTGCGGGCGCCCCGGCTGCTGCTCCGGCTGCTGCGAGGGGAGGCTACGGGGCACGCCCGGGTGAGCCTGCCGTACAGCCGCGAGGTGGCGCGATGGGGGCAGCAGGCGGGTTTGCACCGCCCTTTGCGCAGGGTGCTCGCATGGGTGCGGCGCCGGGGGCGGGCATGCCAGGTGGGGTGTATGCGGGGTCGGAGGGCGGGCTGGAGGGCGAGGTGGTGGACGAGGATCCGCGCACCTGGCGGCCCGCGGCGCTGACGGTGCTGCGCAGCGTGATGCTGGAGCCCTCCGCGGAGGAGTTCAGCGCGCCGGTGGACGTGGAGCAGGTGGGCGGGGCGGGCGGGTGCGGTGGACGCATGGGGCCACGGAGTAAGGAGCAGTGATGTAGTGACTGCGGTTGGGGAGGAAGGGGCGTCGCACGCCTCCAACTGCATGGCAGGCGTTAGGCGACACTTTACAGACACTGTCCGGGGGCAGAGGAGACGCTTCCGGATGCTCCGTTGTGACCTCTCGAGCGCCCAACTTCCCTTCCCTTGCCTACCCACCTCCCACTCCCCCCTCCCCAGCTGCCCGGCTACCTGGACGTGGTGGCCCGCCCCGTGGACCTCACCTCCGTGCTCAACAACCTGCGCCGGGGCGCCTACTCGAGCTGCACCGCGGTGGCCGCAGACGTGCGCCTCATCGCGGCCAACTGCCGCGCCTACTTCCAGCCGGGTGCAGCCGTCACACGCCGAGCGGAGCAGCTGGTCGCCTCCTTCAACGCCGCCTGGCGAGCTGCGGGTCTGCCGCTGCCGTACGGGTTTGCAGAGGCGGCCGGACAGGAGGCAGACGGCGGATACTACGATGAGGGCGGCTTTGCGGGTATGCCAGGCTCGGGCGCAGCAAGGCGGCCGGTTTCAGCAGCGCGGAAGGCTGGGCCGGCTGCGGGCGCGGGAGTGCGTGGTGGTGTGGCGGCGGCCGGGGGCTACCCCCAGCAGCAGCAGCCCGGGGTCCCTGCGCCCGGGAGCTGGGAGCACCTGGCCGCCAGCATCCTGCGAATGGTGATGTCGGACCCGCGGGCGGAGCCCTTCCTGGTGCCTGTGGACCCGGACGAGCTGCCCGGGTACTCGGATGTAAGCGGGGCAGCGGCTTGCAGGGGCTGACGGTGCCATGGACGCGGCTGTTGCGACTGTCTTGCTTGTGGCGCACGGTGTGGCTTTCGTTACTGCTTCTGTTGCAAGCAGCTTGCTGCATTACTGGGACACTCCCTGCCTGCGCGCACCCCTTCCCTCTCGTGCAGATCATCTCGCAGCCCATAGACCTGGGCACCATTGCTCGCAACCTGGCCGCCGGACACTACTCCAGCTCCGGACCCGCCGGCCTGCTGGACGACGTGCGGCTGGTGTGGTCCAACTGCCGACGCTACAACCAGCAGGGCTCGGCCATCGTGGCGGATGCGGAGCACTGCCGCTCCGCCTTCAACCGCACGTGGCAGCGCATGGCGGTGCCAGCGGGCCTGCCAGCAGCCACCGCAGGGGGAGCCAAGTTAGCGGCACAAGCGGCTGCGGCGTCGGGCGGGGGTTACAGCGATCCGCATGCGGCGCTGCTGGCGGGAGGGGCGGCGCCGGGCTACAACGCCATGCCAAGCGGCGGCGGCGGCGGCTCCTCCCGCGCACGCGGGTCAGCAGGCGCCGCGGCGGGATTGTACGGTGGTGTTGACACACGTCGTGGGGCTGCGCAGCTGCAGCAGCAGCAGCAAAGCTCCGTCGGCTGGCAGGCGGCGGCGCAGGAGGCCTTGGAGCGGCTGATGCGGGCCCGCGTGGCAGCCATCTTCTGCCTGCCAGTGGACCCCGCGGAGGCGCCCGGCTACCTTGACGTGGTGAAGCGACCCATGGACCTGTCCACGGTGCTGGCCAACCTGCAGAGCGGCGCCTACAGGGTGGGTGGGTGGGGACGTGGTGGTGCAAGGGCTGAGGTTGCTCTAGCGGCGTTGGGCTTGGCTTTTTGTAGTTGCGCCCGCACTCCTTGATGATTCCTAGGTTTGCCATAAGAAATGAGCGTTACAACAACTTTGCTTTCCATATCTTACTAACATCGCTGCTCCTGTCGCTGATGTGCAGGACGTGAGGGAGTTGTTCGCTGACGTTGAACAGATTTGGGAGAACTGCCGTACATACAACAACAAGAGCTCGCGTGTATACAAGCTCGGGGAACAGGCTCGCGCGCAGTGGTTGACGGAGTGCGAGGCGCTGGGGGTCGGGAGCGAGGGCCGCCAGCCGCAGTCGGGACGGCAGCGTCGGCGGCGGAAAGTCATCGCCTTCGCGGACGCAGACACCTCGTCGGATGGGGGCTACAGCGATGGCGGCGACTCGAGTGACGGCGGCGCGTCCAGGCGCAAACGAGAACGGTATTAAGGGTTAAGACTGACGAGCGAATCAGCGGAAGACTAATTTAGTTGTAGACGGCTGCATGTGCGCTCTCTTGACGTCGGGTTGTTGCGTTCATGAAACTCGCCACTTGGGGCTTGTCCCGTTGGAGGCCCCATTGCTGGCGTCATGCTGATACCGTATTGGCGTAATGCTGAGTTACCCTGCTTGATGTATCAACTTGGACATTTACCGCAATGGCATGTGGAGAATATGTAGGAACATGGTTGGGCAGAGAACACATATGACACGTCGGGTTTTGGTCGGTCAGCGGCCTAATGTAAGGTTGCAATGTGACACCTTTTTGTCAACTGGCGTCAGCCTTCTCGGACTTTACATCATCCACATAAAATGAAGGCTTGGCCTTTGGGGAGTCCCTCCTCTCTTATGACACCCCGAAGGCACGTGTGCCACAAACAATGAGCAGTATTCCTCTTGCGCATTTCCCAAACGCGCATACCAAATGCAAACATCCCATTAAGGGTGTAACAGGTGTAACGCTTTACGCGCAAACACGTGTATAAGAACAATAGTACAGTGCAAACACAAGCTTACCCATCAATGCTAACATCCATGAGGCGGCATAGACGCGCTCATGCTGCTTCAAACGCCAGAAGTGATATCTCCTGTGACGTTGATTTATGGGTGTGCACTCAAAGCACTGCCCGACAAGTAGGGAACGAAACACGCACAAGATAGGCAAGCTGCCGCCGCCAACTGTACAAAGCGTCAACTTTGTTCGCACTGGAAGCGGTGACGCTCCGGGTCCGACCCAAGTCAAGGTTTGTCAACACCCTTCCGCAATTTGGCACGGTACACCCACCAGCGAACCGATGCATCCACCAAGCTAGGTGGGAATGGTGCAACCTTCCCCAAACATTAGCTGACGAGAAAGGAGTCCAAAGTCAAACCATCATCCCTTACAACAGAGTCTATGGTGCTTGCGCGCGTATCTAACAACAAATAACCATGGGTGGTGCGGACTCAACCTTCATGCAGGTGACTGCCGCAATCCGCGGCCCCTACAAATGTTGAAGTACGCCCCCATATCTCCTGCCAAAGACGACACGAAATCTACACACGCCACACAGAACTAGGAGCAACCACCCCCATTACGTTGGCATCCTGTCGCAGGTGGCAGTGGTTATGTTGTCCACAGCAAGTCCATTGCATGCCCAAACAAGTCAGGGACATCCGAAACCCAACCTATAGCAGGTACTTTACTCTAGTCTAAACACCGCCACCTGCGCCCCACGTCAGTAGCATCATCTGACCGGCTATGCAAACATTCCGCCACATCAAACAATGCTCTTCTCTATAATGCAGAAAAGCCTCAGTCCCTCCTGATCACGTATCAGCGTGTACTGGGAACTAAGGACCTTTGTAGCTTAGCAAGGCTGAAGGCTCAACGCGGTGCAAGCTGCTTACTGAGCAGCGACAGCCGGCTTGGCGGCCGCCGCCAACTGCTTGACGGCCGGGAAGCCGACGCGTGCGGTCCAGTCGCCAAAGCCCTCGCTCGGGCGCCTGTTGGTCCACCAGGCCGCGAGGATGGGCTCCAGGAAGCTCTCCAGGTCCTTGATCTTCACCCTGCAGTAGCGGAAGGCATGCGGCACTCTCGGTACATGCACAGGACCCGCCAACATGCACTGAAAGTGTCAGGTGGTATCCACCCATTTCCCAAGACGGCACTCCCCAACGTACCTGTCCGCGTACAGCTCAGCCAGCCGGGTCTGGTTGGCGTTGCCGCCCAGGTAGATCTGGTAGCTGTTGGGGCCGTCGCCCACGAAGCCCAGCTCCGCCATGTACGGGCGCGCGCAGCCGTTGGGGCAGCCCGTCATGCGCACAATCAGCTGCGTCTCCGCGTCGACGCCCACCTGCGGAGCCAAGCAACGATACAATTGATGACGGCAAGCGGCTACGCAACGGCGAACTAGTGGAGTTGCTCTACTTTGCGCATGTTGCACAATTGTGCCGTGCACACTGTTTCCTTTGCCTACCTTGTCGAGCAGCGCCCGGATGCGCTTGTTGATGTCCCCCATGGTGCGCTCGGCCTCCGTCACCGCCAGACCGCACAGCGGCAGGGCGGGGCAGGCCATCGACATGCGGTCGAGCGAGTCCCAGTCCATCAGCTCCTGCACGCCGCCCGCCTTCAGCATCGCCATGATCTCGTCCTTGTTCTCGGGCAGCACGTCGCGGAGGATAATGTTCTGGTGCGGCGTCAGCGTCACCGGAAGGTTGAACTTCTCAATCACGGCGCGCATGGCCTTCTTCTGCTCGCCCTTGATGCGGCCGTTCTGCGAGATAGCAAGTAAAGGCGGAGTAGCATCAGCTTAGTGAAGCGGTATGCTGACAGACTTTAGCACAAACTCCCCGAATCCAGCCACTTCAAAGCTACGTCCTTCGCAATACATCCTCCGTGAAAGACACACATCTTCCATAGACTTGCCTGGACGTACAGGCCGTAGAACAGCTTGCCGTCGCCCTGCTCGCCCCAGCCCATGTAGTCCTTGTACTCCCACTCGGGCATCGGCACGTACTCGCCGAACTTCTTGCCGAAGTACTGCTCAGTCACCGACCTGGGTTATGGGACAGGGCGGCAAGCCTTGTTAACCCGCTCTCTAGCCTTGTTAACCCGCTATCTACTTTAATGACATTCATATCACGGAGCTCCTAAGCAAACATGAGGATGAGTCCGGCAGCCCCAAGCCCCACCTGAAGCGGTCAATGCCCCACTCCGAAACCAGGTACTTGAGGCGAGCCTGCTTGCGGTTGTCACGGCGGCCGTAGTCGCGCTGCGCCGCCACAATCGCCTTGACGGCGTGGAAGATGTCGTCCTTGTCCACATAGCTGCGTGGAAGGAGAATAAGGGGGGACTTGAGCATGCCTGTATGCGGCGCTCCATGCTAACGAACGTTGCTTCCTAGAACCACAGCAAGAGCGGCAGCAAGGCCTCCCCGGAGCCTAGGAGCTTGCCCTCGGTTCCCAGCCAGCACCCTTGCCTCACCCCAGGGGCTCAGCCAGGCGCGCGTACGTGTCGTTGTCACGGTGCGTGCGGCCCAGGCCACCGCCCACCACAATGTTGAAGCCCTTCAGCTCCTCTGTGGATGGGCAGTAATGAAGCATGAAGTGTTAAGACAGTGAAGCGTACAGAACTCACAACCACCCACCCGTCCATCCATAGGACGGCCGGTAGTTCAGCCCCGGGGTCGTACGGCTAGGGTCCGCGCATAAGCGACCTTCCTGCATACCAGCCCAGCCCACTCACTCTTCTCCTCGTCCATGATGACGATGATGCCCAGGTCGTTGGTGAAGAGGTCCACGGAGTTGTCGCCGGGCACCGTGACAGCCACCTTGAACTTGCGCGGCAGGAACTGAGCGCCGTAGATGGGCTCCGGGGAGTTCTCAAAGTTCGTGCCGAAGCCGTTGAAGGCGCGATCGGCAGTCACCTTGGGGTCCTGCGGACATAAAAGGCGGACGACAGGGGCATGCTTCATGACTGCTGCAACCACATGGTCTGGCATAACATATCGCCTTTGTGAGCCAAACAAACATGGGCCTACCAACCAACCCAGATGCCCACGCTGGAAGGGTCAGCGTCCACACGTCTTTAGAAACGAGCAGACGTCCCAATGTGTCTTGAAGAACCCAAGTGCCAGTCTCACTGCGCCCAATGCGCACCTCCTTGTACATCGACATGAACTTCTCGCCGTCCAGCCACATGTCGTAGTACGCACCAGACTGAGGCGCCAGGAGGTCTGCAACGTCGTTTGCGACCTGCACAAAGAAAGAGGCAAGCATGGGCGGATGGTTACCGCTTCTGATTTGGTGACCCGAATCCGGATGCCTCGCCAGACACCCACATGGTGTCTAGCTGATATGGGCAGCTGCTGGAGCAGAAGGCCTCACCTTCTGCGCAATCATGTACTCGGGCTTGTCCAGGTACGGGGCAGCGGGGCCCATGACGTTGCGGTTCACGTCACCGCAAGCGCCCAGGGTGGAGCCCATGTTCTTGATGACAGAAGAGAACACCGTCTTCAGGTCGTGCTTCAGCACGCCATGCAGCTGGTACGCCTGACGCGTCGTGAGGCGCAGGGTGCCGTTGCCATACTGTTTTGGCAGTGGGGGGACAGGGAGGTTGCACGTTAGTAAGCGGAGTTAGTAAGGCAAGAATAGGCAAGCTAGTGCACAGATAACATACATGCATGACGTCAAGAAGCTATCGGCGCATTCCCATACGAATGAATGGCTCTTCTTGCCAACACGCCAAACTCCCGCCGAAGATGCCGCGGAATGCCGGGATGCCAGACCTCCAATAACAGAAGGACAGTTTCTCTACTATTGTTCAATAACAGTCTGTTCTGTTAGTACAGGCTGTGATTGGAGCATTTAAAAGCTGCACCACGTCATGCGCAGAGTTCCGTGCTGCGGCCCCCGGTATGTACACATCAAGTGAAACTGCAAGACACATGTAAGGAGTTTGACGTGGTAACCTTTTCTTACTGGGACCGCATGACTATCCGAGAGTCGCAACAGGTTGCCGGCGGCGTTTCGACACCTTTTCACGCCATGGTTCTGAAAGTTAACATGTTAACATACCTGGTCAGCAAGATCGTCCATGACAAGGTAGAGCCTGTTGGGCACGAGGCCACTGGGTTGACGAGTCCGCATCATGAACATGTAAGCCTTGCCCTGCCCGAAGGCACGCTTCTCGCGGTGGTCTTGCTGGTAAGATCCATGGAACTTCATCAGCTGCACAGCCTCCTCGCTAATGTTGGTGTTCTCGTTGACAAGCTCCTCCATGAGTGGGTGTCGCAGGTAGTCGCTCTTCTCCTTAATGATCTCCACCTTGCTGCGCTTAGCTAGACGAGAGGTGGGGTTCTTGGAAGGCGTTGCCACGTTGGTGACGACCATCTGGCCACGGCTGGGGCGCTGCATCCCCGCCGACAGCTTGCCCGTCAGGGCCTGCATGGTTCTCTCCTGATTACAGCTACACCCGAACAAAATGAAGTCTCCTTGTGTCTACAAGTTCCGTGTTTACGTGTTTATTACTACTTTTCACTGTTTCGAGTGTCTTTTATGCAATTTCCGTACAGGCCATGGACGTGGCCTCCATGAACATAAGTCTACAAGGAACGTCCCTTCCAAAATGTACAAATATACTCTGGTGGGTTAGCCTCGTAGGAGAATGCAAACTCCTAGTTTTCTAGTGTTACGAGTTACGCCCTTCAAGTTGGACCCGACACGTTTACTGATCCCACAAACAGCCACCGGTTTCCGGTTGAGAGATGCCTTTTCCTGAATACCTCACATTGGCCGCGTAGCGAGACGGCCGCCAGGGTTCCTTAGCTAAGCCTGTGATAAGGCAGGACATGTACCCTGGCTTGTGTGTCTGGGCGTACTCTTTTCACGTAAACACGAGCTCGCAGCGCGATTTTACTAGATCTGAACCGGACAGGGAGCCGTTGTTGTCGTGGCAGTCTCCATTAGATCAGCAAGCCAAGCAGCATGCCACATGTAGCACGATGACGCCCACCGCCATCAGGTGCACTTGATGCCGACCAGAACTATTGTGCCTGCGCGGGGTCGCGGTTAATTTTGATGGAAAGATTAGGGGGTGGCGGGGGGAATGGATGGGTAGCCGGACAAGGCCGGGGGGTGTAGGGTTCATTAAGGGAAGTATTGTGTGGCATTTGGTCCCATCTGTTACCACTTAGCAGGCAAAAGAGCCTTCTGCTCAAGTCGTGGATGCGAATGCAAGTGGTACTGGCCATGCATGCTTGCATGCCACAGCCCACCTGATGTGCAGCAGCGGCTCGCACTTCTCGAGGCGGCCCCGCTCACATGTCCCGGCTCAGCAGGCGTACCCTGATGCCAAAGGGGCCCCGCTCATAGTACACCCTAGGCCGAATGCCAATACACGCCTAGTTTCACCAGGATGGCCAATCCCCATCCACGCGAATCCGCCGCCATACAGCCATACAGGCGCGTTCGGTGGAGCTCTACCAAGGAAGGTCCGCCACCGAGACCGTAGGCAGCTTCCCTCCCCTCCGACAAAGCTGTTTTGAGCCCCAGGAAAAGGAAGCTATATAGGGAATCAGAGCGGTCAGAAATCGCGTACCCATTAGTCAGGACGAGCGGCACCATGCTTCGTACACGCCTGTCGCCACACGCATCCTCAGGACCGCCCAGTGTTATCGCTGCGAACTATGTGTGCCCTAAAGAACAGGAAACAGGGTTACCGTACGACCTGCAGCCAGGCGACGGCAATTGTGAGTTGCGCTTGGCTCCAAGGCCTTTCGTCATTGTACGACCTCTTATATCGTCCGCGCTTAAAGGGAAGGCACATACACCGCATTCCCTGCAGCGGCCACACTTTTAGCGTTTACGAACTGTATATTTCCCACGTAAGAATCCACAGATGACCTCAGGTGACAATTCCGACGTTGCAACGGACACGCGCCAGGATGCCGACCAGCAGTCCCAGCTCCAGTCCGCCAAGAGCTCCCCAGTGCTCAAGGTGCGCTAGAAGAAAGCGAGGAATGCTTCGCAGCAAAGCCAGGCGCCTAGAGGAAAAAGCTGCTCAAAGCCGTGCATAGCGTGCACGCAAGCCGCTGATGCGAGAGCGCAGCCCGCCGCATGCTGCAGAAGGCCCTCATCGGGACCGTGTCGTCCCCCATTCTGTGTCTCCCTTCACTTCCTCGGAACCTCATCGTAAGCGCCCCCACTCTCGCAGGCGGTCCGTACCGTCCCCGGAGAGAAGGCCGCTGCGCTAGAAACCCTGATCCGCGGCAGCTGGGCGCCAAACGGTGCGACGAGTCATCCCTGACACAATACCCCTCCGACCGACCCATGGGTCCACGCTACCACGCTACCTGCACACGAACCTCTCCAGCGACCCAACCTACCTCTTCTCCCACTGCCACTGCTTCTTTATTACTGGCCGCTGTCATGCCCCTTGCAATACAGCTAATCCAGGCCTGCTGAACCTCCCCTCGCTGCTGGACCCCTCCTCGCAAACCCCTCTGCACATGCGGGCCCCACAGCCATCTACTGCTTGTGTCGCCTGGGTGTCCCCGACGCCCTGGGCGCCCACCCGGCACACGCCGCCACCGCCGCGCAGCTCGCCGCCCGCCTGCACTGCAGCGCGCCCTGCCTGCTGCGCCTGCTGAGGCTCTGTGCGGCGTACGGCCTGCTAGTGGAGGTGGAGGCGGAGGTGGGAGAGGGCGTACGGCACGGGGGGCAGGAGCCGTGCGAGGAGGAGGCGGGGGCAATGCATGGTGCAAGTGGTGAAGGGGATTGGCGGGGTGGCAGTGGAGGGTATGCGGCAGTCGGCGGGGCTGGAAAGGGGGGCGAAGGTGCTGGTGAGGGCCGGAAGGAGGCTAACGGTGGGCAGGTTAGCAACGGCAACAACAACAGCGGCGGCAGCGGCGATGATGGAGAGCCGCTTAACATTGGCCACGATGATGCGGGAGGGGAATGTGCTGGCAGGGCTGGCGGCAGCATCCGCGTGGGAGGCGCCACAGGGCATGACGCGGGTTCACATGAGGGGCAGCAGCGGGGGGCGGAGGCACGGTCACAAGGGGGCCAGCGAGGGGGGGTGCATCAGTCAGGGCAGCAGCCGCAGGTGCAGGCGCGTGTGGACGGGGATGCTATCAGGGGTGCAGTGCCGGCGGCGGAACGTCGCGAGGACGCGAGCTGCTTCTATCTGACAGACACGGGCGTCATGCTACAGGTGCGAGTGGGATCATGCGGGCTGGTGTCGAGCTTGCTTTGGCCCAGTGGAGGCCACAGGCGGACGCGGGGCTGCCCGGCTGTCTAGTTGCTGCAGCCGCTCTAGTCACTCGTGCCGCCTGACGCTGTCCTGAGCCCCCCACCGCACAGCCATGCAACTACTGCTGGTACCTCGGTGCTTCCTTTCGCGTCCACCTGCTCTTCCTCACTGTCCCCCCCCCCGCACCACCCCCTGCCCCAGGAGTCCCACCCCTCCCACATGAAGTGGCTGGCGCTCATGCTCGGCCTGCCGGGGCACTACGTCAGCAGGGGGTACCTGTACGACAACGTCAAGGAAGGTGAGGAGCGGGCGTGTGTGTTAAGAAAGCTGGCCTCGAGTCGGAACGTACTGCGATTGCCGGAAGAGGAAGTCCCCACAGAAACGTGTGTATGTACGGCAGCGCACGACACAGCCGTACATGAAGGGAGGATGGCAGTTGTGGTCGATACCTTTGGACGCGGTGCCCTTGCGCGGAAAGCTGCTGAGGGAGATTCCTCTTACGGGCAGGGGATCAGCTGCTTGGCCGTGAAGTGGAAGATGTAGAGGCCGTCTTGTTCCTTCTCTCCTCTCCTCTCTTACTTACCCTTTTCTCCTCCCCCCCTCCTCCTTACCCCCTCTGCCGTCAGGCCGCATGGGCTTCGAGGCTGCGTTCGGCTGCGACTGGTACTCCTACGTGTTGCAGCACCCGCTGGAGGCCACCGCCTTCGACAAGGCCATGACCGCCACCTCCACCGCCGCCGCGCAGGGAGTGGCGGGAGCCTACAGCTTCGCGCAGTGGGTGGCTCTGGGGGGGAGGGGGTCAGGGGGGCTGGGCGGGAGGGGAGCACCCGGGTGCCGGGCATGGGGGAGGGAGTGTCGGTGTTGGGTTGGAGCGCGGGAAGCAAGGCGGACAAGAGGCTCGGGTTACCCCTCTGCTTCGGCTCGAGTGTGAGGAGAAAAGAGCCGCAGGTGGTATGCTTCCGTTGCGTGCTGGGTGCGCGAAGGTGCAGCGGGTGGCTGAGGACACATGGGGGCGGGCGGACCTGCGATCCTTGTACGACATGTTGTACCCCTGCTGCTGCAACCCTTGCTGCGGTGCCCGCTGCCCGCCGCCCCGCAGGCACGAGACGGTGATGGATGTGGGCGGGGGGCAGGGGCTGCTCATGACGGCCATCCTGCACCACCACCCCGGTGCGGCGGGCAGCTGGGGTAACAGGGGGGGCGGGCGGGTGGGTGGGTGGTCAGCTACCTGGGGAGCCGGACGCTTGGTTTGGTCAGTGAAGGGTTCCAGCGGCGAAGTCTTGCTGTCGAGGATGCAGCGGGATGCCTGCCTGGCGGCGGCACCGCGCAGCACCGCCGTGTGCCGGCAGCTGCTGCCCCGCTTTGCTGTTGCAGGCAGTCGCTGCTGCCGCTGCTGTTCCGCCTCCTCACCATGCCATGCGCTCCTGGTGCAGCCGGGCAGGTGTCGCCGTAAATACCGGTATGCGCCGCACACCACATGCGCAGGGTCCGCGCAACATGTCTGTTTACCACTCGCACCCCTTCCCTCCCCCCCCCTCCCGCCTCCTCCCGCGGTCAGGTGTGCGGCGGGGCTACGTGTTGGAGCTGCCCGGGGTGGTGGCGGCTGCACGGCAGCTGGGGCAGCGGGGGCTGGAGCGGCTGGAGTATGTGGAGGTGGGAGGAGGGAGGAGGGTGGGGCGGGAGGAGGCGTGGAGAGGATAACTGGCTAGCGGTACCCAGGGGCTTCTTAAGCTGATGTGCTCATCACATCCGCCTCCCAAATCACCCTAGCTAGCTGGATGCGATCATGGCGCATGCTGGGGTGTCCGGCCGTGTGTCAACCATGCCCACGCAGGGCGACTTCTTCCAGCCCTTCCCGCTCTCCGTCGACTGCATCCTCATGCGGCTCGTGCTGCACGATTGGCCGGACGAGGAGGCGGCTGCCATCCTGCGCCATGCGCATGCAGCCCTCGCGACCCACGGGTCACCCCGGCTGCTGGTGGTGGAGGCGGTGCTGCCGGAGCTGGTGAGCCCCGAGGCGGGGCCGGCTGCCGTACAGCAGCTGGAGTTCGACATGGGCATGATGGTGGGTGGGTGGGTCGGGAAGGCAGACGTGGAGGGGGGTGCCGTGGGGTTACACGGGGACATGTGTTTGTGAAGATATTGAGTCTGCCAAGAAGACACTAGGAGGGCCGGTATGGGCGGGTACGCACCTTGCTGCTGCTGCTCCTGTACACCTTGTGCATTTTCGCCAGTGGTGATGACAAGAATGGAATGATAAAGACCAATATACACCTTGGGTTGGGCTCTTGCCGCCTTACTGGCTTCCCGCGCACAACCGGTTATTACTTGCTTTAGTTACTCGGACAGATTTCTCTGCGCCTCAACCTGATAATGTGCCCGGCGGCCTCGCTCACCCCAATCCACCCTGCCCCGTGTTCTCGCTCTGAGCAACCCCCTTCCCGGGCCCTCCCTCCCCCATGCGTGCAGCTGATGACCCCGGGTCGTGAGCGCAGTCAGAGCGAGTGGCGGGCGCTGCTGGGCCGCTCGGGCTTCAGGCTGGAGGCGGTGCTGCAACCGCACGGCGCCAAGCTGCCCGTGATGGTGGCGGCACCCTACCGCACGTAGAGGCAGGCGGGGATAAGGAATATGCAAGCAATGTGTGGTGTGGTCGTGGTAAACTAGCTAGAGGCGGGGGGGGGAGAGGGAGGTACGAAAGGATGGAAGGCGGCAGTGGTGGTGGTGATAGCCACAGTGGGTTGGGAGATGGGGATGGTGGGGTTAGGTAAGGAGTGAAGACACAAGCAGGAGGTTGTGGATGGAACAACTAGTTAACCGTGGTGATAAGGCAAGAGGTGAAGGAGGTAGGGCTGGTAGGGTGGTGGCATTGGCAGCGGTAGGGATGGTGCCAGGAGGGCGCAATGGCCGCCCTTGCAACCGAGTCGGCAGCTGGTAGCTTGCAGCAGGGAGCAGCAGGCAGGAGATCGCTGTGGGGGAGATGTGAGCATGGCAAGGGGCTACAGGCTGATGGGAGGCTAGGGGGCTAGTGCGGGGGGAGGCAGTGTCGAGCAGTGCTAGCCCCACATGCATGAACCTGGAGACTGGGGTTTTAGGGTGGACACGTCGGCTGATACTGACGAACGGTATGTTAGGGGGGTGTACTGGCTTGTTGTACCTGTGCAATGGTGGCTAGTTATCTGGTGTAACTGAGAAGTGGTGCAATTGCGAAGCTGTATGGAATGGTGGGATGCAGTGCAGCAGCCCAGATTTCCGTGCTGGAAGATATAATAGCGGGTATACCGCTGGTATACGGTTGGCCTTCTCACGTGTTGCAGTACATGGTACAGTAGGTATGTTGTATGAAAAGCATATGAAGCAAATACTCTACAACCTGATCATCAGCTTTCATGGGTCAACAATGCAAGCCCAACACATCCTACCAGAAGCACACTCCCATTTGGAGCCTCTGCCCCACACCCTCGTGCGTGCTCAGTCCACATCCATCCCACTTGCTCCACCTCAACCTCAAGACACCTTCCTGGCCTCCTGCCCTCCCCCTCCATCCCAAGTCACATCCATGACATCCATGCCAGTGTCAGGGGTAGCAGGGACATGGAAATGGAAGGCGACGGGTGGCGGGGCCCTGCTACCCCTGACACTGCCTTCATCTAAGATAGCACCAGCATCCAAGCACCAGCACAGCATGGACCTCAGTCGCCGCCTCCCAGCTCCATGACCTGCAGGATATGCAGCAAACCATACGGGTACATTGATTTACAACAGTAGTGGTAAAAGCCAGCCGCTTCCCAAACATTGAAGGAAGGAAAGCGGCTTGGCAGCAAAGCGAGCGACAAAGATTCACCTTCTGCTGATAGTGCTTCCTCGAACAGGAGCGGGCAGCGAGAAGACGGGAGCGGCAGGACGCTGAGCAGGAGTCGAAGCACTATACCAGTGGGCAGGGATTAGCTTTTACACCTGCAAGGGGAAAGAGCTGGTAGGGTGGTGGCGCGCATCTGAGGGTGTCGGGCAGGCGAACCATAGTTCAGTTGGCTTACCTCCTCAAAACCGCAGAGTGCAGTAACGGTGTGCAGTCCGACCAATGCAAGTTGCAAATGGGTCGAGTTCGTGCTCCTATGATGTCGCCCAACTCCACAGTACGTGGAGTGCTAGCTTAGTCTCCGTCAATGCCTTACACAATTTAACGGGGCCCTTCTTTGCCACGCTGCACATTGCATGTCTCTTGATAGCGTGTCTGCTTAGCTCGGTCACCATTTGCGCCAAGGTTGGCGTCTTACTTCCTTGTACTGCCTGCATTGCTTCCACAAAAGCGTCCCACACTTGTTGCCTGCAGGACGATTATACTGTAGGGAGTATACCGACGACCACAGCACAATACAACACAATAATACTGGACTCTTTCTGTCAGCTTGCTACCGCTTACGTCGCGCCTCCGCTCCTAATCTCGCTACGAGTTATTATGACAAAAATTTGATGACTGCAAGCCTGTGATTATGCTTCAAGTTCAAATCAGTCAGGCACTTCAAAGGTGCCTTCGGGCGCTGCTGCGCACCGACTCCGCGCCTGCCCGCCCGACCACTCCAGCGCTCATGCAGCCCCGCTTCTTCAACCGCCGCACCTACGACCTCCTCTACATCCTCACAATCTTTTTCACCTTTCCGTTGTACTTCATCAATATCATGGACTACCGTACATGCTCCACCGGCGGCGGCGGCGGCGAAGCGCTCAGGAACGACCCATGGGTCATGCGGCCTCCCTCGCAGCGCTGGTCGCAGTCCTGGCCCTGCGCGGGCAGCCAGCTCAGCAAGCTGCTGTACCTGACTTGTCACCCTGGGCCCTTCCTGCGGAGCCTGCTGTGGCCGATGTGCCTCTCAGGTAGGGGTACGGGCGTACGGCCGGCAGCTACCCCTCCACCTGCTTGCGGTGGAGCCGCAGCAGGGCCCTCTCATACGCCGCTAGCTACCGGTACCTCCCTTCGACATCCCGGCAGTAGCGTTCATAGTAGATAGTACCCGCAACGTTTGCTTCTACCTGCTCCCGTCAGTGTGATTGAATGCCCGTTACAAGGGTAGTCCTTAGGAAGAGAACACTGCGTAGTTGTGACAGGGAACACTGCGTAGTTGCATCTGCACCCACGCGCTCTTTCCCTCCTGCTGCTGCTCCTGCCACTCCCCCCCCCCACCCACCCCGCAGAGCTTCACTTCCTGACCACCTTCCACACGGCGGTGGTGGGCGGGCTGGCGGCGGTGCTCACCACCCGGGGGGGCAGCCGCTACGTCACCAGCAGGCGCAGGTGCGGATGCGGAATCCTGGGAGGGAGGCAGGAGGGGTGGGAGGAGGTCGCAATACCGGTACCGTGGTGCGGTCGTGTCCGGTGCTGTCGGGCCACCCTACTGGAGCGCTTATCCCATGCCCATACCAGCAAACCCGCCACCACCTGCCGCAACGCTGCCGCCACTCATCCGGCCCCAGCCCTGCTCTTGGTCGCCGCCTCCCCGCCTCCCCCGCGCTCCGCAGGCAGCTGTGGGCTGTGTGCTCCAAGCTCCACATCAAGGCGGTGCCGCTGCTGCTGCGCGCGCTGCGCCCCGCCACCCCCTGGCCGCTCGCGGTGGAGCGCTCGCTGCCGGCGGAGGGAGCCGCGTCGCTGTTCTTCGCACTGGCGCTGCCGGTGGGCGGGGGGCGGGGAGGTGGGGCGGGGGGCGAGGGGCGGGGACCCCACTACTAACTACACACTACACAAACTTTCAGTGCACGTGACGCGCTGCCTTTGGGGTTTTCACATATTTGTTCATCGTACATAGAAACCTCAGTGCCACACCAAATCGTCCAATCCCTGCCGTCATGCCTTCACCTAGCTAGCTCGTCCGCCTTCCCTCTTCCCCCTCCCCCCCGCTGCCCCGCTTCCCCGCGGCAGATGCCCGCCCCCCTGCAGGCGCTGGTGGCGCTGGGGGACCTGGCGGAGGTGGCTGCCATCTGCTTGCTGTACGGCAGCCGCTGGCCACACGCGCCCTCGCCCGCCGGGCTGGTGGCGCGGCAGGCGCTGTGCGCGGCGGCGGCGGTGCTGGCGTCAGCGCTGGTGTACGGCGGAGGGGGCAGCGGCGGCGGCGGCGGAGGGGGCTGTGGGGGGTGCGAAGGGTGCGAGGGCGGACAAGGTGAGAGGTGCAGACGGTGGGGACCGCGAAGGATGGAAGCGGGAGGTGTGGGTGGAAAAAATTATAGAACTGAAACAACGAGTCCCAATCCCATATTCCGACTCATGCAGTGAGCGCATTCGGAGACACTATCCTAGAAGCACGCATCTCAAATTACTTACCGAATCGTAATCGGAGGTGTGGGTGGGGGCTTCAGGCGGTTCAGCGTGGGGGTTGGCCGGGGTTGCGAGGTGTACGGCAGGTCTGGCTGGGCCAATGCTGTGTGCTTTTGTGGCTCGGATTGCAGGTGACTGCAGCTCTGCGGGCAGGGCTCAAGGTGGCGAGGTGAGGTCAGGAGGAGCGCCGGGCGGCAACAACCAGCAGCGCCGCCTCCCCAGCCAACATCATCAACGTCAGCAGCAGCGCCGCACCCCGCCAGGTGAAGCAGCACCTGCACCACCGCCACCACCATCGCCACTACCTCCTCTTTTTCAAGCTGTCGGTCCCATCGTCAGCGCCTCCGACGCAGCGTCACCAGCATCATCACCGGCACCCGACGGAGATACAAAAACCCCAATCCCCGCACCTCCACCGCCAACCCACCCGCCACACCCGGATACCTCCTCAGTCGCCCCTCGCCAACACACCCCAGCGCCTGCACCTTTGCAACAGCTGCAGATCGCTCGCCGCCTCGCCGCCGCTGCCTCCGCTTCAGCAGCCACCGGTGCCGTACCACCGCTGCTGCAGTACCGCAGCCCCGTCACCGCCGTACACGTGTACGGCAAGCTGTCCGGGGTGCAGCCCGCGGAGCTGCCGGCGGGGCTGCGGGAGCGGGTGGCGGCGGCGGTGGCGGCGCTGGGCGGCGGAGTGGCGGCGGTGAATGTTGCCGTACGGTCGGGCTGCGTGGAAGTACAGCTGGAGCTGATGGTGAGGGGGGGGGCGGACGCGGGGGGAGGAGGTGGCGGAGGCATGGAGGCGGCAGCGGCAGAGGGTGCGGAGGGTGCGGCACTGGCGGACCCTGCGGAGGAGCGGCTGGTCCGCAGCATCTTGGGCGCCCTGGGGCTGCCGCGGGGGCTCAGCGGCACTGTGCGGGCGCAGGTGGGGGCGAGGGTGCTGACGCTGGCGCCAGCAGCAGCAGCAGCCCGGCCGCAGCCCTCGTCGCCTTCACCGCAACCGGTGTCTTGGTCGTCGTCGTCCTCGTGGGGGCAGGTGATGGAGGAGGAGGAGGAAGAGGGAGAGGAGGCAGGGGGCGACCTCAGCCGCATGGAGGGCTGCAGCAGCGGCGGCGGCAGTAGCGGCTGGGCGGTGCTGGGCTGGCGGCGCATGCAGGCGGGGGAGGTGCCCTGGGTGGCCCGGGTGGAGCCCCCGCTGCTGGTCACCAGGACCCGCTGGGGGGCCGGGGGCAGCGGAGGCGGGGGCAGCGGAGGCGGGGGCAGCGGAGGCGGGGGCAGCAGCATTGGAAGTTGTGCTTGTAGTTCTGGAGGCGGCATCGGCGGCGTGCATGCCACGCGTGACGCCGGCGTAGGCTGCGCCGTTGGCGACGGCGCTGACGGCAACGGTGTTGGCGGGCTTGAGTGGTGCACCGTCCCTCTGCGTGTGACAGTCTGCGGGCCGGCCGAGGAGTTAGGATTAGCGAGTGCTGCTGCTGGTGTAACGCCGCACGGCGCCTTGCGCTGCTGCCCGGCCCCGCCGCCTCCCGACCTAGAGCTTGTGGCGCTCTTTGATGGGGCCTTCCTGCGCGTCAGCGACGTGCGTTTGGATGACCCATGGGTCGGAACCGTCCCCGCTGCTGCCGCGGCACCTGCTGCAGCCGCCAGGCAACCAGCAGACCTGCCGCTGTGTCAGCGGGTGTTGCATGCGCGTGTGGCGGTGCCGCTGGGGCGCTCCGGTGCCGTGAGCCTGCTGCTGGTGCGGCGGCGGGGTGCGGTGGGGCCCAGCCGCGCGCTGTTGGTGCTGCAGGAGGCGGATGCAGCGCTGGCGGCGGAGGTCGGCAGGGTGGCAGGGGAGAGCCCGATTGGTGCCGCGGGCAGCTACGGATCAGCAGCGGTTGACGGGGCGGAAGAGCGGTTTGTGGCGGACCTAGGCCGCTGGCTGCAGTATCGGGACTTTTGGCGGAGGGGGAAGGCTGCAGCGGCAGCGGCAGCGGAGGGCGGAGGGCTGTATCAGGACTTACCAGCAAAGCGCCCGAGCCCTAACGGCATGCTAACTCGGCTGCTGGCTCTGGGGTCAAGGTTGGTATCGGTGCTGAGCGGGGCGTTCCGGCGCCTGCACGGCCGCCGTGGCAGCCGCGGCGGTGAGGCTCCAAGCTGCGATGCCGTACAGGGCGCATGCGGGCAGCCGACGGTGCCACCCAAGCAGCAGCAGCAGGCGCAGGCGCCTGCGCCGGGGGAGATGTCATCAGCACTTCACGCACGATGCCCCGGCACCTATCAAGACAACGAAGAGGCTCTCCCTCCGCCCGCCGCTGCAACACGGCAACAACGCAGCGAAACAGCGTCGGACGTGCATGACCACTCGTGCCCGTGGATGGTGCGCGACCAAGGCGGCCCTGCAGGAGCCGCCAGCAGTAGCAGCGCCAACCCAGCATGCGCACATGTCCACGTGCACGCCGACACGCACCCGCAGCGGCCGCCCGCTCAGCGGGGTCGGCCACTCCAGTCGCCTCCGCCCGCAACGCAAGGCCAGCTGCCGCACCAGCACCAGCAGCACCAGCAGCACCAGCACCAGCGGGCCTGCCCGCCGCCCCTCGCGCACCCGGCCTACCAGCAGCACATGCGGCGGGTGCAGAGGGCGCTGCTGGAGTGTGCGCTGGAGCGGGGCTGTGTGGCGCTGGCGGCGGCACTGCTGGACGACCCTGGTGGCGGAGATGGCGAGCCAGCGGGCTGTCTGGCTGAGCTGGCGGAGGCGAGTCGCGCTGCCAGCGCCGACGGCCTGACGCTGCTGCACCGGGCCGTTCGTAGCGGCGACACCGCCACCGTCGACTTCATCCTTCGCGCCGCCGCCGCCGCCACCAGAGTTGCCACCCCCGTCTCCTCCGCCCTTGACACTGCGCAGCAGCAGCAGCAGCGTCAGCAGCGACGCTGCTCCTCAAAGGGCTGCTCTGCATCCATTTCGGCTGGCGGGACGCCGTCAGCGGCGCCAGCAGGTCCGCGGCTGAGTGTGGGCTTGTACGGCTGGCACTCCCCCGACGTGTACGGCCTGACGCCGCTGCACTACGTGGCTGTGCTGGGGGACGGTGGGCGGCTGGCGCGGCACGTGCTGCGGAGCTACCCGGAGGCGCGGGAGCTGTGGGGGCTGGAGGGGCGCGGCATGCCGCCTCCCGCGGCCTTTGCGGCGCAGAGCGGGATGGCTGTGGACGTTCGGGAGCTGCGGCTGCAGTGCGGAGAGGAGCAGCGGGGGTGCGCACGTGGAGGTGATTGCGGTTGCGGAGACGGGCGCAGCAAGGGCCGGATACTGGGGTAAGTGGTGCTGGGGGCATGGGAAAGACATGGGATGGTGAGATCCCACCCGTGTCGTCCACACCAGCCGTGTTGCTTGTCCCTCATCACGCGGCTCACCTGCTCGTGCCGACTCCCCACGTTCCCCACCCCGCCTAGGCTGCGCCGCCTGGCAGCTGGCGGCAGGCGGCTGCTGAGCGGCTGGTGGCGGGTGCTGCTGCTGCGGCCGGCTCTGGCAGCGTGTGCGGGGGGGCTGGTGCAGGTGGGAGCCAGAGGGGTGCGGCGCGGGGTCCCGTTGGGAGGGAATTGGGGAGCTAGAGGGATCAGCCGTCAATACCTGCACTCCAAGCACTCCAAGCGTCGATAGTTGTCCTAGTAGGATCCCGTGCGCCGGCCTGGCCTTATTAAGACACGTTTGTGCACTGATTGTTGGACACTCCCCTGACCCCGCTCCCGCTCCCGCTCCCGCTCCCGCTCCCGCTCCCGCTCCCACTCCCGCAGGCGTTCATGCAGCGATCCAGATGGCCTGCCTGGTTGCAGCCACCACTGGGGCGGCAGCAGCAGCAGCAGCGGCACTGAGCGGTGGTGCGGGTAGCTGCTGACAGCAGCGGCACCGCAATGCACTGCGGGTGCAGCGTGCCGTATGTCCTGTTCCTGTATTGCAGCAGGTACTGCACTGGGATTTGCTGCCGTACACACCTTGCCAGCGCACATGTTGGTCGGCGGACATGATCGGTTGGAACCGTTGACAGGTGGTTGACTGGTGGGGCTGCGGTTGAAGTGGCAGCGGTCATTTGTTCATGCATTCGTGCCGAGGTTGTGCCGTTGAGTGTTGCTGCTCGACACCATTTGTGCTAATATACTCTGTCTCGTCAGCAAGCCGAAGCGTGAGCGATATGTCTCCCCATTGTCGGGAGTCCGCTTCCACATTTGCCACGGGGCGTGCTTCCTGGTTGCGTGTTCGCGGGCCCGTACGTAAGAAACCTAAGAATGCGTGCAAATTCGTAGCGCGGAGGCAGCCGCATGCGCCAGGTACGGCGAGGGCATCTGTTGCGGGACTTCCGCGTTGCACTGAATGAGTCTGCGCTGCAAGGCATTCATTGTCGGAGCCTTGTCGTAAACGTACATCCTCAAGACCTCACATAAGATGGCACCACACGGCAACTCAAAAAGTGAGCTCTGTGGGTTTGTCATGCCCCGTGACTGGACGGACGTGCCACCGTGCTTTGCTGTTGCTATCCATGAGAATGTGGAACTGTTACATTCGCCCATTATACGGGATGTACAGCTAGGAGTGGGTTGATGCTCAGGGTTGCCAGGGCTTTGATGCTCCGGGTTGGCTGGTCGTTCCTCCCGCCGTACCTCGCCAAAAGGGCCCATGCAAGAGACGGCCAGGTCCCTTGGCAGGTCGACACAAGCGTAGCTAGTCGTCCGGTGGGTTGTATCAGGCCGGAGTTGCTTGGCGCGTCCAGGCGTGGTGTGGCAGTCGAGGTTGGCCGCCCGGGTTCTTGCGTGGGGCCTCGGAACGCATGCATGGGGCTACGTGCTCGGAGGCTGGAAGTGGTCATGTTCGCACGGACCTCGACAAGCCGTGTGCGCCTGCTGGTGGTGGGGGCCGCACAGGGGGGCCGGGTAGGCGCTGCAGCTAGGGCCCATGACGCGGGCATGTGTCAGCTGTCCAAGTCAAATGAACCGCATAACTGACACTGGCGTGTATCGGGGTGCCACATCCTGTCAATGGCAGCTGAGTATCCGTCCTGAGTACGCGGTAACCCGTTGCCTGGCCTTCATATCGTAAATTTTGTAAGCAGCAGGAATACGCGGTTGGTCATGTTGCTGTACATGTATTGGTAAGCCCGTCGTACAAAAGCATACGTATCGAAACAGGACTCGGTACTAGATCATCTCCTTGCCAGAACATCAAGCTGCTTAGTCATAAAGGAGGGCGAGCGGACACATAAGAGTACTGAAGCATGGGGCAGTTGAAAATGCACACAGCGACCCAATTCCAGAAAGCTGATGGGTCGCGGTTATATTGCGTAAAACGTCTCTCGCCAGCGCTTACCAAGCGGTGCGTCAGGACAGCAGTCGACGATAGGCAAGCATGCTCGCCGAGGCTCAGGCCTCTAAGGGCAGCTACTGCGCCTGACGTTTCAAATGGAAGTTACTATGGTTACGGGCAAGAATACCCTGATACTGCGGGACCGGACAACTTCTCCGCTTTGGCGTGGCCCCCTCCATGCGATGTTCCGGGCGCTCGCATTGAGCCCGTTACTCCACAGCCTGCGGAAGCCCTACCATTCCTCTTGTACCTCCCCGACATTGATGGCGCTGGGGTTACGAGCTGCCGACAATGGGAGGTAAGAGTCAACTGTCGGTTCAATTCTACAAGCCTTACTTTTTCCCCCGTCTAAAACGTGTATTCGTAAACGACTCGGACCTCTACCGCTTCGTGCATTGAAAGCGGAGCAATAGCTGGTTCTGAGGTAGTATCAGCACAACGGTTGGTTGCTAATGCACCTGCCCTCGGCCAGTCGCAGATAGCTATCAAGCAGCATCATAAGCATTATTAGAGCTTGATTCGTTTCTGTTACCCAAATCCTGCTTCAACACGCAGGAATGGTCCGCAAGCTTCGACATGCACGCGGTTTTCTTGGACCCGGAGTGCACCTGCAGCTTTGCCGAGCTGGCTGCAGGCATCCGCCGCTGGCTGACTTGCGCACTGGCCGGAGTGCCGCCGCAGCGGCCGGTGTACCTGCTGGGCGAGGGATTCGGGGGCGTGCTGGCGCTGCAGCTGGCGTGGGACTGCAGGTGCGGGTCAGACCAGCCACCGCTGCTGCCAGGACCGCTTCTACACAGCGATGTACCGGTAACATATGGCTGTCCCTCCCCCCTCCTCCCTCCGCGGCCCCCACTCTGCCTCCTCCTCCTCCAGGCGCCTCGTCAACCGCCTCATCCTGGTCAACCCCGCCACCTCCTACGCCGACTCCCAGCTCGCCCGCCTCACCCCGCTGCTGGAGCGCCTGCCGCCCGCACTGCTCAACGCGCAGCTGCCGCCGCCGCCCGCGCTGCCGCAGCTGCCGCAGTTCCCCCAGCTGCCCCAGCTGCCGCCGCTGCTGCTGCCCTCCTCGGGCCCGCTGGCGCTGCCGCTGGCGCTGGCCCCGGTGCTGGGCACCAGTCCCCGGGCGCTGCTGCGGCAGCTGGCGGGCAGCATCAGCGCGCAGCAGCCGGCGGAGGCGGTGCAGGTGGGTGAGGGGAGAGGGGGAAGGGGGGCAGGGATCTGGACTGGTTGGGGGAAGGGAAGGGAAGAAGCGCGAGGTATAGGGGTCGGGTGCCGCCGCGAAACACCCCCGCCTGAGCGCCTGCCTGCGGGCCCTGACGCCCCTCCGCTCCGGCCCCCCCCCCGCAGGCCCTCCGTCGCGCGCTGGAGCAGGTGGAGCTGCTGTCCAGCCGCCTGCCACCCGCCGCCTTCCTGCACCGCCTCAGGATGCTGCAGCAGGGCATCAAGTGAGCAGCAGCAGGGGGGCCGGTGGAGGGTGGAGGAGGAGGAGGGGGGAGCACGACTGGGGCCTCCGGGGCAAGCGCGCTGCGGATTGAGCCGCACACAGCACGCTGATCCACGCATGGGGCAGCGCTATACGAGCAAGACGCCCTCGTAGTCCGCCTCCAACCCCCACCCCCCTCCTACCCGCCCCCCCGCCCCAGGTCCGTGTCCCCCCGCCTGCCGTACATCCCACAGCGCACCCTGCTGCTGGCGGGCGGGGGCGATGTGCTGCTGGACTCGGAGCGGGAGGCGAGGAGACTGGAGGGCACCCTGCAGCGCGCGTTTAGGAAGGTGGGGGAAGGGTGGTGCGGTGGCAGCAGTGGGAGGGGTGGGCGGCAGCAGGCAAGAAGAACTGCGCTGGCTTTTCTGCGGGAAGCGGGGGTCCCACCCTATACGCCATGCCCCACCTGGCCACCCCACTCCTCCCCCTCTCCGCCCCTCCTCCTCACCACACCCCCCTCCTCCCCGCCCCCTCCAGGTGCTCCCCGAGTGCGGCCACGCGCTGCTGCACGAGCCGGGCGGGGCGCTGCTGCCGCTGCTGGCGGCGGAGGGCTTCTACCTCACCGCCCGCCGCTTCAGCTCGCCGCTGCCGGCCGGGGCGGACGGCAACTGCTTCGGCAGCGCGGGGCCCGTGGAGGTACCCAACGAGCAGGTAAGGGAGGGAGAGGTGGAGGAGGGGGAGGGTGAAGAGGAGGGAGTCGGCGCTACCGTAGGGGAAGAGGTGCTACAAAACTCGTGGGAGGTGTGTATGGCGGCTGAATTGGGGCTCCGTCTCTGCTCACGCCCTCGCCGCTCGCCCTGCTGTGGACGCTCCCTCCCACCTTCCCACCTCCCACCTTCCCCCCTCCCACCTTCAGGAGATCCGCCGCTACGCCGCCGCCTGGACCTCCCGCCTGCGTCAGCTCAACAGCCCCGTCTTCCTGTCCACCCGCGCGGACGGCAGCCGGCAGCTGGGGCTGGGGGGGCTGCCGGACTGGCGGGGGCGGCCGCAGCGGCTGGGCTGGGAGGGGGGGCAGCAGCAGGCGGAGGGGTGGGGCGGCGCGGGGGCCAGCGATGATGGCGGTGGCGAGGCGCTGGGTGACGGTCCGCTGCTGTTCGTGGGGAACCACCAGCTGTACGCCTTCGACATGTCGGTGAGTGGGGGGGAGGTGGGAGGAACAGGACGTTACCTGCTGTGAAGGGGAGGATGGCTGGGAGGCGAGAGGAGGGGGGTGGACAGGGGGATGCGGATCCCGAACTGCGACAATGTCCACGTCTTGGCAGGGCTGCGCGCCCCTTCCCTCTGTCTTCCCTAACCACTGTACAGCTCCCCTCAGCCCCCCTCACCTCCCTCCCCCCCTTCCCCCTGCCGCAGGTGATGGTGGAGGAGGTGCTGACTCAGCGCGGCATCCTCATGCGCGGACTGGCGCACCCGGGGCTGTTCAGGCAGCCGGCACCCGAGGGGGAGGGGGAGGGGGAGGGGGCGGAGGGGGCGGAGCCTCAAGCCAGGAGACCGGAGGCCAGCAGTAGCAGTAGCAGCAGCGGTGGTAACAGGGGTAGCAACAGCAGCCCGAGCAGCACGGGGGGCCGGCGCGAGGGCGAGGAGATGCTGCCCCCCGCCTTCATGGGCAACATGTTCCAGTCGTTCGGGGCGGTGCGGGTGACTCCCACCGCGCTGTACCGGCTGCTGGCGGCAGGTGAGGGTGCGGGGTGCGGGGAGGGCAGGCACGGGGAGGGGCGTTGCATGCAGCAGCCCACGTCGACCGGCTGTCACATGCCATGTGAACACCGCTATACCCTCCCCCAGCCGCATGCGCTCTGCTCGCTGCGATGTTTGCTCGCTTGCGTCCTTCTCCTCACGCTGGCCTCCACCCCCCACCTGCACCCCTCTCCGCCCCCGTCCCGCCCCCGCCCCCGCAGGCGAGGCGGTGCTGCTGTACCCCGGGGGGGTGCGGGAGGGCTTCAAGCGGCGGAACGAGAAGTACGAGCTGTTCTGGCCCGCCAGGTGGGGCAGCAGGGGGGATGGGGGTTGGGGGGAGCGGTGCCGCTGGAGGCGAGGAGATGGCGTGCGAGGGATGGGGGTGGGTAGGGGGTGCGAGCTCCATACGCGTACCCGTCTCAGCTCTTGGAGGTGGCGGGCACACCGCTAACCTCGACCTCCTCAGTGTCCTCTCTCCGCTCTCCCCCGCCCCCGCCGCTGCCGACGTCTGTTGCAGGTCGGAGTTCGTGCGCATGGCCGCTCGCTTCGGCGCCACCATCATCCCCGTGTCGGCGGTGGGTCTGGAGGACTCGCTGCAGATCGTGATGGACGCGGACGACATCCGGCGCAGCCCGATGTGGAGTGAGATGCGGGAGAGGGGAGGGAAGGAGAGGGGGAGGCCGGGGTACCGTGTAGGCGTATGAAGGGTTTGGTGCACGGGGATGATTGGTTAGTCAAACACACCAGGGGGAGGGGGCTGGGCCGGTTGAGGGAGGCCACAACGGTTGGCGGAAGGTAGGAGGGGCAGAGGGAAGCTTTGTAAGCACTTAGGACCACATCCCTGCCTCATCACCCCCACCCCCCGCCGCCCCGCCCGCAGGTGCCCGCGCGCAGGAGCAGGTGGCTGCGGCCCCGCGCGCGCGGGTGGGTGTGAGTGCGGACTCGGCGCTGGACGAGAGCTTCATCCCGCCACTCATCGCGCCCTCCGTGCCCTCGCGCTTCTACTTCCTGTTCGGCCGCCCGCTGCGCACCTCGCCGCACATGTACCGCGACAAGGCAGCATGCGACCAGGTGTGTGTGTGGGGGGGGGGGTAAAGAGGAAACAACTAACTGACTGAGGGATAAGGCGTCAACATGGGGGGGGGGTGTCAAGGGAGGCCCTGGGTGGCGCGGCCACTGCGTGCACCGGTATCATGCAGTACTCACTTGCTGGTCATGCATGCCCTAACCAGTTGGCGTGGAGGCGGGGGTACCGCTTTGGGCCCTGCATCCTGCTCCTCCCTGAACCTACTGAACCTGCCCTACCGTACCGCCCCCGCCTCACCTGCCCACCCCACCTCACCCCCTGATGCCTTATCGCATGGTCAGTTGGTTGTTTCCTCGTCACCCCCAACCTCCCCCCCCGCCCCGCCCCCCTCCGCAGCTCTACCAGGCTGTGCGGGCCGAGGTGGAGGGCGGCATCAGCTACCTGCTGCGCAAGCGCGAGCAGGACCCGCACCGCGACTTCCTGCGCAGGCTGGTGTACGAGCAGAACCCGCCCTTCGGACCGAGGCGGGTGGCGCCCACCTTCAAGCCCTGATGGCCAGCAGCCGTCGGCGGTGTCGGGGTGTGTGTTGGGGGGGAGGGAGGGTGTGGAGAGGAGCGGTGCTTGTGGTCCAGTGGTAATACCGCTGGTAGTAGTACGGTAGTGGTACCCGTTATAGTGAGTACTGAGCAGGCGGCATGCGGTGGCGGTGGGAGACGGCGCGCGATGTCGTGAAGAGGAGGTCTCCTTGTACATGGTATGTTGGTGTACGGATTGTTGCACATTGGTGCTATTCCTGTCTTGCGGGTGCAGGCGGGTGCAGGCGTGTTTCTGAGGCCTGGGCGCCCCTGCAGCATGTTGGGGCGGAGGGCGCCGAGCGTCATGCCGGTCTCGTGTAGCTATAGGTTATCAAGCCGACCCCTCGTGTTTATACTATATTGCCTTGCATTCTTTTTCTTTCGTGGACTTTTATTCTTTGAATTCGTGTAGATGGGGCCCTCGGCCAGGACGTCAGATGACCCGTGGGTCAAGCACTGCACCTACCACTCATTATTTCACAGTTTCGGGGGTGATGAGAGGCGGCACCGGGAAGTGATTGCCAGGGGAAGAGGCGGACATTCCCTGTGGCCCTTACGTACGTTTTTGGATTTCCTCCGCTGCGGACTCAAGCGGTACCGAGGGAGGTGTCGTGTGCTGACTAGACGCGAGAGGCGCTGGTATGGCGTGCAATGAAGCAGGAGGGAGAAGGACAGCGCCAGGATGTTCATGAGAAACGTGCACCCCACAGCTGTACAGTCTTGGAGCGATGCTCTGTTCCGCTCTTGAAAACCGTGTCATGGCAGGTAGGTGCGCATACCGGTAGGTGGCCTCCACGCTTACGAGCCCCGCAAGGCAAGAAGGCGGCTCACACGCGGACCCCTCACACACCAGCATCTCTTGCAGCACACCCTTTTTCAGGTCTCTTAAGGGTTCCCACAACTGCATGCGCTTGGCGCTTGGATGCCCGGAGGAGTGCGCCAACCAGGTGGCCCCTGCGAAACCGGATGGCAGGCGTCCAGCCACACCCATGCAGGGGATGCAGCACCCGGCCGAGGCCGCCCCCCTCCTACGCCTCCCCCACTGCCGCGTCCACCGCCGCCCGCAGCCGCCGCGCCGCCCCCTCCGCATCCGCCGCAGCGAAGATGGCCGACACCACCGCAATACCTGCGGGGGCAGGGTGGCATGGGGGTAGGGTGAGAGGGGGCGTTAGGTGGGTCCCGGAGAGGACCATATGGGGTCAAGGGAAAGGGTCAAGCACACTAACTCCAACAGGGCCACCACACCTCTCCACCAGCTTCCGTACCCACCCATGTCCCTTCCCCTCACTCTCCCCCCTTCCCCCCCTTGCCTCACCCGCCGCTCCCGCCCTGACCGCCTCCCCCGCGTTGTCCTCCGCCACCCCCCCGATGGCCACCACCGGCAGCCCCCCCGCCGCGCAGCACACCTCCGCCAGCCCCGCCAGCCCGATCACCCCCGTGGCCTTGGTGCCGGTGGGGCGTACGGCACCCGCACCCAGGTAGTCGGCACCGGCGGCGGCGGCCGCGGCGGCCTGCTGCGCGGTCTTGACGGACACCCCCAGTATGCGCCCCGGGCCCAGCAGCGCCCGCACCGCCGCAGCAGGCAGGTCCGACTGACCCACGTGCACGCCGTCCGCGCCAACCGCCAGCGCCACGTCGACCCGGTCGTTGATCACCAACGGCACGCCGTACTGCCGACACACCACCAGCGCCTCCGCCGCCTGCCGCAGGAAGTCGCCCCCCTCCAGCTCCTTCTCGCGCAGCTGCACGATGCTGGCGCCCCCCCGGACCGCCTGCGTGACCGCCTGCAGCAGCGACCGGCCGCTCCGCTGGTTGCAGTGCGGGTCGGTCACCGCGTACAGGCGCAGCTGCCGCCGCAGAGCCTCACGATCCACGCGGCTGGCAACCACTGGAGGGACGGCTGCTACTGAGGCGGATGGTGGTGGGGAGGTGGCTGCTAGCTCCCCCTCCGCCCGCTGCCCCTCCCCCAGCTGCCTCCCGCCCGCCTCCCTCCGCATGTGCTGGTGGTCGAAGGGCCGCTGCACGCCCGCCCCCAGCCGCAGCCCCGTACTGGCCCGCAGAGCCCGCTGCAGCGCAGCGCGGGCGGAGCGGACGGCGGCCAGCAGCGCCGACCCACGGGCCAGCTCGGCGGCGATGGCGGAGGCGAGCGTGCAGCCCGTGCCGTGTGTGTTTTGCGTGTCCACCCGCGGACCCCTCAGGTAGTGCACCTCCGCTCCGTCGTACAGCACATCCACCACCTCGTCCCCCGCCCCCGCCTCCGCCCCCCCGCCCGCTGCCGCCAGGTGCCCTCCCTTGACCAGCACCGCGCCACACCCCGTCCGCTGCTGCAGCGCCCGGGCCGCAGCAGCCATGGCGGAGGGGGAGCGGATGGAGCCGGGGGATAGGCCTAAGGGGGGGCATGTGGGTGGGGGTGTCAGCAAGACGGGGCAAACAGGCACGCGAACTAGCTCAGAGCCCAGCAACGCAACAGGGGCTGACATTCCCTTCCCTGGCACGCATGCCCCGCGTCCCGTCACCCTCCCCCATCCCCCTCCCCCCCTACCCAGCAGCTCCTCCGCCTCGGGTATGTTGGGTGTGGCCAGCGTCGCCAGCGGCAGCAGCTCCCGCACCAGCGCCCCCGCCACCCCGCCCCCCGCCAGGCTGTGTCCGCTGGTGCTCACCAACACGGGGTCCACCACCAGCGGCAGGGGGGCAGCCAGCCCCTGCCAGTGCGCCAGCCGACCCGCCACCGCCGCCACCGCCTCGGGGCTGGGGAGCATGCCGGTCTTAACCGCGTCGGCACCCAGGTCTGGGGAAGGGGGAGCGGAGGGGAGGTGGAAGGGGGGAGGGTTATGCATGCAGCGGGCGAGACAGGTAACGCCGCAGCGCACACCCCTCATGCCGCACCCCAGCCCCCTCCCACTACCCACCTCCCAGCACCGCGTCGATCTGCTGCACCAGCATGTCGGGCGGGGTGGGCAGCACGGCCGCCACCCCGTGTGTGTTTTGCGCCGTCAGGGCGGTCACGGCGGTCATGGCGAACACGCCGCGGGAGAGAAGCGACTGGGGGGGCGGGGGGGGAGGGGAGGGATGGGGGGAAGCGGCCTTTGAAGGGAGCTAGGTTGCACTTCGCCCCTCCATCAGTCCGGCAGGGTGGGTATCCCGACACGGCCATGCCGCCCTCTGCCCCGCTCCACCCACACCCACACAACTACGCGGCTCCTCCCCAATCTCCCCACTCTCCCCCCTACCTTGATATCCGCCTGGATGCCCGCTCCACCGCCCGAGTCCGACCCCGCGATACTCAGCACGCGCGGCAGGGAGGGGAGCGGGCAGGGGGCCGGGGCAGTACCCTCTCCCACCTCCTCCTCCGCCCCCTCCATCCCGAACAGGAATGCCCGCAGTTCCTCCCACCCCGCCGCCTCGTACACCTCCCCCTCGCGCCCCCGGCCCCTCAGCGGCGCCGCTGCCAGCGGCCGCAGCCGCACCCCCGCCCGCTCCGCCGCCCTCCGCACCCCCCGCCCGCCCCCCAGCAGCACCCCCACGTCCGCCGCCAGCAGCGCACCCAGGTCGCTCAGCGAGTCGCCCACATACACAACCTGCCCGCCCCCGCCACCCCCGCCACCCGGCTGGTCCCCGCTGAGCCGCTGCCGTACCGCCGCCACCACCGCCACCTTGTCACGCGCGCTCTGGACGCGCTTCACCAGCCGACCCGAGGTCAGGCCGTCGGGACCCAGCTGGGGTGTAGGGGCAGGAGCGGGGCAGGAAGGGAGGGGACATCCTTGGAGGGAGCAGCGGTGTGGACTGAGGCCCTTGACTGAGGCGCTTGAGGTGGCCTACATCTCACACCCCTCCCTCGGGACTTGCATGCACCTGCCCCCCCTCCTTCCTCCCCTCCTTCCCGCTCACCTCCAGGCTATTGCAGTGCAGCACCAACTGCCCCTCCTGCTCCCCCTCCTGCTGCCCCTCCCCCCTCCTGGCCGGCAGTCGCAGCGCCGCCCGCAGCAGCAGGTCCGACCAGTTGACCGACACCACGTGCACGGGAATGCCTGGGGCGGGGAAGGACATGACAGGGGGGTGAGGTCATGAGAGGGGGGTGAGGGGAGGAGGAGGTGGGCGGGGCGGACCGTCCGGAACAGCTGGGCATGCCTCGACATCCCCCCCTCGAGTCCCTCACCCCGCTTCAGTGCCCCTCCCACCTAGCCCCCCCCCCCCCCGCCCCCCTCACCCCGGTCCAGTGCCGCCCTCAGCGCCTCCCGGCAGTGCGGCCGCAGCGGCACGGCCGACCCGGCAGCACACACCTCCTCGGGGGTGGAGCCTGGGGGTAGGGAGGGAGGGAGGGAGGGAGGGAGGGAGGGAGGGAAAAAATTATATAAAAGTGAAACAACAAATCCCAATCCCATATCCCGACTCATGCAGTGAGCGCATTCGGAAGCACTAATAACACGCATCTCAAATTACTTACCGAATCGTTGCTTACCGTAAACCGAGACGACTTGAGGAAGAAGCCGCCTTGCGTGGTAACACTAGGGAGACATGCGCCGCGCCGCCGGTCACGAAAAGCAAAGCAACACGCATATGGGGTATACGAGCACACATGTTATCGAGACGCGTTACGGGAAACTTACCTGGAAAGGGAAAGCCCATTGCCAGGGTCCGAGGGATTGGAGGCGCAGACCAACAGAGCCGCACCAGGGTCGTGTCCAGGGTCCCGTAGGAAGAGGTTGTCAATATGCGGAAGAAATAGGGAAGAAAGAGAGGCAGGGTGCGTTAATGAGGTGTTAAGTAGCAGTCAGGAGGCGAGACAGGAAACAAAAAGCATGCGAATATGGCGTGGTAGGGGTTCCTATGGACACGGCGGCGCGGCAATGGGAAGGAAGAACAAGTGGGGAGGGTCAAAATTAGTAGTGGTGCGGGATGCGAAATACGACAAGGCATGGGGCGCATGGGGGCAGGAATGGGCGTAAGGGTACAAGATAGGTGAGAGGGGGTGTGACAGGAAGACAGGGATGGCAGCAGTGTGCGGTCCGGTCCCGGATCCCCACATCACTACTAAGCCTAGGGGTCAGCAGGGATGGGGACCGCCTAGGGTGCATGAACGGGGAAGTGGGAAGGGAAGGTTAGAGACACGGATCGGGATGGCGAGGCAGGTAGTGGCTGATGGGGGATGCGTGAAGGTGGTGAAGATGCCTGTGCATGTGTTGAGCGGGGGACAAAGTTGGAAGGCTGGTGCATTACATTGGATCACGGGCACGTCCCCCCTGGGTGGATCCCTGAGCAAGTAGGGAGCCCGAACCGGGGAGGGAGGGAGGGAGGGAGGGAGGGAGGGAGGTGGCGGGGGGGCCCACCCAGCGGAGTCAACAGTGGGGCTGCGGTCGGCTGCAAGGCAGTGCTCCTACCGGCCCCGACGGGACATGCACGCCCCCTTCCCCTCCCCCCCTCCCCCTCCCCACCTTTGAGTATGCCCGCCTCCTCCACGCGGCGGTTCATCTCCTCATCGAACTCCGACAGCCGCTCCAGCAGGGCGGCCACACCCGCGGGGTCGGACTGCGGGGCGGGGCCCTCAGCCGGCCCCACCAGCGGCCCCACCAGCTGCTCGTACTGCCGCTGGTAGCCCGCAGCCAGGGCGGCGCGCGTGCGGGCGGCCCAGGCTGCGTCCCCGGCCGTGGGTCTGCCGCCGCCCGCCGCCTGCTCCGCCAGCGCCAGGATCGCCCCGCTGCTGTCCGCCCCCGCGGGGCTGCACGTGCCGTCGAAGTCGGTCAGCAGGGCGGCGGGGCGGCGGGGCGGCGGGGGGTGCGGCTGCGCGGAGAAGAAGGACGCCTCCAGCCGCATGGCTCGGCGGTACAGGCGCTGCAGCCGGGCTGGGGGAGAGGGGTGGGACATGGGAGGGAGGGAAGGGGATTGAGAAGAAGACAGCACCCTGAGGCGGACCCACGACCCGCCCCCTTGACCTACACACCCGCCCCCCGCCTCACCCTTGTCCTCGCCCGCTGCCAGCTTGTCAAACATGGCCTCCTTGAGCGCGGGAATGGCCTGGGGGAGGGCAGGGGGCAGCAGGGAGGTCGGTGCAGGCGCGGCATGCGTTAGGGAGGGCGGCCAGCAGCCAGAGCAGTCCGGATGCACCAGCTCAGTGGGCTGACGCGGAGGGCCAGTCAGTCGGGCCGCATGTCCCAGCAACCCCCTACCCCCCTCACCCTCACCCCCGCACTCCCTGCCCCCCTCACCCCCTCACCAGGTACTCGGGCGAGGAATATGTCCGCACCCACTCCCAGTACTCGTGCCCCCGCCCCGCCCCCTCCTCCCCCCCGTGCGCCGCCGCCAGGCTGCAACCCAGGAAGCCGTACAGTCGCGAGCAGGGCAGCATGGCGGCCAGCACGTCAGCCACACTGCCGGACTGGGAAGAGGGGAGGGGAGGGGAGGGAGGGAGGGAGGGAAGGACGTAAAGGGAAGGGCGGCACGTGGGGAAAGACGAGGGGAGACGTGGTGGGACATGCGGCTGAGGCTCGGCGTGCAGGGCGCACAGCACGTGACAGTACCCCAACTCTGTGCATCCCCGCCCCGCTGTGTGCCTCGCTTCCCCCGGCCCGCAAGCCTGGTGTACCTCCCTCCCCCTCCCAGCCCCCACCTTCGCCACCCCGCATTTGGGAATTCTCCGCCCCCCCCCCCCCCCCCCCCCCCCCCCGCTCCCACCTCCGCCACCTCCATCAGGAAGTCCGTGTACGCCCGAGTGGCGGCGCTGGGACCCCCGCACACCAACACCTCCTCACAGCCGCCTCCGCCACTGCCGGGGACAACCGCCGGGGGCGCATCCGCATCCGCAGCAGCAGCAGCGGCAACCTGACCCACATCACCACCACCGTCAGCAGCACCCGCAGCAGCCAGCGGCTTCAGCCCCAGCTCGGATTCCAGATCCAGGCTGACGCCCCACTTGGCTGCGTAGGCGCCGTGCAGCTGCAGCTCTGCGTGCACGCCGCGCAGCAGGCGACTGAGGACGGAGTAGGTGTCGTCGTCCAGCGCGAGGGCCTTGCTGAGCATGATGCCGTACGCGCGCGCAAAGTACTTGAGAAAGTAGGCGTCCTGGGCGACGTAGTGCTGGAAGGAGCGCCTGTTTTGGGGGGGAGAGAGAGGGAGGAAGGAAGGAAGGGGAAGGGGCGCGAGTGAGGGGAAAGGGGAAGGTGCCGTGCGGGTTGAGAGGTGCATAGGGCTTCGCTCAGAAGGCAGGAGTGAGCGTGCGTGAGGTTGGGTGGGGATTGCTGAGCGTGGCTGCCTGGAGGAGCCGTGAAAGGGAAGCGGTGACATGGCCGACATGGCCGGGGACATGGAGGGCGATGCTGTTACTCGGAATTTTGAATGTTGCAGGGCTGGTGTCCGATAACAAGCTAATCAGGAATGGTGTATAGCTACCATGTATTTTACTTGCACAGCTCGCACCTGTCCAATGTGCCCTGGGCTAAGCCTTGCACGAATGGATTATGGAGCGACAAGTATACTTCATACTGCACAGACTGCCAGAGCTCTAGAGATAGCCCTGTTGTAGCTGGCAGGCCGCTACACGCACTGGCAGCGGCGGCCATCTTCATGCAACGAGGCGAATGACACACTGTCCGTTTGCCTGTAACCCAAAGAACATTCACAAACCGAGATGAGCATCTCTGTAACCTCTGCATGAAGGCTACGGCAGGATAATCTGCCTGATATCTGAAGTCAGTTTTCGGTTGGTTGTAGGCTGATGAGGTTCCAAAGGTCGGACGATTGCTGAAGGGGCCTTCCGTGTGCAGTGTTCGGGGATATTGCTTGCTAACAAAAATGGCCTTCGCTCAGCAAACAGTATTCCGCACTGGCGCACGACCTCGCTGCATCCGCACAAATGCGACTGCAAAGCAAGTTGTCACAGCAGCTCCTGCGCGCATTGTTGTGAAGGGCACGGGGGCCTACACGGTGAAGGGGACGACACGAAAAGTCAATGAGGTGCGAGCGCTGCTTGCAAGCGACTTTTTCGAAGGCGCTGAATCTTCAATTGCATATTAACATTAACATCAGGAATAACGCGCCTTCTCTTGTCTCCCGCGCTTTCAGGACCGCTACGATGTTAAGGTAGGGCTAACCTTAGCGCGTCATTACCACGCGATGGCCAGCAAATAAAGGACTTCAGCCTCCTGTGAATCAACTTCTACTATTTGACCTCTCGGATCTTGCAGATCGCTGCTCCAGGCGATGTGGGCGAGCCGTTCGCTTGGGCAGGTGTCTACGATGGCCACGGTAAGTAGACCTTTGGCTTGGTGGTTAAAGCTTTCCACAGGCGTGGACTGTAAAGAAAGGTGCACAAAGGCATGTTTCCTCAGGATCTACACCCTTGCATCCCAAAAGACAAACCCCAAGGAGGACGGCTTCGTATCTTGGGTGCCGTACTCCCGGCTCCCCTTACCTCCCCCCTGCGCTACTAAACCCGCTCCCCGCCTCTGCCTCCGCAGGCGGCTTCGCGGTCGCTGAGTGGCTGAAGAACAAGCTGTTCGGGGTGGTGGAGAAGGAGTGGGCAAACGGCTACAAGGTGGGGCAGGCGGGAGGAGGAGGAAGCAGGAGGGGGCGAGGGCATGCATGCGACAAGTGCAGCCCGCAAAGCCGCACGCATGCGCCGTGCTGCCCATACCTACAAAGCTCTCACCGTCTCTCCTCCTCCCTTTCCCCATCATCAACAACCCACTGGGCAACCTTCATATCCTTCTTCCTTTTTCTCCTTGCCGGCTTGCCCTAACCTGTGGCTTCCCATGGTATGGTATGGTCTTTGACCCCCCCCCCCCCTGCAGCCCGAGTTCTCCATCACCGAGGCCTTCCTAGCGGCCGACCGCCAGCTGCTCTCCGCCGGCTCCGGATTCCTGGGCATGGGCGAGCGCGGCGTGGGCGGCTCCAAGTGCGGCGCCACCGCCGCCACCGCGCTGCTCTTCCCCGCGCCCGACGCCACCACCCGCCTCCTCACAGCCAACGTGGGCGACGCGCGCAACGTCCTCATCCGCGGCGGCCAACCGCTTCAACTGTCGGAGGACCACGTGCCCGACCGCGAGGAGGAACGCGCGCGCATCGAGAGCATGAACCCCAACCGCAAGCTGCCGCTGGTGCGCTACGTGGGCGGCACGTGGCGTGTGGGCGGGCTGCTGGCGCTGAGCCGCGCGTTCGGGGACGCGTACATGAAGGGCTCGCTGCAGTTCGAGGGGCTGCCGGCGGGCAGTGACGGGTACAGCAGCGGTTTCGGAGTGATTGCGGAGCCGTACACCACGCTGACGCCGCTGACGGGTGCGGGTGGATGGGGGAGGGGGAGGGGGAAAAATTCCAATATGTGGGGAGGGAGGAAAGGCGAGGAAAGAGAAAGAAAGCGAAACTCTCAACGCCAACGCAGGTGAAGGGGAAGCGGGAGGGGGGGAGGTTGGCGACTTCGGACGTTGGGTGAGCGTGGGCGTGTGTGCAGCACCCCAACCCCAGCTCGCCCTCCTGCGCACACCCACTGCCTGCCTGCTGGGGCGCAAGGCCGGAAACAACCCGCGGCCCGGCCCAACAGCGAGGACACTGCCCCCCACACCCCCTCCCGGCTTGGCTAATTTGGGCTGGGCGGGTCGGGCTGGCTTACATGTTGCAAACCATGATGATGCCTTATCACACGGTCAGTTAGATGTTTCCTCTTTACCCCCTCCCGCCTGCAGCCTGACGTGCTGATGTGGCTTCCATCATGAGGGCCTGCCCCTATCGCTAACAGCCCTGGTCCCCTGCTTTACGTTTCTTTATTCCCCTTCCCCCCCTCAGCCGAGGACAGCTGGCTGGTGGTTGCCAGCGACGGGCTGTTCTCTGAGGAGGCTCGCGGCGGGGGCGGCGGGCTGGACAACGCGGGGCTGGCGGAGGTGCTGGCTGCGGTGCGGCCGGGGGCGGACCTGGACGCAGTGGCGGCGGCGCTGGGGGCGGCGGCGGTCAAGGTAGGGGGGACAGGGGGGTCAAAGATCGTACCATACCATAGGAAACCACAGGTCAGGGCAAAGCAATGGGGACAGAAGATGGCAGGGTGCCACAATGCAGAGTTTTGGTTAGTTTGGGGGGGCAGAGGGGAGGAGGGCTGCTTGCGGCTTGCGGTTAAGATGGAGTGGCGGGCGGCAGTGGGGTTGTGCACGTGGGGCAAAGGAGGGGTTGGTGGGGCTGCTTGGGAGGCGGGGGCCGAGGTGGCGTTTCTGTAGCTGAGTCGTGGTAGCACTAGCTCCTGGCGTGTGAGGACATCCTCATCCGTACGCATTCGACATACCCCTCACCCCTCACCCCCCTGCCGTCACCCCCCTGCCCTGCCAGGTTGGTTCCACGGACGATGTGACGGTGGTGGTGATGCGGCTGGGGACCGCATGAGGGGGGAAGGGGGCGGAAGGAGGAGGAGGAGGGGGGCGGGAGGAGGAGTATCCGAGTTGAGGGGAGAAGTGTTTTAATAGGTGAAACAACGAGTCCCAATCAATGAGGGGAGCAGTAGAGAGGTGCTGGTGCAGGCTAGGGATGCGGGCAAGCAGGAGCGCCGAGTAGGAGGCTGCTTATGAGGATATGAGAGGGAGTCTGCATGGTAAGGAGCGACAGGGAGAAGGAGGAGAGGGCGTGAAGCGGAGCGGAGCGGCAGCAGTTGAGGGCCGGAGAGGGCCAGCAGTCGGAGTTGCAAATCGAACCCACCCAGGCACGTTTCCTTGGTGTCATGACGAGTCGAGTACCGGTGCATTGCGGGAGCTAAGCGAGCTGGGAGAAACGTAATGCGTACTTTACCTGGGGACCTATGAGTGTGCAAGTGCCGTACTGGTGAGCACTAGACACGGTGTAAAGGAGTGGAAAGGGACGAGTGCCGTGTTGAGGCTTGTTTGACCATTTCGTCTTGTGGCTTAATACGGATACAGATTACGGTAACGCGGGGGGTTTCAGCCAGGTGGCGACGTGGCTCGACGAGGGCTAGCGGTACTTAGGCTGGTTAGGCATGCTACAAGTGTGAGCGTGTCCAAAAGTGGGAAGCAGTTGCTCTTGGCCACAGTGTAGCAAAGAGGAGTGTGTGTTTGTGGTACCGGCGCACGATGTGTTAAGGTGCGCCGGCCTCGTCTCAGGAGACATCACATGGTGACATCCTCAAAACTCATGGCAGACAAGGCTATAAGCGGCATGGCGGCTGAGGCTTCCTGCACTGGTATCGTCCTAAGCCTCCTCGCCAGTATGTTTTGGTAAGCAGTGAGCATTGGTGACTATTATGGGCGAAGCATCTAGCTAGCGGGGATGGACCAAGAGATATAACAGCACGTTCCCCTGCGTTGGGCTCTCGCACACCTTTAGGCCGTGCTGTAAACGATACCCACGATGCCTCTTATCTGCAAGACGGTGTGGACCGGACATGGACCTGTGCGTAGGCCCCGTGGGTCAAGGGCCTCGCCTAACAACTAGTGGAAAGCTGCTGCGCATGTACTTTATATCAGAAATCCATGTTTATATAGGGCTGAGGAGGTGGTATCGTCTCCAAAGGCCCTGGAAGTGCGCATTACAAATTCGTTGGATCGGGAAAGGCGCGAATTTGGGATTTACGACGGAAGCCTGCATGAGCATTATAAGCAATACATGCTATCGTTTATTCTTTTACGAACCACTTAGTACTTTCTGCTTGCTTATTTTCATTAGAAGGCCATTGGCTTTGACTGAGACAAACGCAAGAATGGCCTCCGTCGCGCGTGACCGGGGTGGCCCCAGGGTTGACGCTCTCTATAACCTAATGCAGTCCTATGAGGTATAGCGGCGCATACATGGCTGTTGGCGCTATTGTTCCAAACCTGTCGCTGAACACGCGATGGCTAAACGTCTACGCAGAATAAGCTTGGTGGTGGAGAAGGCATTGAAGGACTCTACGGCAGCATTACACAAGCTAGTATGCAGAAAGTTATTGAATGCCTAAAGCACAACTCTGCGCTGGACCACCGCAGCGTCTTCATTGACATCGGCGCCGGGCTCGGCAGGTACCACGACCAACATGACACCGGGAACAGAACCACCAAACGAGTACAGTGTTTACGCTGTCGGGCCGTCGTGTCCTTGCAGGCCACTGCTACACGCGCTCGTCGCGGCCGGGGTTTCCACGACATGGGGCGTGGAGCTTGACCGTGTAAAATGCGACAAGGCCGCTGCCTTCTGCGAGCACGTCATTGACAACCTCAAAACCAAGGGTAAGACAAGATCTCAGCAGGCTTCACTCGCCGTTTATTCTGCTTGTCAAGCCCGAAGTCCACGCAACCTGGTCCCGAACCACACCCAGCTCACACGCACCCCGCCCTACGCACCTTACCAACAGAGATGTTGCCGGCGGACACCCGGGTCCCCGCCGTCATATGCTCGCCCATCGAGAAGGTGAGTGGGGGTAGCTGATGCGTACAGTCCGAGCGCTGTTTAGCTAGTCGGTCAAGCCCTCAGCCCCCTGCCATCCTTCCTCCTGCCCCCAGATTCCCTCCCTGGACCCCGCCACGCACGCCTACTCGTTCTGGGAGGGAGTGCCCGGCTCGGGCAAGCAGGCGTTCGGGCAGCTCTTCGCAGCCTCCAGGACACTGCGGGTGGGCAGGCGGGGGTCAATTTTGGGACCAAATAGAACCCTATTCAAACAAACGGGGTGGGGAGAGGCCGCGGCCTGGTGCTGCAGCCGCGGCTGTGTTTCAGAAAGAGCGCTTTGACCTTGGGCTGAGTGCACGTGGCTGAACGGTAGCAGCTTCTCGCTGTTCGGAAGGACGCCCACAGCGCCCGCCCTAGGCTAAGAACCGTCTTGTAACCAAACACCCATCAGCTGCCCTCATCCTCCGCACCGCCGCCTGCCCTTCCTGGCTGTTTCCGTAACCCCATGCACACCATATCCCTCTTCCCGACGGTCAGGCGGTTGCGGTGGTGCAGCGGGCCATGCGCGGGCAGGAGCCGGCCGCCGTGATGCGCGACCTGGGCTTCGGACCCGTGCTGCTCATCGCCAGCTTCCCCGTCAAGATGTCGGGTGGGAGCGGCTGCGGGTGGCACCTGGGGGGGGGGCGTGCGACTGGGGGGAGGGTGCGAGCCCCGCCCTGCTGTGACGGGCCAAGGGTGGATGATGGGTGGGCTTGCAGCCGGGTACTGAGCTCCGTAGTTCCGTAGCAGCTGCTCATTACCCCAAGGGCCCCAACAACTGTCCTCCAACACTTCAAACAACCTCCCCTCCCCCTCGCTTCCCGCCTCCCAGGCAGCGGCCGCTCCTTCACCGCCTACGTCTTCACCAAGATAGCCCCCGCCGCCGCCACCTTCCTGGCCCACGCCGCGGGGCTGCCCTCCCTGGCTCCAGTACCCCTGCCGCCGCCCTCGCCCACCGCCGCCGACGTCATGTCGCCTCCGCAGCAGCCCAGGCAGCAGCGCGCGAGGCCCGGTGCAGCGGGGGCGCCGCGGCGGGCTGCCGCCAAGGGGTCTGCTGCAGCTGGGAAGAAGGCGGCGGCGGTGAAGGCGGCGGGCAGCAGCAAGATCCTGGAGGGGCTTATCAAGGTCGCGAGCTGCGGGGCGGTAAGCTGGGCGGGGCTGGGATGGGTGCGAAGAGGTGCTGGGGGAGGGCGTGGGTCACACGGGGCTGGGTGCATGCGTATTTCCTTAACTCGGAGTGTGAAGGACCAGATCGAAGCAGTGACTGAATGTTGCTTGGCTTGGCAATTGCTTCCCCGGCAGGCGGCGGACGAGAAGCAGCAGCAGCGGCAGAAGGAGGAGGGGGAGGAGCCCTGCAAGCAGCCCCAGACGGGTTCGCCTTCCAAGGCCCGCAGACCGGGTGAGTTGGGGTGGCCGAGGAGGGACAGGAGCTGGCTGATAGCCGGATTGCGTTGCTGCTTATAATGCTTATAGGTGGAATCATCTTACCGTGCTTTCCCCTAGTTGTCAAAACCGCATCCTGCTCGACTGCATGGAAGGAGGGCTGGTACGCCGAATGCACGCCTAGGCCCCCCCCCACACACCAGCCCCGTCTGACCTCTCTCCTGTGTTTGCCTCCCTGCCCCTCACAGACGGCCAGGAGGTCGCGGCATCCCCCACCAAGAAGCCCTGCTCCTCGCCAGACGTTGGCTCGCGGCCCGCAGCATGCGGCGGCAGCGGAGGGGATCAGGAGGCCTCCGACACGCCGCAGCAGCAGCCGCAGCTGCCTGGCACCACCACCACAACAGCTGCTGCTGCTGCCCGCCGCGGCGGGTCGCTGCAGCAGCGGCTGCTGACCAGTGTGCCCGAGTACAGCCGCCGCACGAAACAGGTGGGGAGGAGGAGCCGGAGGAGGCAGGGGGGGTGTGGGGGCTGCATGTTGACGGGGGCGCATGTGGGGGAGTCCCGTACGGACGTTAACCTGAGCTTGTCGAGGCTCATGGTGATGAGGAAACAACATCTTTGCAATGTGAACTATTACAATGACCGCGCTCTCTCTCTCGCTCTCTCTGTGAACTTCCTCTCTTACCCAGGCTGCGCAAGGGAAGGCGGGCAAGGACAGCCCCGACGTCCCCCGAGTGGTGGGCACCCGGTCGAGCCAGCGTCTCGCTGCCAAGCTGCAAGCTGCCATGGCGGAGTCGCCGCTGGACAGCCCTGTTGAGGGCAGGTAGTTCCGGGGCCTTGCGCTGGTCTCCTGCTGCTTGTGTCTCGAGTTGTTGGGCTGCGAGCATCGCGAAGTGCGGGCAGTGGGGACGTTGTGTGGTGGGTGTTGTATTAGGTATCTAGGTTGTATTGAGTCTTGGCACGCAATGGGGGCCTGCCGGGGGGTAAGCGAGCTCCAGTCGCCGTGTGAAGGTGGTATGCGTGCGGGGGAGGGGGGGTCAGCGGGAGTCGACCAAGCCATGATGCTTCACATTTGGTGGCCCCGTTGGGACGGCCCCGATTAGCCAAAGGATATGTTCTGGATATCTGTGAATCGTGCTTGGGAACTGTATTGATTCTTCTTACATCTTGGTTTTGAGAGACGCTAGGACACGGCCTTTTCCCAACGGCCTTTTCATCCTATGTATAACTGACCAGATTGTGTGTGTAGGGACCTTTAGGACTCGAGCTTCTTGGTGCATGCTACTTGATACGTGACGTCGACTACATGACTCTGCCTATATTGCTGCTGACCTCGATGACGTTTGTTTGCGCATCCTTCCTTCCCACCGCACATGTTTTACTTGCATATGCTGCTGTTGCTGTCCATACTCGGACGACCGCCGGGCACGCATTCGTGTCCTGCGTTAGGAGGTGTGTTGTTGCGGGAGATGGCTGCCCGGGGCCGCCCGGCGGCTGCTGCTGTCCAAAGCAACATCCAAGGTCGGGTCCGGACTAAGGTCGGGCTAGCATCGCTTGGGTTGTTCCGTGCGCTGAGACGCAGCCCAGGGTGCTGCTTTGTATTTGGAGACCGTCCTGCTGGGCGGGACTCGGGGGGGGGAGGGGAGATAAATCTGCCCCAGTAACATTGCTAGGTGTAGCAGCCACCTGCGCCGTTGGAAAGCCCCAGGTGGCAAATGTACGGCAGCGTCGTACTGGTGTAAGCGCGCACGGCGCCGTACCTACTGTAATTGCCGTGCAAGGCTGCCGTACCTGGTAGTCCAGTTCTTGGCTCTATCAGGCTCTGTGAGGGGTTGACCCATGGGCCACTTCTTTGTTAAAAAGCCACCGAGACTCATCCTTCTACGCCCCCGCTTTCTTTGTTCATTCAACGTCAGCGTTCCGCAAATCGTTAACAATTGGATCGGCCCCTGGGAGCCATTCCCCACACTTGCTGCTGTTGATAAGCCGCTGCCGACCCATGGGTCATAACGGCTCATCCGACCAACGCCGCCACACTCCTGGCTTTCGTAATCACGAAACATGCATGAAGCCTTGCCTAGCCACGAATAAAGAGGACACGGAACAACCCGACTGGGGCACCAATCCTGACACCTGCGGTAAAACAACCGACAACCCCCAGTGAACGCGTTACAGTAGCAGACGTGCATCTCTACACAGCAGAAACCACGCAGCTGCCAACCCGCCTCCTCACCTCACCCCTCGCCCTGCATGCCCCACCACCACCTCCCCATGCTGCCACCTACCACCGTTACCCTTCCTCCCGTTACTTCCTCCCTCGCCGCTTCTCGCCCTTATCCCCTCCCACCAGCTGCAACGGTGAGGCCGCCGCCGCCAGGTCCCTCTCCCCACCCTGCTGCTCCCCTTGCTGCATCCCCTCCCCCTCCCCCTCCCCCTCCGCCGCCCAGTCCAGGTGCTCCCCCAGGTTGCGCAGCCCGGGGGCCACCCTCAGCCGGCTGTCCCGCAGCTGCGGCTGCTGCACCAGCAGCTGCAGGTCGTGCCGGTAGCGACGGGTGCTGCGGGGCGGGAAAGGGATTGCCGTACAAGGGGATGACAAAGAGGTAAGGGAGGCGAACAGGGGGTGTCAGGAATGGAGTTGAGGGGGGATTCGAGAGAGCGCGTGCAGGCAGGCAGTGTACACGGCCAGAGAGACAGTCATGGCAAACAAGGAGCGTAAGGAAGAAGCCGAGCCTGGCTTCATACACACCCACGTTCCTACGTTCCTACTCGCGGCCAGTTCTTTTAACACACCCACGTTTTGGGTTTGGGCCCCACAAAGGCCTCCAGCGGGTCGCTGCCCCCGGGGGTGGCCAGCAGTGTACGGAGGCCGTGTTCCCCGTACGGCAGCATGTGTCCGGTGCGGTCGGGGTCGGCCAGGCTGGTGGGGTTCCTGTGGGGGGGGAGGAGCGGGGGGAGCGGGGAGCGGGGGAGCGGGGGGAGGGGTTTGTAACGGAAGAGTTGGGGAATGAGAGAGGAGGCATGACGAGTCGGGAAGGCAGTCCATGCTCGGTACCGATGCTTAGGGTTGGCCAGGAACCGGCGATGCGGGTTGCAGCGGGTACAGCGGTGGGTACGAAGAGGAGGAGCTGCAGCCCCCGCAACCCGCGCCACCCTTGCCACTCCCATGCCCCCACCCGGCCACCTATTCCCTAACCCCCCCTCAGCCCCCCTTCTTCTGCCGCTGCCCCCCCCCCCCGCACCCACCAGTACTTGTTCAGCTGCGCCAGTGTGGTGGTCCAGCTGGGCCGCTCCATGCCGAACAGGCGCAGCGTGTTGGGGAAGAAGGAGTACTGCCAGGCGGCGCCGTCGCAGTCGGTGCAGGGGATGGTGCCTGGGGCGGGACAGGGCGGGGGGGGAGGGGGGAGGGGAGCGGGGAGGGAGTGGTGGGGGTAGGGATGCGGCCGCTCGTCGCTTGCGGGGCTAGCGACTGCCAGCTCGTCTTCCCCGGATCCCCCCGGCTCCGCCACGCCCGCCCGAACGCCACTCGCGTCAGGTCCTGCCTAACCCATGCAAACACCCACTACGGCTCCCCGGGTAACGGCCCCCCCCCGCTCCACCCCCCTGGATCCCCCCCCCAACCCCACCCGCAGTGGCTCCGAAGCGGTGTGGCTTGGGCAGGTCCTGCGCGGCCGCCTCCAGGTTCTGCATGATGGCGGCCTCCATGGTGATCTGGGGGGGAGGGGGGATGGAGAGAAGGTGCCTTGGTTGGGCAGCAAGGCAGAGGAGGAAGAAGCAAAGGAGCGTGAAGCCTCACAAGCTCAGAGCCCAGGCATGCGCAAGACCCCGCCCGTGCCCCCCCCCCCAACCTGCATGAGTCGGGATATCGGATTGGGATTCGTTGTTTCACTTATTTATTTTTTCCCCTCCACCCTCGCCCGCCTACCTCCCGGTCAAACGCCGCCAGGGCCGCCAGCGACGCCTGGTGCGGCCCCGCCGGCTCCCCACCCCCCGCTGCCCCCGCCCCCGCCCCTGCCGCCGCCAGCTGCTCCGCCCCCCGCAGGTGCTCCGTTCGCAGCGGGTTCAACTCCGGGGGCACGGAGTTGAGAGCCTGCGCCAGGTTCCACACGTTCTCGCCCACCGTGGCAGTGGGGTCAACCACCTGGGGGGGCGATGGGGGGGGAGGGGCGGCCGGGTTTGAGGGATAAGTCAGCGCAACGGCAGCAATGCTCGACCACCCTACCGGCGAACCCCCGCACCTCCACCTCCGCCCCGCCCGCTACCCCTCTTCCTCTTCCTTACCCCACCCGCCCACCTCCACCTCCCGCCACCCCACCTGGTAGCCCAGCACTAGGTCGGAGTCGTACGGGTGTCCGTACCGCCGCATGAGCGCCGCGAACCGCTTCTTGTCCTTGGCCAGCAGCCGCTCGTCATCCGCCCAGGCGCCCGCCACCTCGGGCCCCGGCGGGTCGTCCTCCAGGGGCGGGGTGTCCTCCTCCAGGTTGCCCGCGTGCACCACGTCCTCGTACCTGGGGGCAGGAGGGGGAGGGAGGGGAGGAGGGGGAGGGGAGGAGGGGGAGGGGGCGGCATGTGTGTGGCCGCAACAGCTGCTTCTGCTGCGAAATGCGTTAAGAGGGCTCCTGGAGGGCGGCAGGACTGCTGCTGCTGCTGGGCACCCGACAGCACCCTCCCCCTCCCCCCCCACAGCGCATGAGGCTGCCTCACACACACGCACTCCCCTCGCTCACCCTTCTGCCCCAATCCCCAGCCCCCAACCTGCTCATGTATACCCAACCCTCTGCTCCTCCCACCCTCTTCCTACGCGCCCGCCCCTCCCCTCCCGCCCCTCCCCCCCTCCCCCCGCACCACTCGTCCAGCAGCGGCGCCGTGGACTTGTCGTAGTACGCCAGCCGCCCCTCCCACTCGTTCCACTTGTCCATCCACTCGCTCTCAGCGTCCCACGCGCACGAGCCGCCGCACGTACGGCACTCGCCCAGCCGCCCGCCCGCGTGCTCCCCGCTGCAGCAGCTGCCGGACTCGCTGCCGCCGCCGCCGCCTGCAGGCTTGCCGGATAGCAGCCTGCAAGGGGGAGTGGAGGGGTGGAGGGGTGGAGGGGTGCGGGGTAGATACCGTGCGTTGAAAGGACGGGAGGAGGGCAGAAGGACCTGCATGCAGCGAGGCCGCAGTGCTCCCTTGCCTAGCTGAGGGGGCAGGAGGGCCAGCAGGCAGCACAGCGGCCCACATGCACGTACCCGCACGGCCACAGTACACCACACCACACCGCACCACACCACACCACACCGCATGTGTGGCGATGTGGGTGACATGTCCAGCCGCCTGCCAGCCTGCGTACGGCAGACCTCCGACATCCCTACTCCCCCCCATCGTGACACGGCTCCACCTCCCAGGCTCACGACCCCCCTCCCGGGCCAATTCCAAGCCCCCAACCCTACCTTTCCCGCGCCGAGCCGGCCCCTCTATCCACTCTCCCTGCCAAGGCTGGGGCTGGTGCGGAGGAGGTTGCGTTTGCGCCCACGGCCGCCAGGGCCGCCCTGCGGGGGCTGGGTGTCACGCCGCGGGGCACCTTGGTGCCGGCGCATGTGGGGCAGGTGAGCACGCCGGCGCCCTTGCAGCGCGGACAAGTGTGCTGGAAGAGGCGCGGGTAGGTGCGCGTGAAGTGGTCCACGAAGGTGAAGCCCTCGGCTAGCTGCAGGAGGGGGGGAGAGGGGCGGTGGGGAAAAATGAGAAGTGCAGTAACGGAGTCCCAAGCGGAGGGAGGAAGGGATGGGATGCTTGTGAGGACATGGAGTAAGCGGGAGCGGGCTATGGAGGGGACGAAGGGAGCGCAGGTGGGGGAGTGGGAAGGCCGTGGCGGAGGAAGGGCAACGCATGGTGCTGAAGGGGTTGCAAGCGATCCGTTTCTCCTGCCAGGCGTTTTCCCGTAAAGGTTACATGACATATAGATATAAGATGGAACTAAGGACGGGCATCGACTTTGTGAGAACGACGTTCATGACCATATCGTCAGTCGCTCGGAGACCAGCCGCCGCACCACGAAGCATTCCGCAAATACAAGGGCTCAATTGGGAGGAAAGTTTAATCCTTACTTACCCAGATAACCTTCTGGGCCCACCATATAAGCTCCCGCTCCGGGAGCGAGCGCATGAGGTCAATGTAGGGGTCGCCATCGAACTCACGCGAGTAAAATTGACCCATGGTATTCGACTAAGGCGCTTCTTGCGAATTTGTTTTAATAACTCTCGCGCATTGTCATTCGGTCTGTGGTTGTGCCCTAATTTCCGGGGAGAAGACTAGAGGCAACTTCTGGGATCTTCGGACATCCAGCCTGATCCCGTGCGCGGTAAGGTATGACGTCTATCGTCGCTGGGCACAACGACACGAGATGATCGACCCAACTGTACTAAGCGTACGGCGTACTCCCTACTGTGCAAGCCGCTGATCCTGTATCATATATTCCCAGAGCTAGCCGAAGCCTGCGTACACAAGAGATACCAGCAACGTTGTGGCTTGGAATGCAGACGCTCTATTTGCGTGTAGATGGTCCTGCCGCTTAGGTGGGAGTGGATAGGACTGATGGGGGTTACCCACACGTAGCTACCTTGCACGCCAACTTAGTCCCAAGAAGGGCCCTCAACCTGTCGAAATGTGCTCGCTTTTTGTCACCGACTAAGGAGCACTAGCTTCTGGTTTCGGGTCTTGGGGCCTGCGTGGGCAGCTTAAGGCTCGTACGACGCAACCTGTTGGCACATACCCTGGGCATGGAAAGATGTCTCCGTCCATACGCGCGTCCCCTACCCCACCCAGTTAATTGATGACGTCCCCAAGTTTGAGTAAGCCAATTAGGACGGCGAACCCTATATTGTTCGGGTATATTGCGCTTACCCACTTGCTTGGGATAACAACCGATAGCAACCTAACATTAAAGTGGGATCAGACAACTAAGCAACCCGCTTACCTTGTAACGTTCCTGCCAACCTGCAGCGAGGATTTGGTGTCCAGTCAGTGTCGCAGTACGACGTCCGATCGGCGGCCAAAAAGAAGCAGGAAAGTGTAGTGGTTAGCTTCCCTTGCTATACGGAGCAGCAGATTTATTCGCATAGGAGCTTACCATCTTAAGGTCAGGAAGCCCGTAGGGATAAGGGTGTCACAGCCACAATTCGTTAGTCGTCAGCTCTGTGCCCTTTGCACTTGCAGTAGCGAAACTTACTACTATCCTTTCCTGACTTCATTCTTTGGCGCTGCAGGGGCCAGAAGCGCTTACGCCCAGAACATGGCGACCTGCACAGGCTCGCGCGTCACCGCTTTTTCAGGGTCGCGCCTTAACAATGTGCGAATTGGTCATGCGAGCCGTGGCGTGACCGCTGCGGTGATGATGAAGAAGGGCATCCACCCGCAGTGGTTTCCTGAGGCCAAGGTCATCTGCAATGGTGCAGAAGTTATGACCGTGGGCGGCACCAAATCAGCGTACAACGTGGATATTTACTCTGGCAACCATCCATTCTACCAGGGAAGCAAGACCACCTTGGTGCTTGACGATGGGCAGCTGAGCAAGTTTAAGAAGCGGTTCGCCGAGCTTGAGGAGCTGAGCGTCATCCCCGTCCTCCAAGCAGGCAAGGCAGAGGACCCCACGGCGAAGGAGAAGCCTTCGGCGTCCCAGCAGAAGGGCAAGGGCAAGAAGAAGTAGATTGGTCCACGCGGCATGTCATGCAGCCTCAGATGTTAAGCTTTGGGCAGACCCACATGGCGCTGGTTGCCAGTCTTTGCGTGCCTCAGCGCTGGAGGTCGGTTGACTCGGCCCGCACTGGCGGTGAGGTTGGAAGGGTCACAGCAAATGTTCGAGTTGTATGCAGCTGTGGGCTAACTGTTCAAGCTCGGTGTGGGCAGTGCGGGGCCGCTGACGTAGTTGGAAAGGCCCCCGCTAGGTTGAATGCTGGTTGGAATCTGGAAATCATTTACAGCATAGAGGGGTTGTACAGGTTCACATTTTGTCCTTAGTGAATCACGAAACCCAAGAGGGGAGTACACGAGTATAGCTTGGAATGCAAAGAGGGGGCTTTTGTTACGGCCACACATGGCCTTCACTTAGCATACGCTGGCGACTGCTCTCGCACCTTCTGAGTGCGGGAGTTGTGTTGGATGAAGTTGTGCGGAGGAGCTGCACGAGCACACATGTACGACGTTTTTTCTGTATGACAGACGTGCACATGTTTTGGCAACCAGGGGAGCTGTTCAACTGGGTTATTGGCTCCTCCGCCTTTTGTCCCTTGTGGTTAGCCAGCAGACAGGAGCCTGGCGGTGTGGGGGAAAAGAGGAGGTGGCCGAATGTGGACGGTGGGCGGGCATGTCGCTTGCAAGGTGCAAGAGTTCGCTTGGTGTCGTGTTGTTTTAGGATGGTTGGCGCGGCATTGGAGTGGGGCCTCGTCCCGTTTGTAATAACCCAGCATCGACAACAGGAGGTTTGTGCTGGCTAGTGGATGCGTTGTTGAACAGCAAGCCAATCCAGACGTGGACCCGCGGGTCACCCGCGGGAAGTCCTGATCGGTCAGTACTTTCAAAGTCACGCCATGGTCAGCTGTGGTTCCTCAAGTTAATGCTATATACGGTGTCGCTCGTACGCATGCATGCTCGTCACAGGTCTGTGACGCCACATGCGCACCAAGGTTGGTGTTGTCGCCGGAAGCTAGCGAGGTGCTCGTCCAAACGCGCACCTCCAAACAGCTTCGCAAGCGGACCTGGCGAAAGACAGCTTGGGCGCCTCTTATAAAACCTTTTCTCACACTTACAAAGGCATATCATACTGTTTCAAAAGAATACGTGTTACTTGCTCAAATGTCTAGCGCACATGCCTCACGTCGGCGCTCTGCCAAATCAACTGCTGCGCTGCCACCTGTCCGCTTGGACGTGCCGCTTGGCGACATTCCGCTTCACGCGGGCCTAGCGACCAGCTTGCTGCACGAGATCATAAAGTTCATCCAGTACAGCCGAGGGCAAACGGAGACTCCATACGAGGAAATTAGGTCCACCTTAAAGGTGAAAGCTCCTAGCTCTACACGCAAGATACCTATTTGAAGGAGGAGTTGTTGTTTCCAGGAGTCTAACTTGGTACCCACCAACCGCTCTGCGTTGCTTCACGTTGCTCGCCATTGGTAGCCCAACGCCCTCGGCTGACGCAACCCGCCTCTTGTCTCCATCAGGCCCTCCTGGATGCGGTTCGCGAGCAGGCGGAGGAGCGCAGCGGGGCCAGCGGCGGACGTCCCGGCCGCCCACCCCGCCTGCCCTCCTCCATCAAGCGGGCCATGAAGGTAGGTACGGCACCCCCGGCAGCACTCCAGCAGCACCTTCGCAACCAACTGCCTCCGCCTCATCCTGAAAGAAGGGTGCACCCTTTCACCCCCACTCCTCACCCCTACTTCTCATCTCCGTCCGGTGCTACCCATCACCCAACCCGCCCCTTCCTTCAACCTTTCCTCTCCCCCTGTCCCCCTGCTCCCCCCTCCCGCCCCCCAGTTTTCCGCCTCCATGGACGCGCTGCTGGGCAGCCTCACCCCCCAGCTGCTGGCCGCCTCGCAGCCCGGCAGGCTGGTGCTGGCGCTGGGGCCCTCGCCGCACCGACCCAGGGAGCTGTACTGCATCAGGTTCGTGGGGCCCGATGGGGCGCCGCTGAGGGGAATGCCGGAGGGACCGCAGCAGCCGCCGCAGCAGCAACCACTGCAAATGCAGCGAGAGGGTGCCGCGGGTATGTACGGGGGGTCAAAGACCATACCAAACCATAGGAGACCACACGGGGGGGGGCGGGGGCGGGGGCGGGCGCAGAGGGGGGGGGCCGTCTTGCCAGGGTATGTAGGGGTGCGGGGCTAGGTTCTGGGGAAGGGGTTGCTGGTATGGACCGTAGCCGTGGTAGATGTTTGTCAGTTGGCGACCCGTGGGTCATTACTGGGTTACTTTGCAACACGGGCCTTGTCTGCCAAGAAACGGTCCACATCCGGGCATCACGCCAAGCCACGCGATTGCCCCGCGCCGTCTTTACGCCGTCTCCCGTAGCTGGTACGTCCACCCCAATATGCGTTTGTTTTCAGCTGTGTCACGGCTTTTCCCCCTTCCGCAGGCGCACCGCCTCAACCGCCGCTGTGGTCACCCCTGCAGCCGCAGCCGGCCCCTCCTGCTGCTGCTGCTCCTCCTCCTCCGCCTCACCCGCTCAGCCTGCCCGCCGACCCCTCTGCCTGCTCGCTTGCCGCCCTGAGCGAGCGCGAGCGGGGTGCGGTGCAGCGGGCCCTGCGGCGGCTGGTGGTGGCGCAGTCCTCCGTGCAGGGCTGGGAGAAGCTGCTGAGTGAGGCGGGGGGGGGGGGTCAAAGACCATACCAGACCATAGGAATGTGTTCAGGAAAATGGTGGGATCGCCATAGCTAAGGGCGGCGTCGGAGGGGCGTTGCCAGTTGGTTGGAGAATGCGTTACCGCAATATGATGCGAGGGAGCTAGGTGCCCACGCTGTCGGACACGCCAAGGCCGCTACCCACTGCCCCGCCCCCTGCCCCCCGCTACCTCCACCTCCCCCCTCCCCCCGCAGGGCCCACCAAGATGTTCCTGGCACTCCAGCACTCGGCGGCTGCGGGGGCCGCAGGACCCGCCTCCGCCTCCGCCGCAGCAGCTGCCGCCTCCACCTCCACCCCGGGGGGCACCCCGGGTGGGGGCGGAGGCGCCTCTCACTGGGGTCGGGCGCCACATGCCGCCGCCACACCCGGCTCGGGCTGGGGCCCAACGGCAGCAGCAGCAGGAGGTGGTGGTGGTGGAGGTGGTGGTGGAGGTGGTGGTGGTGGAGGTGGTGGTGGTGGAGGTGATGGTGGTGCCCCACCCGCTGCATCAGCCGGTTTGGGGCAGTTCGCACTGGGCGCCGGGTGCGGTGGTGGCGCGGGGGGAGCTGGCGGCGGGGATGGCGGCGGGGTGGGGACCGGCGACTGGGTTTGGGGTGTACCCGTCCAGCAACAGCAGCAGCAGCACCACCACCAGCACCACCAGCAGCAGCAGCCCCAGCAGCAGCAGGCGCCCCTGCACCCCGCTCACGTCCCGGGCGGTGCGGCGTTCCGCGTGAGCCGGCTGACCTTCCCGGAGGATGATATTGAGGGGGAGGGGGAGGGGCAGGGCGAGGGGGGCGCAGCGGCAGCGGCTGGAGGCGGCGGCAGCAGCGGCTCCCGAGCGCTGCGGAAGACCCTGCGGGTGCGGGGGTGTTGGTGCTGCAGCCTTGCTGCTAGCATGCAGCCGTACCGGCGCTGTTGGCTAGGGACGGTCAGGTTATGTTACGTCGGCCGTGGCAGTGCTAGCTGTGTGGGGGAGCGCTTGCTGGGGAGAAGTTTATATATTAAGTGCAAACAACTTAGTCCCAATCCCATATCCCGACTCATGCATTGGGGGGGTAAATGTGGTGTTGGCGTGTTCTTCCTGCGGGGCTTTGCTCCGGGACCGCATGGCCGCGTCTTGGGTTTCGCAACCCGCACCAGCACGTGTACGCCCGGGCCCACCGTGTTCTTGGCGCACCCCCTCCTGCACATCACGCGTCTTTAACTCCCCGCCCCTGTCTGCTCCCCTCCTCCTGCCCTCCTGCCCTCCTGCCCCCCTCCTCCTTTCCCTCTGCCCAGGTGTACATCACGATAAGGGCCGGTGCCCCGGGCGGCACCAAGGCAGACCGGGGTAGCGGTACCGGTGGGGGCGCTGCGCCCCGGCGGCCGGCCCCGCGCCAGGAGGGCGACGAGGGCGAGGAGGGCGACCGAGGTTGGGGTCGGCCACAGCTCGGCCCGGCGGCGGGACAGGTAAGGAGAGCGGCGTCCGATACGCCCGGCTGTGCTGTCCGGCTTGCTGACTACCGTAACTGTAGTTCGCAAGCGGAAGTACGGAAGGGCCTCCCCCCCTCACCGCCGCATCTGGCATTACTCTTCTACCTCATGCTGAATACGTGCACCCTCCGGCCCCGCCCCCCGCTCACGTCCTCTTCCGCCCTCCTCCTCCCCCCTGCTTCACTTCTAATGTATTCCCCACTTCCCCCTGCCCTCCGCCCAGGCGCCGCTACCCGCTCCTCCTCCTCCTGGCTCCCGCTGCTGTCCCTCCCCAGAGGTCCTCTCCAGCCTGCAGCTAGCCACCTCCAAGCTGCGACTGGAGGGGCCGCCGCAGCCGCCAGCCGCACAGCCCCAGCCGCAGCCCCACCAGACCACCTTGATGGGCCCCCCTGCGGCTGCATGGGGCGCATGCGTGACCCCGCAGTCCAAGTCCCGTGAGTCGCCCTGGGGCTTTGGAGACGATGTAGGTAGTGGCCAGGGAGTCGGAGGTGTGGAGGAGATGGATACGGACGAGGCTGGCAGGGGCCGTAGCGGTGGCGGTTTGGGGGGCGGCGGTGTTGGAGGTGGTTGGGGTGTTGGGGGGCTGCATGCGTATGGAGGTGGCGGGGCGGTAGCGCGCGAGCCGGCTGTGTGGTGGCTGTGCGCTACGAGCGTGAAGAGCATTGCGAAGCCGGAGGAGCAGGAGGGGTAAGGAGGGAGAAACTAGCTAACCGTGTGACAAGGCTCCAGCATGGGTTGCAGGAGGAATGAAGAGACGGAAGAGCAAGGAGCGTGAGGCTGCTAGTCTATTGTTTGCATGCCGTGATTGGTGGATGCGAAGGGCGGTGCCAGGTTCTTTGGTGCTCCACATTAAAGCTAGGGACGGTTAGTTCGACCGAAATGGCTGGATTGTCTGCGGGCGCTATCGACGCAAACGTTTGTATGGTGTCGTTTTTGTATGCTGCCTTCTATAACCTGTGCGACGTCAATTCGTGATGGCACGGGCTGGGCCTGGTTCTGTGGACACCCGGAAAAGGGTATACGTTTGCTTCCATTACGCGCCGGCATGCGCCCTGGAGAGTCCAGTTCCTTGAGCGCAAAAGGTTATATCTCTTAAGACATTTATATCGGATAATCCGACCCAGCACCACATTTTGGTGGCATTCCCTAATATTGGCACAACTCCTAAAGGTGTACTCTTGTTAAGGGTTGTTGTTAAACAGTGCCATTTTGACCTCAACGAAGCAAGATGGCAATAGTAATATGGTCTTCTGCCCTTAATGCTAACACGTTATGTACCCTATGCCCGACTGCGGCTGCCCTTAATCACGCTTTTGTCGCCGAGAGAGTCGAAGGCCAACCAGTTTATATGTAACATAAACGTATTCACTCCCCTCCAAAGCAGCCAGCAACACCACATACTCGGCCGGCACTGTCTGTGTCTTTGTTTTTATAGGGGGCGAGCCTCGGTGTCTGCGAAGCTGACGGGTTCCTACGGCAAGTCACGAATAAGCGCAACAGGTGTTGTCCATTACTGCGCAACGGGGTGTACTTCGACAGTTACCCAGTCGGTTGGCTGGGGGCGGGAAACCGATATAAGGGGCTCCACTGCAACTAGGTAGACATCGAGCTCATATAGTCAAGTATATTTACAAGGTCGAAGTCCTGTCGCAATTGAAGCAGGAGTCAGCAGAGCTGCCTCAAAGCTTTGCCCAAAGGCTTTGCGTAGGCTCAACCCTTGAGTTATATCAGCCCTCTTGGCCAGAAGGGTTTTCTTGTGACATGGCGGCTCTCAAGTCCATGCCGCGATGCCCAAGCGCTTTGGCGCTGTTGCTCATTCTTGGTTGCTTCACAAGCATAGTCCATGCTGCTCGACTGCTACAGCGGGAAGTTCTTGCTTCAGAAGGTAAGTCTAGTTGCAAGGTCGCCTAGGTTCTGCTCTTATTAGTTGCTTGCTACGGAGCGCATGGCTTCGCTGGGTGGGATTAAAGCTGGTGCGCCTTGTGCTGGTACACCAGACAACGTTGCCTATGCTTATGCTGAATAAGTGTGCTAGTTTTCTCACTTGCGCAGTTTGTCCCCTCACGCGCAGTTGGCCTCGCCGATGTCATTGAACCGGAGCTGCTAAACACTGAGAACCAGCAAGAAGCAATCGAGGACGTCGTTTCTTCCCTAAGTCAGCTCAGCGCCGACCGCCTCGAGCGCATGCTCTCTGCCACCGGCACCTATCCTTCTCCTCCCTCTCCGGCTCCCTCTCCAGCTCCGTCACCCTCGCCCTCTCCTGCTCGCTCTCCTCCTCCCTCTCCCACACCCTCTCCTTCGCCCTCTCCTCCTCCTCCCGTCGAGAAGGTCAACTTTATTACCTTTGACGGCATGCTGGGCCATGCCAGCATCACCGACGACACCGAGCAGGTGGTGTGGACCGACGACCCGGCCTTCAGCGACCTCCGCACGCCCCGCAGCGCCCTCAACCTAATCTACGGCAAGCACCTGCAGTGCAACGTCACGCCGGGCGTCTGCACGACCTGCATGCGCGCCTGGATGCCCGCGCCCTCTCAGCGCACCGTGCCCATCTACTTCCGCGAGCCCATGCAGCTGGACTCCATCTCCATCCTTGAGCTCCAGAACCCCGGAGTCACCAAGGTGCAGCTGCTGCCCTGGCCCGCCACCGCCATCCCCGAGCTGCCCAACCTCGCGCCCAAGTCTGGTACCCTAGGCAAGGCCGTCTGGACTGCTGACGAGGACACGACGACATGCGGCACCAGCCTCGTCATCAACCTGCCCAGCGGGCGCTCCGGAACCAACCTCAAGGTCCTCAAGAGCGGCAGCCAGGACGCCATTCCCAGCAACCTGCGCTACACGGTGACTGGGGGAGTCCTCATCACGGTGAAGCAGCAGCCAAGGGGCGCCAAGTTCGATCGTACGGCAATCGAGTCGGTGCTGTTTAGCGGGCGAGTGCTGTACCCACGGGACCCAAGCGTTTACAAGAGCTCGGATTAAGACATATGTAGCTGGTGGGAGAAAGGAGTTAGGCAGGGTGTTCAAGGATTAATAAGGTTGCTGCAGGACGACAGTGATAGCAGGAAGTTGAGCGTCTGCGGATTGGCGGGGGTGTCTCACTGCTGAGCTTATTGAGAAGGCATATATGTTGGCGCAGGTTGGCTTGACAAGGCTGTGTCCGATTGATGTTGTGTATTAGGTGGTTAGCTGTTGCATTGAAACCAACATTGATTAGGCACTTTAGACGTCTAGGCGTTGCAATTTGACGCGTAGGCTTAGCTATACGGTAGGCCAATTGTGGCATGGCGTGCCTGTTATGGACATGGCAATTAGGTAGGGATGCTATTAATTCAAAGCGCCCTTAAGCGATTCATCAGTGAAACGTTAGCATTTTCTTATTCATTAAACCTTAGTCACGCCCAATTGTTGGGCGAGTGACGATGCTACCGATTAGCGGCTTAGCCGTTTGCCGTTTGGGCATATTAGAAAGAGGTAGTTATGTCGTGGCAACAGGCGCTGCAGCACGTCGCGCCGTGGCATAGCTAGCTGCTTGGCGCTAGTGACAAGCTTAAGCGGCTTGGTGCGGTACACTTGGCTCAGACCTGAGTAAGAGCTGCAGCTGTAAGTACCTCTTCGTGAGCCAATCAGTGCCAGTCACATGCATAGCCGCAATGTAAGCTTGCATAATGCTCTCCTAGCCTGCTGCGCGCATGGGTAAGAGGGTAGCCCCATGCATTCGCTGCATCCCGGTACATTCAGTCGACAGACAGCAAGCTAGCGACATGAGTAGACTGTTAAGACTAGGCCCAGCCACTACCCCGCTCCTGTTACCCGGTTACCATGCGTACAAGCCCATACTTTGAAATCCTGGCATGTTATCTCCCCTGCCTGTAGTCCTTGCCTGCCGTGCTCCTCCGTTCACAGCAATGGCGCCCCCCTATGTTAACCCCTGCCATAACCAAACCAGCCGGCGCTGTGTGATACCCATGACAACTAACTCCCACGCATCCCACGGTACACGAAGCCTAGGTATGAACCGCTGCTGATGCCCCGCTGTGTCACCTGTCACCGATTGTCTCTCTGCACCAACCCGAGTGCCGTTTACGATATCTCGTCTGCCCCCGAATTTTGCGCCTTGCCCAACGAGGTAGTTCGAAGGGCTAGTGCTGATGCAATCACACACCAGACTCCCAACTCTTCCGCATGCGCGTCCTGGCTGCCGGTGATGTTGCTCTGTGCCAAGCCGCCCGACTGACACAGCAACAGATCAATACTATCATATACCGTACATGCTGGCAGCCAACACGGCGTTGCGAGTGAGTGAACAAGCTGGGGTGTCGTCGATCCAAATGCAGCCAACGACTCTTCGCGCTAACAGCTAAGATATACCATTTAGGCGAGGTAAATGTTCTTCAAACAAAGCAGCTATGGGAATCCATTCGCGAAGGAAATACAAAGAAGGCCTCCGTCGTCGCACGACAAGGAGTCATTGCAGTACAAGTTTCGGGCTTTCCAAGGCGGGCTGCATGCGCTGTTGGAGGCAGGCAAGGCGATGGATGAATAGGTACACGTTTGCCTTTCGTGTACGGCCCTGCAGACAGCGGCAGGCTTCGGGCTATATGGATACGAAAGTGGGTGGGAAGCTGGGAAGCTACGATGGACAGTCAGGTTTGACCCACGCACACTCCATCTACCAGTCACCCAGCATTCTCACCGTAACGAAGATGTACATCCACATTGAAGCACTCTAGGGCTGGCGGGCCTTGGCCTGCGCTTGCCGCACGCCCGCGGGGCATCGGTCACCTGTGAAGTAGTTTGTGCCCCGGGATGGCAAGCGACCTAAAGCACAGGCTCGAGGTATGCTTAGAAAGACCCCGGCGAGCGAGAGCACGCAGACGTTTACAAGGGTTATGCCGGTGACAACGCGACAAGCCCATCTTGTACGGATGGTAACCCTAGCGGCACTGTTGCAAGTCCCACCCTTCACCCGCGCATGAGACTATGGCCTATCCCAGCAACCCTTCATCTTACCCAACTTACATGAACTACCTCCACCCTGCCTCCTCCCTCGTTCCTCGGTTATTTCCCACCCGCTGCTCAGGATTACGTGGCTGCTCGGCTGCACTCCTTCGCCGCCCGCTTCGCCTCGCAGCACGCCCCGCACCTGCCCCCCGCCGACGTGCACCAGGCAGTGCAGGAGGAGCTGCGCGCCGCCCCGCCGCGGACCCACATCGAGCTGCTCCTGCTGACGACGACAACGACGCTGCGGGCGGGGGAGCAGCAGCAGCAGCCGCAGCATCCAGGCAGCTGTGCCTTAGCGGCCCCACCACCAGCTCAGCAGCAACACCGGGGCCTGCCACCGTCGCCACCACCATTGCCATCATCATCACCGTCACAAGCACTGCCGCATGCAGCGCTGGTGGCAGGGCGCCCCCACCCAGCTGCGCGGCTCCCTGCACAAGCGCTTCCGTATGGCAGCCAGCCGCCGCGGCAGGAGGGGCAGCAGGAGGGGCCTGAATGCCGGCAGCAGGGCACGCAACAGGGGGCCTGCAAGCAACACCAACAGCAGCAGGCGCTGCGGCAGCAGCAGCAGCAGGTGCCACAGCAGGAGAGGGAGGGGGAGGGGAGGCGGCAGGAGGACGGCTGTTGCGACGCGGCCGTGTTGGGCGGAGGCACGGCGGAGGCGGTGGAGGCGGTGGCGGGGAGCAGCAGCGTGACGCGGGCGGCAGCGGGGGCGGCCGGTGTGGCGGGGGGTGCTGGGCATGTCCCCGTGTGTGATGCAGGAGCGGGGGCTGCCGAGGTGGCGGCGCCGGCGGGGGCGGAGGCGGGTGTTACCTCTCTGCTGGCTGGGTCCTCCTGCGTGCTTGCTGCTCAGGCAGGTGCGGCGAGGGTGGAGCATGCAGCGGCGGCAACACCGGCGGCAGCAGCAGCGGCGGCAGTAGCGGCAGGGGGCACCAGAAAAACAGAGGGGCAGACAGCGGGTGGGGGCGCGAGCGGGTGCCTACGTAGGGAGGCGGCTGGCAGCCCGGCGGGTGGCTTGGGGCCCGCAGCGGGAGGGGGCGCCCCGGGGGCGGCTGCGGCAGCAGCAGCACTGGGTTCGGCTGGGAGCCCTACGCTGGGTACGACAGCGGCTGTGACGTCAGCAGCAGCAGCGGCAAGCTTATCGACAGGGTCGGAAGCAGCACAGGCGGTAACGACGCTAGCCGCAGCAGCAGCAGCAGCCGGGGGGCAGCGGCTGCCCTTGTTGGCTGCATCAACGGCGGTGCCGATTGCCGCTGCTGCTGCTCCAGATGGCAGCGGTGAGGATGCGTTGTCGGGCGGTGAGGAGGCGCTGATGGGGGGCGGCGGCTTGTGCCTGGTGCTTCGGCATGAGTGCTGGTGGGTGGTGAGGTGGTATGGGCGTGGGAGGTTGTGACGTAACGGCAGGACGGGACGGGGAGTGTGATGAAGGGAAAGGAGTGACAGGGAGGAGCTGGTTGACAAGACCCTCACTAACGCACCCCTTGTGCCCTCCTCCCCTCCCCCCCCACACACATGCTCCTCCCCTCTTCCCCACCGCTCCTCCACTCCTAGCGCCCTGGGCTGTCTGGAGCCGCGCTGCTCGCTGTGCGCCGCCAACCCGCTGCGCCGCTGCTGTCGCAACCTGGCGCGAAAGTACCTGGTGGGCGACACGCTGAGGGCGCGGTGTGGGGCGCCCATTCGGGTGGAGCTGAGGAGGAGGAGGAGGGGGAGGTGGGGCGAGGTGCAGGGGGAGGGCGTGGTGGGGGGCGGGACGGGGGCGCAGGAGGGGGGCTGGGCTGAGGCGGGGGAGGAGGTGGGGCCGCTGGTGGAGGAGGAGCGCGTCTGCAGCAGCTTGCTGTTGGAGGTGAGGTGGCGGGGGGGGAGGGAAGGTGGTGAGGGCAGGGAAGGAGGGAGGGGGCGGAGGCTTGCCAGCTCTTGACTGCCCGGCTTCGCTCACACCTCCTCAACTGTTCTTATGTGTGTTTGGCCACACAGCCGCCTCCTCCGCCCGCCCCCCCTCCCCCAGCTGACGGTGTTGGACGGGCAGATGTTCAAGGAACGGGGCGGCGAGGGGCGGCTGCTGGGGCCGGAGGAGCTGCGCGCCTGCACCCGGCTGACCAACCACAAGGCACGTGGTGACAGGGGAGGAGACGGGCGCAGGGGGGCGGGTGTAGGGGAGGAGGTGGGTGCGGGACAGGAGCATGAAGAGCAGAGGAGCGGGGGTGTGTAGAGGAGTTCCGAGTGGTTCGGTGGGGGGTTAAGGAGCGTGGGCCCCTACCTCTTCCTGCCTCCTCTCCTCTGCTACTCCCATGCTTCTCCCGCCGCTGCGCTGTTCCTCCGGGTCCGCAGGAGGAGCCGCTGCTGCACGTCAAGACGGGCTGGGCGGCGGCAGCAGCTGCGGGCAGCAGCGGACTAGGCAGCAGCGCCGCCCTACTGTCGGGAAGTGGAGCGGGCTTCAGCGGCGGCGGGCAGGCGGTGGTGTTGCGGGGCAGCAGCCGGCGGGTGCTGCTGAGGCTGGAGGTGGGGCGGGCGTGGGAGGGGGGGGATGGCGGCCCGGTGTCGCCCGAGTGGTACCGGGACCACGTCAGCTGACTAGGCGCTCTCCAGTTGGAGCAGCCTGCATGGAGGCCGTGTCTTCTCCGGCTGATTCACACCTCGCCTGCTCCTGCCCACCCCTTTTCCCGCCCCTTGCCGCCCCCGCCCCTCTCCTCTTCCTCCCCCCTGCCCCCAGCGCGGTGTTGCGCTGCTGCCCGAGCTGGCGCTCACCGACAGCAGCGAGGCGCTGCTGACGGGGCGCAAGCCGCCCTTCAGACTGCTGGTGTCACCGCTGCCGGCGGACGTGGGGGCGGAGGACGTGGGAGCGATGGAGGCGGACATGGGGGCGGCGCTCCAGCAGCATCAACAGCAGCAGCAGCGGGTGCTTGCTGGCGCCTGCAGCTACGCGGTGTCGGAGGAGTTCGTGGTGTGTGGGGTGGGGTGTGGGGTGGGGTGGGTTGCGGGGGGTGCACTGGCTGGTAGGAAGCACAAAGAGGAGGGAGAAGGAGGCGAGGACGTTGAGGGAGAGCGGAGCGAGGGATGGCGGCAGGGCACCTTAGCTACGTACCTCTTGCCCTTCTCCTCCACTCCTGCTGTTTGCCCTAACATGCGGGATCACTTTGACTCCCCCTTCTTCTGTTCCCACCCCCTCTTCACGGCCCTTCCCCCAGGTAGCCACCCGGCGTGTGAAGCACGCCAACAAAGCCGCCACGCCGCTGCTGGAGGAGCCGGTGGGGCGGCTGGAGCACATCGGGCGGGAGACGGTGCGCAAGCTGGCGGACCTGGGAGCGGCGGCGGCGGAGCTGGGCTTGCGGCTGCCGGGGGGGGAGCTGGGAGGGGGCGGTGGCGGCAAGGGGGCAGCGGGGGGAGGAGGAGGAGGGGCAGCGGGGGTGGTGTGTGTTACGAGTGTGGGGCAGTTCCTGGCGTTGGCGGAGGCGGCGGAGCGGGAGCCGCAGCTGAAGAAGGAGGTGAGGGGGTGGGTGGGGTGGGGTGGGATGGCAGGGCTTGCACGTGCTGGTGTGCCCGCGTGTAGGTCAGCGGGGTGCGAGGTTGGCTACCAGGAGAACCATCTGCACCTCCCTCAGCCTTGTCTCCCACCACCTACCCCGCCGCCTCCTCCTGCTCCTCCTCCCCCAGCTCCAAACCATCCTCAAGCTGAGCAAGGAGAAGTGGGAGGAGGCGGCCGCCCACGCCGCCCAGGCAGTGCCCTCGGACTTCAGGCGCCGTGTGTGGTACCCGCCCGCCACCAGCAGCAGCAGCAGCAGCACAGCAGCCCTCGTCTCCTCCTCCGCCGCACCACCACCTGTCGCCCCAGAGGGCAGCAGCGGGGAGGCAGCAGCGGCCGCCAGCAGGGGTGCTGCCTGCGGCGGGGCTGCTGGGGAAGGGGCTGCTGGGGGTGCGGGTGCGGGTGCGGGTGCGGGTGCCGGTCTGGTTTTCGGTTGCAAGTACGGCGCGGTGCTGCTGCGGGAGCCGGTGGGTGAGTGGGGCCCGGCAGGGAGGGGAGGGTAAAAATAAAGAAACACTGACAAACTAGGGTAGGAGGGGGGGGCGGGGTTCCCACTCTGCTACGACTGGACCAGGCTAGTCCTACCCAGGCTTGAAGACCTGAAGCCAGTTACTGCTGCTTGCACTGCTGCCCGCCGCCGCGCCGACCCTGCGTTGACCTCGAGAAGACCGTCCTCCTACTCTAACTGTACCTCTCCTCCCTGCCACCACCTCTCCCCACTCCCCCTCACCCCCTCCTCAGCGCTGCTCCACGCCTGCCCCGGCCCCTCCGGCGGCCTCCGCCTCACTCCGGAGGACTGGCTGGACCCACCCACACTCGCCATGGTACGGCAGCTCAAGCAGGCTGCAGCAGCCGCCTGGATGCAACCGGGACACCCCGGCTGGGCCATCTTCAAGGAGACTGCCGCTGCCGTACATCCTACCGCTGCAGCGGTGAGGAGGGCTCCGAGACCGCCGTTGGCCCTAACGCCGGCGGTGGCGGCGGCGGCGGCCGCCGCCGTCGCAGCGGCGGGGCTCCGATCGCGTGGTGCCAGCGTCGGTGGGAGTGTGGGCAGCAGCAGCACCAGCAGCGGTGGCGGTGGCGGTGGCGGGAAGACTCCGCCGCCCGGTGCCTCCCCTGCTGGTCCCTCCCTGAGCTCCTTGCTGCTGGCGCAGCAACTGCTCCAGCACCAGCAGCAACAACAGCAGCAGCAACAGCGGCGCAGCAGCACAACCAGCACGGGCCCCGCGGCGGCACCGCCGACTGCTGCTGCCGCTGCTGCTACCGGTGGTTCCGGAGCTGCCGCCGCCCAGCCGGGCGCTGCTGCTATCCCTGCGGGCGCTGCAACCCCGGCTGTAGGGCTGGCGGAGCTGCTTGCGGCGGCTCTGATGGCAGCGGGAGGGAGCAAGGGCGCCGCCGCCGCTCGCGCCCCAGGAGGTACGGCAGCCTCACCAGCTCCAAGTACGGCAGCGGGGGCGGCAGCGGCGGGAGCAGCATCTGGGAAAGCCTTGACGCCGCTGGCACAGCTGCTAGCGGCGGGTCTTGTACGGCACGCCCTGCCGCCGCTTGCGCCGCCGCCGCTGCCGCAAGTGCAGCTGCAGCAGTCCGGCGCAGCTCCGCAGCAGCTGCAGCTGCAGCGGCCGCCAGTGCCTCAGGTGGTGGCTTCCGGTGCCGGCATGGGAGGCGAGACAGACCTCGTTGGGAAAAGCAGCAGCAGCGGCGGCAGTGGCAGTGGTGTCAGGGAGGGGGCGGTCCATGGTGGCAGCACCCGGGCACAGGGCAGTCCGCGTCAGGAGGCCGCAGGGTTTCTTCCGAGGGAGGCGGAGGAGGTGCCGCTGCTGCTGCGCGCCCGGAGTAGCGGGAGCGGGAGCGGGGGCGGCGACCCCCCCGGCGGCCCCGGCGGCTCCTCCCACGTACACCCGCAGTCGCAGCAGCAGCACACCCGCTTGCCGGCCAACCCGCAGCCGCCACCGCCACCGCAGCAGTTCCTGTCACCGCCGCCGCAGCAGCCGCTGCTAGCGCAACCTGTCAACCCAGGCGAGCAGCAGCAGCAACAGCAGCAGCAGCATCTGAGGCGCGTCCTGTCGGCCCACGCCGCCACCTCCGCTGCCGTGGCGGCGGCAGCCTGCGCCGCAGCGGCCGCGGCGACTGGCGGTGGCGGTGGCGGTGGCGGCGGTGGCGGCGGCGCGCTGGCGGCCCGCGCCGCCGCGCTGCGGCTGCAGGGCGGGCGGCTGCAGGGGGAGCTGGCGGCGCTGGCGGCGGCCAACCTGGCGGCGATTGGGGCCGGACCCCTGGCGGGCTTGGGGCCCGGGGGCGGAGGCAACTCAACAACAGGCCGGCCGATTGCCCCGCCTGCCTTCCCTCAGCCGCTCCCCGCACCTCCACGTGCGCCCGCCACCCTGGAGCCACCCGGCCAGGCGACCGTGAAGGCCGCATCAGCAGCACCGGCAGCGCAAGCTACGATCGCGACTCCACTCGCCGTCCGCCCAGGACTGTCTTCGCCGCTGCTGTCTGTTGTTGCTGCTGCTGCCGCTGCGAGGGCGGTAGCTGCAGGCCCTGCTGCCGGGTGCAGCCCGGAGCCAGCAACCCGCAAGCGCGCCCGCTCACCCGCATCCCCCGGGAATACTCGCGTGCTGCATCGCTCTCCTCCTCTCCACGTCGCTGCCTCAGGATCCCCCTGCCCCCCCTCTCCCACCTCCCCGAGTGCCGGCACCGGCTCGCCTGCCCGCAGCCGCCGCCAGCAGCAACTGCAGCAGCAGTCGCCTGCCAGGTCCCCAGCTGCCGCTGCTGCCTCCCGCGAAGCCAGTCCCTCCACCCACACAGCCACCACCGGCGGCGCCCCAACAGCTCAGCTGCTAGCCACAATCACCTCCAACCCCTCCCTCACCTCGTGCCTAGCAGGCCCCGGGTCCGGATGCGTGTTCGGACCAGGGTATGACGGGCAGCAGCAGGCGCGGGCAGCCGAGCAGGAGCTGACCCATGGGTCGCTTGGGCTGGCGGCGCTCCTACCCAGCTTCAGCTTTGGGTCTGATGGCCGTGTGGTGCTGGCGACGACGCTATCGCAGGTTGGGGAGTCGCCCGCTGGTTGTGAAGTTGGCGGCGGTAAGGACGGAGACGTCCTAGAGCTTAGGGATGGGGAGTCGCCCGCAGGTCAGGCCATGGCGGGAGCTACTGAGCTCGGGGACGCACTCAATGTTAGGGCTGCCAACGGCCGGCAGCGAAACGACGTTGCTGCTGCGGCCGGACGCGACCAGCAGGGGAAGGGGGCTGCCGCTGTGGCGTGTGCTGAGGGCCAGCAGGGAAGGGAGCTGGACGGAGGCGGCGGCGGAGTAGCGGGGGCCGAGCATGCAGGTGGCGGGAGAGAGGTGGCGGTGAGGTAGGGGCCTGAGAGTCCAACATACCGTAGAGTCTGTTTTCCTGCCTTTAACCATGTGCTTCTTCCTGCCTGCTTGAATGTACGGTACGTCTTGAACTCCGTGCGACTGTCCCCGTCTGTCCAACGCCGTCTGCCCTGCCCCGCCCACCTCTCTCCTTCTGTCGCCACACGGCATGGCCCCCATCAGGCTCGCTGTCGACAGCAGCGGCCTCTGGCGCCCCGAGGAGCTAGGTCTGCGGGGCAGTGCCGACGTGCCCGCCCCTCCGCACCCGTCCGCGCTAGCGGTGAGTGGGTCCGGAAGGGGTTGTGGGAAGCCGCCCCCGGTTCGTAACCCGCGCAGCCAATGGCCAGGGTTATGTGGAGGGTGCTGCAGCACGGCACCACTACCTTTGCGGTGTCACATCGCCAGCTGCCGCTCGCGCCTGTAATCGCTGCGCTCCCCGAACCTGCTAGGACCTTACCTGCGCCCCACACCCTTCGTTCACATCCTTCTCATCTCAACAATTTACCCTACCTCACCCCCTTCCCGCCCTGCCCTCACTCCCACCTTCCTGCGCCTCCTCCCCCCGGCCAGGAGCTGCCCCTGCCTGCGGCCGACCTCAACCCCACACCCTTCAGCAGCGGTCTGCCTCCGGATCTGCTCCGCGAGCTGGCCTCCCAGGCAGCCCAGCAGCAGGCGGAGGCGGAGGCAGCTCGACGCCAGCCCCGCGGCCCCTCCGCCACCGCCGGCTGCCCAAGACAGGCACAGCCAAAGACATCTACTCACGGAAGCCCCCCTCCCGGGCGTCATGAGGCTCGCAACGCACCGGACGTAGCAGGGCAGGCGGCGTCTGCATCGGGCGCTGGTAATGGTGACGGCGGCAGCAGTGGCGGCGTCTGCACCCTCGCAGCGCCGACGGCAGCTGGTAGCGGTTGTACGACGCGAGCGAAGCGGCCGCGAACTCAGGACGCAGCTGTGGGTAGCCCCCAGGTCTCCAGAAACGCGCAGCTAGGGGACGGTAGTGGCGCTGGAGACAGTGGCGAAGAGGGCTCTCCGTCGCGCCGCGCGCGGCTGCACAGCGCTCCACACAGCACCACCCACGGCCCCTTCGGCGCCCTGGGCGGCGCAGTCGCCGCTGCCGCTGCCGCCGCGGCGCCGTCGCCACCACCCGAGCCTGCGCCTGCTGCTGCTGCCGGGCCGGGACTGGCGTCCCCGCTGGCTTTGAGCGTCTCGCTCCCCTCTCTGGACTCCCTGGAGCTGCTGGCGGCGCTGTCGCATGCGGGTCTGCATCCGGGGCTGTCAGGCGGGTTGGAGCTGACGGGGCAGCTGGGGCTGCTGTCGTCGCCGCCGCCGGACGGGGGTCGTGCGCCGGCTTCAGCAGGGGGGGTGATGGAGAGGGGCGCTCAGAGGGATGCCTCAGATGCCACAAAGCAGGAGCGGCAGCAGCAGCGTGCTTATCCGGCGACAAGGGAGGGTGGCGAGGGGGAGGAAGAGAGGGAGGCAACTCCGAGGGGTGGGGAAAGGAGGGGAGCAGGGTCGCCGGGCAGGGGTTTGTTCGCCGCCGCTTTAAGAGACACCCCTAGACGGACAGACTGTGGTAACGATGACGCCGGTGGTGGTAGTTGTGGTGGTGGTGGTGGGCTTGGGTTGCTGGGTGGGAGCCAGCTGCTGCCGGCGGCCGCACACATCGGCGGACTGGATGCGATACTTGCAGCCGCAGCTAGCGCCTTGCAGGGGGGAAATCACAACCATCCACAGCCCCAGGAGCCCCCGGAGTTGCTGCAGCAGGGCCGCCAGGAGGGGACCAGCCCGCATCGTCACCACAACCAGCAGCAGGAGCAGCAGCGGCGGCGGCAACAAAAAGAACAGCAGCAGCAACAGCAGCAACGTGGATTAGACCTGGCGTCGCCACCCATCCTACCGCACTTGCCTCAGTCAGAGGCAATGAGTCACATACCCCTGCTGCTGCAGCAGGAGCAACAACGGCTGCTGCTGCAGCAACTGCAGCAACAACAGCAACAGTTATAGCGGCAGCAGCAGCACCGCAGCACCACCCAGAACCCTCAACTGGGCTCTCAGCAGCAGGGGCAGCGCAACCACCCGTCCCACCAACAACAACAACCGGAGCAGCAACAGCAACAAGGCACTCCCCAGCAGGCGATGCCCCACCACCCTGACAAGCTGTGCCCCCAGCCGTACTGGCCCGCGCCCTTCTACCAACAACAGCTTGCCGGGCTGCAAGCCCTGCTTGGCGGTGGAGGAACAGCAGCAGGCGACCTGAGCGCACTGAGCTCCAAAAAGTGTTGTCCGGGATCGGGGCTTGGGCCCGAGCGGTGGTGGTGCTTCAAGCAGCGGCGGTGACACCGCAGGCGGTGGCTGGATAGGGCGATTGAGCCGTTTAGAGCATCCTGCTGCGGCCGGGCCGCTGGTAGGGGGCCTGTGTAGCGGTTCATTAGCCAACGGTCAGCCCGGCGTGGGAGAGGTTCTCGCAGCGCTGCTGCCCTTGGGACCCATGGGTCACGGTGGGAGCAGCACCGCAGCTGGCCCGCAGCCGCAGCAGCAGTGCGGCCGTCAGGAGGCAGGCCACCGCTACCCCAGCAGCGGAGATCAGGCAGCGGTTGCAGACGCAGCGCCCGCCCGCAGCTCCAACCTGTCCATTGCGGCCCTTACTGGCGTGGGTTACGGCAGCGACAGCGGCGGAGGGGGTAGCTCGGCCACTGGGTGCAGGGGGTAGGGATCCTGGGCGGCTGGGGCGGCTCTGCAGCGGCCTCGGCAGCAACGAACGGCGGCGGAGACGATGGTGGGGTTGGAGGTGGTGGGCTGGTTGGGACTGGTGCAGCTGGGACGCTGGGGCAGGTTGCGAGGAAAGGTGGGGGTGTGTACGGGAGCGAGGGCGGGCTGCCGGGCCACGGGGTGTCATGGCGAGCAGCAGCCGGGCCACGTTAGGTTAGGTTGAGGGAGCCATGCGGGCGAGCCAGCCCGGTGTGGTGTCATGCCATGGGGTGCTGCGGCGGGTGCAGGTGAGAAGCAGAAGCAAGCGGGGGCGGGAGACTAGCTTACATGCATGCTTGGACCTGGCGCAATGCTTTCGGGTTGGCGGCAAGAGGGATGGCGTGTTAGTGTTTTGCCAATTTTGCAGGTAGTATATTGATGCTATTTTCTTCAAGCCGTGCTGGCGGTTAGAACAAGGTTAGAATCTAACGTTTGTAAACTCCACGGCTTGTAGGGCGTGTACGGCCGTAGCCGGCGCCACGAGTACATATTGTCCGAAGGCGTGCACAGCCTGCCCTCGCATGCAGGGCTAATGGGGATGCCAACTGTCCATGTGAACTCGGTTTGTATCCACTGTACCGGTATGGGGTGCTACTTACCCTGCGCTGATGCGCGGAAGGCTCATTGGGAGATTGGTACGATCTTGCGAGTAGGCCAATACCCGGCCCGGATGTTGGGCTAGGCAGGATTGACATGTGTATGATGCACGCCGAGGGGGACACGGAAAGCGCAGGAAACACAGCGGGGAACGTGGCATACGTCTTGTGGCGTCTGCGCCTATGCGAACTGCTTTGGAAGGAATGCCCCGTGAGCCGTGACTAAGGAACGCAAGTACGTCGGGAGGAGGACAGCGGGCTTCAGGTCCAAGCGAGCTTGCATGCAGGCGGGTGCCTTGCGCCAACACTCCCATGGAGGCGAGTTGCTTGAGCAATGCATGTCAATGGTTATAAGGAGTACGTTCTAAGAGCAGGGCAACCGCCAACTGTTACAAATTTGCATACGGGAAACATTGTGGTTCTTGATTCTTTAATGTTGTATTTCACATGGCATTAAAGACACCTCCTTTAACGTCGTGGTCCAACCCGTCTTGCCTCACAAATTATTTTGACATCCACAAAGCACTACACAGAAAAGCAACCAACTCCCTGCCGGGGGCCAGGTTCCTGGGCTCCAAGACACAACCAAAATTCCATGGCACCGTTCGACATATCGGTTATTCCCATAGTCCATACTTCATTCTTTATTCGCGCTAGGCATCATTACGCACACCCGAACCACATGGAATGCAAGGTCAAAAGCTTGTTTCAGCTGCAAGCTTCGTGCTGACCCATGCACCATAAACTACACCATAAGCTACACCACTGGTTGTCATATTACTAATACGGTCAAAATAAACCGCATTCCTAGTGTCACCTACAAATAATTCCGAATATTCGCCGTATGTCACTGGTTACGGCCATATGCAGGAGCTGCGGTAGCGCCAATCAGGGATCAAGATCGTATCCCGACCCATGGGTCCAAGCGTTCAAGAGGCCCGCCTAAACGGGCAAACAGATTAATAGTCCTCATTGTTCCATGCCTAAAGGGCCGATAAAAGCAGCCCGTAACAGTATCATGAATCAATACACACACACTCCTAAGGCCGATTGCCACCACCGTGGCACTAATGAAGACAATGAATTGCGCCTACCGTTCCTAGGGATGCTACTTAACTATTGTTTCCTAACATGGACGGCAGTGACAGGTAATGTAATCAACTGCCGCAATAGGATCAGCAACAATAGGATCAGCCATTAGTTTGGACAACCCCACAAGCCTGCATCGCCATCCTGCCTTCATGTCATGTGCAGTCAATTGACCCTGCAGCAACCCTCATTATTCCTTGAAACCCCTCTCTAACCCCACTCTCCCACCAGCTACATGTCTTAATCCGAGCTCTTGTAGACGCTTGGGTCCCGTGGGTACAGCACTCGCCCGCTAAACAGCACCGACTCGATTGCCGTACGATCGAACTTGGCGCCCCTTGGCTGCTGCTTCACCGTGATGAGGACTCCCCCAGTCACCGTGTAGCGCAGGTTGCTGGGAATGGCGTCCTGGCTGCCGCTCTTGAGGACCTTGAGGTTGGTTCCGGAGCGCCCGCTGGGCAGGTTGATGACGAGGCTGGTGCCGCATGTCGTCGTGTCCTCGTCAGCAGTCCAGACGGCCTTGCCTAGGGTACCAGACTTGGGCGCGAGGTTGGGCAGCTCGGGGATGGCGGTGGCGGGCCAGGGCAGCAGCTGCACCTTGGTGACTCCGGGGTTCTGGAGCTCAAGGATGGAGATGGAGTCCAGCTGCATGGGCTCGCGGAAGTAGATGGGCACGGTGCGCTGAGAGGGCGCGGGCATCCAGGCGCGCATGCAGGCCGTGCAGACGCCCGGCGTGACGTTGCACTGCAGGTGCTTGCCGTAGATTAGGTTGAGGGCGCTGCGGGGCGTGCGGAGGTCGCTGAAGGCCGGGTCGTCGGTCCACACCACCTGCTCGGTGTCGTCGGTGATGCTGGCATGGCCCAGCATGCCGTCAAAGGTAATAAAGTTGACCTTCTCGACGGGAGGAGGAGGAGAGGGCGAAGGAGAGGGTGTGGGAGAGGGAGGAGGAGAGCGAGCAGGAGAGGGCGAGGGTGACGGAGCTGGAGAGGGAGCCGGAGAGGGAGGAGAAGGATAGGTGCCGGTGGCAAAGAGCATGCGCTCGAGGCGGTCGGCGCTCATGTTGCTGAGGGCGGAGACAACATCTTCAATGGCTTCGTGCTGATCCTCGGGCTCCATGACATCGGCAAGACCGACTGCGCGGGAGCATCCAGATACGGGATAAAGTTAATACATGGCTGCCGAAAACGGCACTTAGTGCTTGAAACAATCCCTACTGTGCGGCGATGCGGCATGGAGTTTAAAACTCCCTGCAGTCCTTTATGGATACTCTCCATGGAAACGCTCCATGAAACTAAACCATAGAGCCTTCAAAGACTTCTGACATACCTTCAGAAGCAAGTACGTTGTGCTGTAAACGCCGGGCGCCTTCGGCGGTCATAGCGAGGCCAAGGATGAGAAACACCGCAAGCGCCGAACGCGCCAAGGAGCTGGTGGAAGCCATGCTACCAAGTATACTTCCACAGCAGAATTTTGTTGCAGGCCGCACTTATGGAAATAAGATAATTTCGCAAACTAGCCAAACTCAGACAGCCAGTCTTTAGTCTGCGCAACCTTTCTAGGTAAGTGACTAGTTATATGATTGGAACGCGGCAAAGGTTTCCTTTTATCTATTGTTTGTCGCGCCCAGAGTCTGACTAGCGGTTGACGTACACCCGTTGCGGCATCCCTGTTGCGGTCATCCCTGTCCGTGTCATCGCCGGTAGGATTACGCTTTGTGGAAAACCATTCAGGGATGTTCATACCAGGTAATGGATGGTTACTGGCCAAACGCGTTCAAGTCGCCGATGGGCAACTAAGGACTACGTTTATTCATGCAGTCCTTCCTGGTCTAAGAGCCGCTTTTGCATGCACTGAAACTATGAGAGCAGCTACCTTCGTATCGTTACCTACCAGTCCAGACGTGTGAACGTTGGTCTGCCATCACACGCCATTTAGATGTTGGCGATGGTCGGTTTACTTTGTAAATGACGGACACACATCGGTTGCCCCTTCGTGCCTGGTCTGAACCCTTGGTGCTTATGAAGATTGCAAAAGGTTCGCACGCACTGCGCTCGCAAAAGTGACCCTGTTCAGCATACGGTAAGCCATGTGGCAATTAGCAACCCTCCGCAAGGAAAGACAAACAAGCGGAGCGATGCTGCTACTGGTCAGCGTATGTAAATGACAACCTGGCAAATTAGACTGTCGCCCGTCAGCGGATCCTCCACGACCATGCGTTGCGTGCGGTTTGGGTTTGTGCGCCCGACTTCCCTTACCCCCTAGCGGAATTCCCAGGCTGCAAAAACCCGTTGACCAGACTTGTCATTGTGAAATCGGATACACCATATTCGGATACACCACGTCTTTCAGTCGCATTGCTGGACATCGATGCCATCATGACATACAGGTAGATATCAGTACTTGCCCCCACCAATACCGTATTCAAATGGGGGCAAAATAATCCGCCTGGGGTGACTGCAGGGTAACTAAGATGGGAACGGAGAGGTAGGGGGCAACTGACTTTCCAGTGCGCTGCATCCTCACCGCGCCATGCCCAGTCGGGGTTTCCAAACGGTGTTTCACTTATCCTCCTGGGCTGCACAGCGGCATACAGCTGAACAGCTCCTTTCCTTACCATGTTACATCCAACACGTTCGGTGGCTTTGGGGGCGTTTTGCGCATGTCAAATGGGGCTAGAAATTCGCCATCAGGAAGTCAAATGGGGCATAAATTATTCCCGCTTTGTCAAATGGGGCTGGAAAATAGGCCTCAAAACGCATGTCAATTAAATTATGGGCAATACGGTACGTACTGCTACAAGTACGGTACCTGAAACAATCAACTGCCGCAACAATAAAGAAAACCCTGCGCTACTTCAATCACGTCATGATAACTGCGCGTTGGCACTGGTCATCTACCCATGGCAATCTCCCCTCGGCGCCGCTACGCGCTTGGCTTCCTCATCCTGGGACAGATGTTCCAGTCCAAACCTTCAGAAGCCAAGCCATTTATGAGGTATGGCACCCATCGCTTTGCACCGATCAATAAGAAACCCGGCCTCATCCACAACCTCGTGGACCTTCAAATTTTAGGACAAGGATAAGGGTACTAATACCAACCCAGCTGCAAGACGAGCACAATAATCACTTCTCCACGTGACGCCGTGGTATAGGATAAGGGCTTCAGGGACGTTTCGACAATGCGGTTGGTTGTTTCAAGCACGCTTGAATGCACGTTGACTATGTTTAAGGACTAATGCAGGTCCGCATACAGCAACACTGTGCGTGCTGTTTCCTATACCAAATTCTGATAACGCAATACACAAGAGAGTTCGCTCGCTCCCTAACACCTGCCCAAGACTACGCCAGGGGAACCCTGAGGCCCTCAAACCCATGCTACCACCCCCAACAGCATGCATCACATCGCATGCAGCCACAGTGGTAACACGGTGGCAGGACATGAGTGATGCAAGACACCTCGACCGGCTCGCATTGCCCCTTCCCCCTCACCCTTCCCCCTACGCACTAAACATCGCAATTTCCTAATCCTTCGCACGGAAGCGTGCAGACCATGAACTCATCCAGCCTTCGCTTCATCTCCTGAATTGGCAACAGCATGGCCTCAACCTGGGCAGATGACATGCGCAACAGCAAGGAGCGCTGGTCCTCATCACCGTACGATATGATGTAATCCTCCGCCCCAAACCGCTCCAGCCCAACTGGGAACAGGATGCCCTGATGGTCGGCTGCGCTGCGCCAAGTGTACGGCATGAAGCCATGGCTGATGTGGGTCATGCTGTACGGCGGGGATGCGTTGAACCTGCGTTGGCCGCAACCAGCGCAACAAATCGAACGGGGGGAGGTTGAGGTGCTGGATGCTTTCCTATGCAGCTGCAGGGACCCGTCGGGCATACCCGTGACACATGACCGACATGAAAGGCCTTGGAAAGGGCAAGGTCGGAAACGGTGGTGGTCCAGCCGTCCTGCCCCTTCCACGTTTCACCACCCAGGTCCCACCCCGGCGTCCTGACCCAGACCCCAACCAGTACCTGCGCCGCTACCTCTGTGAACACTCGCAGGAGACAGCCGGTTGTGCCCCGCAGATTTAAGACTGCCGCTCCAAACCCCAACATGCCGGTAACCCCAGCACGAGCGTCTGCTCACCTGTAGAAGAAGAATGCGTATTCCAGCGGGTAGTGGATTCCCTCCTGGTCTCCGTGCCTGCAGCAGCAGCAGCACATCGGGGGCCCGGGGGAGGCGGGAGCGGGCACGTGAGGTGTGGGGCTTAGCTGCATGCGAGAGGGGAAAGCGGGGCAGGCACAGGAGGCATAAGCACGGACGTATGCAATAACGCGTTCACGTGCCCTAGCATGCAGCAAACGCTCCATGATAACGGATTAACCAAGGGCTAAGGAGGGCTAGCTTCCGTTGTCACAGACGTGGTCGTGCAGTACAAAGCGCAAGGCTTCACCTCCAGCCACGGCAGCCCCACGCCTCGCACCCTCCTGCCCTTGCTGCCCCCACCTGTACTTGAAGGCCTCCTTCAGCACCTCCGTGCGGGTGGTGTCGTTGCTGGACTGCACCAGGTGCGAGCAGCGGCTCTGCGTCCGCTCCGCAACCTGCTGCCCGAACCAGCCGCGGTCCACCCAGGCCGGCAGCATCTCCGGGTGGAAGCAGCCGGGGTGCGCCTTCAGGTGCCCCACCGCCAGGTAGGAGTGCCGGCTGGCCTCCAGGATTGCTGGCGTGCCGCCGCCGAGGTGCAGGAGACTGCCATACCGCTGGCCGAGCTTGCGGAACAGCGGATCTTCCGTGACCATATCAAATGTGGCGTGGGGCTTGGGTTCTTCGTAGGAAACCCAATTAAATATGGACTGTGGCCCTAGGGTACCGAAATGGGAGAAGGACATGAACTGCGTGCCGTTCCATGGAACCCAATTCTTGTCCATGACATTGTGGCTGCCCGTGTAGGTGAGGGCCCGTGGAAAACGCAGCGAGAGGATGCAGCGCTTAGAAGTGCGGCTGCAACGGCTATATACACGGTAAACGGAGTTGATGACCGCTCGATCAGGGAATACGCCAACCGGAAGCGCCAAGTACACAAATGTGCGTCCACGGGTGTCCTTGAACAGACGCCCATCTTCTAGGTTGGAATCGCCCAGGTACGAATGCCCCAGTACTTCTGCTTGGAGCGTGTGGCTGTTGTTGCGCTGATTTAGGCGAAGGGCGACCATTACGTTGGTTGACTTTCCACGCCAACCGTCGAGGAAAGGGGCGCGATCCCGATGGCCGGGAGCACAGCGTTTCTCAGGAACTGAAGCGGTGTATACACGCGCAAACAAGCAATATACGTCGCCAGACAGGCGAACCAGGGCTGGGTTGAAGATGCAAGCGCCCTCCGGGACCCCGGCTCCATGTAGGAGTGGCGTCACATCCGTCACACTCTTCGCGACTGGAGGTATTAGGTTAACTGTGGAGTGGGAATCACAAACAGGGTGAGGAGGTCCTTCACCAGTGTTTGCCTGCCGCGAACTACTGACGCAAAGTCCTCCTATAACGAAGGCTAGTAATATTATAAAAATGTTCATTTTGTGGCCATCCCATGCGTGAGCAAAGTAACTTGCGTCCTTTCGCCGGCGGTGGACAGCGGCAGATATGAACAGCAGTTGCTCTGCTGCTCTGCAAAAGAAACCCGCATGGCAGTAGTGACAGGGTTGCTTGCTTCTCTATTCAGGGAATGCGAGATGTACAAGGACTTCGCCTGAGCGAGCGTCGAGGAGCGCCGTACTTCGCCCCATCAGTCCCTTTCCCATGACAGAACTTTCAATCTGGGAAAGTTGACAACGGAATGGGCGGTTGCCTACTAAAGCACAATGCATTGGAGCACAGCCGTACATGCATACGGAGCCTGTAGGCTACGGCAAAGACGTCAACGCGTTGTTGCTATGCTGGCGGCAATATACCGGTATCTGCAACAGCAACCAGCACGCTCACACACATGGAGGGGCACGCCCAACTCCTGATCTGAAGAGAAGAGGGACAGCTGAGAACCTGGTGGTTTGCTGCAGGAAACAAAGAACCAGAGTGTGATACCCACACGGGGATATGCTCGCGGGCTTGTTGTCCCACGGAGCACCGGTAAAGCACGCGTTGTTGTCCGCGCTGCTGTTTGACAGGATATTGCGCGATTTCCTCCTGGCGTCATACGCACAGGAGCGGATTAAAAGGCCCTAACATGGGCTAAGTACTAAAGCCACCAATACGTTCACCCTCTCAGTTCTTAAGTATTGTTTCGTACACAGCCTACACCTGTTGTAACGTAACAAGGTCATCCCAATAAACCGTCATATACTGCGTGGCTAAGCCCCAATAGGAAGGTACACGCATTTCCCTTGCAAAACTAACGTCACGTCCTAAGCACTAGTCCTCAGAACTTCAGGTACAGTCAGCGACCTGGCATTCCACCAACGCAAAATCTGGAAATGCGTCCGTGTCAAAGTAGATGCTGTCCTCTCCTTGCACGTCTCCCTGTCTTAACATTCATTGCCAACCCTGTGCACATAAAGGCGCCGCCGGGTGTCACCTCACTTTGTCAGCTGTGTTCTACCCCGAGCGCCAAGCAACCTAAGCCCCCCTAACCCGTTCCCGGCTCCATTCCCCAAACCTCCTGCCAATCTGTCCCAAGAACAATGACACACACCCGCAATAGGGCAACAAAACAAGCCACAAACCCCCACGTCTCACCCACCGGGTTGCACTTAGACCCACCAACATCCCTGACATGCGACACCGTCAATTCGCCCGGACTTCACACCCCACTATGCCCACACCCTCCCTCGCCCGCCACATAACTCAAACCCCTCTCCCAGCCCCAACATCCCACCCCTTCTTCATTGCTGCGTGCCGTTGCCGTTGCTGTCCCCCTCCCGGTGCGCCTCGGCCCACTCGCGGGCGTTCTGGAACAGCTTGATCCAGGGCGCCGGGCCCTTGGGCTGCAGCCCCAGCTCGGGCGGCACGTACGGCAGCTGCCAGGTCAGGAAGCAGCGCTCGGGGTGCGGCATCATGGCCAGGTGGCGCCCGTCCTCGGAGCACAGCGCGGCGATGCCCATGGGGGATCCGTTGGGGTTGGCGGGGTAGACCTCGGTGGGCTGGGAGTCGGCGTCCACGTACCTGGGCGGGGCAGGGGAGGGGGTAAATGGTTACGAGTGGGAATAGAGGCTCATGGAGAAGGTAGCAGAAAGGAGAGAGCGACGGTGCTGGAGTTCCTGCCCAGCAGCTCCAGTAGCTGGGGAATGCAACTAGAGCGCACCAAGCTAAGCACCTCCCTTCCCCCCTCCACCTTTCCCTCCTCCTCCTCCTCCTCCCCATCCTCCGTCCCTCCATGCCTGCCCCCTGCGCACTCACTGGATGGGCGCCAGTCCCTTGCCCAGCACCTCCTGCCGCACCGCCTCGTCGGGGAAGAGGCACTTGCCCTCCCCGTGCGCGCACCACACGCCCACCACGGAGCCCTCCATGCCCTTCAGCAGCACTGAGGGACTGGACTGGATGCGCACCTGAGGGGGGGAGGGGAGGGAGGGAGGGGAGGGGGAGGGAAAGGTCCGAGGGAAGGGGAGGATGTAAGCAAGGGTAAAGGCGCGCCGCCTGAAGGCATGAAAGCCACATGTGGTGACAGGAGCCGCCGCTGCCGCGCGTGTGGGGGTGCACGCGTACCTCGCCCTGCCTCGTGCCCCGTGCACCCTGCGACCCCCTACGCCGTTCCGCCTCTGAACCCTTCCCCCTTTACCCAACCCTCCCTCCACGCCCCTCCACACGCACCTGCACCCAGCGGCTCTCGAACCGCCCGCTGGCGTTGTGCACGAAGCGCGGCTGCCGCGCGTCCGGCACCTGCTGCCCGCCCGGCGCCGGCACCCAGCCCAGCAGCGCCATGAGCTGGCAGCCGTTGCAGATACCCAGCGACCAGGTGTCGGGGCGCGCGTAGAAGGCGGCGAACTGCTGCAGCACGCGGCTGTTGAAGCGGATGGCGGCCGCCCAGCCCTTGGCGGAGTCCAGCACGTCGGCGTAGCTGAAGCCGCCCACGAAGATGATACCCTGGGGGGGAGGAAAGGGTGAACGAGAGGGACGAGAGATAAGAGAGGTGGCGGATTGGGGGTTAGGAGGAGGCGCGAGGAGAAAGAGGAGGAGCCGCGGTCATGTTGGCGAGGCCAGAGCATCAGCCGTATCAGCGGCAATCATCTGCACCATCAGTCGCCTCCCAAGGCCGGGACAATCCATGCATGCAGTCCGAACACTCCTCTCCCTCCTCCCCCATTCACTTCAATCAGCACTTCCAACCCTGCTAGCCCCACCACCACCACCCTCCTCCCGCCCACCACCACCCCCCTCCTCCCTCCCGCCCCCCTCCCGCCCCCACTTGGAACTGCTCCAGGGTGGCCCGGCCGTTGATGAGGTCGCTCATGGTGACGTCCCAGGGCTCCAGGCCCGCGGCGAAGGCGGCAGCGGCCATCTCGCGGTCGCCGTTGGAGCCCTCCTCGCGGATGATGGCCACACGCACCTGGAGGGGGGGCAGGGAGGGGGAGGAGGAGGGGTGAGAAAGGTGGGTGGAGTGATCTAGGGAGATTGTTTAGGTATCCGGCCTGTATCAGGAGATTTAAGTAACTGCTGGCACGCGGGTAAAAGGAAGTAAGAGGGCATGGCGGGCCCAATCACTGCAGGGCATGACGGCTGCGCACACCAGCACCCAGTGGCACCCCCCACCGCACAGCGGCGCCCCACCTTATCCTTGGCCTCCAGCTTCTCCGCCGGCGTGAAGGCGGGCGTGAAGGGCAGCACCCAGGCGGGCGGCCGCGCCTCCCGCAGCCCCGCCTGCTCCTGCGCCACGCACTCCTCCGCTGCCTGCATCCGCTCCAGCACGAAGGACGTCTCCTCCCACAGGTCGCGCAGCGCACCCACGTCGCCGCAGATGGCGGGCTGGCCGCCCACGGAGAGCGACACGCCGCGACCCGAGGACACCTGCCGGGGGGGGAGGGGTAAGAAAGAGGAAAGTTACGAACTGCCGGTGGGGGGGCGACGACGATGCGGGGAGTTACCATGGCGCATGGAAAAAGGCCCAGCGCTGATTTCTCAGCGTTAAGAGAGCATTACTTGCCCTTCTCATCCCAAAGCTTGCACCCGCTCGCCTGCAACACCCCCTCCTCCTCTCCTCCTCCGCTTCCTCGGCCCCCACCTTGCCAATGACTGCCGCGCTGATGCCGTGCTGCCGGTACACCTCCGCCACGCGCTGCTCGCTGCCCGCCGCCACCTCCAGCACCAGCCCCAGCTCCTCCGCGAACAGCGCACCCATGGCGCCGTGGGGGGCGTCAGCGGGGTGCGCGGGGGCGGGCAGGTCCGCGCTGATGCCGCAGTTGCCCGCGACTGGAGGGGGGGGGGTGAGGAGGGGAGGGGCGGAGTGGTTGAAGAGGGAGAGAGGGAGGGCAGGCGTGGGTGAAGGTTGGCACCAGGGTTGAGAAGAGGAAAACATGCAGTAATGTACACAGTGCTGCTTTCCCTGCTGCTTGTCCCACTTTCCGGTTAGTTCCTCCGACCCCTTGCACCTCTCCCCCCCCCTGCGCTCACATGCCATCTCCAGCAGCGTCGTTGCAATGCCGCCATCCGACACATCATGCCCCGCGCTGATCGCCCCCTCCGCCAGCAGCCCTTGCGTGGCCGCCCACATGCCCGCCAACGCCTCCGCCGTCACATCCGGGCAGTCGCTGCCCAGCTGCCCGTACGCCTGCGCCAGCGCCGAGCCGCCCAGCCGCCGCCTGCCGCCCGCCAGGTCCACATGCACCAGCACGCCGCGCTCGCCCAGCTTCAGATCCGGCGTCACCACCTGCGTTATGTCCGGGCAGCCCACGTAGGCGGACACCACCAGGTTACCCGGCGCCTTCACCACCTCGCCGCCCGCCGCCGCGGCCATGCTGAGGGAGTCCTTGCCGCCGTCGCAAGCCACCCCCAGCGCGAGCATGGCGTCGCGCAGGCTGGTGGCTGCATCCCACATGGCGGCGCCCTCGGAGCCCATCTTGGCGGCGTACATCCAGTTGACGGAGGCGCGCACGTCGGCCAGCGCGGTGGCGCGGGCCCACACCAGGTTGGTGAGGGCCTCACCCAGGGCTAGGCGGGCCATGGCGGAGGGGCTGAGGGGAGGGAGGGAGGAAAGGGCCAGGGAATGGGGTGGTCAGGGGAAAGGATCATTTAGTGAGACCGAGGAAGCGGGAGATGACAGAGGGTGTGTTACCTTTACAGGCGTTACCTTTACAGGCATCTCCCCCTCTTTACCCCCCTGCGCTCCCCACCCCCCACTCACTCGATGAGCCCCTTGATGGGCTGCTCCCCGATGGAGGTGGCCAGGCCGGTGGTGTCCTGGTGCGACTGCGCAAACACCGCGCAGTTGGACACGGGCAGCTGCAGCGGCCCCACGCACTGCTGCTGCGCCACCAGACCCGTCACGTGCCGGTCAACCTGCAGGACAGCAGCAGCAGCAACAGCAGCGGGAGGGAGGGAGAGAGGGAGGGTGTGCGGTGTTAGGTGCGCTGACTAGACCGTGCAACTCTTTTTTAAAACTCCAGGTCCTTCCCCCGTTAACAACCCTTCTTGCAAGTCCCCAACACCTCACTCTCGTGACGCTGTCTAGTGTGTTTAGACCCAGCAACCCAGCTAATCCCGCAGCGCCCCGCCCCTCACCTTGTTGGTGAGGAAGCGCTTGGAGCAGACAGAGGGCAGCCGAAGCACCCGCTCCAGGGCGGCCTGCGGACTCTCCCCGGCCGGCAGCTCCAGGGGGCGCAGCTCGGGCGAGCCGCGCGTGAAGTGGAAGGTCTTGTCGGGCATCTTGCCCAGCACCTTTTCCAGGTCCAGGTCCACCGCCGGGGGGGTGCCGGGCGGCGCGTTGCGGTCCACCAGCTTCACGCGGCCGCTGCCGTCGATGGTGCCGATCACCTGGACGAGCAGGAGGGGAGGAGGATGGCAGTTGGGGTACGGGGAACGGGGGTACGGGGATATACTGGGCGTGCGGGCTGGGATGAGGACGCAGCAATACAAACGCATTCCAACGAGCACACCGCCGCCCACACATGGCTAGGTAACCCACCACCGTCTCTGGGCCCAAGCCCGCAGGACAACACCGGCATCCAACACCGCCCAGACGACATGCCGCACCGCCCATGCACCCATGCGCCCCCCTCCGCCTCCCGCTCCCCCCTCACCTGCATGAAGCACCTCTCTCGGTCGCAGATGTGCTGCATCAGGTCGCGCTTGTCGGGGCGGATGAGCAGGCAGTCGTTCTCCTGGTACTCGGCGCCCCAGATCTCCAGCACCGACAGCGTCTCATCGCCAACCTGGGTGGGGGGGTGCGGGGTGTTGTTTAGCAAACGGGATGATAAGAAAGGAGCAAGAAGGCGGGCGCGCACCTCGCTAGGCTCTTTTGACTCCCCAACAAGTCTTGCATGGGCCTCTTGCATGGGCCTAGCGCATTCCTCTCCTCGCCCAGATCTACAATCCCTACATAACCCCTTCTTATCCACTCATCCACTCCTCACCCACTACCGATATCACAGCCCCTCCTCTCCCTGCTGCCTCGCGGGCTCGCATCGTGCTACCGGTACTCCCCCCCGCCCTCACCTTGACCGCGCGCACGTCAATCTCCGCGCCCAGCGGGTAGATGATCTCCTTCACCACGTTGCAGTTGCCGCCCGCCCCTTGGTCGTGGATCTGCACAATGGGGTTGGACTCGCCCATCTCCACACACGAGCGCACCACGCGCCACAGCTTCTGGCTGTACTCAGCATCACCGCGCTGCAGCGGGGGGCGGGGTGGGGAGGGGCGGGGCGGGGTGAGGGAGAAGATGGAGACCAAGAGAAGCAGGGTAACGCGTCTCGATAACATGTATACTCGTATACCCAATATGCTTGTCGCTTTGACATTTCGTGACCGGCGGCGCGGCACATGTCTCCCCAGTGCTACCACGCAAGGCGGCTTCTTCCTCAAGTCGTCTCGGTTTACGGTAAGCAACGATCGATAAGTAATTTGAGATGCGTGCTTCTAGGATAGTGTCTCCGAATGCGCTCACTGCATGAGTCGGGATATGGGATTGGGACTCGTTGTTTTACTTATTTAATTGTTTACCCCCCTACCCACCTGCACTGCGTTGAAGTCCAGGTCCGCCTTGTTGGAGCCGGAGGGCACGGAGGAGGCCGCGCCGCCGCCCATTCCGATGCGGTAGGCGGGTCCGCCGATCTTGACCACCAGCATGCCCACCTCGGGCGCCTCCTTCTCCAGGTGCCGGTGGTCAATCTGACGACAAGTAGGTGGGTGGGTGGGGTGGGGTTCCAATGGATGAGGTGTGTTTAGCAAGCCGGGGAGACCGAGAACGTGTGAAGCCCCTTCGTATGCAATGCCGCCCTCCCCGCCCATGCCACCTCCCACACAACTCCACGCAACTCCACCCCGCCACGACACCCACCTGCCCCACGCCGCCCGAGAACATGATGGGCTTCAGCCACTCGCGCCGCTCGCCGCTGGGCAGCCGCTGGCCGTACGTACGGCAGTAGCCCGCCACCAGCGGCTCGCCGAACTTGTTGCCGTAGTCGGAGGCGCCGTTGGAGGCGTCGATGAGGATCTGCTGCGGTGAGGCCAGGCTGTCGGGGTAGACGAAGGAGGCGTCCTCGTGCGGCTGCACGTAGCCGTCCAGCCGCAGGTTGCCCACACAGTAGCCTGGAGGGGGGCAGGGGGGGAGGGTGAGGGTGAGGGTGATACATAAGGAAGGAGCTTGGCGGAGGGGCAGGCTAGCCCGAGGTTACAGGCTATTCCCTCCCGACCTGCCATCCCACGTTCACGTTTTGTCGCACTTCACACCCCGTGCATCTTCTTTCTTCCAACCATCGTGCCCGCCCACCGCACCCGCCTCCCAGTCGCCCTCCCCAGCCCCACTCCTACCCGCCGTGCCCGCCCCCATGATGGAGCCCGTGCCGGTGGCGTGCGTGTCGCGCATGCGGCCGCCCGCGCCCGTCTCCGCGCCCGGGTAGGGCGCCACGGCGCAGGGGAAGTTGTGGGTCTCCGCCGTGAGCAGCAGGTCCCAGTCGCGCGGCTGGGGCTCCAGGGGGGAGGGGCCGCCGGGGCTGCGCGGCAGCAGCGGGCGCACCGGGAAGCCGCGGATGGCGGAGGAGTTGTCCTTGAAGGCCACCACGGAGTTGTTGGGGTTCACCTTCCAGGGCGTCTTCACGATGTTGAACAGCGTGTCGTTCATCTGACGGGGCGGAGCGGGGTGAGGAGTGGGACGAGTACACCAACCCATCCACCTTTCCTCCATCCCCCTCAGCTCTTGCCGTGCGAATCAACCCTCCTCCTTTGTACTACCGGTACTACTCTTTCCCGCTCCCCGCCGTCCTTCCGGCCCCCCCCCCCTCACCGGCTCTCCGTCGATCACGATGTTGCCCCTGAAGAACCAGTGCCGCGAGTGCTCGCTGTTGGACTGCGCAATGTCAAAGAGCTCCACATTCGTGGGGTCGCGGCGCATGTCGTCGCGGAACAGCGCCGTGTAGTAGTCCAGGTCCCACTCGTCGAAGGCAAGACCCATCTCCTGCGGCGTGAGGTGGTGGTGGTAGGGAAGGGGGGAGGGGGCGGGGTGAGACGTGAGGGCGGCAGGACAGTACCGTAGCCGGTTCGCAGCCCGCGGTGTCCATGGGCCGCTGATGACACTCTAACCCCATCAAACCCTTCTTAGACGCCCGCTTCTTCTCTCCTTACAGCATTAGTACGCCAACGCGTTTGCTTTCCTTCAGCACCCTCAGCCGCCCCTTCCCCAAACACCCACCCACCCACCTTGTTGATCTTCTCCAGCGCCGCCCGCCCCTCCTGCAGCACGGGGATGGTGAAGGTGGGCGCGGGCGGCTGCAGCCCCTCGCTGAAAGAGCGCACCGGCCGGCGGTACAGCTCCTCCGTCATGCGGTCGTGCACCAGCGAGGCGAACGCAGCCACCTCGCCCTCGCTCAGCGGCCGGCTGCTGTGCAGCACGAAGCGACGGCTGCGCTCCAGGCGGTCCACCTGGGGGGGCGGTGGGTGGGGAAAGCCCAGGAAAGCCAAGGAGCCCTTCTTGTTCAGTGACGACCCACATCGCCTGTTAAGATCCGCATGGTATACCTACCCTGTATCCCGTTCCCGGCTCCGCAAAGTTGCTTCCCACCTTTTAACAAACTTACCAGCCGACTCCAAACCCCAACCAACCCCAAGCGGTGTTGCCGAGACGTCTGTGGGGCGTTTTCCACTTGCCAACCCTCTGAGCCACCCCTGCGCTGCTCCCTTCGTCCCCATCCCCGCCCCATCCGCCCGCCCTCGCTCCACCAACCCCGCTCAACCTTCCCCTCCTCCCATCGTCCCGTGGCTGCAACCCCTCCCTCCCCGCGCTTCCTTGCCTCCTCCGCCCCAAGCGCCCCGGTCCCACCTGCGTGAGTCCCACCGAGGCGCAGATTGACACCGCGTTGGTGGAGAAGGCGGTGGCGAAGGCGGCGCGCGGGCCCACCTCCACCACCGTCACGGCGGGGGAGGGCGCGGGCAGCTGGCTGGCGGGCGTCAGCAGCTCCGGCTCGAACGTCTCACGCAGCAGCCTGGGCGCCAGGTGGCCGTCAGGTGGGTGCAAGCCGCTTAGAGACGAGGACAGCGACAGGGGGAGGGGGGGCGGCAAAGCGCAGGCCAACAGCCAGCCATGAGGAACTGCTCGGTCAACCCCTCGGTCCACACCCTGGCCGCTGCAGACCCGCGGGTCCATACGCCCAAACCAAACGTCCCGAGCAACGACAGGCCAGCACCACCCACCAGGCCAGGGTCTCCGACTCGGCATCGCTGAGCGGCTTCGTTAGGGAGATGTTGTAGCACTGCGGGCGTAGGCCGCACGGTATCACAAGCAAGGGCAGCGCAGAGGGTGAGGCAGAGGGTGAGGCAAAGGGACTGTACGGGCCAAGGGACCGTAGCGGCTTTGTCTGTGCGTGTTGCATGCCCTAACTCGCATTCAGAGCATTGATCTTTCATGTTCCCCGGATTCGCTAGCAAACGTGTTCTGCATGTCCGCTGGTTACCTGCTCGCCGTCGATCTGTGTGATGGCTGAGGTGACCTTCTCATGGGTCTGCGTGGGGAAGGAGTGGGGCGCCCGTAGACGGTATACGTTGGTCTAGTGATCGTAAACTGTGCATAAGCTCAATAGGAGGGGCATGAGAAAACACACGCCGCCGATTTGCCATCCAGTTGCCTAACCCACATCCTCAATCCGCAATCCGCACACACATCCGCTCATCCTCAACCCTCTCCAGTACGTCTATACTGCCCCCCGTCTTCCATCGTACTCCGGCCCGCTTTCCCTGGCCCAGCCGTCAACCCACCTTCCGCAGCAGCGTCTTCAGCGTTGACTCGCTGAGGCCCGGGTAGCGGTACAGCTGCACCACCTGACCCGGCTTCCCAGCTTTCAGGTGCTGCACAACACCCGCGCCCACAGCCTACATGTAATAAACCAACGGGGTGCCTCACACGACTAAGAAGCCCGGCAACCACGTGCATGGCGCAGGTCAAGATGATTGGAAACGGCTTACCGGCTCCTGCAGCACAGCCTTTGGCACCACGACTGCTCGGCGGTTACGGTAGACCGCGAGGGAGGCTGCGAAAGGGGAAAGATATACATCGGCCAGGCTCGATGTGCGGCACGTTGCGCATGCTGCACATGGGCTCCCGCTCCACTTACTCTGCCGCAAAAGTGCACCCACGCTCGATGTGCCCACTGGAACATGCTGCACGGCTCTGCAGCATCAAATTAGCCTGGTAGTTGGTAAATGGCAACTAGGGTACAAATGAAACACCCCAGCTTTTTGTCCTAACCTTGGCAGCACCGTAGCCCGCCTAGACGTCGGCAGTTGCCCTTTATGGGCAGCAAAAGCTGCCGGTGCGCGAAGCTGCATCTTCGTTTCGGAGTGCCTGGCGGGGCGGCGCCAACAAGTCTCCTCGCTATAAGCGGCCCCTACGCAGTAACTATATGCCGCACTAGAAAGGCGATTAAAAGCAGGGCATATAGCCCGTTCCATCGTATGGCTTTGCGCCTCACGCCGCACTCTTCACGCTGTCGCTCGTCCACATTGTACGGTAGACTCAAACACGTTAAAGGAAAAATCGTGTTGTCGTTCAATTTATCGTGTGTGACCTTACTCGTGTCAGGAATGTGTTTGGGTAGAACATTTGTTATACCATCGTTGCACCATCGACTGCAGTTACCTGACATCGTTCAGTAAATGCAGGAGCTGTGTAGAAGCTTGGACTCTTAAGCGTACATGTTAAACGCATACGTGCACTATTATCGGAACGTTATGCCTATACGTCGCAGCTTAACCCTGCGGACTTGACCACTGCGATGCAACATGCCATAGTTGACTGTTCGGCGCTCTCAGTTACCTGCTGTCTTGCACCGATGGGCCTAACTACTGGGCACCCGCTAGACGATGTTTGGGGAAGCTAAGGCAAGGCGCAGCCGCGGGTCCAGTGTACACTAGAGGGCCGCACCTGCCTGGCAAAAGGCACTGCCAAAACGCACTGCACCTCTCACGTTTCATGTGAGTTATCCAAGGGGGGAGGTTTACGATTAGCGTGCCTAGTAGCGGCATACATGGCGGTGCGTGGCGTGGTATAGAGAACTACATAAGAGTTGCGCAAAGTGGACAAATGAGGTATCCCCTATGTCGGAATCAACAAAGCGGGTCGCAAGACGAATCCATGCATCCATCTAGACGACAAGCTGGAGGGCGTGGAGGGTCCACGTGAACTGGGCCGTCCACGTGAGCTGGAGGGTCCACGTGAATCAATGTGGTCCAATGGAATACACCCTTGCCGACTCCACGCCCCAACCCATACCTCACGCCTAAGGAACCCGTCGCAGGACATTCGCCCTGAGATTTGTAAGTAAGTGGGTGTTGGGCTCTAAGGCAAATGCGTTTGCATACATTGCTGGCGGGGAAGCGTTGAGCTGGAGGCGGGGGTCTTGCATGAAGGCAGGAATGGACTAGTAAGTTCGTACAGGGCGCGGGTGGGGCGTGTACGAGGGAGCAGGCCAGACCCTTTCAATCGTAACAACCAAACCTTTACAACGCACCGCCTTCCCAATCTGGCGCCCCGCCCGGCCGTCAGGGCCAGGCCACGCTCAGCTTAGAAGAAACCGCTTTGGTACCAAGGGCCCTGCTGAATTCCTCAAGGCTCAGGAGCACCTTCTCCCAGTTGTCCAGCAGATACCTGTGGAGCCGTTTCACAGCTTTAAAAGGTTGGCATTATGGTTACCCGAGGCCCTATGCACGGCGTAAAATTGAAGGGAACGGCTAATAGGGAACTGCCTTGGCGCCATGAGGTACCGATAGTATGTAAACGGTCGTGGCCACACGCTGCGGGTACATGTGCGCACGTCCAGGGCGGAGCTGCATGTGAGTGCCCGTATGTTAAGGCGTGCGGGCAGCGATAAGAACGCTAGGGCTCGGCACAACACGGAAGCTAATGGAATCCTGCCTTGTACCGGCAGTTAAAATAAGCTACTTGCCATTGATAAGGTGCACGATGGCCGTGCCCTTCGTACGTCCAAATCCAGCTTGCAAAAGTACGGCAGGGTTATAACTTACCGTTCCACAGTATGCTAGGATTAGGCGACTATAATATGGATTTTAACTTGGTTCCCGATTTTAAAAGCAGATACACGTACTTGCCGAGGCGCTTCGTATTGGCAGACTGCCAGCAGGCTGTGCTTTCACATTCCTCAGGCATACAAGGCAAGCAAAGAGCGCGCTAATTCCTAGGACTAACAAATACCACTGGAAAATCCTTTGCAAAGCGATAATGTCTCCAAGTTCGGGTTGGTTCACATAACTCAAGGCCCCCCACCTTGAATTGCGGAACAAGTAACCCACCATTCAATATACAAAATGGGCCAATGCCTCAGTCAAAATGGAGGAGCGGAAATCGCAGCAAAGGGTCTTGGAGGAGGACGTGTGGACCGGTCGGACTTGCTTGCAAGCGGCGTTCAGCAACAAGTACGTTGGTCCACGATATCCAGAAGCGAGAAATATCCTAGTCTCTCCAAACACGCGTTCGCCTGCGGTATTGGCGAAACCCTTGCAGGTCTCCCCGCTGGTCCAGTCACAATTGGTAGCGCAGAAGGCTGCGTGTTCATGTAAAGCTAGCGTTGTATCGGAAGGATTTTCCACGCAATCTAATTCAGCATGCGTGACTTCTGAGAGTGCGGCAGTTCGAGATTCTCCAGCCGGAACATTAGACGTCGTCGCTGGTCTTAGACTGGAGGACCAGCGGCGAGCGCACATACGCCAGGATGTTACAGAGCCTAATAGGGGTTCGGCGGGACGGCAAGGGTTGCACGGGATTGCAATCTTTGCACAGAACCAAGCCTGCGGGACAGCCTGCCAACCACAAAAGGATGCTCCAGCACCGAGCACTGCGACAGTTGACCAGACAGCAGATAATGGTCTTGTTACAGTTCCCATCGCGTGTTGCTGCGGTACCGTGGACGTGAAACCTGACGACATCAACGTTGCAGAGGAGGCCCTAGCTGTGGCACTATCGGGCATGCCACACGACATTCCGAAGTAAGTGGTCCCCTCGCACCCAACGGTGGCATACAGGTAAAACGAGGGTTATGTGCCGTGAGCCCGTGGCCCCTCTGATGGTGGATACAACAAGGCATGCGGGTGGCTCCTGCAAAAGGCATGAGTTCATGTCAAATCCGGCGTCCCTGTTGAGCAAGCATGACGGCCTTGCACTCACGCGGCTTGTTGCCGCCCTGCCGCACCTCATCTCACAGGTACGGCGCTCCCCGCCCTGCCAACGAGGATACCCGCATGGCCACAGTTCGCGCGTTGCGAAACATGCAAATCAACGAATGTCCAGAGCTTAACCTGGTCCTTCAGGTGTGTGGGTCAAAGCCGGGATGGATGACTCAAGTTTCTGCAGTGGCGGCATGAGGACGTCGGTGAAATGGGTTGGGAACATGGGGGGATACATCATATATGAGGGGTTCTGCATGATGTATTTCCTTGACCGCCATGCTACCCTCCTGTTTTGTCGTTAAGGTGGTGTGCCGCATCTGGTCGGCCTCATCGGCGTGCATCACAATGCTGGACTCGGACCAGGTCTTCATCTGCAGCGCGGAGGGAGGTGCGGCGGGCGGCGGGGAAGGGGTCGGAGGTGGGGAGATGTGGGTCGTGCGAGAGGTCGGATTTGGTTGGTGGCGGCAGCAACAAAACAGCGTCCGGACAGGCAAATGGGCACCAGGCGCCTGCCCGTAGGTCTATGCCGGAAACCCTCTTGCCAGAAGGCACACCTGGCAAGAACACTACGATGCACGCCCTCGCTGACACCCCCTCTCTCCCGTCTTAATTGATCTAATCACCCTCCGCCTGCTACCTAACCAGCTCCCTCCTCCGTCCTCCCCCTGGCATGGGCCACCACCCGGCGCCCAGGTATGGTCCCCGCCCGGCGCCCCTGGTCCATCGCCATGTGCCCCTGGATGCTGCTGTCGCGCCACCCCACTGCCATGGCGGTGGGCGACCTCACTGCGGACGCGCGCTTCGCCCGCTCCGCGCACGTGGAGGCGGGCACGCGCTCCTACCTCACCTCGCCGCTGGTGGCATCCAACGGACACCGCCTGGGAGCCATCTGCCTCACAGACAACAAGCCGCGCAAGTGAGAGAAGCAGGAGGTGGTGAGGGATGGAGCAGGGGTTCTGGTTGAGCGGCTGGTGCTGGCTTGCTTTTCTACTTGCCTGCCCGGCGTCCTTGTTTGTGGGGGCGCTGCCCTCAACATGTGACCTTTCCCTGTTCCCCTCCCCGGGGTGCACGTGTGCGTCATGCTGCCCCCCCACCACCACCATCAACCACCAACCACACCAACCACACCAACCACCAGGTTCGACGCGGGCGACTGCCGCATGATGAACAACTGCGCGGAGCTGGCCATCCGGGCGCTGGAGGTGGGGGACAGGGGATTTGCCACCCTGCGTTGACACCCTGCTGCAAACACCGGTCACCTCCAGGTCGCCCGGCGGGGCCTTATCTCGCCTCCCCCCTTCACTCTCATCTATCACCTGCTTACCGCGCCCTCCCCCCCCGCAGGCGCACATGGGCGTGTGCCGGCGTCTGGGCCTGTGCGGGGAGTTCGGCACCGCCGCCTCCCGCCTGCACCAGCACCAGCTGCACCCGCCAGCCGCCACCGCCAAATCCCACCTCCGCAGTGGACCCTCCCCGCAATCCACCTGTTCAGCGGAGGGCGGCGCCTCCCCGCCCTGTTCCCCTCCCCGACCCGCGCTGGACCGCCTGTTACCTCCCCCAGCAACAGCAGCATCTCCCTGTGCGGGCGATGGTGGGGAGGACAGCAGCAAGGCTGGCAGTGGCGGCGGCAATGTCGGGAGGGCTGCGGCGGGGCAGGAGGAGGAGCAGCAGCGGCGGCGGCGCGGGTGGCGGCCACGGGCTTCCTCCTCCTCCTCCTCCGCCTCGCTGGACACAGACGACGGAGCGCTCATGGAGGAGTACTGCAAGTGCGTTGGGAGGGGGTTAGATAAACTGAGCCGCGGAAACACTGACCCTGACCGTAGATTACCGGAAATTGCTTGATGGTGTTCCAGACTTCGAAAGTATTGTAATCATTGGGAGGGGGTGGGGTGGGGCTGGGAGGGGGAAAGAAGGCACGGGGCTGGGTAACAGCCTGAGGGGGCTGGGGAGCAGCTGACTGCACTGCGAGACGGCAATGCCACCCTGCATGGCATCAAGCGGATGGGATGGCGGGCTTACTAGCCCTTTACGTGTCGCTGCATTGTGCTGCAGCCTGTTGACTCATGCGCCTCTGCCCCTATCCTCGCCCGGCTCTTCCGCACCCCCTATCCTCCTCTTCCTCCTTGCAGCCGCGTCCGCGACCTGACGGAGGCGGACGAGGCGGTGGTGCTGCTGCTGGACACGCGCAGTCCCGGCTGGGCCATCCTCTACGTGTCGCCCGCCTGGGAGGCCTTCACGGGCATCAGCCGGGAGCAGGCCATGGGCGCCACGCTCAACGAGGTGGGGCGGAGGGAGGGAGGTGGGGCGGAGGGAGGGAGCCCAGGGAGGCTGGGGGGGAGAGCAAGGGCTGAGGCGACAGCAGGTGGGGCTGGGAGTGGAAAGGGGACTACCGCACGTGTGGACATGTCTAGTACGGCTCTCGCCGCCTCCGTACTCCTGTGTAAAAATGCCCTGGCCAGCAGTAGGCCATGTTCCAGACCACCGCGCGTCCTTGTGGGCTTTCCTGCGGGCGGACTCCGCCCGCCACCTTGCATGCCCTGAAGCCCTCCTTTGCGGCCCCATCCGCGGTCCCCACTCCGTAGCCCTCCTGGCCTCACACCCAGCCCCCCGCCGTCCCTGCGGCCCCCAGGTCATGGCGCACGTCAGCGGTGACCCACGGGTCGTGTGGGAGGGCGTGGAGCGAGAGGCGGCGGCGGGGAAGGCATTCGTCACGCCCAGGGTGAGGGCCAGGGCGGCCGGGGCTGGCAGAGCTGGCAGCTGCAACCGGGTGTGCAGGCGAGGGGCTGCACTACCGAGGGAGGCCGGACAGAGCAGGTTGCGCTCCAGGCCGCACTGCTGCGGCATCATGAGCTGTCTTTGTCTTTGTCCCTTCCATCCATGTTTTGGATGGTTCACACATCCATCCTCACCCACCTCACCCCCAGGTGTACATCAAGGCCTCCCCCGCCGTGACCTTCTACCTCTCCTTCCGCCCCGCCGCGCTGGACGACCTGGATGACAACACCGTCACACTGGGAGTGCCGGCCAGCGTGCCGCAGGTAGGGGGAAGAGCAACACGCAGGAGGCACGCATGTGTCGCCGCCCTGAAGAGAAACGCTGGAGAAACACACCTTTCAGTTGCCATATCTGGTTCATGTGCACTTTCCTCCCTGCCCACGCACTCTCTCCACCTCTATCCTCCTCCACCTCACCCGCCCCTCCACCCAGGCCGCATCCGCCACCACCTCCCGCCTCTTCTTCGCGCGCCTGCACTGCACGCCCGACCCGCCCGCCGCCTCGCGCACCCTCACCGCCGCCCCCGGCTCCGCGCTGCTCACCACGGGCCGCCGCCTTCCGCCCGCCATCGCCATCAACCCGGTGCATGGGCTTACGGAGATATTTGCAGGGCTGACGGTGGGGCAGGTGCTGGGGCAGGGCAGCTACGGCACCGTGTACCATGCGCGGTGGCACGGAGTGGACGTGGCGATCAAGGTGCAGGACATGCACATCCGCAGCAATGGGGAGCGGATGAAGGCGGAGTTTGAGGTAGGGTTGGGTCGGGGGTTTGGTGGAGATGGATAGCCCGCGGGTAAAAGGAGTGGGACAGTGGTGGGAATGAAGGAGGAAGAAAGGAAGCTGAGCAGCAGGAGGAGGGTGCTTATACTGCTTGACTTAAGGCTTTGAAGTTATGATACGAGGTCAAAGTACGATATACGTATCCTGTCCGCGCCTGCCATGTCCGCATGCTGCCCGCAGGTGGGTCTAGGCGAGCGGCTGCACCACCTGAACGTCGTACACACCCTAGCACACGCCTCGGCGCTGCTGGAGCGGTCAGGCAACTCAGGTGGGGGTGGATGTATGCTGCTGCTGCGGTTGATCGTTGCTGCCTTGCTTTCTTGCTGCCTAGCTGGTTAGTTGGATGCATTGCCACGGCGGTATCGGTGGTGGATGATGGAAGGGATGAGGGATGCATCTTTTCCCTTTCTACATCACCCCTCTCTCATCTTCCTCTCTGCCTTCCCTTGCTGCCGCGTTACATGCACACAGCCATTCTGGACACCAACGACTCCAACAACTGGAACGCGGGGCTGGCGCTGACGCCTCAAGGCTTTATGCTCGGCACCGCATCCAACGCCAGCGGCGGCGCCGCCGCCGGCGGCATGCCCACAAGCTCCCTGGACGCCAGCTACGACGCAGGACCCGCCTTCATCCCTTTCTTTGCCGGCGGTGACGCCGCCACAGCTGCCGCAGTAGCTGCCGCCGCCGCCGCCGCCGCCGGTGCTTCCGGCAGATCCACCCCCCACAACGAGTTCATGCCCCCCATGTCCTACTGCAGAGCTGCAGGCTCTTCCGCCGGCGGTGCCACCGGCGGTATGGTGCGTGTGGCGCTGCCGTCGGGCGCGCATGTGCCCATGCTGCTGCAGCAGCGTACCGGCGGCACCGGCGTGGGACTGCTAGGCAGTAGCACGCAGTCGCGGATGGCGGCGCCGTCGCTGCTGCCGCCTCTGGCAGCGCTGCTGGCGGCACGCGGCTCCTCCGCCTCGCTGCACAGCGGCTACGCAGCCGGCAGTACTCCCAACCTGGCGGCCACGCCGACGGCGTTGTCGATGACGAACCAGCGCATGTTGTTCACGCCGACACGAACGGCCTCGGGCAGCGCCGGTGCGGCTGCTGCTGCTGCTCCGGGGTCATCACGGCAGCCCTCGCAGGGTGTGGTGGCGGGACAGTCCTCATCCGTCGCCAATCCACCTGCAACGGCCAGCAGCAACGCCGAGGTGAGGGCCGCCCATGTTGGCGAAGGCAACGACTGTGGCGGAGGCAATAAAGGTAACTACGGCTTCGCGCTGTCGCCGTTTTGCACAACCGTGGACCCCGGGCACCAGGAGGAGGACATGCGGACGTCCGCCGGACATGCGGACGTCCGCCGGACATGCGCTGCCGTACACGCCCGGGCTGTGGGCAGCGCTCACGTCGCCGTCTCCTCCGGGCAGCATCTGTCGACGGTGCCGGCGCGCGGGGTAATCTCTGATGTGTTGAACTGCGGCGGAGTCGGCGGCGCTAGGAGCAGCGGCGCCAGCGGAATTGCTGGCGGTGTTTCGGCGCTGGAAGGCGGATTCGGCTCGTCCGTGCACCTCGCTACAGTGCTGAGCTGCGGCGCGAGCGCTGTGCACAGCCAGGCCGCAAGCAGCCTAGCAGGGGGCACTGCCAGCGGAATCACTGCGGCGGACCCTGCCGGCGTACTGCAGCGTGATGAAGGTGTGACCGGGGAAGCAGCAGCGGCGGATGCGGAGGTGGAGGTCGGGGCGGTGCAGTTGGATGTACTGCTGGAGGGCGAAGAAGCAGCATCACCAGCCGACGCCAATGAAGCGATCGAGTCGACCGCAGCGGTGACGACTGAGACTGCTGCTGCTTTTGCCGGCGGCGCCGGTGGCGGCGGCGCCTTCGCAGTCATGAAGGTGCCTGCGCCGGCGCCCGGCTCCTCCATGGAGGGGCTGCAGGGCCCTATTGAGGCGGACCTGTCCGGCGTGTCGTACCCGCTGGATGTACGGCTGTGGATGTTGCTGGAGTTCATGGACAAGGGCAACCTGCAGGTGGGGGCGTATGCGGGGGCGTGTGGTGTGGTACTGCGCGGGCTGGGTGCGGCTTCCCCCGCTGCTCAGTCCTTGCGCATCTCTCCTCCACCCCGGCGCCCTCTTACCTGCACGCGGTACTCCCCCGCGTTCCATCTTCCCCTTCCCCTTCCCGGCTGCCACTATAAATCCACTTCCCCTGTCAGTTGCCTTTATTTTGACTTCTTTTTCCCCCTGTCAGGACGCCATCGACCGCGGCTGGCTGCGCGAGGGCCGCGCCGCCGACAACGGCCCCGACTACTGCGCCGTGCTGGCCACTGCGGGGGAGGTGGCGGGGGCGCTGGCCTACCTGCATGCGCATGACGTGGTTCATGGGGACCTCTCGGTGGGGGGGATGGATGCAGGCAGGGGGAAGGAGCATGGCAGTGGGCGTACAGATAGGGGGGTTGCGTGTATCGGCGTGCCTGAGGTCTGCGGTACCAGCGCCCAGACTGCCGGTATGGTAGCGGCCTTCCCTCCAGCTGAGGGCCGCCCTGCAAGCCGCGCGGGGCCCTATGGGGCCAGGCGGCTTACACTGGCCAACAACAACCTAGCGGTCGGGGACTGCGCAGTAGCCGAAGGTGTTCCAGCAGCCGTACCTCCTGCAACTTTCCTCCCTCCAACGACCTTCCTGTCAGAACCTCCTGTACGCCCCTGCCGCCCCCCCTCCCCTCGCCCTCCTACCAGGCGGTCAACGTGCTGCTGCAGTCGGTGCGGTCGCATGCGGATGGAGTCCGCCGCGAGGACGAGGCGGTGGACACCGCGGGGCGCGGCTTCATCGCAAAGGTAGGCGGGAAGGAGGAGCAGGGGGCGGGAAGTGCTGAGTTGCGGTCCCGTGACGTCGCCTCCTTGGAGCAGCACCCGCTGTCGTGAACCGCACGTGCCAGTGCGTACCGTTACAGTCCGCGTCCGTAGTTCTGTCCGCCCCATGTTTTCACACTATGAACGCCTCTATTTGGGTTTCCTGCCGCCCTGCAGATCAGCGATTTTGGGCTGTCGATGCAGCTGACCAGTTCTGACCAGGCGATCAAGACCGGCTCGTACGGCACCATCACCCACATGGCGCCAGGTGGGTCTGGGAGAGGAGGATGAGGTGGCTCGTGCTTGGGTCATTGTCTGTCATCGGTCTTAGTTGTGCCGTGGCCTACTCGGCCCCTTGGCACCGGAGCTCTTAACCCGTAGCCCCTTTATGGCATGCTAGGCACCTGTTACAGTGGCCATCCGATGTCCGAATAGGTGCTGAGCGCCCGTCACCCACCCCAACTACGCATAACGGTAGCCTTTGTACGGGCTTTCTGCATCCATACATCCCATGTAAGTTCTCGGTTCTTCCCAAACCAGCTCCTCCCAACCGTTATGTACCGCAGAGGTGTTACGCGAGTCGGCCCTCTCCAAACCCGGAGATGTGTACTCGGTGGGGGTGCTGCTGTGGCAGATGGTGACATGCAGCCGGCCCTGGGCGGGGCTGTCACACCTGCAGGTGGGCGTGAGAAGGGGTGGGCGGTGAGGTGGGGTGGAGGCGGGGTGGTGGGAATGGACATGGGAAACCTTCAGGGCCCCGGGTTGCCCTCAGCCGCCCCTTCGTTCGCCTGTGGTTGACCTGTACCCTGGACCACAACCAATGACCCGTCCCCTGCTCACGCCTCATGCGCTCCTGTTCTGGCCCACGCTGCGCTCCGCCAACCCCGTCCCTCACATGTCAATTACCCTGGTCGGTTTTACGCATGGTCGGTTTGACCATGCGCGTACTGCAGGTGTCAGTGGAGGTGGGTCAGAAGCAGCGCTGCCTGCAGTGGCCGGGCTGGGTGCACGGGGGGGTGCGGGCGCTGGGGCAGCGCTGCATGTCGCCTCGCCCGCGCGAGCGTCCCACCGCGGCGCAGCTGCAGGCGGAGCTGGCGGGGCTGATGCGGCAGGTGCCGCAGTACGGGTGAGGAAGAAGGGGTTGACGAGGACGTGGTAGACGAAGAAGATGTGGAGAAAGGTGTGTTGGATGAGTGTGGATTTGCGCGTAGCCTCTTCTGCACAAGGGGGAATGCGGCAATGCACGAAGTTACGAAGTTATATGCGAGAGGTCTCCACTATTAGGTTTAGAAAATATTACACGTATGTGCATGGAAGTTTTAGTAAAAAAGCTATGCATGTGGGGCTTTCTTTCCTGGCGCGCACGGGCGGTAGTGTTCAATGGACTATGATGTCCGCGACCGAGGTTATTAACGTTGTACGGCGCCGGTGCAAAAGCGTGCGAGTATTGATCACACAAGCTCCTCCGTGGTCCGATTGTTGTGTTGTTTAGCGTCGCAATCCCTTACATAGTTACATTGCTTACCTTCCAAAGATGTGGGATCTGCGTGATGATGCTAGTGAGCCATGATTCGAAGCCTGCGGGCCGTCGTAATCGAACCCTCCAAGCGTGAGCCGAAAGGCAGCTGTTGCCTTTTGTGGAGTTGAGGCCTTTGCCTTTTGAGTCAAAAGAAGAAAGATCCCGTGCAAGTTTACGCGAGCTCTGCTGGGTCTTAAGCCATGTGTTAAGTGGGCGCATGTATGGTTTGCGTGTGAGGCACATTGCCTTTGTTGTTCTCAAGCAAACATGCGCGGGAGCCTGTGTGTTTGCGTATGCGCACCAGCTCAACAGCGCCAATGTGTGTTGCTTTTTATGCCCTCGATGTCGCCCAGTGGAGAGCGCCCAGTGCGCTTCACTGACGCATTGTTCGTATACGCATGGGACGGCTGGATCGGTTGCATGGGCATTGTACACGTGCGTGCTGTGGCACGTAGTTGGGCTGGAAGGCAAGCAATGTGGACGCCCCTTGGCTGAGCTGCGCCGTTCGGCCCGTTCCTGATGCCGGTAGTCATTTTTACTATCGTGCATGGTCGTGGTGCATGATCTTGTAGCGGTCTGGTAGTATGAAGCTCGTATGGATTGTAAAGTTGGCGGGGACCTGTGCCAGCAGCTTCGTGATGGGTAGGGGGTGAAATCCTCAAGGGGTGTTTGGGGGCATGGAAAAGCGGACGCCACAGCTGCAATACGGGATGCTGTTGCGCGCCACAGCTGTGACTGTGGTTCGGGCTTTGTGAGCAGGGCGACCTGGTTCGTGCTTGCGTCTGTGGGTGAGGGGTCAACGCGCCAAGGCAATAGCCTCAGTTCTCTCCAAATTGGAGGGCTGCGGCTACTTTAACAGGACTTGCCCGACGCGCGTTGTGCTGCGTACTCTTTTCCCATGCTGCATTGCCTAGACGTGCGGCTGCATGCATGCAATCACATGAGGTTGAGGTTTTGCGGCCAGTGACTGAGGTTGCAGGTCTGTTGTAGTACTTGTAAACTTCCATTTGCACCATGTCCTGTCATTATCCTGATGGCTTAAGGAATGGGGTACAGCATAAATATGAAGGCTGTCTCCATCTGCAGGCCCTGGTTTGTTAGGAACTGGCGTGCATTATGACTAGACAAAGTATTTTAGTGCGTTACTGACCTGCCTGCGCCTAATACAACCTGAATGCTGCATTCGCCTTCCCCCGTTCTAAAATCTGCATGTGCCTTTTACCTCTCCTATAGCTGCATGACGCCCTTCCCCGTCCTATAATGCTGCATGCGCCTTGACCCTTTCTTCCGAACTCCCGCCCATCCGGTGTGCTACTTTTTCCCCGGTTTCGTGATTGCCGCCCCAGTCCCAGAGCTAGCTGCCACTGACCGCACCGTCACTAGTATGAGGTCGCTTAGCCCGGAGCGAAACACGCCATGCTGAGTCCGTGCTCACTCGACTGACATGATAAGCTGCTGCTCGCCACTTACGGTAATGCATACCGTATGCTGAGAACATAGCTAAGGGTGCTGGCTGAAGAGGTAGACCCACCGTCTGTGGAGCGACCGCCATTGCGCCGCCAAAGCGCTGCCAAGGAGACGAAGCCATCCCTAAACGCTCTGCTCCGGGGCTGCATGAAAGAGCTACCATAGTCCAAATGTGCCGTGCTGGTAATGCTTTAGGGACATAAGGGACCAGGGACGATCGGATGGGGCTCTGGATTACAACAGGCTCCCAACCAGAGCTCCGTGCCGCTAAACGAGTAGAAGACAGAAGGCTCGAGGTTTGAGGACATCCTCAATTGGCGACCTCAGATGCGGGCTGCCCGAAGGGCAAGGCTCCAGCTTACTTCGACCGCTGCCGCATCTTCCGGCGCTTGCGCTTGAGGCGCCGCATACGCTTCTTCCTCCACTGCAAGGGCACACAAGAGGAAAAGGAGTCAGCAACAGCTTCAAAAAGCCAATGTGGCGAGAGGTAGGGCGGCGCCAAGTGCGGCGCAATAGGCGTCCTATGCAACTTAGCAAGAGACTCATGTGCAGCAGCAGAGAGTCAACACTGACCTTAGCGCGCATTTTTGTCTTGGGTCCCGAAGGGTCGAGTTAGGCGTGGGCCGGGGCTTTAGTCCCAGGGCAAAGGTGGCCGGACTCCAGGGAAGGCCCTGGGGTCCGGCCGTAGACCAATAGGTTTCATCGCCGTATTTATGGAGACAGGGGAACCGAGTGAAACTTTCCGAAACAGCCTTGCTGAAGCTACACGTGCGTCCGCTGTATTGAACAGAATGTTCACTGCAATGCGATACCTTGTAAGCATGATGGCTACCATGCGGAACGTCGTCATGTATGGCGGAACCGTTGCTGTTGCGGGAGCTGCTGTTGAAGCGGAGCGCCGGAAAGAAGCCTTGTTGGGCGACCAGGTCCCGGATGTGTCTTGTCATCCCTAGCTAGGCTCCGACTCTCACCTTCTTCTAACGCTGGTGTCAGCTCGGTTAGTCTTAATTGCCCTGTCAATGAGCTAAGAATGCTAGTCCCCGGAAGGGGACACACGGGAAAGGGCATGCTTTAGAGCGCACCGGTATCTGCTGGCGCTGTGCTACGACCTCATTCCAATAGCATAGATGTAGTAGAATCCGCCGCATGGTTCAGAGGCGGCGGACATCCGTTAGTTCCAGTATGCGGCAATGGCACGGCAACATGCGCCAACCAATCCGTGCTGACCTGTACAGTTTACGCTGTTAAGCAAACATCTTTATGCGGAGCAGGGGGTGGCGCTTTGCCCTGCACCTCTATGCCATGTACCAGTTTGTTGCCCATATCATAATGTGCGACTGTTGGTTTTTCGTCCGGGAAGGTGGTGTCCCATGGGCTCGCTCCGAGGGCATTTTCCTTTTTAGCACGTTTGCGCCGCGGCTACTATAGCATTTATTGCGGGAGTAATATGCACTTCTGTTCCAGGTTTCATTAGCTCCTCTCAACATCGCCGTCTTGGTAGTGAGTCTGGCCAGGCACAGGTACCTGTGCTTGTGTTTACCGTTTTCCCATGTGTCGACATGCTGTGGAACCCATGCAAATACCGCAACGTGTATCTTCTTTGTTGGTGGGTGCAAACGCATACCAGAAGCGTCTTGTCCCTCTTCGATGACTCGCTCCTACACATATGTGTATGATGTGTAGTTCGCTAGTACGACAAGAGTAGATCGTAATGCTGATCTTATTGGTGAAAGAATTGCCTGTACGTCCTGACTGGTACTCGCGCGGGTTATATTAACAGTGGCGGTCCAGCTATTAGTTTAGTTACCTGTTCAAAGCGTGTCGCGTGCATGGTGAATTGTACGGTATACGGGCGTCATTGAAAGGACTTTCTGCGACGGCTGCCTAGGGACAGTCATTGTACGTTCATTAATTCGTTCGAGCAGGTGTGTTTTGCGCCTGTAAGCATGCGTGGCTGAGACTGTAAGCCCCAAACTGGTGACACGGCGGCATCCGGCTTTCTCAGTGTCACAACGGCCTGCCTTGCTTTGGGGGGTTTAAGGCGGCATGGAAGGCCTCTCCAGCATGGAGTTCAGTTCGCTGCACACATGTGAGCCAGTCGAAGCAAACATGTAACCGAACTATCAATGCCAGAGGACAGTAGAGTATATGGGCCAGTAGCCTACGTTCTTATGATGGCTATGGGCGCGTTTGTGCTGGTACAGTACCATATCCAGACCATACTTAAAAATCTGCGCAGTGCAGCGAAATAACAGTGTGGATGCACACAGCAAACTCCGTAGCCCAGCCAGCCTGCAAGTAGGGAGAGGAGCAGCAAGGCCAACACCTACAGCGTAGCTATCGCGGGACAGCGTGTCATGGCTAAACCCTGCATGAACGGAAGTTATGAACACGGCTTGCGGTGCTGTCACTCCAGTGGAAGATGAGTTTGGCAGTGGTTGGCGTTACGACGAGCGACAAATGACCCCCGGGTCTGACTTCCGCAACACAGAGTTTCGCAGGCCTAAGAATGCTACTGCGTTTCCGATTGTAACAATATGCCTGTAGCCAATTACACCATTTTGAGGAACCTACTAGGCCTGACATACCGGTAACTAGCGAGAAACGCGCGTAATCGCACCGTATTCAATGCATGACAACAATTAAATTATATAGTCTATATACAAAAGCGGCGTGAATGTGCAAGCTGTACGGGACGGAACGGGATCAGATGGCTGTTCGCGCGGGCCAGTCGAACCTTAAGCCGAACCTTCTGCTTCTATGTCTCATCCTACCGGGTTACCTGTAAACTTGTCACAGCTTTAAGCATTTTAAGTGTTTCTCTACTACAGAGCATAATCTGCCTGTGTCGCGTCGTCGACTTGCATTGCTTGCAGAGCAAAGAAGCGGCCATGCCTTAGCCAAATGCGCCTGGAGAGCTTTACTCCAACTTCAATACATATTTGAAGTGTATTTTTTACCAATAAGTGAAAAAGAGATTTCTTGGCTTGCAAAACCATCACCCAACTGTGAAGTTGTGGGGCCGCCCGGGCCTGCGGCGTGGAGCCACGTGTGGCAGGCAGCCACGTCCACTACCGCGCCAGCAGCTCACCAGCCGGTTCTTTGGCAGAAGCAGCAGACGAAGGAACAGCACGACCAGCAGCAGGAACAGCAGGAAGGAGGTGGGGCAAGCAGCATAGGCGAATCTCGCGCTCCAGCCACAGCGGCAGCAGCCACGGTGGCATGGGCTGCTGCATCTATCCTCACTGTCCGTCCCTTCGCATCCCGCCCTGCCCCTACAGTTGGTTAGCCACCTTTCGGCGCTCGCGACCCCAAATACGCCCCTGCTAAGCTGGCAACACAGCGACCCGGGTTTCCATCTGCCGCTCTGCGCCCCGTACAGCCACGCCTCCACTGGCGTCTACCCCTCCCCCCGGCCGGCCCGCCTCCCCGCCTCCGCCCACCCCCAGCCTGAGCCAGCTGATGCGGCCGGGGGTGCGGTTGCTGGTGTGGGGCCGCGCGGACCTTGGACAGCTGGGGCTTGGGCAGGTGGGGAAGCTGGGTCCGGGGGCCGGGCTGCGGGGGGGAGCGGGGCCGAGGTCTTCTAGGCCGCATGGAAGGGAGTAATGAGTAAGCCTATGGGTTAAGGGTAAGAGGAGCTGGTGCTGTTGCTGCTGCTGGTGCTGTCGCTGCTGCTGCAGCCGGTCCTGCCAGCGGCACTTGGCTGCCCACGCGCGATGGCGGGCCCGGTACGTACTCCCTGCCAAGCCTTCCCTGCCACTCCCTGCCCACAGGCTTCTGAGGGCTTCCCAGTGGGAGATGCGGGGGCTGCGGTGCCGCTGCCGACACCCCTGGAGGTGCGGCGGAGGGGCGGGGGAGGGGATGCGGCTAGGGAACAGGAGTGCGTAATAAGTGTTAAGTACTAAGGGGCGCCCGCTCCCTTCCAACCGTAAGAGAGAGTGGGGGAGTGCAAGCCGATCCAGTGGCCACCCGTAGAAGACGTCGACTCGCCTGCATCCCCTCGCGCCCATTCTCTCGAGGGGCGCCACCCGTCTCCGACCCGGCCCCACCCCACCCTTACCCAGCCTGCTGTTGCACTACCCTCGTGCATATTGCCATGCGGCACAATCTAACCTGATGCAATTTAACCTACGCCAACCCACGCTTCACCCTCAGGCGTTGTCAGGCAAGGATGTAGTGGGCTTTGCGGCCGGCCCCTTCCACTCGGCCTTTGTGACGGGTGCGGCCCCGGGATTCTGAGGGTGTGGGCAGGTGGCGGTTGGGTTGGGTTAGAAAGATGCATGGGGTATCGATAGATGGCTACGTATCGGTCAGTCCAAAAGCATAAAGCTGTGTAGTGTTGTTGTACAACGAGGCTCCTATCCTCTGCTCCGACACTTGGAATGTCGCATGCAACCTTACCCGCCCAAAACCTCCCCCCACGTCTCCCTTGGCTCTCCTCCCTTCCATCCAAACCTTGTCACTTCCACCCAGCCTTTCTCTTCTATTTTCCACCCTCTTTCCATCCTTCCTCCCTTCCCCTCCGCTCCTCAGCCGACGGAGAGCTGTACACCACCGGCTGCAACGACAACGGCCAGCTGGGGCGACGGATCACACCCGCGAACATCGCCGCTGCTGCCGCTGCTGCCGGCGCTAGCAGCACCAGCAGTAGCAGCCCTCCCGCCTGCAGCTACAGCCTGGCACCCGGCCACGTGACAGCGCTGGAGTCGTACGGCGTAGCTGCAGTGGGGTGCGGGGGCGCGCACACGCTGGCTCTCACCGACCAGGTCAGGGGGCGCCGGGGGGGAAGGAGTAGAGGGGAAGGGTGGGAGGGGAGGGAAGGGAAGGGCTGGCCATACGTGCTAGCGGCTTTCATATGCATTGCCTCCTACTGCCGTCCTGCAGAGCCCCAGCTCCTCACCATCTCTTTGTTCACCCATCCCTCTGCCCGCCCCTACACCTACCCCTGGCCCACAACCGCCGCCCCTCGCCCAGGGGTTGGTGGTGTCCTGGGGTGGCAACGAGTTCGGTCAGACGGGCTGCGGGGCGGCGGGGGCGGACCAGCTGCACCCCCGCCCGCTGCGAGCGCTGGCGGGGGATCACCGGGTCGTGAGGTGGGGCGGGGAGAATAAATGGTGTGCAGGGGAAAGGATGGTGGTTTGGGGGGTGAGCTTCGCTGGTCTTGTTCAGCGCACAGGAGACTGCCCTGTTCCCCTTTGTCCCATCCATTTACCGGTAAAACCTCCTCTCAAAGCTCCTCTTTCACATCCTCCCCTTCTGCCTCCTCCTCCTCCTCCTCTCCTCGCCCTCTCCCTCAGGCTGGCGGCCGGTGCCAACCACTCGCTGCTGCTCTCCGGGTCGGGGGCAGTGCTGGCGGCGGGGCAGGGCAGCTTCGGAGCGCTGGGTGAGGGGTTCTGGCGGGCAAAAAAGAATATCCAATGTGTGGTGTATTAGTGGTTCTGGCGGGCAGGGCTGGGAGTGCATGCGGGAATAGAGCGGAAGAAACGACCTAACCGTATGACAGCGCGTCATGATGCGAATGCGAGGAAGAGCAGGAAGGCAGGGAAGATGGGCATGGAGAGGAGGAAAGAAATGAGGGGTGCAGGAGACCTGTATTGCTGGGAGCCGCTCGTCCCGCTTCCACGCCCCCCTCCGCTCCCCTTCCCTTGCCAGGACTCGGCGAGGGGCGGCTGGAGAACCGGTCCACTCCGGTGCCTGTGCCGCTGCTGCTGCCGCTGGGTATTGTGCAGGTGGGGAGGTCGGCTGGCTGGCGGGAGGTTGCGCGGGGGTGGCAAACGCAGGGGATTCCCGGCTGCTAGTGGGCAAGGGGTAGCGGGCCGGCAGCAACGAGGAGGTGCTGTTGTGTGCAAGTAGCTGTTATGCCGTGCCTTCCTCTGTCTTCACCTCTTAAACCCCATTTTCCCCACCCGGGCCCCAAGTCCTGGTCCCCTCTTTGTCTTTGTTCTCGCTCCCCACCCTTCCCTTCCCTTCCTTCCCTCCACCCCGCCTCAGGTTGCCGCCGGGGAGAACCACAGTGCGGCGCTGGCAGCGGATGGCCGGGTGCTCACGTGGGGTGAGGCTGGGGAGGGCAGGGGAGGGGGTAGGGTGCGGCAGAGGTGAGTTTGCATGCCCTTGTTGCCCTTGAGCTCACCCACCTCCCCCCTCCCAGGTCGCGGCAAGTACGGGCAGCTGGGTCACGGCGAGTGGGGCAACCGGGGCAGCCCGGCACTGGTGGCAGCTCTGCGGGGGCGCCGGGCGGTGCAGGTGGGGAGGAGGGGAGACAAAAATGAAAAGTGAAGCATGCAACGGGGGGGGGACAGGGGTAACGAGAACTGGCTGTGATGGCTGCTAGCCAACCCAGCCAGGTGGGCGAGAGGGGGGGTGGAGAGGAGGTGGGCCCTCCTTTACTTGCCAGTTGCCACCACTCCTCTTTCGGTGTTCTGGACTCGCCAGCTGGAAATCAATACCGCACGTATCACAGTCACCCGCTCCTTCCGGCCTTTCTCCATCCAACGTCCAGCATCAAAGCCGAACCAAACCTCCACAAAGCACGCCAAGTCACCCCAATTTCCCAACCCCCCCTCGCCCAGGTGGCATGCGGAGGGGACCACACTCTGGTGCTGATGGCCGCTGCCGCACCGGCGGGAGGGGAGGGCGGCATCAGCGGCTGTGGCAGCGCAGGAGGAGGAGGCGGGGGTGTGGTGTACAGCTTCGGTCGGGGCACCTGGGGGGCCACGGGGCTGGGGGCTACCGACAACACATGCAGGTGGGGGTGGAGCGGGTTCAGGGGTTGGAGCTTGGAGAGTGAGGAGTATGTCGGTTTGGGTGTTGATTGGGGCAGGATCTGGGGTTGGTCCTCCGGTTTGGCAGTGGACGATAACTCAGGGGTGGAGTGGTGGAGTAGCGGTGTACACGGGTAGCTGAGAGGGCCACCTGAGCATCCAGTCACGTGGTTGGAAGCTGCCAGCCGGCTCCCTCACTTGTTAGCCCGTCCAATTCCTAAACCAAAGCGCTCCTCCCAGCCCCATTCGAAGTCCTTCCCTCCCCTTACATCACCCGTCCCCTCCCGTCCCCTTCCATCAGGCCCTCCCAGGTTCAAGGCCTGGAAGGGGAGGATGTGGTGCAGGTAGGTGGGATCAGGGGGCCAAGCACAGTACAGGAGGTTAAGGAGGAAACAACTAACAAACCGTGTGATAGGGCGTCAGTACAGGAGGGGGCAGGCCGCTGGGCGACCCTAGCAAAGGTGCCACTTGGGCGCCGTACAGCCATTCTAGGCATACACGCACGCCCCGTCCAGACACCCCCGCACGGCTCCGTCCTCACCCCGGCCCCCAGGTATCCGCGGGCTCTCGCCACTCCCTGGCCCTCACCGCCTCCCACGCCGTGTTTGCATTCGGCAACAACGACTTTGGGCAGCTGGGACCGGGTCGACCGGGCTCAGCAGGGCGAGGAGGCATGGCAGCAGGTGGCGAGGGCGGCGGAGCGGGGGCGGTGCAGCCCTCGCCGCGCCGTGTGGGCTGCCTGCCCCCGCTTCCGGTGCTGGCGGTGCTGGCAGCGGGGGACGCTAGCATGGTGCTGCTGCAGGTGGGTGGTGGGAAGGAGATACAGATGACCAAGCTAGGGAATGGTAGGATCTTACTGCTTAAGAGATGAAGAAGCAGGGTGAGGTGAAGGTGGGGGGTCCGCATGAGAAAGAGTCTCCATATCGGTGTTGAAGCTGTTAGTGGTATGAAGTTGTTTCACTCCTTCCCATTTTACTATTCCCCCCATGTAGGAGCCATCTTCCAGGGGAGGCAGTACGGCACTCCAGATGTCCGTACCCGCAGGACCCCGACCAGGGCGCCGTCACGGGTTGTACGATACTCCGTACGAAATTCCAGATCTCCGCCGCCTTGCGGTCGCCGCCGCTACGGCCTCGGAAGACCCACGGGCCATTCGCGAGGTGGTTGTGGCGGTTGAGGAAGTCATGTCCTCGCCGGGGTATATGCTGGCAGCATTCTCGCATGGAGGAGCTTCCTCGCAAGCAACGGTCGTCGACCATCATGACCCCAACCACTTTACAGAGCACCAACCGCCAAAACCCACTCTGCCGCCGCTAACAAAGCAGCAGCAGAGGTCTTCCGTCCCAGCTGTTTCTATGTCCTCGGGTTCCTTCACCAGTCGGATGCAAAGGACCCATGGGTCATCATCCTCGCTTCGGCGTTTGGATGAGGGCACACAGGATTCCCTCGACACACATGGGCTAGATGTGGGCGCTATCCAGGTGAGGCTCTTCATTTGTCACTCCACCTTGTGGAGTATTACTAGCGGGATTGCTGCCAGGTGCCAGCTACCCTTGAAGCGTCCTTCTCCTGTTGCACAGTACAGCCCTCATCAGCATCCCGCCACCCGCATCTCTGCAACAACCTGTTGACGTACAACACCCTCCCACCTACCGGTATCCCACCCACCCAGCCTAGCTCGTTAGTTGCCTCGTCAGTTTTCCTTAATTTTACCTACCCCGCCTCTCTACTCTAACAGTCCTGTTTCGAGTCCCTGCTGCGGCTGTACAGCGGGGAGGTGGTGGCGGCACTGGGGGCGGCGCTGGGCAGGGGGCTGGAGCTGGCGGTGGCTGGGGCGGCAGCAGGGGCAGCGGGGGGAGCAGGAGGGGCTGTCGGACTTGGAGGAGCAGGAGGCAGTAGCGGTGGAGGTGGTGGTGGCGGCGGGAGCGCGGCAGCTGCATGGGCGGAGGCGGGGGAGGTGGCGCTGCTGCGGGTGCTGTTTGTGGTGTTCCAGTGCCCGCTGCTGGCGGGGGCGGGCAGCGGGAGGGGTGTGGGGGCAAGGTGAGGGGGTTGGGGAGGGTAGGGAGGTTTGGGTAAGGGGCAAAGGGGCTTTGGTGGGCGGACATGTCGGCCTTTTGCGGATCCGGCCGACGCCGCTATAACGGCTCTTTGGGGTGAAACCCGTGTGATGTTTCCTTGCCACCCTGTCATGCCATTATCAAACCCTCGTGCCCCATGCACCCCTCTTCACCCCCCACCCCGGGGTCCTAACTCCCCCCCTGAACCCACCCACTCGCAGCCTGGCCAGCCGACTGGTCGCCACCGCTGCACGGCTGCCCTCGGAGGCGCAGCAGGTAGCTGGGGGCTGGAGGGCGGGGGGCTGGAGGGTGGGAGGAGGGTTGGGAGTGGGAGCGGGAAACACGGCCCTTGGAGCGAGTGACATAGCAACCCTTCGTAGCGCAACGGTTTCCGCCCTCCTTTGCAACTCCTCGATCCCCTCTGACACAAACATGTCTGCTGATCCCCCCTGTCCGGTTCGTTATTCCGTAACCCGATGGATTCTGTAACACCATCCCCGTTGACCTGCGTCCGCTCTCCTCCCCCCTATACTCGCTACCCTCCTCACCCTCACCCCAGCTGCTATACACATGGCTCGTCTCCCTCCCTCCCGAGCTGCTGGGCGGGCGGGTGGTGCGGCCGCTGCAGCACTACCTGGGGCAGCTGACGGAGCAGGGCGGCGCGGAGCGGGGGGAGGGGGAGGCGGGGGGGCTGCTGGGGGAGGGGGGCGGGCGGGGCGAGGTGCTGGCTGCTGTCAGGGTGCTTGCGGGGCTGCATGCGGCCAATGAGAGGGTGAGGGGGAAGGGAGGAAGTGAAGAAAGGGGCGTGGGAGCCTTACTTTGCTGGGACTGGGACGGGGGCGCATAAACGAGGGGACGGATCAGAAGTGGCCACGGTTGGGTATCGCAGTTCTACAACGCTTCGCATTTCCCACGCCCCCTCAATCCCTTCCTCCCTCCCTTTCTGCATCCCCCAACCCACATTTTTAACACTCTCACTCTCCTCTCCCACCTCCTTACCAGGCGGGTTGCAAGCTGCCCTTCACAGAGTTCCACAACCCGCAGCTCTCAGCCGCTGTCAACCTGCGTCGGGAGTACATCTTGTGGCTGCAGGTGCGGGGGGAGGGTTTGCGGGGAGGCGGACAGGAGGAGGAGGGGCAGCAGCCTACAGCGTATCTGACACAGTACTGTCAGTAGAAGTGCTCCGGACACGTGCATTCCTTGCTGGTTGCAGCAGGGGGATCTGCCTTGGGCGCGCTGCCGTTCTACACGTCACATCACGCAGCGCAGGACAAACCCCTGGGCGGTTGTGCTCTGCTTCTCTGCGCTCATGCCGGTCCTTGTCCTCTACCGTATGTGTTGGCCTTACCTGGCTAAATGTGTCCTTTCTCCTTGATAACTACCCGCGTCACCAGATCCCCTTCCTCCTTTTCCCCTGACTTCTCCTTTGGGTTTTCCCCTGGGCCCCCCTGGAAAGGCCGCCGACGGCCGCTCGCCGCCGCCTCCACTCTCCCTGCCGACCGGTGATGGCGGTTCCACTCAGCACCACCATCACCACCCCCATGCGACCACCCCCCTGGTGTCGCTGTGCCAGACGCCCTGCCTGCTGACACCCGAGGCAAAGAGCCGCATACTGCAGGCGAGTGAGGGGCAGGTTAGGGGGCAGCAATGTGAGGGGTTGCTTGAGTGCGAGGGAACGGAGCCTTCATCGGCATGGGGCATGCCGATGGGTGCTTGTTACGACCTCACCCGCGGCCGTTGCGGGTCACATCCCAGGGACGTACCCTCCTTGAACCCCTCAGGCCCTCAGTCATCCTCCTCACCCCTCCCCCACCCCTCAGGGCTTGTCAGCTTGTTTTACCACTATCATACCACACATTGGAGTTTCCTTTTCCCTCCCCCACCCGCTCCCTTGCCCCTGCCACCGTACTTCTTGCCCTCCACCTCACTTCCTTCCCCTCAGGGTGAGGCGCACCTGCAGAAGGAGGCGGAGATGAGCGCAAGTGCCCGCGAGGCGCTGATGCAGGTGGGGGTAAGACGCTACTGTGCAAATGGGGAGGGATCTGGGAGGGCCCGGGGGGCGGGGTGGGGGGTGACCACGGCTGTGATGGTGTGGAGCGAGGACGCTAGCTGTTGGTCATGCAAGTGCACGCTTGCTGGCTAGACCCAACAACACCTAGCCGTGTTGAACCTCAACAACTAAATGTACGTTAACGCAAGTAAAGGTTAACGCATGATCATCTGCGTCAATGGGAATTGTAACGCGTACGAATGCCCCTCCGCAACCCAACCAGGGCCTGCACCCCGCCGCCTCCGTGTTCCTGGACATTGCGGTGCGGCGCAGCAGCCTGCTGCGGGACGCGGCGCAGCAGTTGGCGGGCCGCCCGCCGCACCACCTGAAGCGCCCGCTGCGGGTGACGTTCGTGTCGCAGGGGGTGCCGGAGGAGGGGGTGGACCAAGGGGGCGTCAGTCGGGAGTTCTTCCAACTGCTGGTGGGTCGCCACGTATACAGTGGACGGGCAGCAGGGAAGGGGGAAAGGGAGGAGCAAGGAGGAGGAGGAGAGCAACGTGCGGGTTTCGGCACTCGTGGGAGTGCACTGGTATGTTGTATGTGTCGTTGGAGAACGTTGTCCATGCTTCCAACCCTTGCCCTGCATGCCTTAACAATGCCCAACAATGCCGGGACCAGGTTTCGGAGATCTTCCAGCCGCAGTACGGCATGTTTACCTACAATGAGGAGAGCCGTACCTTTTGGTTCAACCCCGCCTCCGCCTGCCTGGAGGAAGCTGGCGCGGTGGCTGAGTGGCGGCTGGTGGGGGCGCTGCTGGGGCTGGCCATCTACAATGGGATCATCCTGGACGTGCACTTCCCGCAGGTTGGGGGATGAGGGGAGACGGGGAGGAGCTTCGAGGAGGAGGGGAGAGGCAGCATGTGGGAAAGGGGCGGGGGCTGGAAGGAAGAGCAGCGCTGGGCACGGAATGCACCCAGAGGCAGGAAGGGTGGAAGGGTGGAGGTGCATTGGGCTGCCCCCTCGCCCTTACGTTGTGACAGTTCGTTGTGATTCCTGGCGCTAACTGCAACCCGGGAAACCACCCAAAACCCGCCCTGCCACCACCCGTCTGCCCCTCCCATTCCCAGGCTGTCTACAAGAAGCTGCTGGGGGAGCCGGTGGGGCTGCCCGACCTCACGGAGGCCTTCCCCAGCCTGGGCAGGTCGCTGCAGGTGGGGGCAGCTCCAGCGTGGGAGGGGCAAGGAAGCCCCACGTGAGCCCCATATCTTTAGCCATGTGCCTTCCCATCTCTTCCCTGCATCCTCCTAACCCCATTGCTCTGACCTGTCGTAGTTATAGTGTAGTTATAGTAGGGTCTTTGACTCCCCATCCGTCATCAGTCTCATCACCCCTCCCCCCGAGGGGCCGCTAACCCTCCCTTTCTCTTGTAGAACCCTGCCGCCGCATTCCCCCATTGTTTTGCCCACATTCGTTGTTTCCACTTGTTCGGTCTACTCGGAACCCCCCTTCCCTGGAGCTCCCCTGCAGGCGCTGCTGGACATGGATCCGGAGCTGGTGGAGGATGCGCTGTGCAGGTAGCTGGGGAGAGCGAATGGGGGCCCGGTGCTTGGGAGGGTTGCGGGTAGGGGTTGAGGAGCTAGGGGACGGCTTCAGAAAGCACTGAAGCAAAGGAAGATGCGAAGTGGGTGCATGCAGAAAGCGGTTGCCTGACAGGCGCTTCCCCTTTCAGCAGCCACAACCCACCCTAACTGACCGGTATTTGCCACCGACAGCCTTGCACGTTCGGACACCAACCCTCCCCCTTCCCTCGCCTCATTCCGCAGGAACTTCGAGGTGCAGTACGACTGCTACGGCGAGACCCGCAGCGTGCCATTGATCCCCGGCGGCAGCTCGATCCCGGTGACGGGCGCCAATGTGGTGTCGTACGTGGGTCGGCTGGTGGAGTGGACGCTGGGGGAGAGCGTGGACATGCAGTTCAGGGCCTTCGCGGCGGGGTTCCACCAGGTGGGGTGGGTTCCACCAGGTGGGGTGGGTTCCACCAGGTGGGGTGGGTTCCACCAGGTGGGGTGGGTTCCACCAGGTGGGGTGGGTTCCACCAGGTGGGGTGGGTTCCACCAGGTGGGGTGGGTTCCACCAGGTGGGGTGGGTTCCACCAGGTGGGGTGGGTTCCACCAGGTGGGGTGGGTTCCACCAGGTGGGGTGGGTTCCACCAGGTGGGGTGGGTTCCACCAGGTGGGGTGGGTTCCACCAGGTGGGGTGGGTTCCACCAGGTGGGGTGGGTTCCACCAGGTGGGGTGGGTTCCACCAGGTGGGGTGGGTTCCACCAGGTGGGGTGGGTTCCACCAGGTGGGGTGGGTTCCACCAGGTGGGGTGGGTTCCACCAGGTGGGGTGGGTTCCACCAGGTGGGGTGGGTTCCACCAGGTGGGCAAAAATAAGGAAAACCAGTAGGTGGGCGGGGGTGGGGAGCGGGTGCGAAGGGGCAAGGTAGGTAGTTGGGTGGCTTGGGGAGTGAGGGGCAGGTGAGCGGAAAGACTTCCTGGCACTTACCAGTGTGCTGTGTGGTAACAGGACTACCGCACCCTGATGCGTACCTGTTACCTCTTAACCCAACACGCACCCTTGTTTCTCCTGAACGGCCGCATCTGCTTACCCCTTCTTTCCCCTCCCCCCCTCCGGCCACCCCTCCGCATCACGCCCCTCCCTCCCTCCCTCCCTCCGCCCAGGTGTGCGGCGGCCCCGCACTGAGCCTCTTCTGCCACGAGGAGCTGGAGCTGCTGGTGTGCGGCCTGCCGCACCTGGACTTTGGGGCGCTGGAGGTACGGCAGGCGGAGACTCCTAGCTAGCTAGCATCGCTTCGATTGAAGTGCTAGCTGGGGGGGTGGCCTGCTCAACTCCCTTGGCCTGCATCCTCTTGCACCCTCTCCTAATGACGTGCTCCCTTCTACGCCCTCGTTTTGCTCTGTCGCCCCCATGTATGCCACCCTCATCCCAGGCTCACGCGCGCTACGAGGGCGGCTACCACCGGCAGCACCCCGTCATAGTGTGGTTCTGGCAGGTGGGCGGGGCCAGGCAGGAAGGTTGTGGGGGGGGGAGCTGAGAGCGATTTGCTGATGTGGGCAGGAGTGCGAGTTAACTGAGCAGGACGCCTAATGCTCTGCACCTTTGTTAGGTGGAACTTCGGGTACATGGTGCACGCCATGGGCCTGGCCTGCGCTACATGCATCCAACACCCAACTCTCCACTGCCGGCCGACCTCCCACCTCCTGATCCCTCGCCTCCACCCCCCTCTCAGGTTCTGTCCGAGCTTGACCTGGACGCCAAGCGCCGCTTCCTGGCCTTCACCACCGGCTGCGACCGGGCCCCGGTGGCGGGACTGGGGGCGCTGGTGCTGACCATACAGCGATCAGGGTACGTGGGTGCAGCGAAACTGAAGGGGCAGGGCTGTCTGTGCAAGCGCTGTACCCGCTCTCAGGCACTCCTGCATTGCCTCCCCTCTCCCTCCCATCCCGTTTCGCCGCCCGTACTCTTTCCACTTCCATCTGACTCATTCCGCCTCCAACCTCCCCCGCCCGTTGGTTTCTCTCCGGCCCCCGGCCCCGCCTCCCGCCCCCAGTCCCGACTCCGCCCGGCTGCCCAGCGCCCACACTTGCTTCACCACGCTGCTGCTGCCCGAGTACGGCAGCCGAGGCAAGCTGCGAGCCAAGCTGCTGACGGCCATCGAGAACGCGCAGGGATTTGGGCTCAAATAAGGGTTGGGCTGCTGGCAATATGGTGTCACTAGATAAGAGGGTGGAGGAGGCAGCAGGGAGGCCGTCTTGGGGGAAGCAGGAGGCACCGGTAGGATAAAATCCATATTTGGGGCTGAGAGAGCGCAACAGAAGGTCTCGTTGCTGTAGCCGACTTGGAATGGCGGTGTGGCCTGGTTTGGCAGGTGGGTGTGTGGACTGTGTGGGTGCGGGCGGAAGTGTAGTGAGTTATACGGTGGTAGAGACGTGTGTGCTTACATTCATTGCGGCCTGTCGCGCACAGGTTGTGTCCCCCGATGCATAAGAACCCTAAAAGTCCCAAGATCACCAAGGCCCTGGCGCATCTCTTGGTTGCTTGGCGGGTTTCCTGGTGCCAACCGAAAGGAGACATGCAAAGATACAATCCACTCAGCCGTGTACGGAACATTCCAGAGAGCTGTCCTAAGAATAAACGACTTAAAGTTGGTTAGCAGACTTGCGCGTAGGCGCTCTGTCGAGCCTGCTGTGTTTGAACTGCACGCCTATAAAGGTCGCGAGCTGTCCTAGTCACATAGGCTTGAAGTAGCGCTCTTATACGGTGTCTTAATACGAACCGGCTCACGCCTTTATAGGTAGCATCGATAGGTTGCAACTACAAGAGATTTTCCCAGAAGTCAGGGGCATCTATTTTCTTTCAGACACCTGCACTAAATAAACATGCCTAAAGGCAGCACGAAGCCTTCAGGTCACATGCTTTACACTCTACCGATATTGTACGGCATGTCCTAAATAAGCAAGGCTTGATCAAAGGAGTATACGAAGAGGCAATTCGACGTACATGTGCCCCTAGCTAATTGAGATTTCTTCGTAGAATGTTCATATACATCTGCAGTAGTGGCAATTGAAAAGAACAAAACGTACCGCAAAGCACCAACTCTATGCCGCCCCTCAGCAAGAAGGCGCTGAAGGGCTTACGAGCAAGGGAAGCAAATCATGAAGACCCCATCGACTACCTAGGCGGGTGCACGTCCGAAAGCGGAACTGCTGGTGAACTGACTGGAGACTTCAGCGACGAAGATTGCTTTTCGCAAGCAAGCCTTGGACGCAGCAGCTATTCCGATGCGGATTACGGTCGTGAGCTGCTTGACGTACATAACACAATTTACCAGTTGTTGGAGCACGACGACGCCGAGCGTGCTGGAAAGGAGAAGGTGTGTAGATTTCCTGGTCGCCATGTGAATGCCGTGAGTGCCCAACATAGCCATGTAAGGATTACCGACGACAATCTGTGAATGTCTTTTAGGTACAATATGCCAGGCGTCGTCTAAGGGAGGCTATCGACGCCGAGCATGTTTTCCAACTTGAGGAGCACTGCAGTCGTTTCCGCGGTGACCGCAAGTCCTTACACAAGGACGGCGTCATTATCTTTGGAATCAGCGTCCAGAATCACAAATCAACGAACTGCTTCACGCTGAAGAGGGTAGGCCAGCTAAATGCACTTGCTTGAGAATGGCTTCCGAATGTCATCCTTAACTTGGAAACTACTTCATGCCCTCGCTCGTGTCCTCGCAGCATGATGGCGAATCGTTCCTAGGTCACTTTGGCCTACGCAAGCGGGTTACGATATTCAAAGATCTCGGAGAGCCAACTGGTGCAAAAGAATCCTCGACGGCAGCAGCATCTGCGGCATCCCAGCCGACATCCTCGGAAGCACATGTTACGGACAACAGTTGTGCCAAGGCCGAAAGGGGCGTCGTCCAGCAAGAGGAGGAGGAGGAGGCGGTGGTGGTGGAGGAGAAGCTGCCTGGAGAAGGCACTGGGATGCCTGACAAATCCACAACCATAACGTCTTCATCTGAAGTACGCGACGCCCTCCATAACAACGTGCGGAAACGCCTTAACGAGATTGGCATTGTCAGGCAATTTGATGGAGTGGTCATCCAAGAAATCAGCCCGCAGGAGATTGTGATCAAGTCCCGCTATGAGTTTGCTGCACGCATGGTGGATGACGCGAATGAGGTTGGTAACCTACTATCGGTATTGATCGCGTTAAACGTGCACTATAGATGTACGGCAGTTTTAGCGCGTAAGAAAGGCCCTTGAACACTCGCATACTAATATTAGAAGGGTTTGCATCTAATGCTGAAACCGTTCGTGGTACACTTTAGATAACCACTTGCTTGTTGCTTCCGCTCGATTGTGGACCTCCAGGAGGCGGTTGAAGAGGACGATGGAGAACAGAGCGACACCGAAAAACCGATCAACATCAAGGTAAGGTGATGGTGTGTGGACGACAGGGGTAATGGCGCATCACACGCAGGGGACGCACCTAGGGATTATATGCAAGTCACAAACATATATACAGCCCCAACTAGCCAGGGCAGCCACGCCTCCGCTACATGAATGAATGATCGTTACAATGGTGCCCTAAAACATATCGTAAAACATGTATGCTCGACACATTAACGATGTGCAAACCCTGTGGGCTGGATAGGACGTCGCACACTGGGCTGTTGCCGGGGACCTGCAAGACTGCACCTTTCGCCGCCAAGCCGCCGCCGCGGAGTCGCTGGGCACCTTCCTCTCTGTGAAAGAGGTCTCACCAGTCACCGGCTGTGCTATACGACGCGATGAGGAGGTGCGGCTGCGCAAGATCATCCTCTGCGACCCAGCCAGCGGTGAAGATAAGGAGTTTGCGCGCAGCGCCGCCACCCAGGGTGTTGAGTGGCTGAGTGAGAAGGTTCAGGCGGAGCTGCATGCAGTGCTGGCGGCGCCGCGGCTGGGGTTGAACGAGGAGCAGCTGAGCGTGCTGAAGCAGGCGGCGGGGCGCTCGCTGACGCTCATGCAGGTGAGCGGACAGAACAGAAGGTGTGAGGCATCTATGCGTGTCGGGCTGGGGCCTTTTTGTGTTGCGCCTACTGCTGCCACTGTTGCCGATACCGGTACTTATTATCCACCTGCCTGCTTTCCCATGCATGGTAAGACGCGACGAATACGGTCCTATGTTTGCCACTGTGTCGCACCCACAGGGGCCCCCCGGCACGGGTAAGACCTACACGCTTGCCGCCATGGCTGCGGCGCTGTGCCAGGTGTTCCACGACCCCAACGGCACCGGCGATCTGGAGAGCGGAACGCACGAGTTCGAGATTCCAAGCAGCAAGGACATGAAGGATTGGACCCCGGAGGAGGTGAGGGTGCATGCAAAGCATGCGGGCAAGCATGAACGCTACTGGGGTAGGCAAGCCAGCTTGGAAGTGCATCAACTGTGATAGTAGAGAGGATAGGAAGGTGTCGACTCAATTTAGAAATACGCTGAACGTATGTGTCGCTGCATTATGCAGGTTGTCCGCTGGATTGAGTCCTTCCAAGATCGGGAGCTGGTATGGCGCGCATTGCGAGGCACGACGGTATGTGCATGTGTACGGGCTTTGGGCTGCATAGCTTTCACTCCTCCATCCCGAGCTCCTTATCGACATGCTAACGATACCTAAGGGTGAACACGAAAAGGTAGCGGATGGTCCCTATTAAGCAACCAGCTCATGCATGCACTCCGCACCCATGGGTCCATGGGATGGCATGGTGTGGCTGTGGGGGATGCATGCAGCGTGGTAGGCTTGCGTGAATCTCTTACCACCAACCTACTGAGCCCTTGCCCCTTGTGGAAGCAACAACTTACCTGTAATGTTCCGACCATTGCGTAGTACCGCGTTACCCTGCACATCCCTCATCCCTCCATCCCTCCATCCCCCTTCCCTCCATAACACCCTGGCACCGCCGACGGCACCCTTGGCAGGGCCACACCGGAAAAGCCATCATGGACCACAGAACCAAGCGCCTGCGCCACCTCCTCACCCGCAGCAGCTCCTCCTCTTCCAACTCGTCCTCCTCGTCCGACGACGATGACAGCCCCGAAGAGCTCGAACGCGTCAAGCGCTACACCGAGGAGTTCAAGCGCCTGCGCAGCGCTACACTGGAGGCCATCGAGCAGTGCCAGCAGAAGAGAGGGCGGTGGAATACGGGGTTCTGGCGCACCGCGGATCGCGACATGCGCATCATCATGTGCGCCGACACCAACACCGCCGCTAACCGGCTGCTGGAGCAGCTGGTGGGGCTGCTGCCGCCAGAGTCCTCATACAGCATCGTACGCATGGGCGTTATGGATGAGGTGGGTGGTGTTGACGGGAGTTGGCCACACTACAAAATCCCTGTTATCTTGAGTTGCAGGACCAAAGGCACGAGGGAACCAGCTTGGCACTGCTATGAATGACTGCACAGAAGTATCTTGTGCCAAGCTGGTAGCTATTAGGGGCGGGTGATGGACTGGCTTTACGCGAAGCAAAGCAGACGGTGCAAAATATCTTCCGCTAGCGCATTGCTGGCCGGGGGGCTGATTTAGGCTACAATGACGTAAGCAGCATTCCTTAATTACAAAGCCGCCACTCTTCTATCTGCCGTGCAGCTCACCGATGGCGGTGGCCTCGAGGGCAAAGAGCTGGCCACCAAATACCACATCGACAGCCGCCGACGCAACCATCCATTAGAGCAGGTATGTACGGAGCACGCGGGCCGTGCGGAGCCAATGGGTGGCTTTCAGCCACGCAACAGGACTGCTAGGGAGAAGTACATACATGCACAATTCTCACCATGACTGTCATAGAATGCTTGCTGAATTGGGGTACGGTAGCACGGTGTAACGCGTGTGGTGACCCACGGGTCGCGGCTTCATGTATCTGTAGGCCAGGGAGAAAATGTTCAACGCCATGGAGAGGAAGAAGCTCACCAAGCAGATGGCTACCGAGCTGAAGGTGGATGTGGGTTATGTGGGACAGTACTCGGCGGCCGGGAATCCCGGTATGCCATGCCTGCTTGGGTTTGTGGTGAAGCCTTTGCTGCTGCAATAAATCAAGCTTAACTTCGCCACACCATGTATGTATGTGCAGGGCGAAATCCTGGCGTTTGCTGAACGCAAGCTCGTGGAGGCGGAAAATGTAAGCAGCGCGCGCTCTGAGGTGCTTCAGACAGTGCAGCAATATTACACACAGCAATACGCACAGCACGCACTAACAGCACGCACGGGGACTGGGGACTGATGTGACTCTTCTTCACTTCGCACCGTGTACCTGTTTACACTGCTGCTGCTGTATCTAAGCAGCAGCAGCAGGGCTACGGCGTTTGTTCCTATAGTTACGTTCCCACTCCAACACTTAGTTCCGGTTCGCTGCGTGCATGCAGGAATCCCATCGGGCGCTCGTGCGGAAGAGCTGGGAGGAGCTGGCCACGTTGGTCAAGAACGACATCGCCCCACGGGTGGGTAGGGTGGGGATAGCCCGAGCTGGCTTGAGTGTCGCACTGGTGGTTCGGATCGCTAAACGCGACCAAGCGCAGCTGCTGCGAGGTATAACGGCTAGGGTTACCCATGACACTAAAGAGGGCCCATTCTTGTGGCTTGCATGCTTTCACCCTGGCCCTGCCTTGTGGGTGATAGCCAATTACCAGTGTACCTGTACCTTCAGCAGTCAGATGTGCCCCGTCGGTTACAGATTGAGACTCTGACCGGGCAGTTCTTGAGCTCCAGAAAAGGCGATACACGGCGTGAGGCGCGTCAGGCACTCAAGGACCTCCAGTTGGGGCTGCGGGAGCTCGCCCTGCACGACATCATGATCTCCGTACAGGTGGGCGCGCGATGTTCATGTGCATGACGAGCATGAGACGCACGGTTGGCTCGCCCCTTTATGGGGCGTAGTCTTAGCGTTCGGTCCTAATTGTCCAGACCGAGACCTTTTGTCCTTTTTGTACCGTGAACAGTCCTATGCCTGTCCTTTTGTACGTGGTGTATGTACCTGCAGCGAGGATGTAAAATGAGGAAATAAAGATGTGATGGTGAAGGCATAATTGTGTAGTTTTGGCTTGTCAAGTCTGCGTAGTCATGCGAAGCTTGAGGTAACATTGCGATTAGCGATATGCAGGCGCGGCGTGAACAAAGTAATCATTTAAGAACCAACATGCAGCTTAACTCACGTTAGGCAGGAATGTGTGGTAATGAAGAGAGTATGTGAAAGCAATTATAGTCGTACATGCTTTCGCTCCGGCATGTAGGTCCGGTCACCCTTGAAACTTGCATTCAGAGTGATATACCGTTAGGAAAAACGCGTTTTTTTGGGGGCGAGCCCTCTTGTCTGCGAAGCTGACGGGTTTCATTACCGGTACCATTGTTATTGTTCTACCTGCGAGCGGTGTTTATACGTAACCGCATCATGGTTGAAGCCTCCTGCCGTTATGCACTTCTTAATTTGTTTTACATGCCGCCTTGCGTCAACGCACTGACCTGGACCGCTGCCGTACACAGGTCGTGGTTGGAACCAACACCAGCATTGGCGAACTGCAGTACATCTGCGAGAAGAAGATGCTCTCCTTTCCGATCGTGCTCATGGACGAGGCGGGACAGGTGCGTGCTAGGTCGTGTCACAATGCGATATGCATGACAGCTTCAGCCTACGGTACTCTTAACATCGGGTGGAGTGGAATGTGGCGCAATGGGGATTTGGGGGGGCATAGCTGCGTGCCATGGTTGGGACCGACCCGCAGCTAGCTCGACAAGTTCACAGCGGGGTCCTTCACCGTCGCAGTTCCTAAGTAATGAAGTCCTAGAGGCACCTGTGAGACCGTCTTTCCTCTGATTACCCGTAACTATAACTGGTGACACGCATAACTTGCAAGCACCCCAGGGTGAAACCTCGGACGGCATCCACTTGGGTAGGGTTGGGTTGGTCCATGTAGGGTTGGGTTCATCACCCGTGTTCCCTTTTAGGGCACCATTGTAACGATCATTCATTCATCCACTTCATTAAGCCGCACACATGTGTCAGGCAAGCCCACAACCCCGCCCCCTACGCATCCCCTCCTATGTGCGACGCATCATGCTCCGCCTTCCATGTACGGTCAGTCATCGGAGCCGTCGTCCATTATCCCGTTGACGCTGGGTGCGGAGTGGGTGCTGATGGGCGGCGATCTAAAGCAGCTGCCGCCCACCCTGCACACCGATGTGGCGAAAAAGGTGCTGGGGTACGACACACGGACAGCTGGCTCACAGTACGGCAGGTAAGAAAGTGCGCTACTAGGCCTTTTGTACAGCCGCTTTCCGCCAGTCCGGCAGGCCGGCATGCAGGAGAGCGCAGCAGGTGCCTAAGGCGTGCGGCTTGCTTGCCGTCAATCCACGTGCATGCACACCGCCATCAACTGGCACGCACTGAACTCTCCGCTTCTGTGCGCGTTAGCAACTGCTGCTGGCCATTGCTGTTCCCTCGCCGCCTGCTTCCTTAACCCATGCCTGGTCCCCAACGCAAACTAGGTTCGCCGGCCTGAACGTTCTGGAGCTGTCCCTGTCCCGCCAGTACCGCATGCACCCCGCCATACGGGACTTCCCCAGCCGCTGCTTCTACGACAACAAGCTGTTCGAGGACCCGCAGCGCCCGCCCGACATGCGCGTGCCGCAGCCACGGTAGGAACATGGCTTGGGGACCCAGGTGCAGTAAATAGTGGACAGGGGTTTGGCGAGCTGCACGTTTTGACCGCTGCATGTTTTGCAGCATGCACGTTTTGACCGCTGCATAATGTTGCGTACGGACAACTAACCCTATCGGCTGTCTAACTAGCTAACGGAAGACATCCTACGTTGCCCGTTGCCTTCGCTCGTTGCCCGCCGCCCTTCAATGCGCATGTAACGTGACTAGGCTGCACGGCTGCTCCTTCAAATGGCCGTCCGAGAAGCAAGGCCGGGGCGAGTACCCGCTGGCCTTCTTCGATGTGCCGTACGGTGTCGAGCAGCAGGAGGACAAGTCGTACTTTAACGAGGAGGAGGCCAGCCTGGCCATGCAGCTGATGATGGCTTTTGCGTGCGACCCCACTGTGCAAAGCATAGTAATCATTTCAACCTACAAGGCGCAGGTGCGGGAAGCCAACTGGCGAGCCGCATAAGTGGGATGGCAGATTGGCAATGTGGGATGGCAGATTCGGTAGGGTAGCTACTGTGCATGCAGTTGCTGTTAATAACATGCTTTGGCGTATGAGTTTGTTGGCTTCACATATGGGCCTGTGCCGTACAATCAAGGCATGTAGCATGGAATGAAGCATGGTCCCAGTGTGAGTGTGCCAAGCTAGCGCAGCCCGCAGTGGGCAGTCTAGCACATGCATGTCGTGCCGTAGCTACTCGAGCTACGTTAGTCCAGCCGTTCTCCTGTCCACATTACTACGGTCCCTGGCAGGTGGCGGTCTTCGCTGGCCGCATTTACAGCCTCCAGGCTTCTAACTTGCTGCTTACACTCCCTCTGCCCTGCCCGGCCTCGCCCCCCTCTCCTTTCCTTGCTCGCAGGTGACCTACATGAACAAGCGCCTGGACGCAGCACGCGGCTTCCTCAGCCTGCTGCGCAAGCAGGGCAAGTTCCACGCCTCCACCGTCAAGGCCTCCACCGTGGACGGATTCCAGGTGGGTGGGTTCATTCTGGGGCCGTACACATAACACAGCAGATTCTCCGCGCACTGAATACTGACTAGATCGTCGTGCCATGTGTGACCTGGCGCACGCATTTGTACGACCAGCGCGCACGCATTTGTAGCAGGTGGCGCTACTGGGGGGCGGGCAGCCCCAAACCCAGCTTCTGCCGATCTCTGATATTTGCTTGCGGTAGCAGCCAGTTGCCTATGCTACGGCTTGCACGTCTATTTCAGGCAGGTTGATTGGCAATGGCGACAGAGGAAACCACCTCATCCTGTTGTATCCTCTTGCATGCACTGGTATGCACACAGATGCTAACCAGCAATGCCTCGCTCGGCACCGCCAGTAGAAGATTGAGCTGTACCCATGGTGCAAGACAAGTAAACGTCCCCGTTCCCTTACCCACTCCCCCTGCAGGGCCACGAGGCTGATGTTGTGATCATCAGCACGGTCCGTAACAATGGCGCCGGCCGGCTGGGGCACGTGGCGGACTGGCGGCGCCTGAATGTGGCCGTCACGCGGGCGCGGCGGGCGCTGCTGCTGGTGGGCAGTATCCGTACGGCGAACTCGGTGCTCATGGGGACGCCAAGCAAGGGCGGCTACCACTACGCGAACTACTGGCCCCGGTATGCGCCTTGTACCGAGAAGGGCTCAACGTAGCAGACTCTGTACCCTGCTAGGTGTCGATGCGCGTGCGCTTGTTCGCAATATAAAGAAGAGGATCTTAGGGTGCGGAGAGAGGATTCGTAGGCAGGAAGGTGTGGCCGCCTTGGCGACGGCGGGGGTCGCCGCCTTGCGTAGTGGGTATGGGAGGAGGACCCGAGAGCTACAGCAGGAGGAGCAGCGCTGCACGTGTGTGGCCTGCTGCTGTTTCGGCTAGCTCAGCTAGCTTAAACTGTTTAGGCCTAGCTACCCGGTTCTCAAAATTTAAAGCCACCCTGCTTCACGATGCGTGCATGCGTCATCTTGTACTGCAGCTAACATGTGGGCCTCACTGCCGTACCGACTCATCAGGCTGATTGAGCACATCAGGAGATATGGCGATGCGGTGGTGGAGGGGCGGGACGCCAACGAGTATACCACCCTCGTGGCGGCTCTGCCCAAGGAAATGGTGAGCCCCGCAGCATGCTTGCTGCAAGTAAGCAGCAGTGACATGACCATGTCTCTACAAACTCCTGCGCATAGCTGTTGCACGCAGGGCACGCACGCTCGCATGCACGTTTGAAAGTGTATTTGCGAGGATCAGGTGGAGGCATGGGAGTAGGCAGAAGTCGAGTAGCATGACCTTGCGTGCCGTGTTGGTGTTCCATGTTGTGGATGAATACGTCAGCCTTTCGACCTGACCGGGTCCTTCCCTGCTTTCCTGGGCCTCCGCTCCCTGCCTCCCTACTTACCCGCTCCCGCAGGCCTGCACGTACCAGGACCTGAAGAAGCTCGAGCTGCTGAAGGCGGCCGAGAAGCTGCTGGATCACGCCAAGTCCTCCACGGACCGCCAGCGCAAGGAGGCCCAGAAGTGCAAGGGGAAGAAGCAGCCCAAGAGGAGGGAAGCGGAGGCCGGCAGCGCAGATCAGGAGGAGCATGAGTAACGGTCGGCCGCCGTGCGCCAGTCGTCCGGTCTTCAATCGGGCCGTTCGTACGAGCCCGGATACCGGCATGAAGAGTTGTAGTCGAGTTACTGGGGTTCTAGATATGACATGCAGGTGGGAAGAGTAATAAAGCGCCCTCAAGTTGCGGACGATTCATGCAGAGTAGTGGTGAAGTATGGAGGCGTGCAAGGGTTGGTGCGTAGTTCCCATGCATGTTGCCATTGGCATGTTACAAGTCAGATGGTGGCCAGTGACTAGCAGTTTAAGCTGTGCGCCCTTCAGCCACTTGCAGCAGGAAGTGGGAAGCTAACATGCAGCACGTACCGAGTGTGTATTCATCTGTAAGTGCAGTGTGTAAATAAAGCGCCGTTGGGCACTGTTGTAGCAGGCGAGAGCATGTACGAAAGCAGGAGCGGGTATGGCTGTAGCTGGATTGGGCGAGGACGAACGAAGCAGGAGATGGTACGGTCGACGTGAGAGCAGGCGTGGACGTACGGAGCGAGCGAAGGCCTTGCTGAAGTGGGAACGGGTGCATGCGGGTCAGTTTACTGTGACGAGCAGGTTAGCCATAAACACGGTAGGGTCACGTGGTCATGCTCATAGCTATCCACACAGCTGTACATTAGGGTGTATGGGTGTCGGTGAACAAGTGTACTGCAGGGAGGGTTGCAGGAACGGGCAGGTGGCTTGCGGGGATGTGCAGAAGGGTTGTAAGGCCTCCCCAGCATCCGTGACATGTAAGGCAGTTTCCGATATGGCGTTCACAGAAGGACTGCGTTCTGCACAAGCAAACTTGGACATCCTGGCGCAGCTGTTGTACCACGATGGGAAGCTGATACCATTTCGCTTGCTTGTCTGAGGCGGCAGTAGTAGTAATGGTGGAGTCGGCAATGCCATTGGCACTAGCGTGGGAACGGGGTGTGTCAGATGGGATGGCAGGCGGATGTCATCAGGTGCCATGTAGTGCCGACCACAACCTCTATTCTCTTTCAGGATGAGGCGCGGTTAGCAAGCCATATAGCAGGGAGAAGATGAGGCAGCAGTGACAAGCTCGCTCTCGCGGGATGGCGAGGGCACATACTCCCGGTGTATGTGCCACATTAATTTGTGCTTGCAAACTTGTAATCCATGGGTTGGTGTCGACAAAAGCGGACACATGCAACAACTTTAGACTGTCACCATGGCCCGGGCCACGCAGTAACAATTGGAAAGGGACAGGGGCATGTGGGCAAGTTCGCGTGCCTGCGAGGCGCCCCAATGGATAGGAATTGCAAGATGAAGCGGCACGGACGGTAATTGCTGAATACCGGGCTTTCCGACCACCTATAAATGACGTTATATACAGTGTAATTGTCATTCGATACAGTTGAGACCTTTCTGTCTGGATATCCTACGTTTGTACGGTGTTTCCAAATCAAGCATAGCTGGGTAATGGCGATGGTAGACCAATGCATGTTGAATTAAGCTGCGTGCGCTTTTATGGTGAATATTCGAGATAGGCCCAATGATAGCTTAATTTCGCTCGGCGAAACGCGTAACAATGCCACCCCTCAGCAAAAAGGCATTGAAGGAGTTAAAAGCACGGGAGGCATGCCCTGTAGACCAAACGGATTGCCTCGGATGCAACGGCTCAGGAATCGGTACTGGTGGGGGACTGACCGAAGACATCAGCGACGAGGATTGCTTCTCGCAAGCAAGCGTCGGCTGCAGTAGTCACTCTGATAGGGACGTGGGTAGTGAGCTGCGTGCTGTTCACAACATGGTCGTGGAGATGCTGGGGCTGGACGATAACAAGCGTGCCGGACCGGAGAAGGTAGGTGCCGGAGATGGTGTTAACATGTGGCTACAAGTTGTGGGCAAGGCCTTGATACGGATTGACCACCAACTTACGTTCAATGTACAGGTGGAATGTGCCAGGCGTCGTCTCAGGGAGGCGATCGATGCTGAGCATAACTACGAACTTCAGCAGCAATGCCGCCGCTTGTGTGGCGACCGCGAATCCCTGCAAGAGAAAAACATCGTTATTTTTGGCATCAGCATTCAGGCGCACGAGTGGCTAGACTGCTTCACGCTAAGGAGGGTGAGTTTGATAAGTACCGTAAACAGCGGCATGTTGCCGAAGGGCTCAACTTGAGGCAATTGACTGTACTTTAAGTGCTTTGCCTGCGCAGCAAGACAGTGGATCATTTGAAGAAAAGTTCGGCCTTCGCACGCGCATCACAATTTTCCAAGACGTCGGGGAGCCAACCCCTAAGAAGCCTAAGGATGGATCCCCGACGGCAGCGCCTGCACCCACGGCCTTCCAGCCACGAAGTGATCCAGCAGTTGGAGGCAACCGCGGCGCAACTGTGAAAGGTGGAAAAAGGGAGGAGGAGGAGGACGAGGAGGAGGACGAGCTGTCTAGAGGAGGCGCCGTGGCGCCGAACAGTGCAAAAGCCAACAAGGCTGCATCTAATGCCCTCCAGGACAACGTGCGCAGCCGCCTTTTGGAGATCGGCATCATCAAAGCGTTTGACGGTGTGGTCGTCAAGACCGTCAGTCCGAAGGAAATTGTGATCAAGACACGCGACGAATCTGCAGGGCGCAAGGTGGATGACGCAAATGAGGTTAGTTGGGGTCAACTGGAAAGCATTGCACTCCTGGTCGGGATACCGGCTAACTGGCATCTTAGCTTACTAGACACCTTGTCCTTCATGCACGCATGCCGCACCATACTTGTACGGCCACTTGGCATGCACCGCGACTCGGAGTAGCCCCTGTCTTCCCGGTGGGTGTATTGCACTAGGCTTACAGGAAATGAAGGAGGTCGCCGTACTCCGACTCACTGGCGTACATGCAGGGGCCGGTCAGGGATGATGATGATGATGAGTCAGACAGCGACAATGGCAGCTGCGTCGCCTCACCCAAGGTATGGCAGGTCGTAGCAGTTGAATTGGCGAGCGAAGGTCCACGACATAGGAAACCACGTGCACATGGGCCTTACTTAAGACACTCCTCGGGTACCGCCTCATTTTTTTTGGCAGCCAGCTATCTGGCCAGATACCTAATGAGCACGCCCATAGCTGATACCTGACACTGTAAGGCCAAAATACCCATGCTCTCGGACAGAAACTCGCGCGCTGGGCCATTGCCGGTGACCTTCAAGACGTCACCTACCGCCGCCAAGCCGCCGCCGCCGAGTCTCTAGGCACCTTCTTCTCCAAGAAGGATATCTCCCCTGCCACCGGCCGTGCCGTACGACGCGATGAGGAGGTCCGACTGCGCAAGGTTATCTTGAGCGACCCGGAGCGCAGTGAGGATCAGTTGTTCGCGCGCAGTGCTGCAGCCCAGGGTGTTGAGTGGCTGGGCGAGGAATTCCAGGCGGAGCTGCATGGGGTGCTGGCGTCGCCGCGACTGGGGTTGAATGGGGAGCAGCTGAGCGTGCTGAAGCAGGCGGCGGGACGCTCGCTGACGCTCATGCAGGTGGGGCGGGTGGTGACGCTGGATGGGGCCAATGAGGGGCAGAGCAGGGATGGCAAACACACATATAACTTACAACGCGCTTAGCAACTGCCTGGAACACAAACGCCACATACCTGCAAGGGCCTTGGGTATGGTTGCGTCGCAACTGCTCTACATGCACGTATGACAGCTGCTGCGTACGTGCGTGCCTGCTGCCTGCCCGGAAAGAAATGCATCACAACGCCATCTATCGTACAGACGTAAAGCCGTTACCGCTGCTGCTGTGCCGCCTGTCGCAACCACAGGGGCCTCCCGGCACGGGCAAGACCTACGCGCTTGCCGCCATGGCTGCGGCGCTGTGCCAGGTATTCCACGACCCCAACGGCACCGGCGACTGGGACTGCGGCGACCGGGAGTTCGAGCTGCCCAGCACCAAAAGCATGGAGGACTGGAATCAGGAGGAGGTAGGTGACTGGAATCAGGAGGTGGTAGCGGGTTTGCGCGCCGTGGATTGGTTACCTGCAACCGTGCAGATGCCGCGTACCGGTATCCGTGTTTGTATATAGCAACATAGCGTAAGGGGTACGCGGCGTACGCCATGCAAGGAAGCAGGTTGGATATTGATGTGTTGCAATTGCCGTGCGTCACGAGCTCACGATTGGTTGGAATGCATGTACGGTACCCATACCATGCTCCTTGCATGCATGCATGCACGTGTGTGTGCAAAGCTATGTCTTAACAATCTGTCCCAACGTAGCCACGTACTTCTTGCTTGCCACCATGCTGCTGCAGGTAACCCGCTGGATCAATTCCTTCCGAGATCCCGAGCTGGTGGCGCGCGCGTTGGAGGGCATGCGGGTATGTATGTTGAACCAACTGCTAGGCATGGGGGTACATGTGCGCGTATGTGGGCTGTGGTATACGTGGCTGGTGTTGGGGAGTTCGATACTGCCTGCCAGGATGCTTCCTGGGATTTAGCATGTCCAGCCGCTGCAGGCAACTACCAGCACATCCAAAACAAATCATACCCGCCATTCCCTAACCGCTTCGTGGAGCTGTTGCTTGCTCCATCCCTCTGCACAACCTATCACCCGACGGCACCCTCGGCAGGGCCACACCGGAAGAGCCGTCGTGGACCACAAAACCAAACGCCTGCGCCACCTCCTCACGCGCAGCAGCTCCTCCTCCTCCTCCTGCTCCTCGTACGACGACGATGACAGCCCCGAAGAGCTCGAGCGCGCCAAGCGCTACGCCGAGGACTTCAAGCGCCTGCGGGACGCAGCGCTGCAGCTAATCTTCCAGTGCCAGCAGAAGGGCGGGCGGTGGACCACGGGGTTCTGGCGCACCGCGGATCGCGACATGCGCATCATCATGTGTGCCGACACCAACACCGCCGCTAACCGGCTGCTGGAGCAGCTGGTGGGGCTGCTGCCGCCAGAGTCCTCGTACAGCATCGTACGCATGGGCGTTATGGATGAGGTGGGCGGTTGCGATCGGGGTGGGCGGGTGGGCGGAGGGTGGGATGCGGTGGTTGGTTTGCTTGAGGTAGGGGTTGCAAGCATGCATGCATGCGTTCATGCATGCGTTCATGCATGCGTGCTTGGTGCGCGAGGACGACGGCATTGCACGGGCGGGTGCAGGTTGGGCAAAGATGTAAGTGGCGCTGTGAAAGGGTGATGCACGGATCGGCCCAAGGGTTGCCACTGGCTTCTCCCCTTGGTTGTTGCCGTACGGGGAGGAAATCTCCATCCGGCGAATTGCAGTCGTTTGGTTCCGAGCTGTTTAACTGGCGCTGCATTAAAAAGTATGACCGTTACAGCTGCTGAGCCCCGTCCGTGACTGGGCCTTTATTACTTGGTTGTGCAGCTGGCTGACGGCGATGGCTCCGAAAGCCATTTAGCGGCGAAGAAGTATCACATCGACAGCCGCCGCCGCAACCACCCATTGGAGCAGGTGTGTACCCGCAATGGGGCCTAACTGCTTCGACCCATGGGTCTGTCGGGTCATAACTACCGGTATATGCACAATGTACAGGCCAGCCAAAGGATATACAGCGCAATCAAGGAGCACAAGTTCTCCAACAAGCTTGCAGCCGAGCTGACGGTGGGTTCAGTTTAATGGAAAGTAGTCGCTTTATGGATGGTCCCGATAGCAGTGCCCCTTTCGTAATGACGGTGCGAAGGGTAGTTGAGTGTGTGTCAAGGCAATCGTGAGAGGCACTGTGTGCTTGTCACAATGCAATGCCTGCCTTTCATGTGGTAAGGCTTGCGCAACCTGTGCATGACGGTGCGTTGAGTCTCATGCTCAGATGCACACACCATGCTACACCACTTGCAGGATGACATCTTGGCGTTTGCTGAGCGCAAGCGTATTGAGGCGGACAAGGTACGTATGCGTTGTGTCTTTACGTGTACACATTTTGTAGCGATGCTGGCTCTAATGCTCTAGCTCAGCAGTACTATTTGAAGGTCTGAGGCCTGCAGACCTTCAAGTCGTCAAGTGTATCCCACACCTTGCATGCATGCTTGCAGCTGTATATAAATTCGCTGCCAGCCACTGAGGCGGTTGTCCAGTCCTGACGCCCCCCCCTTCACGGCTGCTGCATGCAGCAATCCCACCGAGTGCTAGTCCAGAAGTGCTGGAAAGAGTTGGCGACTAAGGTCAAAACCGACATCAGTCCGCGGGTGGGTAGGGTAAGGAGGAAGACTGTACGGTAACTAATCCTGTTAGAAGCAAGGCACCACCTTGGGTTGCATCATGTATAATTCCGACCCATCCACTTCACTTGGACTAAGAAAGGCGAAGCGATCGATAGGAGGACTCGCCGCAAAGAGTACTTTCCCTTCCTTTCCTACTGCCTTAGGCGGAGAGCCTGATCAGGCAGCGCCTGCGTGCCAAGACGCGCATGGAGAGGGAGGATGCTGAGAAGGACCTGATGAAATTCGTGAAGGAGCTGCGGGAGATCGCTCTGCACGACATCTTGATCGCCGTACAGGTGAGATAATGCCGTACACCAGCCGTACATGGCAGCGGAAACAGGGCGGTCAACGTCAAAAGTACTAAAGCCACGCGGTGTTGTTGCTCACATCCCAATTGTCTGGAAAACAGAGTTCTGGTTGGTGTGTACCGCTATTTCTGTTATGCATGCTGCAACGCCACCCCGCGAACTCTCCCTCAAGTCGGCTTCCTGCCGTACACAGGTGGTGGTTGGCACTAACACCAGCATTGGCGAAGCACGAGACATCTGCAAGAAAAACAATCTTTCCTTTCCAATCGTGCTCATGGACGAGGCGGGACAGGTGCGGTTTTTTCAACGTGCGCGCATGCCCGGCATGACACAGGGTGGAGATACGGTGCACGCACGCATGCTCTGCTCTGTGTGGCGTGTTGTTTGTTGGAATGAACGGAAGGGTGCTGGTTGTGACCCAAGGGTCGACCCTATTGTGGATGCCTCTCCATTAACCCTACCAATGACCGCACATGCACGTACGGCACATGGCGTACGGCACTGACCAAACAGTCTTCCGAGCCCTCGTCCAACATCTCTCTGACGCTGGGTGCGGAGTGGGTGCTGATGGGCGGCGACCTGGAGCAGCTGCCGCCCACCCTGAATACGGATGTGGCCAGGAAGGTGCTGGGCTTCTACACAGAGACAGCCGCCTCGCAGTACGGCAGGTGAGTAATGGGGGGGCCATGCATGCATGAGTGCATGCTGCCTGGCTTCCTGCTTGCGGGAAGAGAATGGTGCCACGGGCACGGCTGCTGCTGGTGTGTATGAGGACGAACGCAGCTTCGTTCGCAGTCGCTTTTGCAACTCTTAGACTTCGCGAGATGATCTGTGCAGGTCCTTAGGCGTACTCAGCTCCTTCCCTCGCCTTCAATTCCCTCACAGCAGTGTTATCGTTCACAGCAAAGCACTATTTCTTCGTCCCTTTCCCCCTCTCCCAGGTTCGCCAGCCTGGACGTGCTGGAGCTGTCCCTGTCCCGCCAGTACCGCATGCACCCCGCCATACGGGACTTCCCCAGCCGCTGCTTCTACGACAACAAGCTGTTCGAGGACCCGCAGCGCCCGCCCGACATGCGCGTGCCGCAGCCACGGTAGGAACATGGCTTGGGGACCCAGGTGCAGTAAAGAGTGGACGGGGGTTTGGCCCTGGAGGGCCCCCTCGGTGGGTCTAGGTTTAGTGGGGTAGGGAACTTACGCAGTTGGTAGCAGTTGGGCGTTGTCGGCTCGACACGCACTTGCAAGAACTCATAACCTCGCTCGCATGTTGTATACGGCTGCTTGCCCAGCCACCCGGAACTTACACATAATGACGTCATGATGGCACCACCCCTTACCAACAACCCTGTCAAAGGTTGTTTGCGTCATGTGTTTTGGCCCTCTGTTTGGGCCTTCTGCTTGCAGCCTTCACGGCTGCAACTTCAAGTGGCCATCCGAGAAGCAAGGCCGGGGCGAGTACCCGCTGGCCTTCTTTGATGTGCCGTACGGTGTGGAGCAGCAGGAGAACATGTCGTACTTTAACGAGGAGGAGGCCAGCCTGGCCATGCAGCTGATGATGGCTTTCGCGTGCGACCCCACTGTGCAGAGCATCATCATCATCACGCCGTACAAGATGCAGGTGATCTGCTGGATGGCGGGGGTGTGGGTCAATATGGCATGCGATGCTTTTTGAGCTATGCATTGTATGCCTACTGCCGGTATGCATGTAGCATGTCTACAAAAGAAGTAGAAGGGAAGGGGAAAGGGAGTAGAGTGTTCCTGCTTCTTGCTTGTCAGTTGAAATGAGCTGTGAGCTGGCTGTCCGCAGCATGCACTGGGCAAAGCGTGCAGGTATGCATGCAGGAGGTGGGCGCCGTTCGTTACGCAGCATCTGTCGCGTCCGTAGGGCCGTCGCCTTGAGCGCCATTACTTCCCTTCCTCGGGTCGGGTGACGCCGCCCGCCCGCCCACCCTCACCTTTCAATGCACGCCAGGCGACCTACATCAACAAGCGCCTGGACGCAGCACGCGGCTTCCTCAGCCTGCTGCGCAAGCAGGGCAAGTTCCACGCCTCCACCGTTAAGGCCGCCACCGTGGACGGATTCCAGGTGGGGGCGGGTGCAGCAGCAGCAGCCCAGCAGGGCCGCCGCAGCAGCTCAGCCCTTTCCTCCTAATCCATCGCCCAATCTACCTGCAGCACCGGTACCTATAGCCCCTGCAAGCACCCCACGCATCCCCCACCCGACCCCTCACTCCCTAAATACAACCTCTCCCACTGCAGGGCCACGAGGCGGACGTCGTGATCATCACCACGGTCCGCAACAACGGCGCCGGCTGGCTGGGCCACGTGGCGGACGAGCGGCGCCTGAATGTGGCCGTCACGCGGGCGCGGCGGGCGCTGCTGCTGGTGGGCAGTATCCGGACGCTGAAGTCGGCGCTGGCGGGTTGCGCTGGCAAGGGCGGCCCCCGCTACGCGAACTACTGGCCCCGGTACGTAATTGCCGAGGACGCACGGGTTACACGCAGAAGGGGGCCTGTCGTACACGCCTGCTGGGTGACAGGCAGGGGTTTCTTGGTATTTGATTGGTGGCAGTTGGTGGTGGCAGTTGGTGGTGGCAGCAGCAGGCGTAATCGTTGGCGCAGCCTGACCACAGCTCCCCAAGCAGCAGGGGAGGGGCCTGTACTAGAAGCAGCCGGGGTGGTGCCTGCTGCTTCTTTGCCTGGTAGCTGACCGCTTGAATTACGGGATCGCGAGCTGTATTGGGCTTGCGAGCCCAGGGTAGCTCACAGCCTTTGTTCTTCGCCCGGGGTGCCCGCGTGTTTACAATCTGAGCTACGAACAGGCACTGGGTACCGGGCATGCATGGATGCACAGTACAGGCAGGGCAGGGGAACAAAGGCCCACGAGGGATGATCTTATGAGGGCATGTGCGTGTGTGCCGCCCATATGCTCGACTGGCGCAGGCTGATCGAGCACATCAGGAGCCGAGGTGATGCCGTGGTGGAGGGGCCGGCGACGAATGAGTACATCTCCCTCATGGCAGCGCTGCCCACAGCGATGGTGGGTACTACAACAATAACAACATTAGCTGCTGCTGCTGCGACTGCCCGCCTCGTCAGTGCCTCGCCTGGCCCACTCGTTCCATGCGATTTGCTGGTGCTATGGGACTGAAGGACAGATGCTGGTAACGGTAGAGAGGTCGCCTGGTTTGTAAACAGCAGCGGTCGTACGTATGTTGCAACCCGACACACATCCCTCCTCCCGGCTGGGCATGGCTGCTGCTTTCTGTACAACCCCTCTTCCATTCCCGTCTCACCCCCTGCTTTGAAACCTCCGTCCCCAGGCATGCACGCACCTGGACTTCAAGAAGATGGAGCTCATCGCCTCCGCCGGCACCCTGCTGCAGCTCATAGAGCCCTCGCTGGACCGCCAGCTACTCAACCGGGGCCGCTCCAAGCGCGCGCCGGGAAAGGCCAGGAAAGCACCCAAGCGAGGAGGAGCCGCCGCCGTACAGCCGCCTTCGCAGCAGGTGTAGGAGCAGGAGCATTAGGAGCAGGGGAAGCAGCAGCAGGAGTAGCAGCAGCAGCAGTAGCGGTCGGACGCTCGTTGGCAACTCCACCCGCCGAGGTACAAACGGGTTCAACAGTAACAGTTGTCAAGTTGCAGGAGAGCAGCTTAGGATTCCTTGTTTTGACTGGCTTCAGTGTCCGTTACCATGGTGTCGTAACTACGATCATGAGGTTATTAAGATCGTGACGGTTATTGAGATGTGTCGACATTGCAGTGATGTGATAAAGGTAAGAGCACCAGCAGATGTGTGTAAGAAGGTCAGAATGCGTTCATAGTACAATTTTCTGCGAAAATAAAGCGCTTCTGTCAGCTAGCGTTATCAGGTTTCTCTCTCTTGTTATCGTCCAAGCAATTGTTTATTTATCCTCGGACGTGTGTCGTACTGTTAGACGACACACAGGCAGCTTCGATGCAGTGCAGGTTAATCATGTGATGCAACCATAAGCCTTGTACGGCATGCAGGATGACTGTTGCGGGTTGGCCAGGATCCATGTATAACTTGACCTCGCTCATAGTTTTTGTGCAGGAAAGGCGTGTATTGGACTGGTGAAGGTGGCGCGTAATGTGTAGTTGACGTACGTGCGTGTGGCTGGAATTAGCCACCGCGTCGCTATCGCTCAGTATTTGGTGCCGATTGGGCGCCATGTGCAATAAACCAATAATAGGACGGGCCTAGAATGGGCGCGGTGGGTCTGCGGCAGCTGTATGCGTTCACATCAGCTGGCCGCAACATGTTTTGTGTGTGTGAGGCTGGGTGTGAGCGGCGTGCAGGAGGTTAGCCACTAGCATGGTAGGGCATGCACGTGTTCATGTGTATAGCAATCCATTAACGTAATGCGCGTTCACAGAAGAATTGCGTGCTGCTGGACAAGCAAGCCTGGACTGCCTGAAGCAGCTAAAGAACATGTACGACATGTTGTGCCATGAGAGCACTGTAACTGAGGGGCCGCAGTAGCACTAGTGGTCGGAGCTGGCGGGGGCATGCGCAGTTGCGGGTCAGCTTCAAGCAGTTGGTCGGCGTGTCACCTACCTCAGCAAGCGAAAGTGCTGCAAGCGAAAAACGTCCAATGGGAAAGTGACATAGATCTGGTCTGGGGGTATGCGGGTATGCTGCCCAGCAGACTAGATTAACTGACTAGGTTAGGACGGTGCACTGTCTAGGATGTTGCGTCGGTTACAAAGTCGTCGGTTGCAGGCCGGACGACCCAGCGAAACGATTGATGCTTTAAATAGGTCAGGCCGTTGACTCTTCTATCTAGTAACACACATAACTGATGCCTGCTCCGCCTTCTCACGGCGTCACTTACTACTCATGGGGCCCGTACGCGTCCGTCTTCCTGGTCGGCCTCGCAAACTTCCTTTGCTATTTCTTTAACGACAACAGTTTTTTTGGAAGGCGGCTATGGAAATGCCGGGGCAACTCCTTGTTCTTTGCCTCGAACACCCTTAGTAGCGCCGGTTGGAGGCACTCCAAGCCACAAGAGTTTTGGGCGTTCGACGTACTCGAACCTTCATCTGTGGTGAGATTGTCTATGCCTACACAACTCATATGGATAACTGGCAACGTGGCAAGTCTTCGTGTAGGCGTAAACGCTCGTATTACTGATGCTGTACGAGCGGCTCTGACGGCCCGTACTGGCCTAGTAATTCCCATTTGCCCACAAACAGTACCCAGCGGACCCCCCCTCTGTCCGTCTGCTGTTGCAGGTGAGCTCCCACTTCGTCGGCGAGTGGCCGCTGCTGGGCGTGCACCTGCTTGCCCTCTTCTGGCTGCCAATCAGTATTGCAGTGGACCAAACAAAACGTAAGCGAGCCGGGTTCATTCTGGGGGTTTCCTCTAGGTACCGGCAGTGCATGGAGACAAGAGAATGGAGGCATGATGAGACGTGTTGCAGCACGTACCGAAGCTTGGATGGCAAGCTTGTCCAAGGCCTAAATTGCACTGTGTCTGAACGTCATGTGTTCTGGCGCCGTGCGTGCAGATGGCGGCATGCACGCCGCCTGGCTCACCTTCTTCACCAACGTCAGCTTGCTGCTGCTGTCGCTGGCAGGCGGACTGGGGGCGCTGCTGCATGCGCGCTACATGTGGATGCGGAGGTGGCGGAGGCGGACGCTCCAAGCGCGTCTGCTGCAGCGGGTGAGCTGGGTGGATTGCGGCTTCACGGAGCCGCACGGCATGGTTCACGTGCCCTGCTGTCATGCAGTTTGCGGGACGCCCAACCAGTTAACCTGCCACCATTCCATCTAACAGTGCGTCTTTATGTAATGTCGAACACCATATGGCTGCAACTGCTCACCTGCCCGCGTGCAGGAACCGGCGGCTTCTTCTGTGGGTCAGGTTGGCAGTGGGGCAATGACCACATGGGTCGATGGTGGTAGAGGACGAGGAGCGGAAGCAGCACCAGCAGCGATACAGCTCACAATGCAGTACGGTGGCGGGGCCGTCAGCGCGGATCCGGCGGATCCAGAGGCGGCTCGACCGCCCTCAGGTTGGCACCCCACTGCTGCAGCCGAGGTGGTGACTCCCGCTGGGGACGACACAGGCGACTACATCGCACGGGTGGGTGCGTGTGCATGTATGTTGGATGGACAAGTGCAGATGCGTGCGCATGTTGGGTTGACAATTGCAGGGGAGGACGGAACCTGGGAGCGGCATTCCTAAGGATGTCGCCATCCATGCTGGCGCCCATGCATGGCTTCTGAGGCTGCTTGGCAGTTTGCACAATGCGCTCCTCCATGCACCAATGCGTATAGCACGAACCCATGAGGCCTGTGGCTCTCGTCCTGCTGACTGAAACCACCATCGTAAGCGCAAAAGGTGCCTTGTACCACAACCTGTGCTATTCCGTTCCGTTCCACGACTGCTGTACGACATGCACGCGCAGTGGGATTGGCTAAGCATCCCTTACCTGTTGGTCATGGAGACTGCGGTGGTGGCGGCGTTCTTCCTGGATGTCTACTTTTGGCTGGTGCTGGTGTTGCTGCAGGTGGGGATTTGCTTAGACTGAGCAGGTAACGTGTTAAACCGTACATTGGTTACTCAGTCCAAGTCGCGTTTTCAGCGGTTCACCCCTTTGGAGACCCGTACGAAGTTCTAGTCGTGCTCCGTAACCAACGTTAATGAATGGTCTGGATGCATTGTATGGCTTGGGTTGTGAGCTGTAGTGTCGTTGCCAACCGTGTTGTCAGCTGTATATGCCCTTGGCCCCTCCCTGACCCACGGGTCACCTTAACTCTGGCGCTTGGAACAATGGGTTGTATTCGACATACAGGGCGACAGTATAGGCGCACCTGGCACGTTCCTGAAGCACGCGGCTAACATGGGCATCGCGCTTTTGGTGGTGAGTGTGAATAACGGAGTGCATAGCTGTAGTAGCTGGGACAAGGCCGGGAGGCACGGAGTCCAAGTAAGGTCTGCGTCCCATGCCCCATGCCGCCTTGTCTCCGCCTTGTACGCGCAGACACCACGGCGGCCCAATTGGATGATACACTCGTATAACATTTGGCCCGCTGTCCTGCAGGTGTTGCTGACACGCATGCCCATCGTCAGCGTCCATGCGCAAGCCGTACTGTTGTACGGCACCGGCTACATGCTGCTGGTCTGGATCTAGTAAGTATGCATACTCCTGGATCTAGTAAGAATGCATACTCCTGACCTTGCTTGTAATGTTGGGCCCAGTGGCCTTACCTGAGCGAGTAAATCATGTAGGGTTTCCTAGGACCTGTTATGTTGTCTCCTAGCCAGCAAGCCATGTGGTGGCACATGGCAGTCAGCCCGTGAGCTGCAAACCGCATTATCCCCATTCACCCACAGTTGGTACCGCCCATTCCCCATGTCCCCAGTGGCAACCTGGCGGGTGCCTGGCGCTACGGCCTCGACTGGCGCAAGGTACGGCAGCCATGCAGGGATGCAGTACCGTACCAAACCGTTCAGTGCAGGAAATCACGGCCAGCTTCGTAGGGTGCTTGGACACCGTTTGGTCACTTCACAGCCAATCGGCATGGGTGCTACGCCTCTCACTCACTCATGCTGCTACTTGCTATATTGCCAGCATGCTGCGCGCGTCCCAACCCGCCAAACATGATTGAATCCGAAATCGGCCCAAGAGTGTTCAGTGCAAAGGTATGCCGCAAATCGTTTCCTTTGCGATGTCCTCACTCTCGTATCCCTCCCCAACCTCTCACTACACGCTCCCAACAGCTCTTCACCGTCGCCATGCATGCAGCCCTGCCCGTAGCCCTCTGCGTCTCCCTGGTCCTCTGGTAGGCGGGTAAAGAGGAACCGACTAACGAACCGTGTGATAAAGCGCGGGTTTGGGGTTTGGTTGCTGCCTAGTGAGCTGATGACCGGCTTGAAAGGAAGTTCCACACCTACCCACACGCCCACCCAGGTGGCTCGTTGCGCTGCTGCGGGAGAAGCTTGGCCGCGCGTTCGGCCGCTGGCGGGACAGGAGGGCCCAGGCCGCCCCATCGCCTGCGCCCGGCGGAAGGGCAGCAATGCCGCCACTGAGAGGCTGATAGGGCGGAGCAAGCGAAGGAACAAGGGTACGGGTAATCCAGGTGTAGGAGGGAGCACATTCTTATCGTTCATGAAGCCGGCATGGAGGCCGGTACAACGGATTGGGAAGGAACTGGTTCACATCTGCGGCCCTCATACTGGATAACCCTACCCTGCAATGCACGGCTTTCTTCCCTTGTGCCAAATTGGAGAAGCTGGTCGTTCATGAGGTCGGTTGCACAGAAGGATCTCGCATTCCGAACTGAGGAACGGGTAACATGTAACGAACAGACTCCCGGCTGCCGGGTGAGACCAGCTGAGCAATGCGGGGCCTTTAAACGATTTTCGCCACCCTCACAACAGCGCCTGTGAACACAGCTTTAATGCATGGGATCGTCTAACTATGTGCCACGAGCCTTATCCTTATTACCATCTCAGCACCATTCCACTCCCTCCCGGCCACAAACCATACTTACGCCGTACCCCGTCGTCCCTATCCCACTCCCTCCAGCCCCATCACCACCTACTATCGGTACCCCCACCCCTCAAGAGCGCCCATGCAGCCCCAGCCCCGTCTCTCCACCCACCCTCTCACACCCTGCCTCATGCAATGCGCGCCCCCGTCAAGCTAGGCGCCCGGATGGCCCCCGCGCTCGTGTTCATGGGCAGCGGCTCCGAACCCGCACCCCCCAGCGCCAGCGTCGCCACGCATGCGGCGTTGGTTCGCAGCAGCGGCTGCACCGCCTCCCAGTACTTCTTCTTGTCAACCACTTTGGCTTCGGCGGCAGCGGGCTGGCAGTGGCGGTTGGCGAGGGAAGAAAAAGGGTAGCGCAGGATGAGAACACGGTCGGCGTCAGCCGTCAAGGTTAAACAAGGTGGCGGCATGGACCCCGCTTTCATGACGTGAAAGACGTGTGGCGTCCAGCTGCGGATTCAATGACGACACGGCTTTTAGGAGTGCAGTTACTAAAGCCCCGTCAGACCCTTCCCCAGCTCCCCGCTCCCGATACTACGGTACCCCAATGCGCCCGCTTACCCCCCCCCCCCGCTCCCCCCCCACCTGCTGTGCATCCTCTCCGAACCACACGCGCTCCCCCGCCCGCGCCCCTGCCGGCGGCACCAGCGGCTCCACCGTCACGTGCGGCTCGTCGGAGGCCGCCAGCAGCATGCCGAACGACTTGACGCCGCGCATGTTGCGTGGCTTGAGGTTGCAGATGACCACCACCATGCGGTTCTGCAGCGCAGCAGCAGGGGAACAGCGGGGGTGCACAGCGGCGGGAATGAAAGAGGTTTTGCAGCTTCCAACACAGGAGTTAGTTGAGCAGTACTATTGTCGTACCGCCGCATGCAGCGCCCGTCCTGCCGTACCTGCATGTCCTCCAGCGGAACGAACTTGACGAGGCCCGACACAATGGTGCGCGGCTCCGCCTCGCCCACATCGATCTTCTCCACGTACAAGCTGCAGGTAACGGGGGCGGGCGAGTGGGGACAGGTGGGGAAAAAAATAAGTGAAACAACGAGTCCCAATCCCATATCCCGACTGGTGGGACAGGTGGGGCTGGGGCCGAACATACATCAAGCTCACGCACCAGACTGATTATTTGGTCCCCCAAATTCAGAAAATGGAGAGCAAATGGAGAGCTTCTACTTCTGCAAAAGTATATTTCTGCGCCCAGCAGCGTAGGTCACCCGTTGCGTTCAAGCTGCACTGCGATACCCGCGGCAGCCCCGCTCCCTCCGCCCCCCGCTCACCTCTCCGCGTCAGGGTGCCGCTCGCAGCTCACGATGCGACCCACGCGGATGTCCAGCGCATGCACCGCCTCACGAGGAACACCCGCCGCTGCTGCTGGGGTCACTGCCGGTGTTGAGGTTGGCGCTCCTCCTGACGAGGACGCTGAAGGGGCTTTGCCGCTGGCTGCGGCTGCTGACCCTGTAGCCGCAGTGCTTGCTGCTGCCGCGGGTGCGACCGCCGTTGCAGCGGCTGTGGATGGTTCGGCCGCGGGTGCAGCGCTGCCGCTGGGAGTTGGTGCCTTGCTGCTGGGTGCTGCGGCGGCCGTCTCTCCGTCTCCGCTGGCCGTCTTGGGAACGCGCACGTAGGTGTTCTCGGTCTGCGGGGCCTGCGCCAGGAGCTGTGCCCTGCGCCGTGCCAGGACAGGGCAGGGGGCCAGGGGTGCGAGGGGTTGGGGGAATGGACGAGAGTGGGGACCAGGGGCTGTTGGCTGCGGACCAAGTATGGATCCTGGAGTAGGGGCAGGGACCGGTTTGGGGTACTAACCGTGTAGCGGCAAGGGGTGGTCCGTGTCAGTGTGGGATAGCGCACTTGCCTGGCAGCGTAATGCTGGGGCTCGTCTGGTCGCAGGCGGTTTCCTTCAGAGAACGCGTGGATGGCAGGTGGCACACCCTTAACGTCCACGGATTGCAGCTGCCCAAACCTGCGGCCCGCCGTATGTTCCATAGCGCAAGGGGTGAGCATCGTGGATTGGATGGGGGCTTAGGAACGGTTCGTACCAGTCGAGGACACTGTTGATCTTTGGTGCCCATTCAGCCGCCTACAATAGCGATGGAATTGAGAGTGGCGGTGGTCAGGTAATCCAATGTGCGCGGCGTGTGAGGGCAAAGTTGCACACCTCTTGCTCCGAAATGCTAATTTGGGCCATCTTTGCAAGGTCGGCAATGTTGGGTTTGGAGGGTGTTCCCGCTGTGGATCCTTCAGGAGTTACATGAACTATGTGCATCCTAGACTGAGCGGATAGGCGAGCCCCGCTGAAAGGCACTCGGCCTCTCAGCACCGTGCGGTTCAGCATGGTCCCGGCACGGTGCATGGCTGTTATATGTTCAAAGATATTAATGCAATGTGCTGCGTAGAATCCGGACTGCAGCAGCGGCAAGGGTTTGTAGTGCAGGTTGTCCTGCAGTCGTTATTGATGCCATCGTCTCCATAGCTTTTAATCTTCATAAATTCTAGACGGTTTCGATTTGTTGTCCAAGTCTTAGTGCAATAGCTATAAAGCCGGAACTTGCATCCCCTGACGCTCTTGGTGCTTAGAGCTTCACATCGACAATGAGCTACGAGCCACCACCTTACGGAGGAGGCTATCAACCACCTTCTAGCCATGGTCCTCCTCCCCCAGACCACTACGGTCCGCCGCCCCCGTCCTACAGCAGCTATGCCCCGCCCCCTTATAGCTACCCGCCGCCTTACTCTGCTCCTCCCCCGAGCTATGGTTCGGGTCCAGCTGGCACGGAGGAGGTCCGCACTATTTTCGTGACGGGCTTTCCCGGTGATGTGAAGGAGCGCGAGCTCAACAATCTGCTTCGGTTTCTGCCGGGCTACGAGGTATGGCGAATGCCGGACTTTTTCTTGCTTATGCTCTTATCATCATGCATAGGAAAGTTGAATTGGTGTCGATGGGGATTCTGGTAGCGTATGTGGGCTGCCGGTGTTCCCAGATCTTACACAAACAGTGCTATAGCAAATCAGGTCAAGCTCACCTCTGATGCAGACCATTCCATCTATTACTAATTCTTCTTCTTATGTATGCCATTGCATGCGGTGATTCTTAATACTGAAAAAAGTAGCCATGGAGTTGTGTTTTGCTTACCCTGCCTTGGACCCCAGGCTTCTCAAATGAACTACAGCAAGGGAGCAGCACAGGGCTTTGCGCTCTTCACGACGGGTGCCATGGCCCGTGCAGCTTGCGACCAGTTGCAGCACGTTCGGTAAGCAGTGTCGGGAATGTTATGTGATCCCCCCAGGAGGGTGCGATGGTGATGCCACCATTACACAGTCTCCTTCGCACTTGGGTCATGGTACATGCATGTTTCATTTTCAATCCGGTGTCGAACGCTGGCGTTCAGCATCTGCCTTAGCCCTAGCGAACCTGCTGATCCCTGGCCTACACCCTGCCCCCGTGTTGCCACCTGCAGGTTCGACGAGGTCAGCACCCTGCGCTGTGAGATGGCGCGCAAGAACATGTACATCCGGGACATGGAGCCGAACAAGCGGCAGAGGCCCAACCCGCCGGCGCCGGGAGGCTATGGTGCACCGGGTAGGTACACTGATTTGCAGATGCCGAGCATCGTTTTCTACTCCCATGCTGCCACCTTGCATGCAAGCTTGCTAATCGTCTCCTACAGCCCCAAACCACCCTCCCCGTCTAGCTTGTCATTCCATGCCTAAGTCATTTTCTTCTCCCCTCCCCCTCTCTTCCCTTCAGTCGGTGGTGGTGGCGGTCACGGGTACGGCCGACCTGCGCCGCCCTCGTACGGCAGCGCAGGCGGTGGCGGCGGCGGTGCCGCTGGCGCCGCAGCGCGCGACGACAACCCGCCTTGCAACACCCTCTTTGTCGGCAACCTCGCGGACACGGTGGACGAGAACGAGCTCCGAAACCTCTTCTCGGGCTCACCAGGCTTCCGGCAAATTAAGCTTATGCGGGGACCGAAGGCCACGCTTGGGTTTGTTGAGTTTGATGACGTGCCGACGGCCATGGCTGCCCACGCCGCGCAGCAAGGAGCGGTGCTTGCGAGCAGCGACCGTGGACCCATTCGCGTGCAGTACTCGAAGAACCCCTTTGGGCGGAAGCGTGACGCGGATGGCAGGTGAGGGTCTGTTGCAGGCTTCGTTGGGGATTTCGCTCGTGTAGGGGCGCACCCTGGGTAGCGTGCAATTTGTCGGAAGGACTTCTGCTGCATGAGTTGTAGGGACGCCTCTTTGCCAATCAATCTTAAGTAGGAGAGAGCAAAGCATGACCTGGTTTTGTACTGCATCCCGGACGCAGGATGATCGAGACGCCGAACACGCGGGAGGGCATCGTGCCGGCGACAGGCAGTGCACCGCCCTCGTACGGCGGCGGAGCGCCTGGGGCGTACGGCGGGTCGCAGGGCGAGTACGGCGGACCCGGCGGCAACCAATAAGGACGCTACTGGCCATGCGGGCGGCGGCGCGACATTGGCAGGTGCGGGTGCACGCGCACCGCGTCAGTACGGGGATTGTGCGGTGTGTTGGGCGTCCTTAGTGGCAGTGGCTACTTGGGAGTGGGGGTTCCGGAAGGCTACGAACGGTAAGTGCGAGTTGGGTAGGCAGGAGCTTCCAAGCACCTTCAATGTTACAGGTAGGTGCAAAGGTAAGCCCCAGGGGCTAGAGGGAAGGATACTTCTAGGCTTGCGAAAAGGTGTTTCATTGCTGCTAGACGGGTCCCTTCCTCACCGCCTCCTGCGTATGCACTCCCCTTCACCTCCCACGCCGCCGCTGACACGAGCCCCGCCCCACGCTCCTTCACGCGGCACCACCACCGCATGTGCGCTTGCTGCATTCACGCAGGACCCCCGCTTGGTGTGCGCACTGGCATCTCATGCGCCATGCCCATGACACCACGTTACAAATACCACACACACAACCAAATTGGGCGGCGCACCATTCCCGCCGCTGCTGCTGCCTGGCACTTCACTGCTGTGGCTGTTGTTGGCTCACCGCTCGGGACGCACGACATGTTTCCTGGGACCCCATGTGATTGATGATCTACGTTGATGAAGCACCATCACGCACCTGCGGCACTGGGCATCACGGCACGCGGATTGCAGCAACGACACACACTTGGCAACTTCACTTTAGCAACAGCAGCAGTTGACACACGCGTTCTGCCGGAGAGCACGAGCACCACGTACGATTTATTGTGTACGACATACACGGCACGACACGACCCGCCTTGCAAATTCAACTTCACGACCACATTCTACTGCCACGTCGCGTCACGACACGAAGCACAGCGCCGTACATCAACACCTTTTGATTGTGTCGACGGCCCGGATAGCAGCGAGCAAGTAACTATGCATTGCGGGACCTAACCGTTTGCCTTGACATATGCTTTATTGATGACGGAATGACGTGCAAGCAAGGCGTTCCGGGTGGGTTGTCGCGTTGCTGGGCCTACTACTTGGCCATGGCGTTGGTGTGTTCATATCTGGTTCGATCCGTATGGTTGCCGTTTGAGGGGTGTTTGCTCATTTTACATGGAGGTTTTTTGCGGACTTTCAAGTGCGCTAGGTACGAAAGGGTGTTGGGATGACACTTTAGTCGTCGACGGTTAGCTTTTCCTGTTGCTGCGTGCATCGCATCTCGCAACTGAAACCTCGGACGCCGGATTATGCTGCGGTTATTGCGCATGAATTGTTCGCCGCGGCCTCGGGTTACAAGCCTGAGCGCTAGACACGTCGTCGGAAGGTTTACTGCACGTTGGACGGTCGCCTGTTCACACTCGGATCTGTGGTTTCTCCACAATTAGTTGTGTTGTAAGGATAGCAGCTGGGCGCTTCATGGCATGGGCATGAACGGTTATCTGGTATACAGGGATACGGATGTCTGCAGTGCTTCTCCTCCCTTTACAGAAAAGGTAGATTTTGAAGTTGGGCCAAACCCTAAGTAAAAGAAGACGAGGAAGAGTTACTGTGCTTTCAGAGGCCCACCACGAACGAGAACCCAAAGATAACGGCACAGGAGGATCCACTGAATCAGGAAGAAGGTTTGTACTACAATAATGTACGGGTAGATGAGAGCATATGGTACAGAACATGGGGGACACAAAACGCCAGACGCTACACCCGCTCCTGCACAGGAGCACTTCAGCATTATGGCTAGCTTTGACACACAGTGACTTCCGCCACAGCCTCCCTCGACGTGGATTTTCTTGATAATATCGGGTACTAGGCTCCCCTACCGTTACCGACGACTAAGGACACATGCATCATGCCACGCAAACAGCTAACCCACACAGGCAGCACCGTACACCAGAGCGCGGAGCAGAAACCTGTACAACTGTGACCTCAGGCCCATGAACTCCCCGCACGCGCAGGGGATGCATGCGCCCCTAGCAGTCGCAGGTTAGTACGCCTGCACGTAAGTTCCAAGAGGCGGGCAGGGAGCAAGACGGAACTCAGTCACCAATTCAAAGGCTCACCGACTGTTTTGCCAAGGCATCTTATGGAGAGGCGCGGCGCTGGATCACAAAGAAACATGGACCGACAAGGCACACTTCTGCAATACCCTTCTGCAATACTTTGGCACCCGCATTCCTAGGTATCCCACCGCAGTGAGGCTGAAGTTGCCGGAGGGCTCATCCACCACCACACCATCCGCGCTGCCCAGCACCAGCCCCACGGCCGGGGCGGAGGTCTGGCGGGTGGGGTCGGCGAAGGTGACGGAGCTAAGCGTGCCCTCGCCTCCCGCATAGGCACCGCAGTACAACTGCATCATGGCGGACGTACGTGGGCGGGTGCGATTTAGGCAAGGGGCAGCGATCGTGAGGAGGACAGTGTACGGTAACCGATAAAGGATGCTGATGGATTGGCACATGTAATCGTACATGGCGAGCGCAACATGCCCTACATGCGCGGCAGAGAGGTAACAGGCAGGTTTGCCAGATGCCAAGGGATGCTCACAGCAGCTACTGTTTGCAGCTGCCCGTCCTGCTGTCTTCAACCCTCTGCTACGAACCCCAGCGCCGCGCACTTCCTTTTCCCGACCCGACCGCACTGTCGTTCTCGCCTTTACGCCTCCCAACCCACCCACCCACCGCCAGTGTGCTCCCGTTGTAGAGCTCCACTCGCGAGTTGACCAGGTCCAGACTGCCGCCCCACAGCTCCAGAGTGGTGTTGTAGAGCTGCAGGCTGGAGTTGGTGAGGCTGAGGGTGGTGTTGGTGAGCAGCACGCCCGTGTAGTTGGCGAAGATAACCAGACTGCCTGTGGAAGGAAGGGGAGCGAGCAGGGAGGAGAGGAGAGGGGTAAGGTTAGACGAGGAGTTGGAAGGAAAGGAGAAGGCATTGGAGGGGGCAGTGGTGGCGAGTGGACGGCAGGACCGAAGGTAAGCGGGTTTTCAGGGTATGCCCATGCTCCTCGCCAGTCTGCATACCTACAAAGGGTAAGGTAAGCATGATACCGGTGCGCTGGCTAGGGAGCAACGGCTAGGGAGTACCGGTAGTGTCCTTGACGTTCGTCCCACACACTACGCAGACCTTCGCATGCGTTGCATCCACGCATGCATGGGCCTCCCCGCCCTCCCACCTGAGGCGTTGAATGCGGAGTTATCGTACCAGGCCAGCGGTGCTAGCTTGCCCTCGTACAGCGGTGGGGCTGGGGTGGCGGGGTCGGCGTGGGCGTACCTGGAGGCGTATACATGCTTTTGTCTAATTTAAATCGGTAAAATGGCGGGTTAATTAAGGTAAGATGCATCGAGGTAGGTGAAAGGGAGCTTCGCATACGGTGGTCTGCATACGGGAATAATATGCAGCCGCAGGTCTGAGGGCCCATATGATGCTGAATACGAACATACCAGGTGGTGTTTTCGAGCGAGATCTGGCTGCGATTGCCGTACAAGAGGACATCCTTGAGCTCCAGGAGGCTGTATATGGACTGCACGTTACTGTTGTCCACCGTCCTGCGTGCAAGGGGAACGGTGAGGTGAGTGCGGACCGGGGTGCAGTAATGAGAAGGGGGGGGATACGGACATTTGCTTAACCCATTGCAAAGGTGCGGGGAACAGCAGGGTATTGAAGGAATGACGGCGGCTCAGGCAAAGCATTGTATCTTCTGGTCATCGATAGACCTCCACTTGTGCTGACATCATGGCCGCGCGCCTGAATGCCGTGGGGACAGATCGGTAAGCAGTTGCCTTCACTTGTACATCGGTACGGCAGTGGCCACAAACCGCTTCCGCAGCTCTGCCCCATGCCGTACGCGGCTCAGCCGGCACTAACCCGTGTGCCATGAGTGTATCCTCGCCATGCGGGCGCATCTCATGCCGTCAGACGAAGTTTCCTTTCATCAAAGCCGCAACATGGACGTGCGTGCATCAACCAAGCCGCGAGCAGGAGCCTAATGCAACGCGCGGCGTTCCCGTCGATGTTTGGATGGAGCATTTCCCCATGTGTCCGCCGCCACCCCTTGCTCCCCCAATGCGGCTCAGCCGGCTCTATCCAAGTATGCTGCTCGCCATCCGGCCCCGTCAGCAGCAGCCGTCAGATGGGATAATCTCAACCACAGCCGCCGTAAGGCACCGTATTCAGGTGTTGAGGAACGCCTCTCGCTCCCACGTCCCTGACAACGGGACGCTTGCATGCATGCTTCCTTGCGGGCTAAGGTGTGCACATCCATGACCCATGGGTCGTGACAAGAACAGCTTTTCCTTGCTGCCCAATTTGCTATGCAACGCTGGTTCACCACCCACGGCGGCTCAGACCTATCATTGTAGTTCGCCATGTGGCCTCCGGGTTCATGCACGTGATGACCCGTGATGACCCGTCCGATTTGGATTGTTCGATGTGCATTCCGCAATCATCACCGCCGTGGGTGGCTGCTGCAGTAACAGGTTGTGCCATGTGCGCAGTGCGGCATCAGCGCATCAGCTAACATGCCTTCAGGATCCCCCGCACATTTGAGCATTAGCACCAGACGACACACGCATGCACGCTGTTAACATCCAGCTCATCGCTGATCCCAACCGGCACCACCGGCACCTTCAGGATCCGTATTCCGGTTGCCTCGGGTTTGGGGTCACCGTAAGGACGTTTTCCTCATGGATTACAGCCCTTCCAAAACCCATTTTCCACCAAACCATCACCCCGCCTTACCATGCAAAGTAGTTTGAGAAGTTGAGCCGGGAATTGTCAAACACCAAGGTCGTTCCGTTGGTTACTTCTAGCCAGTTGGTAGCCTTGAGTGTTGCGGAGGTGCGGTAGAGAGTGAAGGAGGTGCCGGTGGAGAAACCCAGCGTGTTGTTCTGGGGGGCGGGAGTGGAGCGGGAACGGATGAAGAGAGGAACAGGGCAGGTACTGGTATAAGATATGAGTTTATTGTGGGGGCATTCCCAAGTCCTTTCCCTTGACTTTCTCCCTTAGCGACCTCCGTCCACCTCTTCCCCCTATGCTGCTAGCGTAGGGGCCCATCGCCTCTCAGCCATCCCACAGATAGGGCCCCCTCTCATCAGCCACCCCACACGGCCCCCCTCTCAGCCTCTCCTTCTCAGCCACCTGCACCAGAATGAGCTCCATGGATTCAAAGGTGGTGTTGCCGGCGGCGGCGGCGGCGGGCGGGGGCACCAGGTAGGAGTTGTTGGCCTCGATGGTGGCGCGGTTCTGAGGGCGGCGGCTCAGAGGGTAGGGAGCAGCAGCAGGCAACAAGAAAGGATCGCATTCCAGTCATCAGTTCTCTCACCCCCATGTTAAGCACGGTAAGAAGCCTCTTCGTTCTGCCGCCCTCCAAGCATGGGCTCCCAAAGCATGTACCCAGTGCCTGCTTCTCCCGCCGCCCCCGCCACCTCGCTCCACCAGATCCCACCGCACCTCCAGTACGGCGATCGGATTGCAGAGCGATACACCGTCGGGGCACAAGTAGGCCTGTGAACACAACGTGCGGGAAAAGTTGAGACTCTTAGGTTATGGTAGCTGCTGAGCAGGCGTACGTGCATCACGCCGATAGTTAGGGCAGAAGTACAGCGGCCATTTGTGTTTCCCCCGCACGGCTCCTCTAGCATTGGGTCCAACAAATACCGTAAGGCTTCAACTTAGGAAACTGATAAAGCGGGTATTGGTGCGGTGCACGTGAGAGTTTTGTTGCGGTGTACGGAAGCTCAGCCGCTGGTTGCCCCACCTGCACGTACTCTTGCCGCTCCGTCCGTGCGGTGTTGTTGCTGCCAGCAGCGAAGAGGACGGCCGAGAAGGCCGCCTCCTCGCCCGAGCCCGGGGTGCAGGTGCCGTTGCCGATTACCAGCGTGCCATTGCGCAACCAGAGCTCGCTGGCGGCGGCTGGAGGGGGTGCGACTGGGGAGGGTTTGAGAGCGGGCCGCAGCCGGACGAGGAGGGGAAAGAGGGAGTAAGATTGTGGGCTTAGGGCTAGCCATAAAGGAAGGTTCCAGCAGGTGGAAAATGGAGCGTGGGCTCCTGACTAAAAAAGGCTGTGAGGTAGATGGTTGATAATGATGATTATTACAAGCTAAAGGCTCGTAAGGCCCAGACGAGCCAGGGACGTGGGACGTACGTAGGGCATGCGGCGGGCGCGTTAATGCATGGGAGCAGGTTAGTTGCATGCAAGCTGGAGTGCGTGTGGCTGATGACGGCCCGCTGCGAATCGCTACGCTAGTGCTGCTGTGGACACGGCTGGCTCTAATAAGTAGCTCTCCTTTGCACGTAAGGCTTGAGCGCTGCTGCAGCCGAACGGCTGTCCGTGTCCCCAGCAGCCACCCAAACCTCAAGCCTGTCTACTGCCCGCGCACCTGACAACGTGAGGAGGAAGACCAACAGCGCGCTCAACGACAGATGAGCTGCTCTCATTGCGGAGGAGGTGGAGGTGGAGGTGGAATCATGGCCGAGGCGGCGCATGACTTTGCAAGCCTCTGCAGTAGCTGCCAGTGCGGCTACTACTCCGAAATTCACAATACGCCGGCGATTTAGTGGGGAAAGCGGGTATCAAGCACGTTTGATGCTTATCTGTAAGTTGCGTTTGCGGCATTAGCGAGTGCGGGTGGGCTTTTGGGGATACTAAGGGCTCGGAACCTGGAATCTCACGTACGTTGGCCGGTCGAGTGCGTCATTCGACCGACTAATCCCGATGGCGTGCCTCGGATTGCCCAGAACGACCACCACTAAGCGCTAACACACCAAGTAAGCACTTTACAGTTAGAGATACGTGTAAAGCTGTTGGTGCACAAACAGCATCTACACAGGTACAGCGAACCGAGACTCACCTTCGCCCAAGTGGTGATGAGTCGTTCGACGCTACCGTAAGTGACCCATGGGTCAGATAGCGTAGGTCGCGCCGCTTGGATTCCCTTGTTGCACGCATAGCAGGGCTAGCTTCGCCCGCACCTACCACGGCTTCTCCTACCATATTTCTTCCGTTGGTTAATTCGAATGCGAAGGTATCTGCCATCTGTTCACCTTTCCGCACATGGTGGATGTTGCTTCAACATGTTGGAGTATGTAGCAACACATGGTTGTCCAGGGGAGTTATTATTAATAGTATGATAGGGTGCAATAGGAAATATGTACTTAGTGAGATGTATTTAAATTTTTGCCGTAATATCGACTTGCTAATCTGTACTGGATGGCCTTCTAGACTAAGTGTAGGATGACACATACCGAAAGTCATTACAATAGATGGTGATCGGGTCCGGCGTGTTATTCACGTATGTACTTTTCAAGCCAGCCATTGTCAACATCCAACTCTCTCCTCTCCACTCCACCGTTAGTGTGCATGAAATACTTGGATGAATTCTTCACCAGCATACATCCGGAGCGATTCAAAAGTCAATAATATTATTCCCCGGTGCAAATTAGTGGCCCTGCTGGGTAAAACCGGGTACATGGATGGCGCATACACCTTCACAGCCCTGTGCGATGTTAGCTGCGAAGACGTCACAGCCCGAATACACTCGGAACACCTCTCGATTGAATTCTTCCACAGGCTTTACCAAACAATGTCCAGGTCACATCGCGTATCTTGCGCACTCTCTCTCACCTCACACCTCACCGAGTAATAGAATCATCAACTGAAATGTATTGCAAATACGAGCATACACATATAGCAGAGCTCTCAAACTCTGTGCTCTGACAAGTAGCACAAGTAAATGGTCGACGAGTCAGTGGGCATAATTAAATGCGTTGCAGCCCTCTTCCAGCGCGGACGAACCCCGCCGCTGGCTAGTTAGTCTCGAATGATATCCAATCTCAGTTGTAGCCTCCTGATTCTTGTCCGCCCGTCCGTACGTGCGTCTCCCTTACAGGTTGGTCAGCTCGCTGGGCAGAGGCGTCAGCGGCAGACCCACGTCCCTGCGCAACAGCAACAACAACAACACCATCAGTACCCGCCTCTCCAACAGATTAGTTGAGATAATCCCATTCGAATTTGCATGGCACATCGACAAGCCCCATCCCGCGCTAACATGACAAATCTCGCCGCCAAGGTCCCAGCAGTCCCAGCAAATCCCAGCCGACCCCCTTCCCTCTTCCCGCCCCCGCCCTACTCCCACCCCCGGCCCCTGCTGCCACCCCGCCTCCACCCCCCGGCCCCCTGCTACCCCACCTCTCGATGTCGTCCAGCTCCAGGATGGCCTCCTTCTCGAAGCGCAGGAACAGGTGCTCGAAGATCTCGGTCTGCTCCACACACTCCTGGGCCACGAAGGCGGCGATGGCAATCATGGCCTGAGGGGAGGAGCGAGGCGGGGGGGGAGGGGGAGGAAGGAAAGAGGAATGATGGGTTACAGGAGGACTGGGTGAAGTGCGGGCCAGAATGGTAGAGGATGTAGGGCAGCATGCACGAGGCAGATAAGAGGGATTGACCAATCTGCAGCCCGCCACATGATGCAGTAGGTCGACGAGACTGACTGTTAAAGAGTACGGCCCCATGCTGCCTCCTTGCCGCTGCCTCCCTCACCACCCAACCCTACTCACCAGGCGGCCGTTGTTGAGCTCCTTGGTCTTCATGACCTTGAGCTCCTCGGGGTCCGTGGGCTTCAGGCCCAGCGGGTCGAAGCTGCGATGGGAAGCAGGAATGAGGGAAATGAATTAGGTCGGATGCTTAGTGCCGTGCTCGGCCAGTGGAAACCCAAGCCAACAGACGGCATCAAACACACGTTTGGATCTTAACAGTCCGCTGCAAAATCCTAAGCCTGATACAATATTGGCTAAAAGTGCCCCAGCCGTCCGTCCGTCCAGCGGCCTCACCCCAGGTCGCCGGGCTCGTAGTCGTCCTTGAGGCTGTTGAAGCCGGTGTTGGTGGGGGTAGCCCAGCCGATGGCCACGCGGTAGGACTCCGCGATGCCGATGGCGATCAGCAGCGGCTCCCAGAAGCCCTGGCCGATCTGGGAGAAGTGCGTGATGGCGGGGCCTGGAGGGGGAAAGCGAGAAGGTGACGATTAATATTGGGAAGTAATGAAGGATACAGCAGAGGAACATTAAAGCAGGAACAGTGAAGCTACAAGTTAGGTTGTGCGAGAAAGGAGAAAGCGGCGGCTAAGATCTGCGTTACCGAACGGCGTACGGGTACGGATGAACCCTCGTCTCACCTGACACCCTGCCATCAAAGTTGAAGAAGAGTGGGTAGTCCTGCAGCTGCTCGCCCACAATGAAGCCCAGCGCGGCGAGCATGGAGACGCGGCCATGGGTAATCTCGGCCTCGCGCCAGCGGCGGACATCACGCACGGTCGCCGTGCGCGCAAAGCCCGCAGGGTCAAAGACGCCCTCGAAAGGAGCTGTGACGCCGGGCAGCGTCTTCAGGTCTGCAAAGCAGAAAGGAACGAATTCGCTGAGCTGATGCACACGCTAGTGCTTGCAATACCCTTAGCAGGCTATCAATTGCGTACTCAAGCTAAAAGCTTGCATTAAAGACAAGAAAGACATTCGGATGAGCAATAGCTTGGGCTATTAGAAAAGCGACTAATCAATTACGTGTCACGACTTACACTCAACGCTGGCGGGCTCCGACGAAGAGAAGGTCTTGCCAGTGATGTTGTTCCCGGTGCGCATAACGACAGAGCGGCGCGCAGCCGGCCGGGCGCCAACCTTCTGAGCGACGGAGCGAAGGGTGCTCATTTTGATAAGTACCTCGAAGTATATTAGAGCAGGAAGGTTAAGCTGAGCAAGAGAACTCCACAATGTTTTCAAGCAGAGAGGGCCGCCTTTTATGTGATATCCTATCAACCTCCGGGTTCATCAATGTACGGCAAGAAGCTCCTCCACCACACGTCTCGGCCGTTGTAGAAGTTGGATTTCCAGCAACCGAACTGTTTATGGCCTGCTCGGGAACATTCGCGAGATGAATGTCGCTGCGCAGTATATTTTGACAGATGCTATCAGGATAGTTGCATGTGGTGTTCCCTTCATGCCGATGTAACGCGCTTGCGTTCCCAATGGTCATGCGGCTTCAGACGAAGTTCTCTGTTGAGCTTCACCCAGCTCATATACTCCATCCGCTCCATAGAATGACCAACTCCCTTGCATGCACTTTGTGCTGAAGTACAGGTGTCTACCTGTACTTCAGCCTTTGCGGCAAGGCAAGGAAGCAAGAAGACATTCAGCCGGCATCAACGCCGTTCTTGTTTGCAAGTCCTCGATGAATTTGAACTTGTTCTAGTCCTCTTCACTATGAAACCCTAGCTACCAGCTTGTCCCGGGGTTACTCGTGCGTTACTAATACGAATTGAAAGGTTGTGTTGCGGTAGGGTTGTGTATCCGCAGGATGCAGGATGGAGCGATGTAGTAGGTAGGACAGTCAGCCATTTTGCTAACTAATAGATAGGTTTCTTGCTAGCAAGAAAGGTGCTGGTGGGCCGTTGTAACGCAAGCCATGGAGTTGCAGTTCGGTGCTACGGCCTCTGGGGCAGGATAGGGCCGCCAGGATATGCCCCAGGCAAGTACCCCCGCCAGTCAGCATTGTTGTTGAGGATAAGCCGGGCAAGCGTTTTTCGACAACATCTTTAAGCCATGTATGCCAACTAGCCTTGCACACAACACGCAAAGCCCATTAGCAAAATGACGTGCCAACACAAGTTATGGCGGATTCAGATGTGGCGTACGAGACTGTACGGCTCAACAGCATGTTGTTGCGGTCCGAGTCTACGGCATACTTGATAGAGACCACTACGCAATCCAATGAAGTCATTCGGTGGTTCCGTGCTTTTCCGAACCCCGAACGCAGTGAACAGTGACGAAACCGCAAGTGATAAGTCAACCAACCGCAAACTGCGGCAAACATGGTGGTCACATGGACATGCCTTGAAGAGCAAAGGCCCAAAACACAAACCGGTAACGGACAATAAGCATCCAGACTTTGGCTACGCACGGTGGGCTATGCAGGGAAGTAGCCGCTAAAGGCAGTAATCATAGGGTTGCTTACCTTCAGACCCCAATCACACAGATACCGCCTAGGGTAGGTGTCACGTGCAGTTGACAAACTAGCAAGCCGAGATGAAGCCAAGGAAGCAATGACATCCCTGCAACATTTGATGCACACATGAGGTGTAAGCGTGTAACGCCCCCACGGGGAGACCTGCTCACAGGCGCGGAAAAGAATAAATGCGCGGTCCTAATCCACAAATTCACGTAAACCAAACAGCCATGTAACAAGTACGTAAGCCACGACGCCAGCCGTCAGGACCACGTGTAATGCGGCCGTATTGAGCACGCTGTCAGCAGACCCTTTATTACTAGATAAATAACATCATCAGGGCTCAACTCTGCGCACGCATGCACGCACGGTGAACACCGCTGTGCTGACTAACGAACAGCCACAATCACAGCACAGCCCCATAATGCACAAGGATTTCTCTCCTCAAATGCTCATGTTAATTGCCAAAGCCGCATAGGCCACGCAGGACTCGGTGCCAACGCTGCTATTCCTGCTGCTGCCGTGCATGCATATGCCATCCGCTCCGCAGCAAGGCAAGAGCGTCTCAGCATCCCAAGCTGCTGCGCAGAGGTAGAATTACGCCAGCTTGGGTCGCAGGTCCGAGGGCGGTGTCGACGGGGGCGACAAGGGGTGGGGTCGCGGGGGCGTGGAGGGCGCCGACGACGGTGCAGGCGATGCGGGTGCGTCGGTTGGGAAGTCAAACCTGCATGGGGCAGACAAAGGAACGCGCAAAAGGAAGAGTTGACGGCAATGCTTACACATATCATGGGCATGAAGCACCGCTAAGCAGCCCGGAGCACCATAGCCAGCTTTATCACCACAACTACCCCAAACCAGCGCCTCCCTTGCGTCCCAATGTTTCGCACCTGGCGTGGGCCTTGAGCCAGTTGCAGGCCAGGCTCAGCGGCAGCAGTACAGCGGCGGTGACCACTAGCGAGGGGTACAGCATAAACCACCTGAGCGGGCAGGAGTGGGGGGGTGGGGACCTGAGCGGGCAGGAGTGGGGGGGGTGGGGCTTGGAATTTGCTATGGCCTGGACTAGCGCGGGGTCCTATGAATGCTGTACCGTACGAATCCAACCTTTCCGACAACACCGGCCATCAGCTACCAAAATCCAGTACACCTCACAGACCTTAAACGGCAGAGACAACTTAATACCTCATCCCGATCCAAGCTCGACCCACATCGACCCAAATGAACTCGATCCCATCTCAATCAACTACGAGCGCGCCTACCCCGATCAACCCACTGCCACACAACGCCCCCGAACTTCCCCCTGGCCCCGTCCCCGTCCCAACCCTAACCGCCTCCCCGCCCCACCAGTCCATGTTCTGAATGGGCGCCGAGTCCACCGCCATGAGCACCAGCGCCCCGCCCGGCGGGTGCACCGAGTCCGTGAGCAGCATGAAGGCGACCATGAGGCCCATGGCCAGCGCGCGCGTGAACACCCCCGGGCCCAGAAGGTGCAGCAGCAGCACCACCGTGGCAGTGGCGATCACATGGCCGGCCTGAGGGGGGCGGCAAGGAAAGGGAAGTGGGCAGAGGCCGGGATGATAGGGAAGTGGATGGTCGGGGGGGCGAGTTGCGCACAAGTGCGAGTAAATCCACCAAGCTGCTTGCTTTGGTGACCATAGATCTAGCCTCTCTCTCTCTCCGCAGGTTCGGGGGGCGGCCGGTTAACAGCGCGGGCGGCCCCGTAACCCACCACGAAGTTCCAGATGCGCATGGCCTCCGCCTCCGGCCGCGCGAAGAGGAGCACGCAGATGGTGCCAAAGGACCCCAGCAGCAGGTTCAGGCCCTGGGAGGAAGCGGTGACGGGAAGGGGTGCGGTGCATGGAGGGCAATGTTGGGTGAGTTTTGCCAACTGACCCAGATGACCTTTAAAGTGTTAATGATCGCGCTCTTACATACTGTAGGCAAACCTCTGCTGTCCACCTTCTCCATGCTGGTTTCTTTTTTCTGCCTCGCCTGCTGACGTACCTGCTGGTGCCACTCGCCCACCAGGGGCCAGCTACGCACATGGAGGCTCATGACACCCAGCGCTGCAACCGCTGCAAACATGCCGCAAAAGGACCACACCACGTCGGAAGCGGTCGCGCGCGACTTGCCGCTGTTGCGCAGCTTGCTGGCGATGTAGGAGGACAGCGCCGAGGCAGAGCTTTGACCGCGCGCTTTTGCTGCGCGGATGCCATTGAGGACCTGACAACAGGGGTGTGTGCGGGGGAAGACGTAACGTTGTGATTAAGCGATCAGTCCTTAAGGCGTAGGCTGAACCAAAACCAGATACCGTTAGATCCTGAAGCTGTATTCCCGTCAAACCCTTGTCACCTGTACATCCCAAGTTGCCGGCCCAGAAGGTGCGGTGGAGGAAGCAGGTGCGACCGGCTGTGCAACAGGTCGCAAAGGCTGTATAGACGCTTTAGGGGATCCGCGCAAGGTTTCGAGGGTCTGTGGCTCGCGCAGCAGGATGGTAAGTTGTAATGGGTGTTGCAAACGGGAATGTGCTGCATGGCAGACTGGTGTCACATAATAGTATTACGCATACGAACGCATGGATATGTGACCAATATTGGCTGTCACTGCCTAGGCCCTTTACTCCTTTGAGATGATGCCATGTCAAAAGCCACAGCACAGCATTAACGAGGCGTCTTCCAGGTATTACCTGAATTGCCGCAAAGGCTTGTTGGGCTTCTGCAAGAGTCAATCGCCCATCACCGTCACCATCATAAAGTGCTAGAAGGCTCTGAACGTCCTGCGAGCTTTCACGGTCTACGACCGCTCGGTGGACAAGAGACGTATGCCTATGCTTCAAAGGTGCTGGGAAAAGCGCACGGCGGCATGATGGGTGTTGAACATGGGCTTGGAGTGCCGACATAATGCTACGCCTTATTAACAGCCAAACAACTGCTCTTATGGAAGTAATGAGCTCAAATAGGATATACACCGGCGACTGAACACACATAAATTCCTAATATTCAAGGCAAAAGACGCCGTTGGCGGGTGTACATAACCGCAGCAGTACCGGTACAGAGACCTTCGCAAACATTCCCAACCCACATCAGATACTGTTAGTGCATTGATTGTGTCCCACAATACGCTCAAACGCTTACTTCGAACCGCCAGCCGTTCGACTGGGCACTACCATTCCCAAGAGATACACCACAGCAGGCACACCTGTTCAGTTCGTGCCCCTTCACCGATATCCATCCCCTTTTCTCGCACACTATGAACACCACGACCCTTATTCATGTGCGAATCCCAACCATAGTCGGCACCTTAGCAACTGCATCTAAGTTGGCACCCGTTGCTGTGCGGCCAGCCGATACCCAGTCGCACAACCACATCCCAATCAAGACCTTGGCACCCCTAGGAGCTACGTTGACTGCACTCTTACTTTGCCCTCTCCCACTCCCCATGAGTCCTGCCGCATTTTGCCGATGCAGCCCCCTTTCAGTAAGATTGGCTTGCAGAAGCCTCTCACTTGACGGTGCGCGCTCGACTTCTGTGCCACGCTCCAGGCCCACGGCATATGCCTTGCCCCACGTAAGGACGCAAATTGTGGACCGGATTTGAAGTTCACTGGGGGAGGTACGCGGCCGTAATAACTGGAAGGGGCCTGCGAATCGTGGACAGCACTCGTCGTACCCCTGTATCCTCTTCGCAACCCTTGCACAATGGGTCGAACATCACACATCTTCCGGGTCACATGCCGTTGACAGCTTGCACAGCTCCATGGCGACCACGGGCCGTCATAAGCCATGTGTACGGCAACAACGGCAATAACCATGGGGCTAAACGGAAGCGTGACCACTATAGATGCTGCGCGGCATGAATTACTTATTAGGTTTCAATAGAGATAAGCCATTGCTATCTTTCAGCCTTCCCTAAGCCTTCTGAGACATCATGATTAACCGACCCTATGCGTCCGGCCTAAAGGAGTTTGTTTTCGTAGTATGAGCACTACAATTCAAATTATTGACATGGTGAAGGATAATGATCAGGCGCGGAGCTGTTCCTATACTTGTAGCTGTCCTCATACTGTGCTCGCTGTATCCGAGCCCATCCGTCTGTCAGAAACAATATAAACGACCTATCGTACTGTCTCGATCGTCGAACTGGAGCAGTCTCTTGACCCAGGTGCGCAGCGTAGTTTGGTTGCGGCCCATCGTTTCGCCTCCACATTGCCATGCTGACGCCTGAACCGCACGCGCGTGCGGTACCTGCAGCCCTCAGCTTTTGTCTCCAAAGTCCGTACAAGGCTGCGCAAGCAGTCAGAAGGTTATACGTCTAGCCCAGCATGTGACAGTTACGTCGGCCCAGGATACCTAGAGTACATACGGAACAGCAAGTTAGAAATATGCCGGCCAGGCAGCGCATCGAAGAAGTGGCGGCAGGGGGAAAGCTTATCATGTACAACCCCGCAGAACTGTGGCTCCGCAGTAGAGTGCTACACCGCACCCTTTGTCAGGACTGGAAACGCCTCAAAGGCGTCCATATCCCTTTGCCACAGCACCAACCTAGTCCTCGACAGCTGCGGCTTCTTGTCGGGACGACGAAAAGGTAACCTACAAAGGGCTGGGCAATCCACAGTGCATTGGCCATGCGCCCAAAAGCCGCGCCGTTCGGTTCTAGGCAGTCATCCTCCTGCCTCACGTTCAGCGTCCTCATCCATTCCCCAATGTCGGTGCGACGATGTCCGCGCAGGTACCCTGGCCAAGAAATTCCCGCTGCCAGCGCCAGGGTCGGTCAAGCTGGCCTGTCAGCTGACCGTGACCAACGCCACGCAGCTGGCGCAGGAGGAACCGCAGCTGCACTGGCTTGACTCCATCCACCACGATGTGTGGTGGGCCAACGCAACGCGGGTGCGTGCGGGGTATGCAGGCGCTCTGGCGTCGGCTTGTTGCATCCAGCACGATGTCTGACAGATTGCAGGGGTGCGTCACGCAGAGGGTATGGCGACTGTGTGCATGCAAACCCAAATGCGAAGCGCATCACAATCCAGGCTTGCTCCTTGCTTATTGCCCCTCTCCTCGCTGTGCCCTTTCCACTTGGGGCCTGGCACGTGCCCCACCTCACCACCAACCCGCTGTGGCAGCGCCGCAGGACGATGCCGCGGTGCGCAACGCCTGCGCGCCCGGCTCACCCAGACTGGTGACCACCCCCACGCTGTTCGTGATGCGCGACCGCCACGCCAACTACGCACACGAGCTGGAGGTGGTCTCCATGGTTTTCTCCTTCCTTGCCGCGCTGGAGCCGCAGGACGTGGCGAAGCGGGGGATACAGGTGAGGGAGCAGGAAGGAGATGAAGTGCCTCTGTCGCTCCTGCATCAGTTCGTCTTTCCTTGCGGCGTTCACGTGTACCTGAACTCCCTGCGTTCGCTTTGTCCTTTTTCTGTAGGTGGTCATTACCGACATGGCGCCCCCCACCGGCTTCCTGGAGACCTGGGCGCGCATCTCGCATCCGCACCGCCTGCGCATCCTGGCGCGGGAGCCCTTCCCGCCAGGCACCTGCTTCCGCTCCGCCTACCACGTCTACACCTTCGCCGCCGGCATCGGCTACAACACCAACCCCGACACGGTCAGCTGTGAGAGCCCCGTGACGACTGGCCTCAGCCACTGGTTACGGCAACTGTACGACGAGGCTGACCCCGGGGCGAGGTGGCAGACGGCGTCGACGACGGCGGCAACAGCGGCGGCGGCGGCGGGGCCGGCCGCTGCAGCCGCCGGTGTGCGGGGGCTGAAGCAGCCGACGGGCGGTATTGTGATGAAGAATGTTGTGTGGCTGAGCAGGAGGTGAGGGCGGGGAGTTGGACCTGAGGGTAGGCCCCGGGGGGTACCGTGTAATGTTGAAGGGTGTAGACGCCACTATCCTGCCACAGCGACTTGCGATGTTCTTAACCTACGCCGCAAGCTGCTACCGTCGTCTCGAATGCGCTCTCCTGAAATGCCATGCCGCGCCACTGCACACCCGTCCTCCCGCTTCCAATTGCATCGCCCAGCGAATGGACGCTTGCTTGGCCACGTGTGCCCCCCACCACACACACACAAACACACCGTCCCATGGGTCGCAGGAACCTGGAGATGGTGCGGCTGCTGCTGAATGCTTCTGCGGGCTGGAAGAGCATGCGCATGGTGCGCAATGAGGATGCGGTGGTGACGGGGCTGGTGGCGGCGGTGCAGGAGTGGAACGCGGAGAGCTGCCTGCTGCGGCGCTTTGATCGCGTGGTGCAGTCGGTAAGTGGCTGGATGGGGGGCATGGGTTAGCCCGCGTTGTGGGGGTGGCACAGTTATCCAGTGGAACCGGGTTTACTGAAGGGGCGGTGTTAAAGGGATGGGGGGCGCAACTTGGCGGTGGCGGTGGAGCTACCTTTGTCTGGCGTTAGGGTGTAACCGGTAAGTGGGTGCTGCGTAGGCAGCCGCGTGCTGTACGGGTGGGCGAGGGCCTGCGTATAGCGGAGGGGGTAATGTGCTCTGGAGTGATTCCTCAAGCGTTATCCTAAAAGCCAGCCGTGCTTTTCGCGTTCTTTTTTTCCAATACAGGAATATGAGCGGTCGTTGAAGGACGTCAACCCAGTTCACGCAGCCACACAAGACACGGCTGGGGACCAGCAAGAGCAGGCGGACCAGCAACAAACACAACATCACCGGGGATCGGCGAAGTCAAGGCAGTCCTCTAACCGAAGCTCATCAACGAAGAGCGCTAGCATCCCGCGAAGGGGCCTACTCGGCCGGCCTTTAGCTGCTGCGGCATGGGGCCCTGGAGGCCGGCGGGCGACACTGGGGTCGACAAGATCCGCAAGCACTGCTGGCAGCGGCAGCAGCCACGGCGGCGGTGAAGTGGACATTGGCAAGGAGTACGCGGTTGATGGGGACTATAGCGGCGACGATGAAGGTGGAGAAACAGAAGCAGAGGAGGATGTGCAGGACATGGGCGCTGACGGCGATGATGATACTGATGACGGTGGGGAGGCTAATTTAACGACAGAAGCTGCAGAAGGCGCTGGAAATGGTACGAACACAACAAAGCCGTCGTACATGATTGCGAACAACATCATTTCCCTCGCCCGGCTTTGGGCGCTGGAGACCGATGGCTGTCGGCGCACCAACGTGCTTTTCAAGTTTGTGGACGGTGACTTCAACGACATGCCGTACCACGGACAGTTGCACACCATTTTCCGTACTGGTGTATTGGTGGGGGTGCACGGCGCCGGTTTGACGCACGGATTCTTCATGCCTCCGGGCCAGAGTGCTGTGCTACAGCTGCTGGGAGAGTCCTTCTCCAAGGTGCGGCTAGCATGGCAGTTGTCAGATATCTGGCTGCAAGGATTACTGGCAATCCTTTGCCCTTCACGCATGCTTGCCAGAGACTAACAACACAAGCCTCTCCCGTTGCCTTCTCCGCATCCCTGCAAGTCCCGTGCCTTGGCCTCACTATGCCAACCACAACTGCACTGCATCAACCTCATTGGACCTGAAAACCTTCCATGTCCAAATGTCCCAGGTGGCCGCCAACAACGTCTTCCGCAACATGGCTGCCGGGCTGGGCAACTACTACGAGGACGTGCTGTACTCGGGGGTGGATGTAGACGTTGAGAAGCTGAAGGAGGCCGTCAAGCGGTGAGTGCAGAAGGGCCTGATCCATCCTTTGATTTGCAGGGTTAATGCTTTCGGGGGAGCGCTCACTCCAAGGTCGTCCGTGGGCATTAGGTTGCATCAATTTGGCCTCACGGCTCTACTGCAAACAGCTGTGCTGTTTAGGAGACGCAGCTTTACTGTCTGCATACCATGTATAAGGTACGGTTCATGTGCAATGATCAAGACCCCGGCTGTCGACCCATGGGTCCGCAGGGCAATGGACGCCGTCGCGCGCACTACCATGGAGGCCCAGATGCGTCGCTCTGGGGCCCTCCGACTGGTGCTAGTGGACCAGAGCCACTTCTCGGTGGTGGCGCCCTCGCCGGAGCAGTGCCCTGCGGCGTCACCCTAGAGCACCAGCAACTCGACACAGACCCTAACTAGCGGTTTGGCGTAGTAGGATAGCCGCCTCTTGGCGTGTGCATTCTCATAACATACAAGGATATTAGGGGCATCAAATATACACATGCGACCATAAGCTTAGAATAGGCCAATGAGCACCAATGTATGTGGCTTAGGCCCTATGATGCTGCCAAGGATCACCGTGTCAATGAAGAGATTGAGGAGCCGTGCGATGCTGCAGAACAAGAGGGTCTGGTATGTCATGCAGTGATGGGCAATTGGTATTGAGATGACTTGTGAGACGCTTCGGACGGATGACAACGGAGGAGCTAGGCGGCATGGCGCCGTCCTGCGTCGGGAGCACATGCATAACTACCTAAAGGCCATGAACACTAATGAGACCAGCAGCCCGCTTACCGGTAGTAATCCCGGGCTGTGAATTGCTTACAGTGACAGCGTTCTTACATAGGCCCGGGTGTCTCTGTACAAAAGCTTGCTAGGTAAGCAGTTCCCAGTCTTTGCAGGCCCACGCGGCCCACTTTTAAGTACGGCCACGACGCGGGTGGTCGGTACGTGAGCGGAATGTAAAACATGAAATGCCCTGCGAGTAATCACCAGTTTTCAGCGTCAACGGTGCAGAGACTCCCACCGTACGGGTCAAACTCTACCAGAACGGGGGCTGCGCAATCCTGCTTTAAGAGTATGACCAAGTTTGGGCATGAACCCGAATTGTCGTAGATAATGACAGAAGTTTACGACCTAAGTGTCACCCATCCTACAGTACAACCCTCAACCCCCAAGTCCCTACCCAACAACAGTAATGCCAAGTACCCAAGCCCCGCAGTCACACTCTACGCAGCACCGAAGACCCGCAACCACATTTTGTCTGTATGTACGCTCCTACAGCCCGTGGTTAGTACAACACCTCGGCGCACTGATACGGCAACGACCGGTAAAATGATGCAAACCACGCAATCCGTGCTGCGTTGGGCTATACGTCACCGCCGTTGCCGCTATCGCCGCCGTCGCCGCATATTGACAAGGCACGTTGACCCTCTGGGGTGCTACCTAAGGCGTACAATTCGGTGGCTTGGGACGCCGACGCTGCACTCGAACAGGCACCCGAGAGCCCAGAGCGTTTGGTGCCCAGGCGGCGGGCCGGGGTTTCGCCGGAGGCGACGGTGCCCAGGGGTCGGCGGGTGCCCTTGCGGCGGGGTGATGCCTTCGGTTGAGGAGACCTGCGCATGCAGATAGGATTGGTGATGTGCCGTACCTCCAAGCGCACCAAGACCCAAAATCGAATACTTGGCAAAGTTTGGCATCGGAACTGTAGGTTAGCGTTAGACACGTATCCCTGTGTCCCATGCCATAGCCTTCATGCAACGCTCACCTGGAAGTCGGGCCTGTGCAACTGCAGGGAAGGAACGGCAGCTTCCCGAGCAGGACCTGCATGCATCCATGCAAAGAAATGCAGACATGTTGTAACGCAGGACGGGAAATGCCTCGAGCGGGAAGTGGGTATGAATGACATCTTGCTTGCAGCGATACCGCCGGCACCATTTGCCGCTTCCCACCTTTGCGGGCTTTTCCAGCAAGCTGGTTAGTAGCACGGAGATGACTGGCACTGCAGATGCGGCTGCAAGGATGCCAAAGCCCTGGTGTTGCAGAAAGGTTGACCCAGAATGAGCGGTAGGGGAAATAAGGGGATAGCATTAGGGATAAGCAACTATGAAAGAGTGGCATGAGCACCTCATGCGACAGCCTGATAGTGACTAAGACTCTGCTGTGTTGCTCAAGGAGATACAGGAGCGGCTTACGGTAAGGGTTAACAACGGAGAAGAAGGCTATAGACCCTACACACCTCAGTTGCCTGAGTCGCCTTGCTGAAACCAATCCCGAGCGAAAGCACGAAAGGCACCGTCACAGGGCCCGTGGTTACACCTGCAGGCAAGGTCAAGAAAGGCAGGGTCAGACAACCTCGCATGGCGGTGAACACAGATGAGGGACGGTCTGACCCCGGCTGCTGCCTTACCCGCGCTGTCCCAGGCGATATTGGTTATGGACTCCTCAGAGAAGAGCGTAAAGGCGACTGCGACCGTGTACGTGGCTAGGACCAGGTACATCAGGGGCACCCCGAAGAGGATCTTGGTGGACCCTGTACGGCAATACATGGGCGGGTTGCTTGGGAAGAAATGCACCCTGACAACCGCTAACAGCGAAGCCCCAACGCTTCTGTCTAGACCCGCTGAAGCTGTGGGGTACATGCAAGCCATAGCATTATAGCAACCATGGCCATCTACCAAGGCACCTGCTGTGCTGGGTTCAGGGAGCTTACCGACAGCCATGCCCGTGCCCACTCCAAATGATACGGTGTAGATGAGCATGGAAGAGGTGAAGGTGCCGCCGCTCAGGCGCTCTACGGTACGACCCAACACACGGAGAACCGGCTCCGCGCGGGTGGCCATGAAACCTGCGCAATCAAGATTGTGGTTGTAAACGCTCGCCAAGCATTGCAACGTGTCCTTGAGGTTGCACGCGCGCTGCTGTGCATGCACGAAACTCCAATGAGGGTATGCAGGGTCATCATTCGACACGGTAAGTAGGGCTGGAAACTTTCACCGTAATAGAGATTTGGTACCGTAATGACGGGACCGTAATTACGCAAACCGTAAGAAACATAGTAAATTACGGTGAAGATGGCTCGAAAGGGCACCGTTACGAATTACGGTGGTCGATTTTGGAGCCAAAACGAACATCTAAGCTGTAATCTTCAATCATTTACCCTTTTTATATCTTTCTACAAAGGTCTAGGTAGTTGGTTGCTGCCAAACATGGCCGATAAGCCTGGCAACGTGCCGCCTGGCACGATTGCTCAGCCAACCACCAAGGAGACCAGCATCAACCTAAAGAAAGGAACAACTCTTCACATTTTGGGTTATAAGACGGCTAGTGGGCTTCTTTCTTTGCCTCCATCGGGGAGGGGCGGTCGGACTAGGGCTGACTGGGTTCGCATGGACGACATGGCCATTGCCCAGCTGGCCATGAAGTGAATGCCAGCCAGTACTTCCGTGACAGCTGCAATAGTTAGATAGAGGATGCTGTCATTCGTTCTCTAGGGTGGATATGTTAGTGAGCAGAGGTCTAAGCGCTTCATTGGGTGGTCAAACATCAAGCTTCGCGTGATTTCCTAAAGTTCAGCAATCCAATTTATCAGTACAGTGTTGATTTAGATTCCAAGAGGTGTTATTGAGTGGAAATGGCGTCTTCTGTGAACTTTACTTTGATTTTGCGGCGACATTGGACGGTTCCTTACGGTTCAACCAGTAAAAAACAGTCCACAGACACCGTAATTACAATTACGGCGTCATAACGTAAAAAATGAGCCTTTTTTTAGCTTTACCGTAATTACGGTACCGTAATTACGCAAAATCGTAATACCGTAAACCGTAACGTTCCAGCCCTAACGGTAAGTCGTCCTGGAAGCGGGCACGTTGACAGGACCTTTACGTGGAAGCTGACTACCGTCCCCTTCCTAGCGGAACGGGCCTTTTGTATGCCTAAACATACCTAGAGCAAAGGCCACGGCCAATACAAGGACGATGCCACCCGCATAGCTGTAGTAGGGTGACTTGGGCTCCTCCTCAAGCTGTGGCAACACAACAACCGGATACGAGCACATAGAGCGTTATGGTGACGTCAGCGCAGGCACCGTCAGGTGAGGGAGCATTTCCGCTCGCAATGGAGAGGCCGTGCCTCGCTGCCTGGCATGCTTTGCAACCATATGGCCATCTGTTCCCGTCCGAACGGTTGCCACAGACCCCATGCCCTACCTGGAGGTAGGCGGCCGGCAGCAGCGTGCCCGCTTGGTCTCCTAGCGCTGTGAACCCGTACGTGAGGCCAATGTTGAAAAGAATCATGCCGACCTGCAGCAGCATTAGGAAGGCTTAGCTAGCGACGTCAACTGTACGCGCAACTCGTGTCCAGTGACAAGCATGGGCCCGCCCCTTTGCCCGGCCGTTCCATGGCCCTTCGCACAAACCAGAAGCGGATCCAACTTGCATGACGTCAAGTACCCCAACCAGTGCCACGGACCTGAGACATGACAATGCCGCATATGAGGCCGCCGTATCGCACATGCCAGGGTTCCACGCCTGCCGCCGCCTCGCCCTCCGACACAGCTTTAGCCTTCGCAGCCTCCACATCCACGCCATACGCGTCACGGTCGCCTCCGTGACTGTGCGCACGGGGCGTCGCGGATGGCACCCCGCATCCGCCGCCAATCCCGCCTTGCTTCCCAGCCTGTGTGGAATGCATCGTCACGGGCGTGGGCAGCTCCGGCGGCGAGGAAGGTGAGGCTCCGGCGGAGGCTGCGCCCTCTGCGGCGGCGCCGTCGGCAACAATAAATATAGACACGGCTTTCGTCGGCGTCGACAATACGTTCCTTGGAGGTGACGGGGACGAGCCCCCAACGGCAGAGCCGCTGGATTCGCGGTGATGCGTTGGCCCCGGCAAGTTGTCGTACTTTGCTGTAACCGCCGGTGTCAGAGAGCAGCTGGGGCTGCCGTTCTTGTCCGGAGTGAACTCCATACCGGCAGCGGCGGCGGCGGTGCGTCTAGCCTTCCTAAACGGCGAAGGCAAGGTGGCATCCTTGCCGTCCATGTTACCGCCGCGACCACACTGCGATTCCTCGGTGTCGGAAGCCTCAACGGAGTCCTCCGCATCGGGCCCTGTGACGCCAGGCGGAACCGTGTAGACCGTCAGGGGCGGGAGGGGCTCGCGGATGAGGAAGATGACGATCAGGAGGAGGGCTGTGATGAGCGGCATGATGGCGCGGATGGCGTACACGACCTCATGCAGCGGCGATTTGTCCACCTGGAGGGAGAGGGATGTGGGCAGGGTTGGGCAACATCCGCATGGGCGCGCATGGGCATTTATGTTCAATGGTGGCGCCCCATCAAGTTTGCGTCCTTACCCGACCCATTGCACCAACATCCACTGCACCGATGCCCCTGTCTAGCACTCTCCCAGCGCCACTACTTACCGCTGCCTGGCTGGTGGCATCCTTGGCGTTCAGGATGATGTGTTCCTTGCTGGTGGTAACGCTGAGCATGATGGCCATCATCTCAACCGCCAGGACGGGAAAGATGGACGCCAGGGTTACGACGCCGAAGCCCTCCAGCTTGGGCCCTGGGGCGCACGCGAGCATGTTGGTGGCAGCACCGGCAGCCAATGGTGGGCCGGACATGTAACGGAGCGAATTTCAGGAGTTAACCTCACGCTGACGTCCACATCCTGATACTACGTCACAGAGGGCATACAATCAATTGCCTTCCTACGGACCTACACCATGCCACCCGCAGCAGCAAACGGCTGCTTTCGTTCCCGCTCACCAGTAGGCTCCTTGGCAGTGGGATCCGCTGCTGCATGCTCCATCTGCTCCTTTTGCCGCTTGGCCCGCACGATGCCGATGCCCAGCGCTAGCAGGATGGGCACCGTGACAGGCCCGGTTGTCACGGCGCCGCAGTCCCAGGCCAGCCCCAGCAGCGGCGCCAGGTCGGGGTTGCCCCACTGCATGTAGCACGCGAGCGCCACGGTGGGAACTAGGGACACGTATCTGCGACGGCAACGGACACAACGATAAAAGAACAGAGAGAGAGGACAACGGTGTTGTAAGTAGTAGTCCAACATGAGAGTGGGGTAGAAGCGGACGGATGTATTCTCGGGGGTTCAAAGTTCGGAAACTGCTAACAAACACCCGCAGTGCGTCCTAATGCTGCCATTGCATCCCGTCAGACTTGACGTGCACGCAGCCGTAAAGACAAAAGGCCTTTCCCCGCCGCCACTCACACGATTGGCTTGAGGCTCCACCTGTTGCAGCGGGGGGATGCAAGGGAAAGGGGAGCGGACAGGGAGCAGGTTTATAAGTGGATGGGCGGGGGCTAGCTGAACGGTTAGGAGTGTTATACCACCTGCTGCAACACGACCGGCAATGCCACTTGGCAGATAAGCCTCATCTGCTACTGCACTCATCATGCTAACCCCTGCACGTTCTGGCTAAGCGGTCCTATCCCACATTAAGCACGTCTCTTTCCCATGCCTCCCTGCCACCACCGCGAAACCCCGACCCAACTCACCCCCTAAGGAACCGCAGCGTGCCCACCACCGCCGCGGCGCCCACCCCCAGGCCGATGGACAGCACCAGCAGCTCCCGCTTGTCGTTGAGCGCGTAGTAGAGGTAGGGCGCCCGCCGCTTGTCCACCATCTTGGCCAGCGGCGACAGCGAGGAGATGGCGGGCTCGGCGTACGTGACCAACACGCCCAGGCAGCCGGCCACCAGCAGCACTACTGGCAGTGGGCACTGCGGAAGCAAGGAAAGGGAGGCAGGCCCGGTGAAGAGGTCAGGGCAACGGGCCGCAAGAGAGGTCTAGCTGCTACGCGGAACCCTTGTTTCCATGCATGGCCACCCATGACACATGCCAGGCTTCCGGCGAACCAAGCGTAACTAAGCCGCCCGACCTCCTTCCTTGTGACCTCTGTAGCATACATCGCAGCTATACCTTGAGAGGCAAGCGGCCGCCCACCATCTCCGCCAGGGGCATCACGCACACACGGAGGCCCTCCATAAACAGCAGCAAACCCAGCATGGCGCTTACAAGGCCTACGGGACAGGAGAAAGGTGTTGTTGGGGGCAAGGTGAGGCATGTCAGGATCTGCGTGCAGTACGTGGCAAGATGGGTTGGGCTCCAACCCAGTTCGCCACGTTCCCATGCGACTTACCGTACGCCTGCTGTCCAGGACTCTTTGTCTGCTGCTGGAAGAAGGCGCCGATCACAAAGATCAGGAGGAGGGAGATAGGCAACACGGCCCATACTTGCTCCTTCAGCCTGTGGTACATGCGCGTAGATGTGTAAATACTAGGAAGGAGGCTTGCCCTCATGGCAGGGGCCCTAATACTCATGCGCAGTGCTGTGGCATGGCTTCTCTCCTCCTCCAGCTGTTACTTGTCCCGATCACCACCCCTGCGCTCCGCACTCACTGGCCAACGAAGTGGAAAACTAGCAGCCTCTGCCGGTAGTTGAGGCCCCAGCCCTCAAGCCAGCTGTCCACCGCATCGCGCACTCTCGCCGGGCTTGACCTGCAGCGTCCCAGGCAGCGGCCCAGCCCGAAAGCAGGCCTGATGGAAGAAGGCATGCTTCGGGCCCCAGCGGCGGCAGAGGAGGGTCCTCGGCGCGCCCAACGGTAGGCGCCGCTGTCGCCTCACACGGCAGCAGAAGTGGCGCCGTGACGTATACGGGATTGGCTGCATAAGGGAGGACACATCCTCGTCATTTTGCTACAAGCGGTGGCTCGTGGCTGGACTGTAAGGTGATGAAGGAGAGAGCGGTGCTGGCTACGGTTGTATGTTGAATCAATTCTGTCAGTTATGAACCCGCGTGTAATGAACCCGCGTGGTTGGGTGGTGGGCGCTGGGGTGGGGTTAAGTGGGCAAGTAAGGCGACAAAACTAAGGGGCCGACAACGAGGCATTGCCTGAGACGCCGGTTATTGTGAAAATTGAACATCCTTCATTGTAACAGTGCGACGCCTTAAGGCCTGCAAACATCCTCGTAGTATGTGGATGGCCCTTATAAGCCTGACATGGCAGCGCCATAGGCACGCATAAAGCATTCAGGGAGAACCTTGAAGCCAGTTGCATTAGCAAATTTGGCTAGAACGCCCTCCAGCCCAACGACGGGGAGCGACAATTCAAAACAACAGCCCAGGACAGGTAGCATGATCTTTACCTTCCAAGGGTTCAACCTTAAACTTCTAAGGTTATGCTTTGAGGCAAGCCATTGCGCCCGTCAGCATCTCCTCTGATATCAAAAAGCCGATGTCATGCCTGGAAACAGACGGTAGGAAACTGGGTATCGCAGCAGACGCGATGTGTGCTTGTAGTGTAATAGTATATATCCAGACGGTTGTTGAGTGAAGCGGCCCTCCTGCTAGGGCGTAAGTTTCACGCCTCTAGGTGCTTCGGGCAAAATCTGTACAGGATGTCAAGTGCCGATGCACAGGATGCCAGCTTTAATAAGTTATACAATCACTGATGTATGCCGGGCACCGTAAAAGTCGGAAACCGGAGTCGTAAGGGGCTAAAGGGAACGTACGGCAACAGTTGCCGGTGCTGTTTCAAGACTTCAAGTGTCCGTGCTGTCGTGCAGCATCTGCCAACTTCATTATTTGCATAATATGCAAGTTCGCTGATGCTGCTACCATGTGGGTGTGGACGTATGAGTTATAACAGGCAGCCATGTAGAGGCATGCACCTGACCAGCACATGCGGGAACAGGAGGCTACTCAACTTCGGCTTAACTGTGAAGATGCAAAAGGTTTGGATGCCACACGGCATTCGCAGCACTGACCGGAAGTTTTGGGAAATTCTGCACATGTCTTGATGGTTACCATGACGGCCCAGGCCCAGAGCACACCACTAGCGGTAAGGAGCGGGGAAGCTGGTGTCGTTATCCGTTATAAGCACGCTGCTCAAACTTGTCAACGCCGACGCCGCTCGCACCGACCCCACAAGACTTGCCTTCCTCGCCACTGCAACGGCAAACCCGTTCCCCATCGTTCATCATGCCACAGCGTTATACTTTACAGCCAACATCAACCACACACTTGTCAAGCCCTCTGGATACGCGAACACCTTGACACGTAGAGCGTAGCATGCCGTACTCGCGCTCGTGCCCAGGATGTCCAGCATCTGTATGCAGGGAAAGGAACAAGGGGCAGGAGGTGGGGGTCACGTATTCGCCGTCTGCAGTTGCCGAGCTGAAATTCTCGCCCACAACCTTGATCCAGAAGCGACACTACAACACATACACTGCAACCCAAATCCGAAAACAACCCACTTCCAAGAAAACAAGTGCCGGTACACCACTCTTCCACACCCGAGCCCCAGGCCCCCCCCCACCTGGTCTTCCTCCAGTAGCGCCTTCCGCATGAGGTCCGGGCACACGTGGCTGTGCTGCTGCGGCATGGCCTTGAACACCCAGCCCAGCGGCACGGCCCGCTTGATGGCCTGCTGGAACTCGTCGTTGCCCGGAGCCACCTCGCAGTGAACAGCCTCCTGCAGGGGGAGGGGGGGGGCAGGGGGGTTTTGCAGGAGGAGAACTCAGCAGGGGATGTGGGTCAGGCTGGTCCAGACGCGCCCTCCACACACCATGGCCTCGCCAGTCCAACCCAGTTCACATCCAAGCTTTTCCCTCGCGCTCTCCACCCCAAACCACCCCATGCAGCCCCATTCCGGCCCCCTCACATGTTCGTAAGCTGCCAACGCCGGCATGAGCAGCTGAGCCAGCCCCTCATCCCACACCGTGCGCCCCTGCTGCGCGCCCAGCAGCTGCCGCCGGTGCTGCTCCGCCGCCGCCCGCAGCGCCCCCTCCAGGTGCGCCTCTAGGGCCAGCGGGTCGGAGATGGGGCTACGCGCCAGCGGAATGGGGCTCCTGGAGGCGGCAAGCAGCGGCGCGCAGCCGGGGGAAGGGTGTGTGGATGCGGTAAGAGGCCAGGTCTATGCGGGCGGCCTGGGCAGCAGCCAGTGGCGTATGCTCCTCGGAGGAGGAGCCAATGACGACTCTATCGCAAATTGCAAGCTGCCATACAAGCTGCCATGCCTTGGCAAAATCACCTCCAGGCGGATGTGGGTTGAGGTGGGCAACGAGGTGTGGTGACTTCTTCGTACGGCACATCACATGCACGCCTCGCCCCGTACCCACCAGGGCATGGCTGGCAGCTCGCTGGGCGGCATGGGCAGCTCCCGCCACAGCGACGCGTCCTCCAGCAGGTAGGAGCTGCCAAAGGCGCTGTCGTCACACTGTCGTGTGACCCATGGGTCGCGGGCCGCAGGTGATGCACGGGATGTCGGATATTTCCTTTCGTTGTTTGATTAGTCTGCTTTCATGGAGAAAACTTGAGCAATGGAGTACAGCCACAGACACGATACGGCTATCGGTAGAGGTACCGATAGGTGCCGGCAGTGGTGGCAAACGGTGCGCAAACGTTGTGTTAACATGGCGCGCAGGTGCCATGTCAGACCTGCACCATCGAACAATGCACGGATTGTGCGGCCGAGCCACACCTGGCAGTTGGCGTAGAGGCGGAGGTGGTTGAAGACGCAGCCCACAGACTGGTACGGCCAGGTGTCCACGTCAGTCAACGTGTACCGCACCCCTGCAACGGGAGATGCACGAGCAACCGCTCCTGTTCGGCTCCGGGACCTGACACTAGCCCGGACACTTGGGTGCCACGAAAAGCAAGACAAAGCAACGGAAGAGCGGCAACCCGCGTCGCTCATTAACATAGCACGCGCACAAACCGAAAAGCGCCCGCTTCGTGCCACAAGCAACCATCCCTCCTCCCAGCCCTTCCCGCCGTCCGCTGCCGCCCACACAGGGCGGGCCCACCTGTGCCTGGCTCCCAGAAGGTGGGCGACGCCAGCGGTCCGCGCGTCATGACCCAGGTGTGGCTGCTGCCGTCGTGCAGCCGCCCCACCACCACCCACGCGTCCAGCCCGAAGCCCAGCAGCAGGCTACACAGCAGCAACGCCATCTCCTCCTGGTGAGGAGGCGGCAGCCGGGGTGAGTAAAGAACCTAAAGATGGCCTCCGCACCGTTCAGACATAATCACAGAGGCTGGTAACATACATACATACCTCTACTCCTCTAGCAAAGTCCACCAATGGAAGAGCACCTGCTCCAAAGTCCTAACCCAACTGAGCTTCTGCAACCACCTACCGTAACTCCATGCCGCTCGCTGCATGCACCGCTCACCCCGCCCCAACCCAGTCCCAACAACCCCAAGCCCCGCCCACCTTGCTCGCTGTCCCTGCCGCCAACACCGTGTGCAGCAGGCACCAGCACTCCGCCCCCTCGCCGCCGCCAGCCCCGCCCGGCAGCGGCGCCTCCTGCTGCTGCTCCTCCCGCCGCCGCAGCAGGCTCACGAAGCGGGCCGCCTCGCGCGCGCTGGCCAGCCCGCGGCCCAGCTGCAGCGGCCGCACGAAGCAGCACACCGGGTACTGGCTGCCGTCCTCTCCCGTGGCCAGGACCTGGGGTCGTGGGAGACATGGACAGGAGGGCATGTACAGGAGGGCAGGGCTGGGAGCATGGTTTCCTAGGTATGGCGCAGCCGAGGGAAACGACGCAGCAGAGGAGCATGTACAGGAGCTGTCTTGGGAATGGGCCGCTTTGCGAGGGGATACAGCAGGATGAAGACAGGGCCCTTGCGCCCAGGAACAGCCCTTGCGGGCGCACAAGCCCCCTTGCCGCACCTTGACCGGTCGCCCCTTTAAGGCCAGGTTCTGTGCCACATAGTCACCCCACCAGGCCTGTACACGAGGACGGACGGCAGAGAGGAGAGGAACGTGCGCGCAGCGCAACAGGTCTGGTTAACACCTCTTTTCCTTCGCACAACCGCTGTTATCAACTGCATGCCAACTATCCTCCCCTCTCCTTACCCACCCACCGTTCCTTCTCTGACGCACCTCAAAACCCTTTCCGCGCCCCAATTCCTCCATTACTCCTCCTGTAACCCGCTCTGTCACATCGCTCGCTCACCTTGGCTGCCGCCACGAACGACGCCATCACGTCCGCGTCCCTCGCGTGCTCCATGCGCTGCTGGCTCTTCAGCAGCGCCTCATCAAGAGCCGCGGAGAAGGGCGGCCGCAGCTCCAACTGCAGCGTCAGCAGACCCGCGGGCGCAGCGGAGGCAGGCATGCCGCCGGCAGCGCCTGCGAGGAGGAGGACGAGGGAGGAGGTCAGCGGCGGGGTGAGCCCCCTCATGTGGGTTACGTCAACACGTCAGCAGCAACCCTTTCTAAGCAACATGTACACTACCCAACGCAACACCCTTTCCTGCAGTGCCTGCCAGCACATGCGTGCGTTGTGCGACCCCACCTGGCCCGGCTCCCAGCTGTACGGACACCACCACCTTGCTCCGCCGTACCAGCGCCGTACGCCACTCCGCCACACCCAGCGCACACACCTGCCGCCGTACCGACAACTGTCGGGCCACCGCGGCTGCGGCCGCAGCTCCCTCACCCGCCGTCACCGCGGGGCCTGCCTCCCCTCCTTCCACACCGCTCATGGGTGTGAGCTGCAGCACCACTGCGTGCATGCCCTGCCGCAGCGACAGCAGCTGTAACGGGTCCATAACCGCTCCCCCGCCGCCACCGCCTGCTGCGCCAGCCCCGCCTACGGGCAGCTCGAAGAAGGCCTCCCCTGTGAAGGCCGGCTCGGCTGCGGCCGCCACGGGCTGTGTGGTGAAGCGCTGGCCGAAGAGCTCCAGGGAGAGCTGCAGCTGCTCGCGCGTCGCGGGCATGCGGACCAGGAAGTCAGAGAAGGCGCGGCCGCCCAGCAGCTTGACGTGCAGGAAGGCCTTACCGCTGGGAGGCGGGAGGAGGGAATCAGGCAGGCGGGTAGGCAGGCAGGTGGGATGGAGAGGGGAAGGGTGTAGAGGGAGGAGGTAGGGGAAAGGGTGTAATTGCGTCTCCCTAGGTACAGGTTTGGCGGGATGGGCGCGGTACGCCAAGCTCGGAGACTAACGGGATTGAGGAGAGGACAGATTCCACAGCATGCTGGATGTAGGTAAGAAACCCAGGCTGTAGGGCCATGTGCGCTGAAAGGATTCCAACAGTAAGCCCCAAGGGTTCACAGTTAGCATCATGGACGGAGCTGCTTACGGTGGGAGCTCCGTTGGCTTGAGGGTTCCCACATTGGAAATCTGTGTCAATGCTTGCACTGCCTGCTGTGGTGGCCGCACTGTTCGCACAAGCTGATCAATAACCCCTCGACCCTGCGCCCCAGCAAAGCCATGAAGTCATCCAGAAAGGCTTTGGACCAACGGTGGTTGACGACTCGTGCATGATGCAGCTGACTCACTTGAAGGACGTCTAGCGCGTCTTCAGGTGTAACCGCCTCTCCAGTCCGTTGATATTCCAGAAGAAGTTGGTGCAAGACGCTCTGGATGCCGGCTTGCTGCAATTGCTGCCGGACAGCTTTCCGCAGCTGGTCGACTTTTGCATCTTCCATTTTCGTTGAGAGGTCACGCTATGCTTCTCATTCATATAACATGCTATTGTAAGCACTCAGTAGTAGCGCAATGTAGGCTAAGGGGCCGCGAGGTCAAGACCAGATTTCGAATCGACGGCATCGGAGCTTAAGTCATTTATCAGTAACGCATCCGTCGCTAATACCTATCTGCCTTTGCGGTTACACCTTGCATGCACGGCGGCATCTATGCCAGATTCAACGGCCAACCGTACGCAAGCAACCCATGCCGTTACTCGTGCGACCTCGCCGCATACAGTTCAGCCTGCCACGTTTCTCGACTCTTTTCCAAGCTAGCAACGGATACGCCTTGCTGCGAGGCCCGGGCAGGAATGGTGAATCCTGCTGGGCGAAGGGGTATCCGGATAACCATGCTCCCATGCAAAGGCCGTTTGGCAGGCTACATGTTATACGCCGGTATGCAAGCTACATGTGGCCTGTCAATGCAGGGGAGACACATGGAAGCAGGAATTCTGGATTCTTTGTGGGAACCTGTGGGGCTTGGCCCTGGGTTGCTGTCATTGTTTCCCTGGGAGGGGCGCGGGGAGCAGTAGGCGCCTTCTGTGAAACGTAACATTATACAATGGCGTGTGGTGTCCTTGTTGGCATCCGTTGGCTAAGGAGTGGCTAACTTCCCAGGAGCGATCTGGATTCCATTTTGCTCGAAAGCGCATCGCTCTGCCCGAGACAGCGCCTTTGTTATACAAGTGCAAATTTGGCATTGATAGATAATCACTAGTGAAAATGGGTCAGGCTCAGAGCGGGATTAGCAAGGAAGCCATCGCCGAGATGGCCAAGGCAAAGACGGCGTACTTGCCCCCTCTTGGGCCCCCCAACCCGGTAGGTGTTGCTATACCTAAATACATACATATAGGCTCGCCTTTTGCGACCACGTTCATCACACGCATGGTGATGTCCCCACCTCCTTCCTAAGCGCTTGCTTCCGCGCGTGACGCACGAAATAATAACAACGCACCCATGTTACAATAATGATCACATGACGTTTAAGGCATCGCTACGGCTGTGGCCTTACGTGGCTGTTGGGGCCTTCCGTACACGGTCTCTCTCCTTGCGGCCCAGCACGCGCAACTCCCTTGCTGCGCAACCGCCGTCCTTTCGCTCGCCCTCAACCGGTAGTGCGCCCTTAACCCTTCCTTAGCCGCGCCTGAAGCGCTATCTTACCTTCCCGCCCATCCACCCTGTCCCTTCCACACTGTCAGGCCAACCCCCTGGTGTATTTCGACATCAAGCTGGGCCGTTCCGCAGACGCCACACCCCTTGGGCGCATCGTCATGGTAGGGGGCGGAGGGTCGGGCCCTCGAGGGACGCCTGCCCGTATGCGGGGCCCGATGCAAGCGCCCCGCCGCCCCCCTCCTCGCCTCCACCGGCTCTTCTCCATTCGCCCCCTGCCCTCTCTGCTCCAGCAGAACCGCACAGCAACACCCACCTTCTCCCGCACCCGTTTCCCTCCCCCCTCACCCCCACAGGAGCTCAAGGCGGATGTGACGCCCAAGACGGCGGAGGTGGGTGGGTGGGTGGGTGGGGCCGGCTGGTGGTTGGCTGGCTGGTGGTTGGCCGGCTGGTGGTTGGCTGGCTGGCGGGCGGGTGGCTGGCGCGGACTCCACCAGTTACACGGCATCATACCTGGCCCCTGCCGTAGACCCCCTTGGTCCTCCCCCTCCCGCCCTCTTTAAACCGCCTCCTTCACCCGACTGCTCCACTGTCTTACCCCTCCGTCCCCCCCTCCTCCGCTGCCTCCCCCCTACAGAACTTCCGTCAGCTGTGCCTGCGCGAGCCCGGCAAGGGCTTCAAGGCCTCCCGCTTCCACCGCGTCATCCCCGGCTTCATGTGCCAGGGCGGCGACTTCACGCGCGACAACGGCACCGGCGGCGTCAGCATCTACGGAGCCAGGTTCCCGGATGAGGTGAGGGGCGCGCAGGGCTGGCAGCAGCAGCAGCAGCAGCAGCAGCATGCAGAACGTAGCAGCAGCGATGAACACTACTTTCCTCTTTCCAAACCATTGCTGTTGCCCATACCGGTATCGTCCACACCCCTTGGGAACCCCTCTTCCCCTTGCGACGACGAGCTGGCCTCTCCCAAGGCTCCTGCAATCCCCCCTTCCCATCCCAACTCCCACCCTCTTACTCCTCACCCCTTTCCTTCCCACCCGCCTTCCTCTTCCCCCTCCTCCCTTGCCCCAGAACTTCCGGCTGGCCCACACCGGCGCCGGCGTGCTGTCCATGGCCAACGCGGGGCCCAACACCAACGGCTCGCAGTTCTTCCTGTGCACCGCGCAGACGCCCTGGCTCAACGGAAAGCACGTGGTGTTCGGACAGGTGGGAGCAGCGCGCTGCATGCGGAGGGGCGTCAGGAGGGGGGGTGGGGTGGGGTGGAGGAGAGACCTGCCGCGCCCCTAGCTCCCCGTTCCTGCACACCCACCCGTCCTCCCCATCGCATGTTCCCCCCTCCCCCTTCCCCTTCCCCCCCCTTTCCCCCACACACAGGTGGTTGAGGGGTACGAGGTTGTGAAGGCGGTGGAGGCGTGCGGCAGCCGCAGCGGCGCCACCGCCTTCGATGTCATGGTGGCGGAGTGCGGCGAGCTCAAGCCGGGTGAGAGGGGGAGGCGGGGAGGGAACTAGGTAAACTGAGCCGCGAGGAAACACTAACCGTGACCATAGGAAGGCCCGTAAAGTGAGGGTATGGAGGGTAAATCGCTTACCGTACCTACTCCCCCCCCCCACCCCCCCCCACCCTGCAGGTGCTACCGCTGCGGCTGCGGCGGGGCAGCAGCAGGCGGCCGCCACCTCCGCGGCTGCGGCCGGCAGCGGCGGGGCGCTGGGAGCCACCGTGCGCAGCTTCGCGTCCATGTCGCGCGCGGCGGCGGCGGCGCGGGCCTTCAGCGGCGGCGCGTACTGCAGGTATGCGGCGGGGGCGGGCATGAGGTGGGGAAGGGGAGGGTGGGTGGGTGGATAGGGGCGGAGAGGTGTGCTGGGTGGCAGCGCATGCGGAATGGGGTAGAGAGGAGGCACTGAAGTGCGGAATGGGGTAGAGAGGAGGCACTGACGTGCGGAATGCGGAGGGACGGGCGGTAGGGCTGGATGTTGCATGCCAGGGTACGGGGGCACTCCATGATCCTCAGCAGCGTGCTTCACGTGCACATGTTGTAGTGGTGCAAGGCGTCCTCCTTGCTGCCTGCCGTCGCTATTGCGGTTGCTACTGTGTGCTGCCGCTGCTGTTGCGAAGTCCTCCTCCTGTCATGGCTGCCGCCGCTGCTCTGATGCAGGCCCGCCGTGTGCCCGCAGCGCCTGACCACCCCCCTGGCGGTCCCGGCGGCCCCCCTGCGGGCTGTGCTCCGGCAGCATGCTGGGCTGGCGCGATCCGCGCTGCAAACCGCTCGCGCTCTGGCGATGTGAGGGTGCGCGTACTGGTGACGTGAGGATGCGGGCCCCGCCCTGGTGTTGTGGTGTTTAACAGTTAAAGCATGGAGGATGTGACGGCAAACGTTGCTGTTGACGTGGAATTGTCAAGGTGTCCTAAAGGTGTAGGGATTGGACGGGTTTATTCATTCATTGTAACCTGTACATGGGACATATGGTACACGCTGCGTCACCCTAGTTTCTTCCCCGATACTGCAACGCAAGACACATTGTGTTAAGTTACAGAACCGGTACGGTATGCACACACCGTAAGGAACGCTTCCTGCGTTGGACACATGAAATGAAGGTCAACGGCTCCATGGTTATGTCCGTCACAACAACAAGGTTCAGGTTTCATATTCGGTTTGGGGTAAACAAGCCACCATCACGTCCTATCTCACCGCTGCTTCATGCCACCACAAAATCACAGCCGGAGAATATCTGTTGACTCGTCAGCTGTCGTATAAGAAAACAAGACAGACCAACTTAAAAGGCACCAAGAGGGAGATGTGACGTAAGGCTGAGGGTAGCCACCCGCCACAAGTTTGTACTGCACCCGTTCAAGTCTCATCTTAGTAGCTGACCCGTTCACCTCGCCCCAAATAGCAACAACACCTTTAACGGCTTCGAGCGTTCCAATCCTAGCATGTGCAGCGAGCGTGTCCTCAGCAGCAGGAGTCCTGAAGCTCACCTGGAGCTCACACGGCAAGAAAAGAGAGTGCACTCCACCGTTTTCGCACGGACACACAAACACACACGCAATTCCTGACCCGAATGCCGGGCTTCACCTAACACATTCCACCCCACCTAACACATTCCACCCCAAGACTCAGCGACCCCTGCACTCTCTTTACTTGTCTCTCCCTTTACTCTCTCTTCCACATACGTGCCCCAAGCATTATGCAACAGCGGACCCAACCTGAGCAAGACTGACACAATGCTTGTCATCTGGATTCACAGAAACGTGGCAAGCAATGAACAAAATTGGCACATTCGCGCCGCACAGTTTGTCTCCAGCAACCAAGCATTGGCTGCGGCACAATGCCTACATGAGGAAAACGCGCTCACGGGGGTCAAGGAAAAGAAACGAGCACGTCCCCTCTCGCTTCCCCCAATCTCTCACTCTCGCTGTAAAACTCCAATAGTTTTTAGGCACCATAGCAGCAGGAGCGGCCTTCTCGATAGCCATGCGTGCGAGATAACCGCACGACATTTAACCTCCTCCTCCATACATGTAACCTCCACCTCCTTCATAGCAAGGCTCCGTAACCGATTACCATCAACGAAAACCGACCTGTAGGCTGTACTACCCAGCATCTGTCGTACGGTATCGTTTCTCTGACTGATGGATTTAATAAGCTAAATGCTCCATACAGTCCCATCTTCTCTAGTTTCCGCGGTATCCGCACCCTAAACCGCCTTCAAACCGCAGCTCACATCCTCCTCTCCGGAGCAGCTCCGTCCCGCACCAATACCCGGCAGGGCGCAACCGCACAAACACGCGCACACGCTCTCGCAACCCAAGAATTAAATGACCAAGACCTTGCCATCACATTACACAGAAGACAAGGAATCAAACAACAATCGCTACACACAGACACGCACATGCAGCAACACACAGCTCTCGGGTTCAACACAACATCTGCATTTCACAATCTCCCAAGGCACCACCAATGGATAGCATAAAACCACCACACCACACCCGCCACGCAAGTGAAACTCAAGTTCGCACCCTGCAGACCAGAGAAACGTTCTTTCCATACGTCAACGTTCAAGACCTCATACGTTTCTGTGCCTCCATACTCACTCCTTCACTGGGCTTGTCAGGTTGCCTCATCCCACAACAACACCGCATCATCGGCAACAACTTCAGCAGCTGCCACCGCCAAAGCACATGCTCGCCACCTCCATAAACCTCTCCTCCGATAGCGACACCTCCTGCAGAAGCCTGCACGCCCACGCCTCATCCGCCGCCGCGAAATCCTGTCCGCGCTTTAGCACCAAATGCCCAGCAATCTCAAACGACGCAGGGTTCACCCCCGTGTCAAGTAGCTCATCCGGAACCACCCCAGCCGCCTGCCGCTCCGCATAGCACTGCGGGAACACAAACACGCGGCGGCCGGCGTCCGAGACGAGCAGGTTGAAGGGCTGGTTGACGGCCTGCATGCGTTCCGCTGCGGTACCCACCACCGCCGCCACGGCCTCGAGGCCGCACCAGCTTGCGGCCGCTGATGAAGTTGATGACGACGTTGCCTCAACCACAAACGCGTTTACCGGGTAGTTGACCAGACGGGAGACCCGTACGGCCGCCACAGCGCCCTCAGCGGCGCCGTCAGCACCCTCGGCGCCGTCGTCAAAGCGACGCTTACGTGGCGGCAGCATGGCAGTGCCGGCTCTGCCGTCACCGCCGCCGACAGCCGGCCACGCCAGCTTTCCCGGCAGAGGCACCGCCTCCGCGCCCTCACACGGCATGGGCAGTGGCAGGTAGTACGAGTGGAAGTGCAGGTGGTTAATGGTTGCAAAGGCGCCTAGGGAGTTATAACCGACGCGGAAGTGCGGGCTGCCCAGCTCCCGCGCAAACTGTAGCGCCAGCAGCACTGTGCCGCAGTCCAGGGCTTGCGGCAGCTGCTGCAGCACCCGAGGCACTAGCAACACGTGACCGTAATCGATCGGCGACACGTTGATCAACACCAGGTGAGGACTGTCGCTGCCGTGACCGCTGTCAGCGATCTCGCTCATCGTCGCCGCCAGCGGCGCCGACGGCGGAATGACGGCGCCGCTGGCGGCGGCGGCGGCATTGCCGTACGCCGACGGCTGGAAAGCGACCAGCGCCTCCTTCACGGCGGCCTTCTTAAAGTTGAATTTGCTGGGGTCGAAGGGCCGCATGACGCGGTCCGCGGAGAACTCCGTGGGTCGCTTCTTGGTGGCTCGGCCCTCGTTGAGCTGCGCGATGAAGCGGAGGCGGCCGGGCAGCTGCCGAGTGAGGCACTGCGTGACATCGTACCTGGGGGGGGGCAGGTGAGTTGGAACCTTGATGGGTGAGGTGCAGGGCGCGTGGGGAGGCGGGTGCAAGGAGGGAGCCAGGGTGTTGGGCAAGGCAGGGTAGTGATAGCGCAAGGAGCTGCATGGTCCGTCCCCGATCGCCCTTCTCTGCCTGCTTACCTGAACATGCCGCGGTCCGCCCGGTCCTCCCACAGCGCCATCAGCGTCACCTCCAGCAGGCTGCGACTGGGAACCTCGGCCACGTCAGAACCGGCGGCGGGGGAGGCAGCAGCGGCGGCGGCGGCAGTGCACACGCTGACGCCGCCGCCGCTGCCGGCTCCGCCGCAACACGTCAGCAGCACGTCACTGGGGTGGCGGCGGAGCAGCGGGCGCGAGGGGCAGCAGCAGCCCCCCGGTACGGCAGCACCGCCGTTGGGCTGCTTGTCGTACAACATGACGACAGCGTCGGCGTCGTCGTCAGACATGATGACGTCAGCAGCGGTGGTGGAGTGGCAGAGGCTGAGGGGCAAGTCATTGAAGCTAACGCCCTGGGGACTGGGGACGAGGGCTCCTAGGGCTCCGAAACCCGGGTTGGAGGGGCTAGCTGAGCCGTAGGGAGCGCACAGCATGGGCGGGGAGTCGCACCTGAATGGGGCGTGAAGGTGCATGGGAACGAACGGCTCGAGTGAGCAATGACGGGAAACACGATCTTGTAAGAGCGGCACTTGGCACGATTAGTGGGACAAGGGGGGCAAGATGAGAACAGGAAGGAGTAGCGGCTGGCGTTTGGGACTTCTTAGGACGGCTAGGAGCAAGCCCACGCTCGTGCCAGGCCCCTCTTAAGCAAGCATGGACGAGCCACGCGAGAACTAACCTGGCGATTTCTTCAAAACAGTCGGGTACTTCGGGCATCGAATCGATGCGTGGAAGCTTCATGGTAGTCCCCTCGACGGGGCGTGCCGGGAAGGTGTAGATGGGCAGGTAGGCGTCTTGGCAGGATGCGACGAGAAGGTCGCTCGTCGCGCCCGAGACGGCGACCGAATGTGGACGGCGGAGGAGGTCATGGAGCGAGCACAGCGTATCAACTGCTGACACCGCCATTGACGACCTTTGCTATGTAGGAGGATTGCTATGAACTGTAACTACGGCCTCGGTTAGGAGAACCTGACTAAAGAGGCTAGTTGATAACGATGCAACGTTGACAGACACCTCGGTGCAACGTTTTGCCCTTAGCAACTGACGCCGCCACCGGCCGCACTGAGACCGTCCTGCAGATGAGTATCAATTGTAGGGCAAATCATGGTCAGTAATGTGAAGGTCCTAGTTCTGATTGATTGATTTAGGGGACGACCCGAACACGACCCCACTGCAAAAGTGAAAAAACAGGTCATGCGAAGTAATAAGGGGTACCTTAGGACTTCCTCCGCACGAAGGCCTCACGCCGCGGCCACCGCCGACGAAGGATGCGCTGCGCACCGGCAGCCGCGCACTTAGCCACCGGCTCGCGTCGGTCTCCCACAGCGCCGTTTTTGGTGTTGTCAATTCAACGTGCATACAGCAAGCCGCAAAGCACTATTGACACATAAGGTAAAGACAGGGCTTACACAGTCGTATACGCGACTGTTACAAACGCAGGGATATTCTGACAAGATGGAGAGGACAAGGGAAGGTATACTAAATTCAGTCGATGAGAGTCTGACATGACATGAGACAAAAATCGTGTGGTAGGTTATATGAGTGGCGCGCATGAGGCGACTAGCTGCCCGATTGTACGACATGATTGGCCTCAATTCAGGCGGCACTGGGCGCGTTTGCTGGGCGTGTGAAGTCGTGGTTAGAAACGCTCCACATGGTTCGCTATTTTTTTGTCCAGGCCATGTACGACCATGTTAACTTGTCTGAGTCAAACGGCGCAGAGACACGCAGAATATAGTTGCAGCCAACATTGTTATGAAAACTTGTATACTGCAGGTTGCCATGTTTATTCTACCCCTTTGTCCTGGTGGCTCGTGGATAAATTTGGGTTATGGTCATGATCCGTCCTTTCCTCCAATGAAGTTGCTCTTCCGTGTTCCATGCCAGCATCCTTACAAATGACGAGCCGCTGCTAGTCATATGAATAAGTGGCTTGCAGCCCCGGAATATTGCGAAGTCCAACAGTCGTCAATTCGACTGATGAAGGGTTTCTCAGGCAGGCCGAAGATTATAGTACTCTCACAGGAACCTGCCTACATTACACTATGAGGCCCAAGCATCAGCGCTTGCCGGCCTAGCTAGGCCCACTGGAGTTAGCCAGCCTAGAAAGGCTGCTTCCGCAACAAATGCCCTTACACCAGTAATAATAATAGATGTCACGTGCCGCTACCAAGCGGATGCCGCTTCTAGCTGCAGCTGCCCGAACACGGTGGTCACTGACAAGAGCGGACATGACACACGGCAGCCCAAAGGCTACTAATTACCCACTCTGCGAGTCACTCTGCGCATATCAATTTCTAAAATGCTCTCTCATGGCTACAGTAGCCACACCGCCAAAGACCGGCATGTAGACACGTATGTTATAGCCTGGTCACACGACGTTAATTTCTACGTTACGTTTGCGGAAAATTAACGTGAACGTAAACGTAGACCGGTCACATGACAAACGTAGGGTTACGTTTTTGTTCTACGTTAACGTAGGCCAGAAACGTGAACGGAGGGGGTAGGGGGGGGGTTCACGTTAAAACGTAGCGAACCGAGGTGGACCCCTAGTCGAAAAATTGGTACTACAGCCTCTTGGATGCGTCTTTTAACGTCGTTTCTTCAGCATGACCTATTAAACTCTCTAAACCCTCTAATTGTTTTATTGGTGCCTGAGCGCGTCACCATTCGTGCCGATCTGAGTAGTAGGTTAGCCATAAACTCCTCCTAAAACGTTCCAAACTCAAGCAGATATGGCTAGGTCTGCTGCCAGGGCACTCATGGACATTAACAACATTGCTGGTCCTGTTGCAAAGCCTACTAGGCAGGCCCACGGGTCAGGTGCGTCGCTCTAAGGACTTCACCGGGTATTGGGTTACGGGCAATGGCACGACGCAGCTCGGGGACAGGCCGAGCAAAGTGCAATCCATAATCCTGGTATAGTTTTCTGAACACTGCCTTGTCGAGGCAGATGTGGCCAACATACTCAGCGTCCTCACGGTCAGAGAAGCGCATGCCCATCTTAACCCAATCAACCATAACGCCTAAGTCACGAATGACCAGAGCCAACGTGGCATGGGGCCGTCGTGGTTGGGAACGAGCCAGGGCAACCAAACTGGTAGCCATTTGGCAATGAATAACATGAATCTCGGAAAAGTCCCTACTAACGTGGCGTTGAGTTTGGCGTACGAACGTAGCATGTGACCGAGACCTACGTTTGGGCCGCTACGTTCAACGTGGGTTCCATGTAACGTAACGTAGAAAGTAACGTCGTGTCACCAGGCTATTAGCGTCTCCAAAACAAACACGGCAACTCGTGTCCTTGGTCAAACAGGCGATGTCTTAGCGATGTCATTTATCCCCCTGCTCTATGTATGACCCTCGCTGCGACTGCCGTACACTAGGACGCCGCTAACCACAGGGTGTTTCCCATTCCCTTCCGGGTATGAAGAGTAGAACTCACAATCCTTGGCTCCGGCCACAGCGACGGCACCACCGACCAAGCAACACCCGCATGCAGCTCGCTTCTTGCAGCAAGCGCCAACCCGCTTTAAAACCCATGTCTGTGCACCTTTGCAGTGCTCACTGCATATCACACTCCCCCTATGTCCCGTGTCCCGTGTCCCAACGGTTTCCGTTGGACACACGCCACATGGGTACATGGTACCTGACCTCCCGAGCCCCTCAAACGCAAGTTACCGTACCTCCGCGAGCCCCCTTGCCACTCAAAACCCGCTTTCCCACTACCCGCAACGCATCACACATCACACCTCCAAAACACAACCTGCGCGTCTAGCAACCCCTAACAGCAAGCGGCACCCTGCAGCTCAAGCCTCCTAGACGCCATGCAATCCGGCTTGTGCCCCCCCTCCTCCCAGTGCTGCTTCTGGCACTCCACGCTGCAGTAATGTACGGCACGGCAGCCGCCGCACCTCCGCAGCACCCGCAGCCGCTTCAGGTCGCCCTCGGCCTCGCCGCTGTAGTTGCCGCACCTCGGGTTGCCGCACATCCGCAACACGCCGCACGACAGCGGCACCGCCACCGGCGGAGGCAGCACCCTGGCTGCTGCCGCCCTCACAACTTCATCACCGCCTCCTCCTCCGCTGCTGCCGCCGCAGTTAGCTGCCGCCTCCACAACCGCAACAGCCGCTTCCACCTCCGCCAGCACGGCTTCGATGGGTCTTTCCTCGCTGCCTGTCTTGCTTCCACTCCCGCTTTCACTAGCATCCCCCTCGTCGTCCCCTGACTCGCTTCCGCTCCCGCTTCCGCTGCTTCCCCTTTCCTCGCCTTCCAGCAGCCGCCCCACTGCCCAGTCTAGCAGCGCCCCTCCATCTGCTGCCGCTGCCGCCCGCCACACCGCCCGCACCGCACGTGCCTGCAACGTACCCCAACCCGACAGCCCCTCCAGCAGCATCTCACCGGCGCTGCTCCACGCCGCACCCGCAGCCGCCGTCACACCCGCCGCCTCCGCCGGCCAGCCCAGCATCGCATGCGCATGCGCCCGCAGCGGCAGCGGCTGCTGCCCTGCCGGCCGCTGCCTTGCCTCCCCTCCCTCCTCCTCCTCCTCTCCCTCCTCCAGCATCACCGTCAGCAGGACCTGCCCTTGCATGAGGGCCTTACCGAGTCTGTCACTGTTGTCCCACCGGGCATCATCGTACTGCGGTTCCAGCTCATTTGATGTATCTGAAGGTGCCAAGACAGACGACTGCAGCGACTGTCTTGCTCCCGCCACCACCGCTGTGCCACCTCCCATGCGGCCCAGCATCACCCCCAGCGCCGCCAGCAGCCGGTGCGGTTGCGCCGCCAGCAGCTCCGCTGCCGGTACCTTGCCACACAGCGTCGTGAGAGTGTACAGGACGGCCTGGGTCAGCAGCAGCACATCCGAGGCCTCGTCCGCATGCTCCTGCGGCCCCTCCGTCATTGCCCGCAGCAGCAGCTGCTGCGTCGCCAGCGAGCAAGCTGCCCGGGCCGCCAGAGTCGACGCCTCTGTCAGGCCGGCGGCGGAGACCTGCAGGCCCCGTTGCGACGATACTCGCCGCCAAACCGCCGGCAGGCCGACGGATGGGCTCAGCGTCAGGATCAGAAGGTCTGTCAGGATGTCCCTCAGCGGAACCTCCCCCTCGGTGGAAGCTGTCTCACTGCTTGATGCATCGGATGAAGCGTCGGATGCGGCATCGGGCTCCGCCGGCGGTAGGAGTGCAGCTGCGGGTTCAGGCGCCGTTAGCGCCTCCACATGCACCGCCGGCGCTGTTGCCAGGTGCACGGTGGCATCCCGCTGCTGCTGCTGCTGCTGCTGCTGGCGGCAGTGGTCGTCATTCAGCTCCGCCGCCTCTCGCAGAGCCAGTTTGCTGATCGTGACGAAGAACCCCAGTTCACGCCGATCGACCCACGGGTCACACCGGGTAGCTCCCACTCGCTGCTGCTTGCGTTCTCTCCCGCTGTGGGTGTCCAGGAACACCTCTAGCGGCAGCGGCGAGAGCACTGCGTTTGCACATGACAGCACGTCGCTCAGGGAGGGGATGGGGGCTGCTGTTGAAGCCGACCCAGCAGTAGCAGTAGCAGCAGTAGCAGCAGCACTGGGGCATGTTGCGTGGGCGGTACGGCGGATCAAGGCGTCGAAGGTGCGCAGGAAGCCCGCCCCGCGCAGACGGGCGGCCAGGCTACGGCACGCGTCATCTGCCAGGTCGACCTCTGTGGAATGCGGGAGGAGGACAAGGAAACGCGCGGGGGCAGGGCGTCCAGATTATACACATGCCTGCTTGTGTTACGGTCGAATGCAGAGCGACCAGAAAACAGCACCGGGTTTGGGTTTGACGGCAGGTCGGACCTTACGTTCGCCATTGTACCCCATGCCGTGTACCCTATGCCGTGTACCGTACCACCGGTTCAAGCAGCCCTACAGGGTCACCTGCCATCATGTGCCCAAACCGCACCCCCCCTTCCCTGCCGCCGGAGTCCATGCTCAGGACACCCGGACCCAGCGCGACTCCCCACCTACCCGCAAGCCGCTGCAGGCACTCCAGGCTCTTCTCCAGGCACTGCTGCAAGTGGACCGCACACGCCCGCACCTCCGCCTCATCCCTGCCCAGCTGCAGCCCCCTCGCCGTCACCGCCTGCACCGCCCTCACCGCCCACACGCACGCCTCCGCCGCATCAGCGACCACCCCCGCCACCTGCTGCTGCTGCTGCCGCCCTGCATGCACCTCACGGCCGTCTTGGTCCTCGCCTTCCAAGCAGCTCTGCACGTCGCCGGTAACCGCGCTCACCGCTACCCACAAGCCCGACAACACCATGCGCGTGTCCACGTCTTCCGGCGACGCCCAGTAATAGCGTCCGCCCACGCCGCGCCCGCACATGAGGCGACTCAGCGACCGCAGCACCCGCAGCCCCAACCTCACTCGCTCGGGCGGATCCGGAAGCGCCGGGTACGACCGTACACACATGCCGTACATCGTCCAGGGCCCCATGGCGGCACGCAGCATGAGGTTGTGGTGGTGTTCCAGCTGCAGCAGCCTCTCGACCTTGAAGGAAGACAGCAGCGTCAGGGGGACATGGGTCCAGGGCACCGATGGGTCCAGGTCCAGCAGGGGCCAGCAGACCGTGCTGCGGCCGCCGGGGCCACTGCTGGCGGCAGTCCTGGTGTTGCTGCGGCGAGAGCCGCCGGCGCTGCGGCCGCTGCCGCAGCTGCCCCGCCCAGTCCACTCCCCCTTCTCGTCATCGCCGCCTCCGTCCGCCACGAGCCACTCCAGCAGCCGCCGCTGCAGCGCCACCACCTGGGGTGCTGCCAGGAGCCCCCGGTCAGCAGCCGACAGCTTGGACTTGAGGAACAGAATGGGGACCAGCTTTATGACGACCTTGCACACATCCAGGCTGGCGGTGTACAGGCTGCCCGCACATGTAGACGCGACCCGGATGATGGATTGCTCCGCACCCGCAGTAAAGCACGACCAGAGCGGCGGAGCCGACGTCAGGGCACCGCACATGGCGGCCAGCACGCCGCTGCGTCGCAGCCACCTCACCAGCAACCCCTGCTGCCTTTGCCGCTGCTGATCCAATTGCCGCTGCCATCGCCGACAGGATGGCGACTGCTGCTGCTGTTGGCTGCCGCCGTCGCCGGCGCCTGCTGAAGACAGAGATTGCGTTTCAACCGCACCGCTGATCAGCCCCGCGATAGCAGCCGCAGCACCCACCACGCTGTACCCCGGGTCCACGATGCTCTCAAGCACAAAGGCCCTCTCCAGCGGGGTCGACGCTGACCCGCCTCCGGACGGTGACATGGGTGGCTGACCTTTGACGCCTGAAGACCGATGCTGACGTTGGTTGCGCTGCTGCTGCTTCTGCTGCCGGCCCTCCCCTGCTGCTGCTGCCGCCGCTGACGAAGATGATGAGGGCTGCTCCATTCCTGCCATCGCAGCAACCGCTAGCGGCCAGATTTCCGATTGCACGAAGCGTACGGCAGCAGCCATGACGTCACCCACCGCCACGGCACAGAGCTGCTCGTACAGCCGCACGCGGTCAGCGGCAGCAGCTGAGGTGGCGGTGGCGGTGGTGGCGGCGGCGGTGGGAGCAGGCGCGCTTTCATGCAGGAGGGAGGCGCACACTGACAGGACGCGGAGCAGCCCGACGGCTAGCATCGTGCAACTGCATATATGCACGAGGCGCACGTTGTGCTCGAGTTGAGTGCGATCGTTGTCGTTGTTGTTGTTGTTATTGTTGTTGGAGGAGGACGACGAGGAGGAGGGGGAAGAGGAGGGGGAAGAGGCGGATGGGGAGGCAGACGTGCAGGCGGCCACCCCCCCCGGTCGGCCTGCTTCGCCGCCGCCGCTGGCTGTGCCTGCTCCCGTAGAGCCATCATCGCTTTCTTGAGGCGTCTCTTGCTGCTGTTGCTGCTGTTGCTGCGGCGGCGGCTGAGTCAGGGTCTTCAGGAGTTCTGCTAGGAGCGCAGTGGTGCGGCCAACCAGGCCCAACTCGACTGCGGCTCGCAATGCGTCGGCCGCGCGCTGCGTCGGAAGCAGCCGAGAAGATGAAGGATCCGTTTGAAGGCGCTCTGTAGCATTGTGCACGGCTTTGTATAAGGCCTTCAGCTCGCTCGGCAGCCCCTCCAAGCCGAAGTTGTCATCTTTCGGCTGCCGTGGAGGGGAGCGGATTCGCCGAGTGGCAAAGTGCTGGAGCGTGTCTGTGGATGAGTGAATGACCGTATAGCGTGAAACATTTATGAGATTCAAGGCAATGGAAATGCGCTGGTATGCAGATCGTAAGTCCTCTTGTGAAGCCATTAGCTCTGTAGGAAGACCCTTATCGCGCGCTACAATTCATGAAATTGTTTGCGCAAACCTGTCGCAAGATAAATATCTGTAACACTTTATGAATGATGCTGCCTCGGCTGCTGCGGTGCGCACAACCGAGAGTATGACCCGCTGCTGCCGTGATATGATCACAGCAGCCGTACGGTGGTCGCTCCTTCCTGCAATCCTGAATTCCCACCCGCCGGAATCAATACCGTTGCTCTGGCCCTTATAGTGTTTATTGCCCATCGTTACATGCATATGTGAAGGTAGACGTGCTAACGGCCGTACGGGACCAAGCTACTGCCGTACAGGACCAAGCTACTGCCGTACAGGACCAAGCTACTGCCGTACGGGACCAAGCTACTGCCGTACAGGACCAAGCTACTGCCGTACAGGACCAAACTACTGCCGTAATGAATGCAAGCAGCCTTGTAGGAGGGTGGGAAAGTATCTGCTGTCCTCTCACATCCTAGCTTGGGACATTACAGGCATGAAGAGTCCAGGCCAAGGGGGAAAGCATGCAGTGACGGGTCGCTCTTGCGTGGCGGGATACCGGTATCCGTAGGGAGCAGGTAGGGCTGCTGCAGGGCTAGATACCGGTATGCCGTGGGTAGGCGGGCATCCCCCTTGGGCGGCGTGAGAAAGAGAGGAAGACAGGGCACACCCAAGGGTAATTGAAAGGACGCTCGTGCGATACCCTAAACAATCCATCATCACCTCAGGGCACAATGCATGCTAGAGCGCATGGGCGAGGTGGACTGGCGGACTGGGCTGAGCCGTTATGGGAGGACCAGTGGAGCTCGGATTGTTCGCAGTCCGAGAACCGCCTACTCGGCCAGGCCAAGGCAGCCTAACAACTACCAACCATGAGAAGTGCAAAACATTACCAAAGGGTAAATTCATTAAGGCTGCGTGACTGCTAGGAAGAAAAGTCGCGTTAGCGTCTTCGTTCGTGTGTTCGCATTTGTCATGGGCCTGACGTACTGGCAGCATCGCCCCCTTGGACCCAACGAAGAAGCTGTGAACACTGCTGAAATTGCTTGTAATATAGGATCATTAATCTGTCAGCCACACACAGCTGTCCATCATATGTACAGATTTGACCCACGGTTCCCCTTTCGCATAAACCAAAGGCCAACCCAAGAAAGTTGAAGGATTGCTTCAAAGGACCGCATAGGCCCAATCAAACCAGAACAGTTTGATAACCTTTGCTACAACGCATCTGGGCATTTCAGGACGGCCTTCAAAACAAAGCTGACAACGTTGCCGGTGAGCTTGGATCTGCACCCCGGCCCGGACCTTTGCCAGCAGCAGCAGCTTTACTAAGATTGCGTCCTCATCGCCCCGTTCCGTGACAACCACAGCAGAAGTACTCTACAAGACTCCCAAGAGGGACAGGCCGGGCCCTTTCTACCGGCAGCTCCACGACCTCCCCATCGCGTGATGCGGGCCCAGTAGGTTTTCTGCGGTGACTCACTCTTTCTGGGAGGAGCCGCTGCACAGATCACCAAACGCATCCAGCTCGTCTGTGACTGCAACTGCTTGGCCATCATCATCAATAGCAACGACGACAGGGCCATCAGAGAGCGTGAGCAACCGTCTGCGCGGTTGCTCACGTAATACAGCGCCGCCTGCTTCGTTTCTGCTCAGCCTCGTCACCGCCTACAAGCAAACACCTCACGTAAGCCATCTCAACCCATCCTATACCTCCGTTCACAAGCACATTCCGCTCTTCGGAATGTCTTCTTAGGATCTGTTTGCGAGATGTTTTGGTGCACCTAAGCTCGGCAAGCCCAAGCTGCTGCTTGAGACGCGGCCCACATCAGGGCTCGCACACTGCTTTCCTCTTGGGAAGAGCGAACATCCCGACGACCGAACTTCCGACCACACCCCTGCAGCAAATATGATGCTCGCAACCCCTGCAGGTCGCACCTCTTCTGTCGCCCTCTTCACTCGTCCCCTTGCCGCCCTTCTCGTCCACCTTCGTCCCCTCCGACCCCAACACGCATCCCCTTCACAAGGGCAAGCACCGTTAACAAGAGGCAGCTGCAGGCGCCTCATCAGGCAGCCGCCGCCCTAACAGTACGACGCAGTACGTGTAGAGCTTCCCCACCTCCTGGGCCCTTCACAGCCTCCAACACCTTGCGCTTCCAACACCCCTGCTCCGCCCGCCCAACGCCTCACCACCAGACCCAGATCCACCACTCCTCTCCTTCTCCCTCCACCTCCACCTCCACCGCCTCCCACCGCCCCAGTTAGTTTCTCCCAAAAAACCAGCGCCAACCATCAACCACCACCTGCATGGCCGACCACCGCTCGGATCCGGATCCAGTTCCGGATCCGGCGGCATCATCGGAGGCTGCTGCTGCCCGCGCCGCCCCACAGCGACCCTCGCCTCTCCTCGACGACAGCTCGCCGCCGGCACATCCCACACACCCCACCTCTGATCCCCACTCCCATCAACCGCCCCACATGAGTACTTCCTCTGCCGCCGCCGCCGCCGCCGCCGCTACCACCACAGACCGGACCCCACGCTATGAAGACCCTCCCGCCGCCGCCGCCGTCGTCGTCGGCCCCGCCCATAACAGCAATCCTGCCGGCGTCGTGGGCACCGGCGCAGAAGACAGAGGCCGCGGTACCGTCCTTCGACCGCGTGCGAGCGACCCAGATGACGTCAGCAACTGGGTCAGCGGCGGCGCAGGCCGCAGTCGCGACACGTCTCGAGACCGCCGGGAGCGTCTCC